CGGATGGAAAGAATTTTGTTGCACGTGGCACAGATAGGTGGAAAGGAGTTGTCTAAATAAGCTCTTAGGTGGGTCAAATAGGTACAATTTAACCTTAGTCTGGCGAGAACCACTTCTTCCCTCCTATTCTGTCGATATGCTGAAAGCCAGTTTCCTATGTTTGTCTTCCAGTTGTTGCGAAGATCTAACCTCGTCCAATCAAGTTGCCACTTCCCTGTTGTATATGTCTTCCCCAAGGAGAGACACGACTGACGCTCCCAGGGTACATTGGTTGTCTCCTTGAGACCCACAGTCGCTTTTGCTAGTTTGTCTGCCTGTTCATTGCCCCAAATGTTGCAATGCCCAGGCACCCATATCAGCACAATATTCTTGGCACACTCATGTAGTTTATTAATAATGTTGCCCTGTATCTCATTGCTGGTAGTGTCACCACCTTGAATTGCTTTAAGAGCTGACATGGAATCTGAAATGACAGCAACATCATTGACATCGCTTGTTATTGCAATGTCAATGGCTCTACTTATTGCAAACATCTCTGCAGTGAATATGGTTGTATGCCGCGGCAGGCGGGAGCTCCACCCCCCGTCTCTGCTCCAGATACCGGCTCCAACGTTGTCGTCAGTTCTGGTCCCGTCGGTGTACACGTGAGTATTGGCGCTATATCCTTCCAGAAATTGATAGAAAAGTTGCCTCAGGAGCTCAGGATGTAGGTCATTCTTCCCTCCTGGAAGCCACGATGTCTCCACATGGAAGTTGGGGTTCTCCCATGGCGGACACAACGGTGGAACGTATCTATCAACGTCTTCGAAGTGGATACCAGCACCCTGGCACAAGGTCTGGAGGCGGACAACCGAGGACGGGGACCTACGCAGCTGCAGGAAACGGAATTTAGCAACAGAGATCACCACGAGGTCAGGTCTTAAATAGCGGGGATAGGCGTGGCTTAGTAGTTGACCCCCGCTCCGTGGGCGCTGGTTGACCCAGACCACGAGGCATACACTGTGGAACTCGCGGGGTCGGCTACTCAGCGACAAACAGCGTTTGTAGGGGAGAAATCCACTACAAGGTATTTAGCAATACCAGAGTTTCTACGGTAATGTGTAATAGAAAATGAAGGACTCAGGTCTCCTGAAGCGGTTAGAGCGTGGATTTCTCAACCGGGGAACTCAACAGTTTCACACGTTTTGTGGGCGTGGAGAATAATATGAATTATTAGGTGTTAAATAGACTAGGTATGCTATTGTGACCATGGCAGTACGACTTTCTCGGCAGTCTCAACTACCATGATGGACAATGTGACGACGGACACTTGACCAATGTACGGCAAACATGACGTTTACTGCCGATTATATATATATATACATATATATATATATATATATATATATATATATATATATATATATATATATATATATATATATATATATACTATAGTATGAGGTTATAACCACGGTATTTTAATAACATGTAATATGCTAAAGACACACACACTTCAATTTATTTTGTTTCTATACAGATAATGTTGTTAAAAAATTCTGAATTTCTGCATGTTTAGTAGTATACAAATGGTATTTTTTCATAAGCTTATGAACAGCGAGGATAATGAAGCTGTTTACCAGATCAATGGTGACCAGCAAACATGGCACTACTTAATGTTAGAATAACCTTACGAACAAAACCACTAAATTACTGAATTTACTATATCAGTTTATTTTATAATAATTAGGTCATAATTGATAAAAATTTATATAATAGATTTTGAAATAGTTAGAATAGATTAACTTAAAATTTTCATTGCCTGCAAAAAATGATTAGGTTCGTCGTCACTCGTGTGGTGTTTCTCCAACATCAGCCATTTTTGCTGTCCCGTAAACATGGCGCTGTCCAAGTACTCATCGGATGAGACCGGTATCCCAAAATGGCAGATTGCACTCGCCCTTGGAGGAACACTGGCAGCCGGAGCTGGGATATACTACTATATGATTAGGGAAACAAGTAAAAAAGGGGGAAAAGCAAAGACAGCGGCCAAAAAGTCTCCAGACACGGCGGACAGTTTGCCGTCGCCCACTGAAGCACAGTCACCCAAGGCAGACGACGTTGTTAATTTGGTGAGTTATACTACTGATTAAGGTTATCTTCAGCCGCCCAAGTCTTATTAAATCACGGTTGCTTTCATAAATGTTTATCATGATGGCTGCCATACATGGAGAGGCAGTATTTAACACACGTGTCAGTATGTGACTGTGTTCCCCCGGGTAGTGTCAGCCTCCCTCATCTGGAACATTCCTGGTCATATATACCACACACTATCTTTTAGGTTTCCACTTGGTAACTGTAATTTCCTTAGTCTTTCCTCATAAGATAAATCCTTGATCTGTGGTACTAATTTGGTAGCCCTCCTCTGTACATTCTCAACTGCTTTAATATCCTTAATGAGATATGGGCACCAAATTTGATTAGCATACTCAAGGTGTGGCCTAACCAGAGCAGTGTACAGAGCCTTGAATATAGGTGCATCCAGATGAACAAAAGTTATTCTAATAATGCCCACTATTTTATTAGCCTTGTTGATTTTCTCAGCTAGATGGTCAGAGAACGTTAGCTTATCATCGATGACTACCCCTATATCCTTCTCTACAGTGGTCTTCTTGATCGTGGTGTACATATGATATCCCTGGTCAGCAACTTTTGTTCTTCCTATCCTCATGTATTAAATTTTTTCTGGGTGAAAGTTCAGCATCCACTTCTCAGTCCAACCCCTGATCCCATCCAGGTCCTCCTGCAGCATGTCACAATCCTCATCTCGTTCTATTTTCCTAAAAATCTTTGTGTCAACACTGTCGTGTTTAGTTGCCTCAGGCAGATCATTGATAAAAAGGACAAACAGCAGGGGGCCGAGGACAGAACCCTGAGGGACCCCACTAGTGACCTCTCTCCAGTCAGATACTTCTCCATTTACCACAACCCCCTGTTTTCTCTAAGTTAAAAAATTCCTTACCCAATCAAGATATTTTCCATCAATGCGATAACTAGATACTTTTTCTAATACAGTCAACCCTCGCTTTACGCGGTCCTACTTTACGCGTTTCCATGTTTACACGGTACCCTGCCGAACACGGAATGCTCACTTTCCGCGGTGTGTACCCTTTTACGCGGAGAGCGGCGCGAGCAGGGTGCGCACAAGGTCGCCCAGTCATCAAAACATTACCGAGTTCTTCACCCGCCACAGCCGGCCCAAGTCTGTGATAGTGATAATGATAGTGAGGATATGGACTTATATGGACTTTGAGGGGTTTGACAAAGAGGCCCTGCAAGCCTCTGTGGTGGATAGTGATACAATTGATACAAGTGATACAGGTGAGGGCCAATAATCTGCCCTCTGCCTCGAACCAACCCCATCCCGTGTGCCCAGCCATCTCTTCTACTAATGAAGCCAAACTGTTTATTACTAAACAATCCATATTTTTCCATATGGGATATCATCTCTTCCCATAATATTGACTCCATTAATTTGCAGATTACACTAGTTAGACTGACTGGCCTGTAGTTTCCTGGTTCACTTTTACTTCCCTTCTTATAGATAGCTGTGATATATGCAATACGCTAGTCCTCAGGTATATTTCCTTCTTGAAAAGAGCTTTCAAACAAGATCCTCAGAGGCTGAAGTAGTTCCTCCATCATCTCCTTAATGACTCTTGGATGTAACCCATCTGGACCGGGAGACTTTTGTCTTTTCAATTTTTGAACCTTCTTTCTGAATTTTGCCCTCGGTTATCTCCAGGTGTTGAAGAGCTGGCACGTCTTTCTTGTTGGCTGTTGGTATACCCCTATCTGGCTCCTTGATAAAAACTCATGAGAATTGCTCTGAGAGTACATCTGCCTTTTCTTGATCATCCTTGTAAAGATCTGCAATTCTAGCTTTTGTTCTTGTTTTTGTCTGTACATACTTCCAGAACACTTTTGGATTTGCCTTAACATTTTTCGCAATCTCTTGTTCTTTGCGTTTCAAGAGGTTTCTAGTTTCCCATCTGACCTGGTTATTTAATCTCCTGTATTCCTTTTCAGTTTCCAGATACATCTCCCTTGTGCATGCTCTTTCATTGAACTTCGTTTTCAAAATTTTCAGTCTCTCCCACAGTCTGTTTTTTTTTCACTTTAGCCCAGAGCTTCCTGTGAAGATACATCATGGCCATAATGAGAGATCAATAACCAAAACGTAGTGGGTATTTTTCCGTGACCGGCTAAGTTCTTACTAAAGCTATTTTACCGTGAATGCGCTTTGATTGACGAAGTACTTTCTGTTAAAATGACTGGGGGACCTGCACCCAGCGAGGAAGTTAGGTAAGGTTAGGTAGGTTTCTTTGGTTGGTTAAGTCAGGTTCTATTAGGTTCTAGCATATGTTGCCTCTTTTATAATAAGTTTCCTTGCACAACAGAAATATGGGTACGAATGTTTATAGCTACACAACAATCGACTCACGGCGAAATAAATGTCAATTACCACTAGTCATGGTCAAATATAGTTCTCGCGTTGTTCGCCGGTAATGGACGATTATCCAATCAGAGTTCACTCATGGTTACAGCAAAATATTCACTGCCTAACCAAAATTGGTTTTTCTTGGTGATTATTAAGAATATGATCTTTATTTTCGTTGCTGATTTTTATTTATGGACTTTGAAGATGAAGGACAATGGGTCGTTTGAACACTAATAAAGTACCAATCAAACCTCTGAGAACTTGACCTAACCTAAAATGGTACGGTGACGAAGTTCAAAAAGTAATTGGTAATTTATGAGAACAACACTACAGTACCACCAGAAGGAATTGTTCGATTTCATTTATTTTTCCACAGATGTTCTTATCATTATAGTAAATATTTTAAAAGAGGTAACAACTTTTAAAATACAGTACCTGTATAAGTATTTTTTATTTATTTGAGTTTTCTCTACGGTCATAAATCACCTGTAGTGGGCAGGGCATGAAGGATGAGGGAAAATATGGGGTAAAACAATGAAAAACTGATCATATGACACTAAAATGATGTCTGTTTGTGCTTTGTGCATGAAGAAATTAGTAATTATTTACCCTAAACACTCCTCCGAAAAGTCTGCTGAGTCACTGCGTGTCATCTGTTTCTTTACAACTGACTCACTCAGTACTCTCATGTCCACAGACATAAAATTACACCAGGATGCTTCAAAAAAGTTGCTTTCATTGGTACCACATATCAAAATAAGTACAGTACTGTACTTTCTGATTAATATGGCGCGGGCCCACCCCCGGCTGGGAAGTTTGGTAAGGTTAGGTTGATTTCTTTGGTTGGTTAGGTCAGATTATCAAAGGGGTGCATAGGGTTAAATAATTTCCTTATAAAATGTCACTGACTTGACATAAAAAAAATATTCTTTGCATTACTGGAATCCTTGCAAGACAGAGATTAATTTGAGAGTATGTATACAACCCATAGTTTGCACTAGAGATAGTCTTAATTCATGACTATCATTAAAGCGGAATATCGCTGAACAGGACATTGTTTATCGAAGGTTACCAGTATTTGTCGTAAATGTTTCATTATCTTACACAGTTCTAGATATTGTGTGTACAGTATTACAGTACGTTCGTAGGTAGGCTACCCACTTAAGGTTAGAGTAAAGTCTGACTTGCATAAAAATTAAGTTATGTAAACAATGGTTCCAGAAACAAAGCTCTTATGTAAGTCAAGGAGTGTCTGTATACAGTACAGTATAGCTATGCATATACTGTACTGTATTTATATGTAGATATCAGTACATATGTATTGTTTTTTATTTACAGAGTCCATTAGAAAAGGCACAGAGTTGCAAGAATAAAGGAAACAAATACTTTAAAGGTGGTAAATATACAGAGGCCATCAAGTGCTATAACGAAGCAATAGAAGAATGTCCATCAGAGAAAACTGTCGATTTGTCCACATTTTACCAGAATAGAGCGGCAGCATATGAGCAACTGGTAAGTTTTCTTATTACTGCACTGTATTTATTATGATTTCTCTCCACAATCACAAATGAAAATATTTGGGAAAAAAGCTTGTTTCTCCTGGAGATTATCCGCTGACCTAACCTAAACCCTCGTGGTAGTACAGTACTGTATTAGGGTGTTTAATCATTGGTGAAATAAGCAGGGGAGCTAATCTTCAGGTGATTTGGGAAGGAATGAGGGGAAAATGGGGATCCAGTGTTGTAGGTGTCAAGGTGTACAGTGATGGTGATTGTGTGAAATGATATACAGTGGTTGAGACTCTGTAGGTGTATTTATACAGTCTTTCTGTGCCTTTTAATTACTTGAGTTTTTAAATTGTGAACCCAGATCCTTAATCAGATCCTAAAGTACTGTAGTACCTTTGTATGAAATTTTAACAAAATCCATGATATGACCCCAAGTGCAGAAATGCAGGGTCTTAGGTCAGGTGTATTTTTGACGTGAAACATTTTTGAGGAAAGTGACAACTAATGTCTTCATATAGTGAAGGTAGTCTATATTTTTAAGAAAATGTCTGTAAAGGTGATTTAAAACATACGGCTACAGCAAGATTGGCAAAACTCCCCCCCTTTTTTTAACCATAAACCATTGTTTAAGAAAAAAAATTTAAATGTCATTATGTTGGTTTTAATAAGTTTTAAGTATTTTTTGTCCCTTTATATAAATTTTTTATATGCTATTAATCATACATATTACATTCATGATGATTTAGCAATCGTTTATAGTCTTTTCCATCTAAAAAAATAACTGAAAAGGCCAGATTTGAAAAACACAAGCTGCCATATGGCATCACGAATATTGTGACCAAGTCCCAGGTTGCTGATCTGTCTTTCTGCCTCATTTACACACAATTGCAGGATCTCAATTGTTTCTCTTACTATTGACAAGACAACATACTGTACATATAGCGTTTCTAACTATTGATTATTATTATTTTTTCTTTATTATCATTATTAGTGTTGTTATTATTATTATTATTATTATTGTTATAATTATTTTATTTTACTTTTAACTATAAATTTTATTTACGATGAATTACTATTATTATTATTAAATTTTCGCCCCCCAGGCCCCGATGTGGGTCAGTGACCTGTGCCCAGGTGGGCTAATCCCCTTAAAAAAAAAATCCTACATGCTTTAAGGCAAAAACTAAGTTTAAGTTCATCTTGATGCATGGAAAAAACTATTCTCCTTCTCCAGTTGAAAGTGTTAAAGAAGTCATTTAAGTAGTACGGTTGGAGAGAGAGAGAGCTGGTCAGTGGCAACTTGGCTCCCCTAGATCTGTATAATATGTGATCTGAACACATTAGAATCAGAGGCCCAGAGACCAACCATAAACAGAAGCAGTTACCAGTTGCACTAGACAGTGGCAACTTGGCTCCCTTATAATCAGTCCTGTAAGAAAGCTTATTCTCACCACTTTCACCAGTGTACAGTATAATAGTTCACATGCATGTATATATTGAACAACCATGGAGGCATAATACATCCCTTTCTAACACCCACATATATTTCAGAGGTTTCACTTTCATCACCATTTACTCATGCTGTTGCCCTACTGTTCTCAAAAAATGCTTATACCGACTGCATTTAATAGCCCTCCCATACACTTGTAATGTTCGACCTATCATATGCCTTCCAAATCTGTAAATCATTAAACCCATCTGTAATAATAGAAACCAATAACAACTTATTAAAACCAGCAAAAAAAATCTTTAAAACTAAGAAAAATGACATATAATAAAAAATAAAGGTTTGTTTTGTTTGGTATAAACCATTATTTTAAATTGGCCAACCTTGGTAATTATGTACATGTACTTGTAGAAAATTATACTTTGGATTAAACAGTTGGAATGTAAAATATTGTTATTTAATCAAATTTTGCAACTTAACAGAAAAACTGGGAATGTGTTCTCCGAGACTGTACTGCGGCTTTGGAACTTAATGAGCGATATGTAAAGGCTCTGCAGAGAAGAGCAAAAGCCTGTGAAGTATTGAAGGATTTAGAACAAGCTCTGGAAGATTTGACTGCTGTGTGTATCATAGAATCATTCCAGAATCAAGCTACACTTGTTAATGTAGATCGTGTACTGAAAGAGTTAGGTAAGTTGAAAGATAAAAAGTCTCTGTTAGCTTTGTAGTTTCATGTGTTCTCTTATTTTATCTACCTGAACCAAGCATTATATTTTAGATCAAAGTTCTTAACATATTTGCAAACATGGTATTTGGAGGTCTTAATAACCTGTAGAAAGCTTATGAATGGCCACAAGGCTAGTCCTCCCTAACCAAACCTCACCTAATCTGTTTTAAATGTGAAAAAAACTTAGTGTTAACATTATATTAATCAGAGAATACTGTAAAGTATTATCAGTTTTGTTATTTTAAGGTCCTAGTAAAAAGGTTTCAGCCATACATTTGTGATTTAAACATTAAACAGGTCGCATGCATGCTAAAGAGGCCATGGAGGAGAGGGAACCTGTGATGCCCTCAAAGCACTTTATCAAGACGTTCTTTGAATCATTTGCGGAGGATCCCATCTTCAACTCGGTTGACAAAGAGAAGGAGGGAGACGTGGATGAAATGGAACGTCCTCCAGAAAAAAATACTTCCAACAAGTGCGTTAAAAGTTTTCAGGGCCTGGAAATGGTTTTTGCAAACCTATGTCCCAAATTTTTGTGCTTAAAATTTGTGTGAAGATTGACCAAGATGATTCTGAAAGACTTTGATGTTGCTATTATTCTTTTATATTTTTTCCCGCTCCTTTTTCTTTCTTATGTAATGTGAGTTTGGTCTCCTGCCTGGTGACCCAGATATAGTACCAGGCCACTGAATATTTTCAGTCCTTGATGATAACTGCATAACAAAGTTTATCCAACAAAGTAAAGTCCAGAGCTGCAAGTCTGAATTTTGGTATGATGTGAGAAAGAGTGGGTGAGATTGTGGAAAACTGAGCCATAGAAAGCTCCTTGTCTGCTGTGTACAAGAAACCAAAAGGAAAGGTGGTTCAGCAAGTCTGATTACTGGTAAGAGTGACAGGTACAAACTCTGTTGAAAGGGTTTCCAATCTGGAACAGCTGATGCATGGATTCTTGATTGTTGAAAAGTGGGTGGAGAAAGTATGTTGCTGAAGTTACTGGTAGGCAAGAATCTGGTGACTTATATCTGCATGTGCCCCACAGGTTGGACTATGTGAGGAATAGGGCAAGTGCTAGGATGAGCTGATGTATTATTGTTGGAGCTGCTTGAAAATGAAGTTATAGATTGGGCCTGGCAGCATTTCTATAATGTGCAGTGAGTGTGGAGGGTGAATACACAAGAGGTGCAATGGAGCCAATGACAGACTTCACAATGCTGCTGTTCTTATGCATTTGTATGCACAAGTAATCAGTGTCCTTAGGAAGGCTGGAGAAAAATGACATTCGGGATACAGTATGTTTCTGGACTGTATTGGTGAGTTCTGCTACATGGATAACCTGGTCAGTGCTGGAGGGGGTGCCTAAGCTAGCGGAGTTTCAAGAGTCCGAAATGGCTAGGGGATGTTTCAGGAGATGCTGCCTTTATTGACAGTAAGAGGATCTTCCCTTTATATGAAAGGAAAGATTTAGTGCAACTGGTGTGAGAATTATGATGTCTTATGGCAGTTAAAGAGGATGGCATAAGTGAGTTAAAATTAGGGTTGTGAGGTGGATGTGTAATGTGACACTGAAGGATTGTAAACCATATTCAGTGCTAAGAGGATTATTTGTGTATTGAGAGTACTGGCAAGGTTTTGCGTAGAGGTAGGCTAAGATAGTTTGGGTATGTGGGGAGAATTGAGGAAACCAATTGGGTCAAGAGGGGCATGAGTTAATTGTGGATGGGAGGAGAACTAGGGGTGAGGCAGGAATAAAACAGGGAGAGGAGGTAAGAAATAACATCAGAGTCAAGAGCTTGTTGAGAGGGGATGCAAGAGACCATGCAGCATGGAGAGCTACCATCAGGTAATCACAGCTAATCCATGTAAGTGTGGAAAATATCTGTACAACGTTAATGAGTGTCCTGATATGGTGTGGGATGGTAATAATGCTTTCTTAGCTGTATACTGTATTTAAATGGAGATGGAAAGAAGAATTAATTTATTGCTGGGTAGTCTATGTAAATGCAGTAAATTAATGTAAAGCTGTAAGAATTATGAAACAATTGACTGTGTAGACAATTTTGGAATTTTCAAAGAACACCTTATATCTGATGCTATTTAATCACTGTTATGTAATTTGCAGTGTTATGATACTTGCATTTCCCCATATCATGACATTAATAATGCCCTATATCTCTTGTGGTAGTGGTTACCTGAAGGCAAGGCAACATCTACAGGAAGGAAATTATGGAGAAATCATAGAATGCTGTCAGAATGAATTAGCAAATCCTCTCACCCCCCACAAAGTTGAGTCTCTACTACTGAGAGCTACACTGTACCAGCTGCGGGGGGAGAGCAAGAAGGCCATGGATGATCTCACAGCCCTCATCAATATTGAAGATTGTCCCCTGAAGGTGAGTTATAGGCCAGGTTTATGTTTTCTCCCTGTTAAAATTAGGAGGAAACTTAGGTTTGGACCTATTCATTTGTTTCTTTTGTAAACAGTATCAGTATGTTAATTGCAGTGCTGTGTAACTTTCATTCATATTTAGCAAAGTGTAAAGTATTACAGTATATACCCTGATGTGCCCCAGACAAGCTATTTTTTACCAGATTAAAATTAATTTGGATGCCATTTATGTTTGTTACTGGGTGGGCTGGGGCAGGGTCAGTAGCAAGGACCACGTGTTGCCTTTAGATTTCATTACTACAATACAGGGGCTCCCCAAATTCGTGGGGGTTAGGTTCTCAAAATGGCTGCGAATTGCCAAATCCGCAAAAAACATTTGCGGGGAGGGGGGGGGGTATTTTTACTTGTGTACAAAGAAATGTATATTCCTTTTATGTGTTTGCCCTTAGGACAATTATTTCTTTTACTGTAGTATTGTATATGTGTGTGTGTCTACACACACACACACACTACATCCTTGACCACCGAAGGGTCAAGACGTACCTAGCGCTCCTCTCGGAGCATCCAGGTCAACTGTTATGTTGGCCCATACCAGCCCCCTCCCCTGAACCCTCCTCCCCACCGGAATATCAACAAGTTCTCGCCAGGAGTTACAGTTTCATTTAGGAAAGGAACGGAACCAGTGTTAAACAGAGGTGAACAGTGGTGAACAGTGCTTAAGTCAGTGAGAACAACTCAACAGTAACAGTCGTACCCAAGATAACCTTCACACAGTGAGGTCCCAGGTACCCAGTGATAACGACCCGACCCAACAACAACCAGCTATGTGTTAATCCGTCTACGATAGGAAGGCCTAAGGTGAAACCTCACTCATACAACACCATCTGTGAGGGAATTAATACACCACATGTCCCTCACAACACCATATGTGAGGGAATTACTACACCACGTCAAGTCCCTCATCACACCATCTGTGAGGGAATTACTACACCACGTCAGGCCCCTCATAACACCATCTGTGAGGGAATTACTACACCACGTGATGCCCCTCATAACACCATCTGTGAGGGAGTTACTACACCACGTGAGGCCCCTCATAACACCATCTGTGAGGTAATTACTACACCACGTGAGGTCCCTCATAACACCATCTGTGAGGGAATTAGTACACCACGTGAGGCCCCTCATAACACCATCTGCGAGGGAAGTACTACACCACACCAGGTCCCTCATAACACCATCTGAGGGAACTACTACACCACGTGAGTTCCTCCTAACACCATCTGGGAGGGAGTTACTACACTGCGAGTTTACTGTTCAACACCTACATTAATCTGTATGTTCACTGTATGTTCCCTCACCTTTCTCTAATGAAGGCTTTTGTTAAACCACCAATGTATGTAATGAGTCATTTTTGTCCAATGTATATTTTCAGCCTTCGGGCTGCAGTATTTTTTCAGTAAACCGTTAATTATTATTATTATTATTATTACACAAAACACATACACATAAATAGTAATTGGAAAATCCTCTCACAAATAATGAGAAACAATTTTATTAAAAATGTGAGTCTACCCTCAAGTCCGTGCTCTCTTAATAAAGTGATAAAGCACGGACTTGAGGATAGACTGTTACATTTTTAAAAATTTGTTTCTGATTATTTGTGAGAGGATTTTCCAATTATTATTTATTTGTATGTGTGTGTGTGTGTGTGTATGTAGACACACACACACACATATTTGCAATACAGGTAAAGGAAATTACTGTCTCTAGAACGAATGGCTCCCTGTCCCAGCTGTGAAAATGCCGGCAACTTTAAAACTACCCACAGACATTCTTGGGTACATCCAGCATGTCATCCACGAACTTGGAGGGGGGGCATAATGTATTATTATACTGTACGGGGTATTTTATTTTGATAATTAATTGCATCAATAAATTCCAATGCCAAGAGCTTATTAGTCAATCAAATATTCTTTTTGTTACAGTCATGGTAAATGTTATAACAAATAGTAATTATGAACAAGATTTTCCTTTCCTGAAGAAAAATATTGATTCATTGCATTTTGTTGAATTTATGAGGTTCATGAAAAACTACTGGTAGTATAAACACTAAAATTAGGCAAATACTAATTATTATAAAATCAGGGAGTGTGAAGAGATATGACATCTGTGTGGTCACCTCATAATTAAATTGTTGCATATGTGTTAGTGTGTCTAGTAGGGGTGGGGTTCCTCATACTTATCCAAGCTGGTACCTCTCCTCTATAAGTTTGGTTAGAGGCAAAAAATATATGTAGATTATATAAAAATTTATTTTTGCTGCAGATGCGAGTAAATGCCCTGGTGAAGCGTGGATCATTATACATGCAACACGAGAGAGTGGATGACAGCCTTCGTGACTTTGACCGAGCAGCCCTCCTTGACCCCACAAATTCTGATGTCTTCCATCACAGAGGACAGGTAGGTTTATTACTTCTATTAGTGTACAAACCAGGGATGGGGTGAATCATAAGTACTGTGGGGTTTCGTGATGCTGAATTGCACATAGGATGGAGGTGAGAACGGAAACTCAGCTATGGCGGTTTTCTTATTTGAATATATTCTATACAAAACAGTCTGGTGCTGGGAAGCTGCTGCGAGTTGTTGTGCAGGAGCTTCTTTAGAGGAGGTGTTGTGTGTTGCAGGGCTCTTGGTAGAATGGACATCAATGGCGAGGCTGGGAGCTTATATACACGTCCACCGGAAGTAATACTCGCCGGTGTCGACCCCTCCCTTAGTCTAGACGGCTAGGCTTGTCAGAGAAACTTCGTCGCGGGATTGGCTGATCAGCAGTGGCAGTTGTAGGGTAGAGTATCCACTACAATACTCGCCCTCCCCTCCGAGCGCTGCAGGAAACTTGTCGGCAGGGTTGTATTCCACATGTGAGACATAACGGGCGGGGGTGTGGACCACTCGGCTGCTATGGGTGATGACTCCGTCTAGGGACACGAGATATGTGGGAGAAGGAGGGTTGTGGATAAGAGAAGGTGGAACGGGCGAGGAATGCGGTGCTTCTCTCGCAGCAGGTGCAAAGTCCTCAGGGGTACCGGGTGGGGTATCTGGGTCATTAGGGCTGGGTGCAGGAACCCTCATCAGGAGCAGGGTCCACGTCAGGAGCAGTAGGTACCTGAGGATGAAAAGAGGGTACGCAGAAATGTTGTGGGTGAGGTGGTGCTGCAAGTGGCAATTGTGGGCAGACAGGCGAAGGAGGTGCGGGATGAATGTGTTCAGGGCGATGGGAAGGCTGGCGTGGGGCAGTAGCCTTGAATGCAGAAACTGCCTGTTGTAGTGTTTGTAGTGGGTCGTGACAGGCAGCAGGAGTGAAGTGGTCGAGGTCAGAAGTAAGGCGTGTGATGTGCTGCTTGATAGTGTCGGAGGTTATGGCGTCTACCAATCCCCGTTGATGTCGCTTCCTCGTGTAATTGCAGGGAGCCTCACAGTGTCTAGCGTTAGCACCAAAACGTTGATGGTACCAACAGAAGGTAGGTACACTGTGCTGGGGCTAGCGGCGGGGTCTGAGACAGGACGGGGATGTTGGGGTCGGTAGGACACAGTGCGTGGGGCAGGAACAGGAGCAGCAGCAGGCATGGAGGAGCAGAGCTGCTCGAGGGTGTCCATCCTGCGGTGTAGAGATTGTAGCAGGTCCCTCAAGTCTTGTTTGTCTGGTGGAATATTACTTCTCTGAGGAGCGTTGATCTGGTTGACGAGACCAAAGCTAAGTGATGGTGTGTTCACTGAGTTGTTCGCGGCAGCATGGCGCACAGCATGGTATTCGTGGAATACTCTGTCTGCCGTGGCTTCATAGGTCGCTGAGGTAGTAGAGTAGTCCAATGCCGAGAGGACGAGACAAACTTCTGCAGGGTGCTTGAGTGTGAAGCTGGCACAGGATAGTGTCAGGAAGCCTGTCTGTGTGGCGGGAGTTCAGTCTCCGCATCTCGTCCCAGAGACGTGCAGGCGTTGAGTTGCCGAGGGAGAGACCGAATAGTTCTTGCAGGAGACTAGTGTCAGGCTGCTGGTATCGCCTCTTGAGAGCATCTCGTAGAGCTGCGAATTTGTTGTCAGCTGGAGGGTTGGTGATGACTTCTGCAACTTGTGTGGCGACTTCTGTGGGCAGGGAACAGACCAGGGTGACGTACTTCTGTTTGTCTGTAGGTGTAGAGCCGATGAGAGTTGCCTCCGTGTGGATAAGCCGGTCTTCAATGTTGTGATTGAAGACTTGGAGAGTGATCCGTTTCTCCTCCATCCTGTGTGAGTGCGTTTCTCCGGGGGTCACCATTTGTGGGGTTTCGTGATGCTGAATTGCACATAGGATGGAGGTGAGAAGGGAAACTCAGCTCTGGCAGTTTTCTTATATGAATATATTATATACAAAACAGTCTGGTGCTGGGAAGTTGCTGCGTGGTAGAGGAGTTGTTGTGCAGGAGCTTCTTTAGAGGAGGTGTTGTGTGTTGCAGAGCTCTTGGTAGAATGGACATCAACGGCGAGGCTGGGAGCTTATATACACGTCCACCGGAAGTAATACTCGCCGGTGTCGACCCCTCCCTTAGTCTGGATGGCTAGGCTTGTCAGAGAAACTTGATGCGAGTCTAGACGGTTAGGCTTGTCAGAGAAACTTCTTCGCGGGATCGGCTGATCAGTGACTAACGGCAGTAGCGGTTGTAGGGGAGAGTATCCACTACAGTACCTTGAAAAGTAATCTCTGTTAATGATAAAATATAGCCGGTGATGATATTGAAGCTTGTATTATTTTCATAGACTTATTTGTAAACATGCAAATATACAGGACTTTGGAAACTTTTCTGCTGTAGTTAGTTGCCATCATTAGATTAGTGATGCTACTGTGAATAAGCTTGTGATATCAACGTGATTTTAAAGGGATCATAAATAATGATCATCAGTCAAATTAGAACTATTTCCTGTTTACATTATATTTAGTAACCTTTATTACTGTAGGAAAATTAATTAATGAAGTTAAAGGTGTACCAACAATGACTCTCTAGTAAAGATGCAAACCCTTCTCATCCACTTCCACGCAGGTTTTAAGAATTGAAGCAAGGTGATTTTTCAGAATACACACATGTAATAATGACTTCATCTGTATAAAGAGGAGAGATTCTATTAACAAATCAGCCAGTGGATAAGATGGGTGATGCATATTTTAATAACCATGTTTCTTTTGAGATTCTGAGATATGTCCATTATTCTTCAGGTCTTTGTTTTCTAGATAGGGTCTTCTAATTTAGGGCTGCATTTTCCAATGTGGTGCACATGACATGGTAGGCTAGATTAATGCAAATGATGTTAACTGTGTTAATTTATTAGTACAGTCAACCCTCACTTTACGCGGTCCCACATTCCACGTTTACGCGTTTACGCGGTACCCTGCGGGATGCTCACATTCCGTGGTGCGTGTACCCCTTTACGCGGGTGAAGTATAATTTTTTTATTTAGCTCATAAAATTCATACAAATTATCCGGCCAGAATATAATTTACATTGCTGGAATTCTTACAATTTGATGATCATTTTGAATATAAGCATCATAGATTTTGCATTAGACATACAAATTTTAGATCTAATGCAAGTATTTTGTTTACTCAGAGCAAATATGCTATCTTTTGTGCAAAATATATGAAGTGTATATTCAAAATATTCCTGGTCTTGCAAGGAATCCAGCAATGTCAATTATATTATCCTAACTTTAGTCTGAGGTATTATTTATTACTAAAAGTTAAAATCTAGTTTTTTCACCCAACATTTCTCTGGTAGGGAGGGAAGGTGGGGGGTGGGGGTAGGGTTGGGACCGACCGACCATCTGGGCGGTTGGAAGAGGGGGGAGGCAAGGTGGGGTACTTTGATTGACAGATAGTGTCGTGAAGAATATTTTTTTTTTTATTAACTGAAGATATTTGTTTTAGCTCATAAAATTCATTCAAATTACCCGGCCAGAATATAATTTACATTGCTGGAATTCTTACAATTTGATGATCATTTTGAATATAAACATCATAGATTTTGCATTAGACATACAAATTTTAGATCTAATGTAAGTATTTTGTTTACTCTGAGTAAATATGTTATCTTTTGTGCAAAATATATGACATTTATATTCAAAATATTCCTGGTCTTACAAGGAATCCAGCAATGTCAATTATATTATCCTAACTTTAGTTTGAGGTATTATTTATTACTATACCTTAAAATCTAGTGGTTTTCCCCCAAAAATTTCTCAGAGAGGGAAGAGCCAGTGAGTGTAGTGTGAGAAGAGGGGGAGGGAGTTGAGTCCATTATTTGAATGGACATTAACTTGGCAACTGTATTTTTCTATTTCTCTTAAGTATTAATTGTGTGCATGTACCATCATAAAATTAAGATGTTATTTTTACTAGAACATAGGTATTGTGTCGGAAAAAGTGGAGTTTGGGGGTCAGCCGGTCTCTATTTCAATTAATCCCATATGTTATGTTGTTCACTTTACGCGTTTCTCACTTTCCGCGGTACCCTGTGGGTTGAATTAACCGCGTAAAGTGAGGGTTGACTGTACTGTAATATAAAATATACATTAACTTTTAAATATATTATGTACATACACATATTTCAGATTCATTTGCTAATTGGAAAGGTTGATGCAGCCATGTCAGATTTCAAGACTGCTGTTGATCTCAATTCAAACTTCCCAATTGCCTTTGTACAGCGGTGCTACACAGACTACAGGTAAGGATAATTAATGTAAATAAATAGTGTTTTCCCTAACTTATCTTCTATTCACACAGAGAATTACAGGTGTAGATGGGTCATTCTGCAGTAATATTGACCAAGTGGGTTTGGGTAAAGTAAAATATAAAATTTTTACTCATGTGAGCATTAGGATTCATGTATTGTACAGTAGAACCTTGATAAATCGAACTAATTGGGGCAGACCCCGGTCCAAAAAATGCGAAAGTCCCAAAAAAGCGAATCTATTAAGGGGAGGGGGGGAGGAGATGACACTGCTATCTTGACTGTTTTAAGAAAATCAGGTGTTATAATGCTATTACTGCACTTCAACAACTGAGGTCTTTAAGTGTATAACAGGCTTAGTAAAACACTATTACATTTATAAAAAATATGAAACAGGACTCTCTGGGTTGAAAATGAGATATAAGTCTGGTTGTCAACAGCTGTTTTCATCAAATTGAATGTTTTGTACTGTAAAGTGTTATATGTAAGTAACCACAGAAATTGTCTTATGAATAAAGAGAAAACTATACTGTACAACAAGCATGGGCAACCTTTCCTCAGTCATGAGCTACATTACTATTTAGTTATTTTCCTGCGGGCCAACCCACCAGAATTTATATCCTACCAAACCCAAAAGTAATGTTAATATTGTATTAGCACGGAAAGTGAAGGAGTTTATCGTCATGTCCACCTTACGGTATTTTCAGTTTACAATCAGTCTTTCCCATTTATGAAACAAATCCATCATATTAATTTTTAAGTAATATGTTCATGTTTTTTTGGCATTTACAGAAAATTGATGAAGCACTTTGTGAATATGCCGATATTTCCTACAGTTACAGCATTTTTCCTACCTATGAGACACACCCACGAGAATAGTGCCAATGTTAATCTTAGCATATGAAGAACTACAATGAAATAACCTATAGGCACATTCTCTCTCTCTCAAAAAAATAGTTTTTTCCTCTCCATGTTGGCACAGCATTGTACTAGTCTACTAATACAGTACCTATCTTAATTATAATTTGTTTCTGCTGTTAACAGGTATGCTTACCAGCTTGGTGACAAGGCAAAGGTTGAGGAAGTAATGAAGAAATTTGAAGAAGCTATTAAGAATTTCCCCAAGTGTGTGGAGTGTTATGTTCTTTACGCTCAGGTAATATTTTTATTTCTACTTGTTGTACATCCAGTGCTGTGTCTGTGTTGGCCGAGTTAGATGATTAAGTTAAGCTCCTTAATAAATTAGCGAGAGAAAAAACATCTTACGGTGTTTGTCAAAATGGGGGAAAAGGTGACTGGTGATTGAATTAAGGGACTTGTAAATGGGATCTCATATTAAAGGGTTGTTCATGGGTGAGAGGAAATTGACAATAAAGTAACTCATTGGACTGTAATTAATGATAACCTGCAGCCTCTGGAGGATGGGAAGAAATTAGGTGTGGAGTGGAGAGAAAGCCTGGTTGAAAGCCTGTTCTTACTCTTCTGTATGAAGGTAAATTCTATGAACCATTGAAGTACAGAAGACCCAGAATTGGGGCCTTGGTGATTGGAGAGTTTACTTAGAATTTGTAGGAGTTAAGACGGATGAAGGAGGTTGACGACAACAGTGAAACATACAATAAGTAGAACAGGTTGATGACAGTGAAACATGATTTATGACAGGTTTGTAAAGAAAGTTGATGACATTACAGTTGAAAGTAAAATGGGAAGTGATGGATCACAAAAGAGTCTTGAACAATATTGTGTAGCTTTATCAGAGGCAAAATTTTTACTTGCAGAGGAAAGTTGGGGGAGATTGACAAATGTGGTCTAGATATACAAGAGCAGTAGACTCCTCAGTTAATTGAATTGGTGCAGGTGTTTATATTGAGTATACATAAAAACATAAGAATGGAGGAAACTGCAGCAGGCCTATTGGCCCATACTGGGCAGTCTCCTTTACACCCAACCCCTATTGCTCATATATCCATCCAACCTATGTTTGAAGCTATCCAGCGTATTCGAGTTAATGATGATGTTTGATAATTTTTTCCATTCATCCACTACTCGATTTCCAAACCAATGTTTACCTATTTTGCGCCTAAATCTAAATTTGTCTAACTTAGAACCATTGTTACGAGCCCTGACTTCCATTTATACACCTTTATCATATCGCCCCTCACTCTACGTTTCTCGTGGGAGTGCAAATTACGATGCTTTAACCTGTCTGTATTCAAGGTTCCTAATGCCCTGGATTAGTCTTGTCATTCTCCTCTGAATTCTTTCAAGGGATTCTATATCCATTCTGTAATAAGGTGACCAGAATTGAACTGCGCAATCCAAGTGAGGTCTCATCAGTGCAAGATATAGTTTTAGGATGACCTCTCTAGTCTTGCAACTAACACTCCTTTGTATGAACCCAAGTACTTTGTTAGCCTTGTTTCGAGCAAATACACATTCTTTACTTGGCTTAAGATTCCTACTTATCATTACTCCTAAATCTTTCTCGCTTTCAGATTTTTCTATAACATCGTTGTTCATCTGATATCTGGTTTCTCTGTTTATATCTCCTAGACTAAATACTTTACATTTGTCCACATTGAATTTCATCCGCCATGTATCAGACCATTCAAAAAATTTATTTAGATCTTCCTGGAGTTTTGCGGAGTCCTCGTCAGATTTAATTATACGCCCTATTTTAGCGTCATCAGCATATTTACTTTTGTTGCTGTCTACGCCGATATCTATGTCGTTTATGTATATAATAAATAATAATGGTCCAAGTACCGAGCCTTGGGGTACACCACTAGTGATGTTACTCCAATCGTATTTAGTGCCGTTAATGCTCACTCGCTGTTTCCTGTCCTGTAACCACTCACTAATCCATTTTAGAATATCTCCTCCAATGCCATGAGCCTCCACTTTTCTTATTAGTCTTTCGTGGTGGACTCTGTTGAAGGCTTTGCTAAAGTCAAGATATACCACATCATAGTCGTGCCCCTCATCCACTGATTCGAAAACAGCTGAAAAGAAGTTAATAGATTAGTTAGACATGAATGCCCGCTTGTGAAGCCATGTTGGGAATCATTGATCAACTTGTGCTTCTCCAGGTGATTTCGAATAAGTTTTAAATTATTGCTTCCAGTAATTTGCCTACAATTGATGTTAAGCTGATTGGACGGTAGTTAGAAGACAGTGATCTATCTCCCTTCTTGAAAATCGGTATTACATTCGCTATCCTCCAGGATTCTGGTACTACACCCGTTTTTAAGGACATGTTAAACAAATTTGCTAATGGCATACTAAGCTCTTCCTTACATTCCTTTAATACTCTGGCAAATATCTGTATTTATGATATTTCTGTATAAGTTAGTCACATCGTTTCACCTACACAGTATAATTGAGAAAATGGACTGTGTTGATATAAACTACCTCGCAGATCCTCAGGCGCCCAATGTGGCTGACTGTTGCTTGAGAGGATGGTGCAGTGATTGGCCATCAGTGGTCCTGTAGTCACAATCCCACTGTGTGATTGGCACTTGGCTTGGGAAGCGTAAGTCACATGAGGCTCTTAATTAAATGGCCAGTTACTAAATAAATAGAAATTTTACGTAAAGGTTTTCCAGGTTCTTTGTGGTCTTATGCAATATACCATCAGATTCAGGAGATATCTATGGTTATGTTCCTCGCCCATAAACCCGACATTGATTTTTGTGGTGATAAGATGCCTCCAGAAGTCTGCCCCTCAATTTTACACAAATACAATTAATTACAAAAAAAAAAGATATGAGAACCTCCAGGCTGCCTCATCACTGTACTTCTCATATGTTCTGTTTAATCCTCATTCTCTATAATGCATTACTCCTTTTTTAATCCATTGCCTCTTACAATGTAGACTACATCCCTGTCCTTATCACTTGTACTGCATTACCTCTATACTCCCTATTTACAATACCACTTTATCCACCGACATATTTATCACATCATTTACCATCTCGGACAACTTTCTTCATACTTTTTTACAACTCCTGCCTGGCCCCTCAACCATTCCATACATCTCATGCATTTCAATTTTTTTTTCTCCCTTTCCATTCTATAGCTACCCAGATGTAACTCCCATAAAATATATTTCTGTAGTTTGAAATGAAGTGTATAATACTTCATTCTAAGCCGGATGTCCAGGAAGGAAATATTATTTTATTCCTTTGTTCCTTCTTCACCTCCAAGTTGAAATTCCCTCCCAGGTCTCCAGTTGCCCTCTGCCTGAATACATTACTGTTGTCTCACTGATTTTATTCTCTATCATAACATTTTTACATAGCAATATCCCCATATATTTTAAGGCCTCATTTTTCTGGGCAATAGACCAAAGGAATAACCTGAGATTGAACATTGGAAAAGAATTGAGATTATGAAAATGGAGGTGTGAATGGAAATTTATAACTGTAAAGTTTCATTTGGCAAGGACCATGTGTAGGTATCAAACACTCAAGTAATATGAAAGTTTTGACTGACCACAGGCAGATTAGTTAGTATGTGATTTTTGGTGATAAGGTGTGCGATTCTTATCAAAGTTTTAATTTACTTCCAAACAAATTGTGTTTTTTGGATGTTGCTCTTTACAGAATTAATCACTTCACCCATTATTCTGCAGGTGCTGTGTGATCAGGGAGAACACGAACAAGCAGATGGTTTTTACAACAAAGCCTTGGAGGTAGATCCTGAGAATCCCACAACGCTGGTTCATCGTGCCCTCCTTGTACTCCAGTGGAAGGGTGACCTAGCACAAGCCAGGTCGTACATTACACAAGCTCTTGAAATAGATGACAAATGTGAACTGGCATATGAGAATTTAGCTACAATTGAAGTGCAGACGTAAGTTATATTTAGCTTCTGTCCTCTTATTTTAATATAAGCATTGAAGGGAGTGATGATTGCACTGAGTGAGGAAGGATACTATCGACCACTCCTTATCCACATTTAAAATAAAAGGGTCCATTTCATCCAGGTTATTAATCCCTAGGCTTTGGTTCACATATGGCGTGAGCTTATGGGATCCGGTTCACATCAAATTCGCGGTACGGTTTGAATCGTCATGCGGTCCTGGTTAGATTATGTTGCCAAGTAGGTATTTATTTTAAACTTAATCATGCATCTCTCCCATTCTCTGTTCTCAACTTTTGTAATGTGGGGATCTTGCCCTTGGGCTTCATGTGCCTCACCACATGTTTCTACCCCCAACCCTCAAGTGCAAGTGTAATGGGGGACTCGTTGACCATCAGCAGATTTGTGATCAATAACTAGAGGCAGTAATAATGATTGTAAATAGTTATTACATTATAAAAACAAGTGTCCTGTACCTCACTCTGCCTACAAGTCAGTGTTTTTATGTCTTGTATTACCAACCTTGTCCCACTGCTTCACACACATGCCACTTCATGTGCATTCTCGACTTTTCCTAGCTTCTGTGATGCCAACCTGTGGTAAGGATATTTATATCTTTATAGTTTATATTATGAATGACCATTTTGTAAGATTATAACAATTTTCTAATTGTTTTATAAATTTTCCTGAATGTACCCGAGTGGGGGGGGGGGGGTTATTGACTGTAGCTTGGGGATTAATGAAACAAAATCCTGAACCTGGCTCCATAACCAAAAATGTGGTTGGACTGGAGAGTATGTTCAACCATCCCCAAGGCCACCTACACCTCCATCTGACCCACAGGTGGGGGTAATGGCCGGCCCCGTAGGACTGACCTGCCCCTCGTGGAGGGACAGGAGATACCCTGTAGTGTATAACCATCCTCTAAACCACCTACACCCCTACCAAATTTCAGGCCCTAGGCAGGCATCATTTTTTTCTCTACCAAATTTCTGCTCTATCTTCAAAACTGGAAATGCATAAGAAACATACAAATATGCACACACAGACAAAATGTATATTATATACTGCAGTGATGGATATCTATGTAACTGTTATATGCAAGGTTCTATCTAGGTGGAGAAGGTTTCGTAAACAGTAATGTGCTGTTGAGCCACCAGTACAAGGTTGCCTCTGTATGTTCAGCAGACAATAAACGTCCATCAGTTCATCACTATAAAATAAAAACATCAAGAACCTACCATAACCTGTGATAAAGAACCTACACACTGACAACAACTATAAATAATCATGTCAGTACAAGTCTGTAGTTGTAAGTGAAACTACAAAATTACAAAAAACTATAAAAAAGTCTACAATTATTCTATTTACTACATAACTTAAAGATGTATATGCTTGTTGTTTCTTATGGGTTGGGAATGGAATAATTTTCATAAGTATAAAAACTCTGCCTTATCATACTGGAGATTGTGTCAGTTAATGTGCTTATGGAAAGTTTTTAGCATGTGTCACAGTCTTTGGGAAAGATAGGCACTTCACTCTGAAGAGGTTGTGGGAGATAGTAAATGTAGTTTGAACTAAAATATGTGAGAAATACTAAAACATCTTTCTTTTTCAGTGGGAACTTGAAGAGAGGTGTGGAACTGTTTGACAAGGCAATTCCATTAGCCAAGACAGAAATGGAAATGGCGCATCTCTTCTCACTGCGAGATGCAGCGGTTGCACAATTGAAAATCGTTGAAAAGATGGGCATTAATATCCCTAACCTAGGCTCTTTGTAAATGGACCAGTAGAATTTTAAGGTTGCTTCATGTTGGGGAAAAAAGAAACTTTAATCAGAGCATGAACTTTGTGCTCACAGGTTTAATTTTGTGGTTGAGTGGAATGGATGGGACTCATTATCTGAAATTTGAAACTGAGGTCAGTCATATGATGATCATTTTGCTTGCAGTGAAGTGTTTGGATGAATGAGATAAAAAATTCAAATTCACTTGAAAAAGACATTATTTAATGCTCCAAAGTAACAATTGATTATGAATTTTTTTCCTGCAGAGCTATCCTTCAAAGGTATATCATTCCTGTATTGTAAATACATGTATTTAACCTTCCACAATTAAGAAATTATGTGAAATTGGATAATTCTTAATACTGTATTTAGAGAATCGTATTTTAGTTTGTGAGTCTTTGTGGACACATTTCTGGCTGGTATATTATGAGCAGAACTAGTCTCTCAAATTCTGCAGGTTACACACACAGATTTTGCAACATTTGTTGATTCAAGCACGCATGTTTTCATGTTTACAAAAAACAAAACCATTTATGCTGCAGAATTTACAGATGCACAAACACAGGTGCTTACTGAGTCACACACACCTATTTAAAGACTGTAAATTGCAGGTTCCTAAGTATCATACAGTACTGTATACACATTTTGAAGTCATGGCCCCAGAATACACCCATTGGTACCACACTGAATTTGGAAATGCATGTATACAGTATTTGTTTTTGAAGTAGTACTGGTCTTTACATGTTATGAGTATGTGATAGTTCCAGGTTATTAGTTTAAGTGTAGTTATTATACACTTTGAATAAAGAAGGGTGTAGGGTTTAGTGTGTTAATACCAGTACAGTACTGTACAGTAAAGCCTTGAATAACGACGGTAATGTGTCCTCCAATATTGCAGTGTAAGGTGAATCATCGTATCGTGAATCATTAATTACTATAAAAATAAGCAATAATAATGAGATGCATTCCCAAGTGTGACCTTTTCATATCTTTGTGTGGCTTTTTACCCTCGTTGCCCCCCAAACAATAAAATTAATGAAAAATGCAAACTATATTCTTTAAATAATGTTTATGAATGCATCGTATACAATATAAATCAATATTAATCAGGTCACCCGAGAGGAGATGCGATGCGATGCCATTGTTGTTGTCAGTGTTTACACTCATAATGTCAGTTATCCATCTGAAACTGAAGAAAATACAACCCTGGTTGTTGCTATAGTAAAATTAAAGTAAGAAAATATGTATGCTTTAATTAATGTTGTTTAATGTACAGTAAAAGTAACCACTGATGTTAAAGAAAAAAAAAGTGATAGTGGAACGCCAGTGTGTACTATACTTATGCCCTCAAGGAAACCGCGTCACTTATCTTTTTTAGAATATATATAAAAGATTCATTTTTGTTTGTTAATGAATATGTATTTGATTTAATGAATATTTATATAGTATGTGAAATGAACAATACAATTCATTAATAATATGTAGAATATTAAAACACACAGGAGACGGCATTGTTTTCGCTAATGTTTACAACACAAAGAAACGAGAAAATAAGACCCTGGTTGTAGCTGTAGTAAAATTAATGTAAAAAATGAACATGTATGTTTTAAGTAATGTTATTTAATGTTAATAAATGGAATAGACGTAGCCAACCATTAATGGTAAAGAAAAAACAAAATGAATTGGGAATGCCAACGTAAGTGCGTACAGTACTACATGTGAAAACTTTTTCATTTCTTTACATAAGAATATGAAAGCACCACTTATTACTGTTCATATATGTTTTAAATAATACTTACTAAAGTACAGTGGGGTATGCTATAACGAATATAATTGGTTCTAGAACCTTGTTCGTTATAGCATTCGTTCGTTATAGGATTAATCCGTTCCAGGCCCCCAAATACAACCACTTAACACTGAAAAATATAATATAAAATTGTAAAAAATTTTAAAAAGTGCATAAATATGCATCTAAACCCCTGAAATAAAGAGTATCATTAATACTTGTAATAAAAAACAATAAATTAGTAAAAAAAAAAAAAAAAAAAATTTTTTTTTAAATAATGTTCGTTGTAGGAGTTTCGTTCGTTATAGCATTCTCAATTTTATAGGTAAAACCGTTCGTTATAGGAATATTCGTAGTAGGATCCGTTCATTATAGCATACCCCGCTGTAAAACAAAAATTCTACTCACCAATGGTGGTCTAGTCTAAAATATAAGGACAGCCAATGAATATTGTGCAAGTTTTTACTCAGATGACGAAGTCATCAGGTTCAACTCTGGTAGAAGCTGAAGGTTCAACTCAGGCTGAAGCTGTAGCTTTCCATAAAGATGTCATAGCTGTTGCAGAAACTGTTACTGAACCTGAAGTTGTTGCTGAAGCTGCTTATGTTGCTGAATTTGATGGTTTAGGCCTTCAAATAAAGCTGTTGAAGGAACCTTGCACAGCTACTTTCTTTCTCATTCTACTTCTTTATGTAGAAGTCGTATGCATTTTTCACGTCCCTGTTAATTTTAATGCTTTGTTCTCTTAATGGATCCACTTCAGAAAATATGTTCATTGCTTGTTCCATGTAATATCCACAGACTTCTTACCCTTTTCATATCGTTTTAACACATTTAGTTTCTTGGCTAAGCTTTTACACTTTCATTTAGCTTTTGAACCAGCACTACCATCACTTGCTCTCTTACTCAAGTTGAATAGGGACTCAAAAATGTAAGAAATCTGAGATTGTTTTTCTCCTTTTCCTGTTCACGTGCGTGCAAACAAAAGGCCGCCAAGCTGCAACTGTTTATACTAGTGATGCTGGCGTCACCATTCATAAGCACGGCAGCCTCCGTGCACAAGGCGTGTTTTTTTTATATACACATCGGGATTTAGTTATTATTTTTATTTACAGTACAGTATATGAGAATGTAATTTTATTTAATTTTTTATTCTATTTTCGCCATTAATATGAAGAAAATAATGGTGCAAATTGAATTGGGTCCTAAATTAACCAGGGTCTTAAATATGAATCGTCATTAATAAAACCGTCGTTATCGGAGGCTTTCCTGTACTACCTTTAAAGTATCAAACTGCTCCCATTATGGATAGCATTTCCAAAATAACACTTCTAGAATTTGTCACCTTATAGGTACCAGTTGCCATGCTTGGGCTGTGGCCTGCTTGAATGGTCATCTATGCCAGTTTCTTTTGGTTCTAAAGGTTTTGTAGTATAATACTGTATTTGAAGCTGGTTGGTGTATAAATACCAGAGTTTAATGACAAGGTGGTTGTGAAATACTGTACAGTATCTCTTATTAACAGGGGTACAGTACTCTATTTGGACCCTTTGTTTGTATAAATTTAGATTACAGTGACCCCTCCGTTAACGAACTCAATCCGTTCCAGAAGGTCGTTCGTTAACCGAAACCATTGTTTCAATGGGTTTTTGGGTAATTGGTTCCAGCTCACCGAAAATTTCCTAAATTCAACAAAAATGGTAGAAAAGTTCACTTACTTTGAGGTGTGTATGTAGAAGGCTCCTGGATGATGATGATGATGGGATTTAGAATGGGGGTGGAGGAGAAGGAAGAAGAGAAGGCATTGGGGTGGAAGAGAAGTCACCCCATGGTGCCATTTCACCCATAAAATTTTAGCTCTCTTGGTGTAATTCAAGATTATTTTCTTTAAATCAACACTGCACTGCATTATATATTGTCAATATGTAAAATATATTTCAAAATGACCAATAATTTGCTTGGAAACACAGAAAAAAAGCGTTTAGTTGAAGAGAGTCTCGAGCAAGATGTTACCTCCAGTGAAAACAGAGAGACTAACTCCTGTTTGCTGTGTTAAGAGGCTGGATGCCGAGCATTAAACTAGTCACTTTACCTTCAATTATGTTCAATAATTGTTAAAATGACTAAAAAATTGAATATTAAACTTTTAAAATTATTGAATAGTATAAACTTCTTGATATTTACTGAAATAGTAAGGAATTTAAGCCCTAGAACCGATTAATGTATTGGCGGACTGATACTAAAGCTGGTTGCCCGGTCAGTGAAAGCGAAAACATGTTGAGGTCGATTCGTAAGAACTTCGTTAACCGAATTGCAGATCCTTATGGAAGGCAGTTCGTTATTCGAAATTACGTTAACCGAGGTGTTCGTTAAATGAGGGGTCACTGTATTATGAAATTGCAAGGCTTAAAATTGACTAGAAACACCGGTGTATGATCAGATAATGTACATTGACAGTACATTTGCTTTTAAGTAAATTTTCTCTTGGCATCTACTTACTTCATACCCAAATTGTAACTGTGATTCTCTATGAAGGAGCTTAAAGCTTTTGTTTAAATGTGTTAGGGGTGGCTCAGGGTAGCTGTGTGTTGTGACACTAACTGTTGACTGTCTGTACACTGTACCCTCATTAATTCATATCATTATACAGGTAATTTGGATTTTGGCTTAATTCTACTTTTTTTTCTTAAAAAAAATGAATTCATTGAAACACTGAAATAACCGAGCGATTCCAAAAAGTCGTGTGGCAACAGCTTGAAAATTTTGGCCCATTCAATTCGACTGCTCTCTCAGCTCCTCAAACAGGCTTGGGTTAGGTGTAATCGCACTTAGGTAATTCCTAATTGGACGATTGTCTTTTCTGTGCAGTTGCCACCCCACTTGGATGATTCCCAATTTTAATTATTAATTTAATATTTAGATGTTATTAATTTTTTATTCAGATATTTCATGCTATACCTGTATTCATATTCAGGAAAAAGTATTTGTAGATCCTGTCAGTAAGTCAGGTTGACAAACTTAATAATATTCACGTGTCACTTGACGCCAGGTGACCTCATAATAGCATCAAGGCTAAAAAATATAGGTGGGAATAGTGAGGTCATTTAGTTAGGTTGTGAGTTTGGGAGGAAACATTCCTAATATAATTTGTGTTTTGTTATCCATAATATAAGTCATACTTATTTCTGTAATTCATTCATCCTATAATCGTTTTTCTGGGAATTGTCCAAGTGGAAAGAAATCATCTTAGTGGCATGTAATCTTGGTTAATGAATGCGATGTGAAAGCAAGTCGCCAGTGCAAGCAAAGGTTATGCTGCGCTGCCACCTCATCAGTTGAGATACTTAACATCTTAAAGTAGAGTTTTTTTTATTTGTTGTTTAGATTTGTGGGATAATGTTGTTAATTGTGTTGATAGTACTGTAATATAAATCTGAAAGATTTTGAGTAAGTAAAATTAATGCAATTTGTGATAAAACCATATGTAAAGTATCGTTGCATTATGGATGCCTGTACGTCTGACCACCCTGTTGTTTACCACCCGTACGACTTGCTTGTTGGACGCTAGTGTTCTCCCTGGATTTATATATATCTACATACAGTATTATCAGCTCGCCCCACAATGTGTTACACATATTTTTTACTATTATTTACTTTATTGTTACTGTATATACATTTTAAAAATATATGTTTGTACAGTTATTATAAATAGAATATTTTGTGGTAGCTAAGGCATAGTAACTGAACAGAAAATTAACGAATAATCAAACACAAAAATTCGGAAATTGTTGAATACTATAATGTAAAAATATTCAGAACTCGGTTAATTCAGTTTTTTCAGTAATTCAGGTTACCCAGAGCTCTCCTTTTGTCAAATTAACGAGGGTATAGTGTATCTTAAAATTTTCTCTGCTGTTGATAAATAATCCAGAAATATCATACGTAATGCAGAATGCATTTCTGAGAAATGTTAATGTGAAATGCCATATTGCCTACAGATGTAATGGACACTGTGTGTGTGTGTTTAAAAATAAGATATACACAATTTTGTTCACATGCTATGTACATATATACATATGGTAAATCAGGTCATCAGGTAACTTATTTCAATCCATATCAGTTTCCATTGTAACCAACAAACTTTGGTTGTAGTTAAACAATGATTTATTTTTTTGAACTTAGATAAAGTTATTCATTCTCAAAAGTTTTGAAGGAATCTGAAAACCTGATGCCTCTAAGCATATTACTGTGGTATGTGTGTTCTTCATCATGACATAATAACACTATTGTATACACAAAATCTTGTCTTTCTCTGAGAGGGGATTAGAGGTATGGAATATATCAATACATTTTTTGCATAAATAAATAAAAATTGAGAAACTTTTACTGCAATTGACAGCTTGATTAGAATGTTGAACTTGGGAGACTTGAGTGATGGCTAAATTTGGGTTGGCTAACAGTATGTACTGTCTGCCATTATTGCAGACAGCATGATTGTAGGATGAACAAGCTGTGAAGGTGAATATCATAGCTAAAATTGCTGTCTTTATTTTCTCCCAGTACAGGGGGTGGCATCACTATCAGTCAATTGAGTACCATGGCAATGGAACCCTTGCCAGGAAGAACCTCTGGATCAGAACTGGTATCTTGCACTACAGTATAGCATTGCCATTTTAATTGTCCCTTGTGAGTTGATGTTATATGACCTCAGAATTATTTGTTTGTTCCCAGTTATGGTGTATAATTTTTCCTATTGAGTCGAGGTTTAGTTTTGTAGCCAACTTGCACACACAATAGCCTTGGAACCACATGTATACAAAATTCACTAGCGCAGTTTCTTACACAGACAGCAGCTAGTAAGTGGCACTACCTTAAGTCAGAAATGTGAAAAACCACTTATGGGTACATACAGGTATATTCAATCACCCCAGTGCTTACATAAAATATCTGGAAGATTCCTCCAGTACTGAGCAAACTTTAGGAAAAAATGTTTGACTGGTACAGGTACTTTATTTCAGTATCACTGCAATGATGAAGAAGTTTCCTGTAGTGTTCTGTCTACATGATAAAACTTTTATGCCCATAATACAGATAATTTAGCTCTTGTTCTAATTAAGCCAGACATGATCTTAATATAAATTTGGAGTGAAATATCTTTTTGGATTACACTGTAATGTTTAATAAGTCCTGGGTATAATCATGTCCTTTATCTATAAAACTCTTTTGGGAGGTAAACTTTTTCTGTGTGGTATGTAAATATAAACTTATTAAGTGTGACTTGTAAATGTGTGACATGATGAGCTGCTGCTGTTTGTAGATATGAATTGACAGAAACCATTTTTTTTCTTCTGTAAATAACAAGTTAATCTTTGTGCATTATGTCATTTACAGGTTTTCAACTTAATTGTGATTTCTAATTTACAAACTTAATCATATTGATTTTTACATACTGAGTAAATGTGACATTCTTTTATCAATATTCAGACAATCTGTGCTTAAGGCCAAAAAATAATTTCCGGTTACATGCTAAACTAGTGAGTCATTTGTCAGAAGCAAGTACAGTATTACAGTATTAGTTTTGCTGGAGTTTTTAGGAATTTTGTCTCCCACAAATAATTGCCAATACCGGTACTTATTTCAGTTTTGGGTCAGTAAAATAAGCAGTTTAGCAGGTCCAATATAGCTACATTCCTTATTTTATTTTGACTCTTTTAAGGACTTTATGGCCAAATAGCCTAAAAATGTATACAGTACTGTACTTTATTTTGAACTAGTGTCCTATATGAGGGCACACGTATGTTGTATCAGTTTGCAAATATCTGGGTTTTTTCAGACATTTTGTTACTGCTGTTAGCATTTACAGAGTATTTCTATGGCAATTTTTGGGTGTTATATTGTGTATGAAGTATATTATCATTTTTTTAATTACCCAGTTTTTCTATGGCATTACATGTTCAGACTTGATTAGGTAACCGGAAAACAAGATATGTCATTTTTTTATTTTAAAGTGTAAATGTTTGGGAGTACTGTATAACCCCTGAATACATTGCCATCAACTCATCATTTATGAACCTGGTACAGGTCTAGTCCTTGAGATGCGAGTTGTTATTAGGACCAAGTAAATTTAATAGTTGATGGTGGGTATTTTTGTCCCTTGTAAAAATATTTGTTCATCAACTTCCCAATCCTAGTACTGTATACCAAACCCCCAATATGAGTGGTATGTCTTCATAATTTTTTCACAAAGGTAAGGGTACAGTACTTTCAAACCAAAAATTTGAAAAACCTGATACAAGATCTTAGTTCCGCAAGATGAGAGTTTTGGAACTACGTATTCTGTCCATTGACTGACAAGTTGATACTGTATAGTATTACCTAACTGTGACTGTTGGGAGTATAGACTGGCTTCTTGATGGATGGGCTTGTCCCAAGCTTGTACAAATACCTTGACACTACTGTAGGCTTAACCCATACAAGCATGGAAACTGACTAAACTGGTAGTGGTGATGCTGCTAAAAGCAGAGTAGGTGAGGAACGGAGGAGTTATACAGACCAATGAATATACTTACAGGGGGTCCACAACTTACAAATGGGATTAAACTTGAAATTTACAGTATTTTATTTTCTTGACTTTTTTTTTTTTACTTTCATTTACTGTATTTTTTCATTTTATTTCTTTTGTCTTAAATCAAGTGATTTTAGATGTATTTAAGGACTTCGGCTATGCTATTGTGGGATTTTAAACATTGTTTTGTAAGTATGGTATGCACATAGCATGTGTTCCGACTTACATACAGATCCGACCTTAAGAACGTCCTCGGAAACAGAACCTGTTCGTAACCCCAGGACCCCCTGTACTGTAAAGGTATGTGGTAGGAAGTTTCCCATTTTCTATGATGAAAATTTCCCATTTTCTACAGTATGGTAAATATTTAACATTTCCCCAAATTATCAGTAAAAAAAAAAATCCCAATATTTTCCAAAAATTCTAAAAACTTTCCAAAATGTTAAAAAAAATTCCTCAAAATTTTAAGAAAATTTCAGAATTAAAAAAAAATATATATATATTTTTTTCTATATACAGTATAATGGTTGCCCCCCCTTGTGTACGGTGGATGGCCGGCCCAAGGGCCACCGAGGTGTGAATTTGTTTAAGGTGTAGATGCTGTTGCCAACACAACACCCACACCCTGAGTTAACGAGTGTCAAGGAATAGTCCAAGAAGACCAGACAACTCGTCAACTGCACTGGCTAACCGTTACCCAGGATTAACATCCAGGTCTCCAATTACTGCTGGGTAGACAGAGGCAAATAGTGTAAAGAAATTTTGCCCCTCATTTCACCCTGCCCGGGATTCGAACCCAGGTCCGCTCACTTTTGAGGTGAGCATGCTGACCGTTACACCACAGGTGGAATGTGTATATATATATATATATATATATATATATATATATATGTATATATATATATATATATATATGTATATATATATATGTATATATATATATGTATATATATATATATATGTATATATATATATATATATATATGTATATATATATATATGTATATGGGAAATTTTCACAACGGAAAGAGTGAAGACCAGGAAGATGGCATGGGCCATTGGTGGCATTTTTGTGAATTATACACTATCAATAAATACCTCAAAAGGATTACAGTACTCAACCAATGTAATAGAATTTTTTTATTTCTTCATTCTGTACAACTTAATTCATACGGCTGTCCCTAAAACATCTTGGACCACATAGCTTACAAAGTTTTGAGATGAGGCAGGAAATTATACCTAGACTTGGTAACCAACAAAAGTGCCCTTGCCAATACATTCTCCAATGAAGAACCAGCACATTACTTCAACAGTCACCAGGGTATTGCGCCAAGCATCCTAAAAGAAAAATTAAGAAGTATATTGGTTACTGAAAATATATTGCACAGCAAAATATTAAATAAAGCCCAAGTGTATAAACTTTAATAGACACAAATTTAATCAAGCCTTTACTGTAGAAAAAACAATCATTAGCTCCAAATGTTATATTTATTATTGAGGAAAGAAATGAACAAAATGTGATATAACAGCTACAGACCCCAGAAGCACGATATTCTTCAAAACTGGACATTACTTCCCTGGCTTAAGTTAAATTGTTTTTCCGGTTATGCTAAGGTTTGCTTCCTACAAACTCAGATGAGCATTTTACTTGATAAATGACAAAAAGAAAATATGATTCTCCTAAAACAGTATCAATACCCATGGAAGGTCGGTGTAGTTCACAGTTATGCTAGCAGTGTTAGTCCACTACGTAGTTTCGAAATGGTAGGTACATACTGTATACACTTGCCAAAAACTTCTCGAACACTATAAGCACTAGGCATTCTGAAAAATGAATGAAGAATCTGAAAGCATTACGAGATGACAAGCCCTATTCTGCTCATTCTCAAATCCATCGTGCGCAGGTGTTCGAGAAGTTTTTGTTGAGCATTACAATCAACCACAGGTATATTGGTATACACTATGTGGATCATTATCTGGTCACACTTTGTGCAGAGACAAGTAATTTAAGTTTTCTCCTGCAGATATTTCATAAATACATAAGCTTTGTATAATTGAATACTGTTAGCAATATGGGCAGCAGGCATACTAATATATGACAATGCACTGGTGAATATAGCAAAGCATTTCATTCAACCTTTCAAATTGTAAAGACAGAAAGGGTAATGATACTTTTGGGGGAGACTGTATAGTCCACACCACTTATAATCCACACAAACTGGCTGCCTTGAAATTCCCAACTGGCAACTTCATTGGGTACATCCCTCACTTTCCACTAATGTGAGTAAGAAAAGTTGCCACAACCCAATTTAAAGGTTAAAATGAAAATTACATTAAAATCTTTAAAGGCCGAGTTCCCTACTAAAAAGTTAATACAAGTGTCCCTCGAGATACGAATAGGTTAGGTCCCCCCCCCCGCCCAAAAAAAATATTCATTAGCTAGGTGAATTTACATATCACGAAGAAAAAAAAAGGGAAAAATAAGGTTAGGTTTCCAAATGGAGGTTTGGTTCCTCAATGGAAAAGGGGGAAAAAATAAACCAATATCATACCCCAAAAACACAAAATTAGTTCAAAAAGAACAACAACTACCTATCTAATGATATATACTCGTGGTGCACAACTACACTAATTTACTATCTAACACGAAAAAAAATTAAATATATTACTGTTTAACTTTGGTACATTACCTTATTCGACTCTATATAAATGATGTGGCTATAACTACGTCTTCAACTCATCAGCCTAGCCACAGCATTTACTGTTGCTTGTAATGAAACTATAAAGTTGACAAAAAATCATTACACCACTCTAATGTGATTTAAAAATACAGCAAGTCCTTGCTTAACATTGGCCCGTTAAAAGTTGTTTCGGTACGTCGCTAAACTTTAGACACCAAAAATTCGTTTAAAATCCTGGTGACTCAGTACAAAGTCATTCTGTGTCGTCACGTACTACTTTTTACGGCATATCACCCTCTCGTCTGGCCGCACTACGCTCTCTCGGCTCGCTACCCTCACTCGCGGAACGTCACAGCATCCCCAAGCGACACCTAGCTAATCTTTGTTATGACTTCACATCATTCATGTGCGTTTAAGTGCCTTTGCTCAAAACTGTACTCTAACCATTCAAAATGGCTTCCAAGCGCCCATCAATTGCTACTGATGCTAGTGTAGTGAAGAGGCAACGTAAGACCATTACCTTTGCTACGAAAATGGATGTATTAACCCGTTTTGAAAAAAGGAAACGTGCTGTGGACATAGCCGTTGTTTGGTCTAACCCCCCACAACGGTGCGTACTATCCGGACCAACACTGACAAGATTAAGGTTAGTGCTGAAGTGGTACTTCTCGGAGTGCAACTTAGATAACTCGTACTAGATGCACTTTGATAGAAACGGTGGAAAAGATGCTGGCTTTGTGGACGGAGGACCAGAATCAATGCAATGTACCTGTGAGCCTAATGGTTATCCAGCATAAGGCCAGATCCTTGTTTGACGACATGAAGGAAACAGGGTGAAGAATCGAAGGAAGATACCTTTACGGCCAGCTGAGGTGAAGCTGCAAGTTCAGATACGGTTGCTGCCAAGACATTCCCACCAGAATTCAAAAAAATTATCCAGGAAGGAGGCTACTCATCGAAGCAAGCCTTCAATGTGGATGAGACTGGTCTCTTTTGGAAGAGGATGTCCGAGAGGACCTATATCTCCAAGGATGAGAAAAGAGCACCAGGTTTTAAGCGGCAAAAGACCACTTGACGCTGCTGCTTGGCGCGAACGCTGCCAGTGACTTCAAGCTGAAGCTGATGTTGATTTCTCGCACTGCCAACCAACAGGCCCTGAAACCCACCTTCCTGGATAACCGGCATCATATTTAGCCAGTGGTTTAACCTGTACGCCGTCCCTGCAATGAAGGAATACTGTGACAAGGAGATCCTTGACTCAAAATTCTTCTGATCGTTGACAATGCTCCAGCTCATCCTCCCAATCTCGACAACTTGCACGACAGTGTAAAAACTGTATTCCTGCCTCTTAACACAACAGCACTGATGCAGCCTATGGACCAAGGCGTATTATTTATGTCGTACCATGGCCCAGCTGCTCAAGGCCACAGACGGAGAAAATAAGCCTATAATCCGAGAATATTGGCGTGGCTTCAACATTCTTCATGCAATTGACAACATTGGCAAGGCATGGGAAGAGGTTTCAGAATGTTGCCTGAATGGTGTGTGGAGTAAACTGTGAGCCGAGTGCGTCAACAGTTTTATGGGATTCACGGACTTAGACCCAGCAGTGAATAGGGATATCCTCAGCTTGGCTAGACAGGCAGGTTTTGATAAGTTGGAATCAGAGGATATTGAGGAAGTCCTGGCATCCCATACAGAAGAGCTCACCAATGAAGATCTGCACCTGTTAACAGAACACAGTCCCGTTGAAGACGACAACGATGAAGAAGAACCTCAACGAACGCTAACTTCCAAGAGGATGACAGAAGCGTTCAACATGATCCAGCAAGGAATGCAAATCCTTATAGATGACGACCCAAACAAAGAACGTAGCTAAAAAATTCAATGCAGCATTAATGACAGTCTTGCTTGTTACACAGAACTACAAGAAGAAGAAGAGTAGCACCAAACAGTCTACACTGGATTAATTTTTTTGTCACATTGACGGCAAAAGCAGCTTCTTCACAACAGCCGGCAGCCAAGGTGGAGCAAACAGCAGCAGAAGAAGAACCCCAGTCAGAGCAGGAGGAGGCAGCCGCAGTCTCAGTGACTAACCACCCTCCTCCTCCGCTCCCGCCATCTGTCTCCTCCGCTTCACTACCCACCACGCACTCGCTCTACCACCTCCACCAATACAAAATAAGTACGGGTAGTTGTATATGCATGCACTATTTTCTATAGAAATGGCAATGATTTTCTTTATATGTACAGGTAATGTATTTCATGGGCCAAAGGGAGGCTCAGGAATGTAACTCCCATATTTTATCTATATATTATGGGGAAAATTTATCCGCTTATCGTTGTTTCGTATAACGTCGCATTTTCAGGAACATAACCCCAACATTAAGCGAGGACTTACTGTAAATATAATATAAAACTATAAAATAAGAAAATAAAGAGCATAAGTGTGTACCGGTAGGTATGACAGTGTGTGGCAATTACATTACATCCCTGGTGATGCAGCAGCTTAGGTCATTTGTCGCTGAATTAAAATAAAGGCTTAAAAGACTAAAATCAAATAATGAAATGTAAAAAACAAATAATAAATAACATACCTCCATAAAAAGAAAAAATTTAAAAGTTAATACCGTTAGATAAAACTCAAAGCTTATGCAGATGGCACCTACAATATTATATATTGCACCACAGAGTTTCTAGGGTACCAGAATTAATATTCAGCACTCCCTGGTAAAATTTGGTTCCTGCAGTACTAACCCATTAACACCCAACCCCCTTTCATGTAAGGCCAGCCACTGTATGCAGAATGTCTCCACTACTACAGTAAATCCAATGTCGTAGACTTTATTTAATTTACAGTGCAATTCATTTTAACCGAATTTCAACTAAATAATTTACAGTGCAATTCATTTTAACCGAATTTCAACTATCTGAATCTTCCAGGTATCCTAACTTTGTCCCCTTTGGCAAAAATTTAAATTTATTCCAACAATCTGAAAGCAAGTGAAGTCATATATTTGTGTGCCTGACACCAATAACTCTATACCGGGGGGTAACTGTTTTTTTAAACAAAAATTGCTATGATAAACAATACAATTGATACATAGCATATCATAAAATACAATAGTACACATTTTATGTAAAAAATAGCTCCTTCCACACGCAAACCATCATCTAAGTGATGCCACAGTTGAGCCAGGCAGTCAACCAGCTAACTGAGATGTAAGTTCATGTGTGTGTGTGTTTGTGTACTGTGATGGTGATGTTACATGGGACGAAGGGAGGCGGGTGAGTCAGCCACACAGTACAGCTCACTCCCTTCACAAACGTTCACCGCCCCCCCACACCTATGCTCTTCATTTTTCTTAATTTTTTAGTTTTATATTATATTTTCTTTCTTTATTTTTAAGCCACATAAGAGTATTTAATTTGTATTCTTTTGCTCTGGAATAAAGAATATGGTTTTACTAGGGAGGACTACAATATCCTGAGTGGTAAGTTATGTGTTTATTTACATACAGTAAATTTATTCTTTATTTTTTTATAAGTGACCAAATTACAGAAGTATACGTAGTTGCCGCACTGTTTACTGTTTCCCCTGCATCACCTACCATTCCCCTGCATCGCCTACCATTCCCCTGCATCGCCTACCATTCCCCTGCATCGCCTACCATTCCCCTGCATCGCCTACCATTCCCCTTCATCACCTACCATTCCCCTTCATCACCTACCATTCCCCTTCATCACCTACCATTCCCCTGGATCACCTTCCATTCCCCTGGATCACCTACCATTCCCCTGGATCACCTAACATTCCCCTGGATCACCAACATTCCCCTGCATCACCTACCATTCCCCTGCATCACCCAATACAATTTTTCATTCTTTGCCTCCAGTGCTGGTAAATGTTACTTTTTAAATATTCGTAATTACATGTACAGGAGCTAAAACAATTATCAGTGCAGACTTTGTAGGAAACAATATGAGACCATGGACGATAAATTTTGGTATAAGAGGGCTGTCACTAGTCACACGTAAAATTTTGGAGCATAATGATCCCCAGCTGCACAGATAGTTGTTTTAGCTACTGTACATGTATATGGGCCAATAATTTTGTTGTGTATTTTTGTAGGGGGGGAGGGGAAGTGCCTTGATAAATCGGAATTTGGGATAATTCGGCAAGGCCAGAGCCCCATACGTGCAGATTTATCAAGGTTTTACTGTACAGGTGCTCCTCTACTTATGAACGAGTTACATTCCTGAGGCTTGTTCATAAGTCCAATTGTATGTAAGTCCAACTTTACTCTTGTAGATACCAAAAATATTAAAAAAAAAATTTGAAAAGATAATGGATGTTTAGTAGAGCTATACCCTGGGTCACTCTTCTCTTAGGTAATGCATGTTCTAATCTGGAATTTTCTTCAAAATAATCCAGTCTCATCCACATCAAACACCTGTTCTGGCAGGTAACCCCCTTAATGATGATGTTTGTATCTCTGAAAGTTTGTAAGTTGAATGTTCTGAAGTAGAGGAGCACCTGTACTCTTATGTCACTTAAAAATATAGAAACTATAATACAGTATAAAACTATAAAATAGGAAAAATAAAGAGTATATGTGGCAATGGGTTACTGGGCTATTTAATGCGTGATGTGACGTCACAGCATACACACCCACCACGGTGGCCGCCAAATGTCTGTTAGTCAACTGAGCTGGGTGACTGCCTGAACTGTGTCGAGAGCAGGATGTGTGGGACAGTTGTGTGTGGAAGAACTTAATTATTTGTAGTACATAAAATAATATATACAGTACTGTACCAGTAAATATGAGGGAAAATATAATAAATAAAAGAAAGAATACTGTGGCATGTTGACAAGTGTACTTGGCTTCACAGATGGATGATCTAGGACCCAATGTTCACTGATAATCACATCACTGGAAGTACTGTATATACTGTACTGTACATTATATGATGGATGCTCACCTTTACTGTCAACTGCTTCCAAGCTCCTGTCTGAGCACTCTTAATGATATTACCAAAGCCCTGAGTGACACCCCCAAATTCAGCTGGTGTGGGAGGCACCAATTCAACTTTGGCATAACGCATGAAAGTATTTAACTTTGGCGTGGCAGCATCCACTGCAGCTGCAAGGAAAAAAAAGTATTAACATGAGAGTGAATTAATACATTCCTTGTACTGTACAGGTAAAGAAATAAAGAACTAGGTAAAAGGAAAGTGTTATTCCTGTGACTTACAAAGAAATCCATATAAAGTAACACCATTGTTTTTTCAAGTTGTAGTTCTCTGAATTCTGCAACAACTGTTATGTAAGAGCTCAATCTGTTCATTTGAAGCATTTTATCTTTCCAACAAAATCAAAAGTTCTAGCTGTTCTTACTGATTTTTCCTCCATACGGTATGTAAACAGTAATTGCAAGAAGCAGTAACTGTAATTTGTGTGAATCCAAACCCAACCCAACCTACAGCCACTAGGTTTAATTCAGTTAAACCTGGATCAGCACCAAAAGGGTTAAGGCCACAGCAACAGAATAATTTTCTTTATTTATTTTTTATTTTTTCCTTTTTAAAAGAAAAGCCTCCAACCTCCCCCAATAGCCATACCTACACCACCGTACTTCTGCAAAGATGTTTTTTGTTTCAATTGAATTATCATACAAGTTGACATCGGTTCAGTGTACAAATGATTCAACAATGGATAGCCCAAGAAAATTGTTAGTTATTTCCATTGTGGTCTTCTTGTGGGGTTGGCTTGACTAATCAAATACTGTAACTGAATCAATCAGATAGGATGACACTGTACAACATTTATAGGTCAGTAATACCAAAAATCCGCCTCTTCTCTGACCAATTCAGTATATTGTACAGTACACTGATGAAGATACAATAGCCAGAGATTTACAAGACCACACAAAACACATCCAAGAACAGACTAACAGAGGTTAAGTTATATCTTGTTTATCACTTACATACCACAAACACTGTTGCAAGTAATACAGGTAACCAACCCCCATATATGAAAAATTTTCTCTATATAAAAGCAAACATTTGCTTTAATGATATCTTTCACATTTCAATATACAGTAGTCTCCTGTTTTTTTAAGGAATAAACGTTTCACTTTAAATGATGTTCTAAGAAAAACTGCAAATGCTCAGAACTACTTTTGACTTCTGAGGTCACAAACACCACCCAAGGTGCACAGACATGCATTTAAGTTCTAGTGCTCACCTCCACGCTCGTCCCCTCTTATACGGGTTCTTTCGCTACATCCGTTTCCTGCGTGTCCTTTTGTACAAGCCTTATATCCATGGACCAAGACATCAAGCAACGTGAGGTAAAATCCTCCAATGTTACCCATGCCAAGGAGCTATGCAAAGCAATTAGCTTGGAAACCAAGTTAGAGGGGATCTAGAGTCAAGACACAAGGCTGATGAAACTCACACAGAAAATACAGCCACCATCAATTGTCACAAAGGCTAACAAGATATGGGACCTTTTAATGGAATATAAAACTATTACTGCTCTTATGGATTGATGATCAGACTCGGCATGCCATAACCCTGTCGTCAAACATCTTGAGAGTCAAGGCAAAGTCACAGAGGATTTATACAGAAAACTGGGCCTGGAAAACATTCTAGGTGGTTCATTTAAGACTAACTCTGGGCAGTTCAAGTGTTTCAAAATGTGTGCTAATTTTCATAGTCTCAAGCTAACAGATGTGGACCAGGAAGCTGCTTCAGCATTCCCAGTGGTCTGAAGCAGCAAATAGTCAATGACAGCTACAGTGCAATGCAAGTTTTCAAAATCGGCTAATATTTATGACTAACCTGCTGATGTTTTATTTATGCTTTTTTTTTTTGCTATACTTTCATCAATGAGTTCTGTAACGATAATCATTTCCTTTTAGTTTCGAACGGTTCTGATATTCATTTCCGTCAGAAATCACTAGTTTTTTTTATAGATTAACCCTTCCCCCCCCAACAATCATAATGGAACAAGCTGGATTTTTTCTTTGAATAAATCACAAATAAAATACCAACCAACCAACCAACAAAACCTAACCTAACCTGGACCCCCTCTTTGTTCATGATTTCCACACCTTACCTTAATCTGAAAAAGATTCAGGTTCATCTGGATTGTCAATGCACATTTGCTGTAGACGCTTAAGAAGCGAAGACGGAGGTAAGGAGTGACGCATGAGGGGGTGTCAGACTCCACCAAAAGTAAACAAGACCTGGCAAAACTTGTGACTCAGCGAATGTAATAATATTGAAAAATTTATATCTCGGTTATCCTTAATTTTCGGTGGATATATCATAGAAGAAAAATGTCTTAGAATTGTCTAAACATTACGAAATACATATTAATAACAGCGAAAGAAAGACCGGAGCAAGACTATAAATTCACCGATTTATTTTAGAAATAACCACTTTTTAACACATTTCCCAAAACTGCGACAGTGTCCACTATAAAACACAGTAAAAATGCAGCATCTTAAAAATAATTTTCTATGAGAATTCAGCAGCGGGTCAGTCGTCAATATTAGCCGTCTGTTTGTATACCGGGTAAGTAAAAAAAATTTAAAAATAAATTAAAATACACCATGACACTTCAACAAAGTTGCTTTTATTGATACCAGATACCAAAATGAGTACTTTAAGTTTATTATGGCAGGGGACTGCCCCCCGGCTAGGATGTTAGGCAGGTTTCTTTAGTTGGTTAGGTCAGGTCTTACCAGGTTCATTATTATTCATTTGTGATGGAAAAGTTTAGAATGAAAGTTACTCATAATTATGAGACATATCTATTGCATGTGTCTAAAAACTTATAATCGCTGAGAGTCCACCTGTAAAAATTTACTATGTATCCTAGGTTCAATTCCCAGGCCCAGCCCGGGAGATATGCGTGGTTTATCCAGTGTGAGCCCAACATTAGAGGCTTTATTCGTATACTTCGGTTTCCTTTTGTACTAACACTCGAAAAAATTTGGAAATTAAACAAGCAACTAGCTTCTTTTTCACTGTTCAAGAGGACAATTAGATATCTTTTATGGGTAATGGTGTAGATAATGGCTACCACCAGATGTTGTTTGTTGATTTGCTTTATTTTTGTTATAATTATTGTTTTAATGATTTTAAGTATATTAAAATAAACAACAACTTTCTGTTATGGTCTTAATTATTTTTTAAGATTTTTTTATTTACTCTATCCCGCTTCACAATTCTCCCTCTGGCGTCATTTTTGTTGTTTACCTCGCTGAATCCCTCTTCAAGAGACGTGTCCTAAAAATGATGGTGAACGCTTCCACGAATTCCTCCTCGCCTTTGCTGATGTATATCAACCTCAATATTAAGCTAAGTTGTTTAACACAAATTAACACGATAATGCATAGAACCTAATTAGGTTCAATGCATTGTTGTTTCCATTTTTGTGTTTAATATCATGATATCAGTGTGTAGAAAAAAATTCAACTAATTTGGACAATTCCTTTTGGTGGTAGCTGTTATCTACAGTACATAAGAAAGTTTGTGAATGACACCAAAATAGGGCAGCAGATTAGTTCAGGGCAGGATGCAAATGCACTACAAGAGTGGTCAGAAAAATGGCAAATGAAATTCAACACCAGCAAGTGCAGCATACTTAATATTGGAAGAACAAATACTGTCAATGTATACAACCTTAACAACATGTTCGAAATAAGGCAAACAGAGTATTAGGTTTTATATCTAGAAGTGTAAGTAATAAGAGTGCGGAGGTCTTATTGCAACTATATCTTGCGCTAGTCAGGCCGCACCTCGAATATGCTGTTCACTGGAGTCGGTGCAGGGAAGAATGACAAAAATGATTCCTGGACTTAGAACCCTTCCATATCATGATAGATTACAGAAACTAAACTTGCATTCCCTAGAAAGACGAAGAGTGCGAGGAGATATGATAGAAGTATTTAAGTGGATGAAAGGAATCAATAAAGGGGATATAGATAAAGTTCTTATAATAACCGAGCAGGATAGGACTCGGAGCAACGGATTTAAGTTGGATAAGTTTAGTAGGCAGACAGGAAGGAACTGGTTGGTAATAGGGTAGTAGATAGGTTGAGTAAGCTTAGCAACTTTTAGGTCATAGCCGAGATAAAAGAATCCACATTCAACAAACCAATAATCGAATACACACAATTCAAAAATTTTACTACCCGGTTGTTTTATCTCCATTGAACACTCACATTTCGCCATGACGGGAATTCTAGCGATAAGTTTGCTCATCTTGACTGTGCTGGTGGCTGTAGGTGTGAGAGCAGTACAGGGACAGCCGGTCAGTCCTCTCAGTGCGCAGGCGTCGACCACAAGGTTCCTATACTAAAATATATTTCTTTACTAAAATCGTATTATAAATTCATCTTGTGCTTTAAAATAAATGTGACTCATAATAATTATTTTTTTTATAATAGATGGCATTATTATATATGCTTATAATTAATAGTTTTAAGTAAGGGGTGACATTCTCTCTAAGTAATATTAAGGAATTTAAAAGTTAGGCGAAATAATTTAGAGTGTCTGTTGTTTATGTGATCCTTATTATTATCATCATCATCATCATCATCATCATCATCATCATCATCATCATCATCATTATTATCTCCTGAAAAGATTTGTTTATAAACGTCCAATATTGATGTTAAAATTATATAACGAACAAGATAACTAGATAATTTACTGTTAAAATGACTTAAGTAAACCTAGATTATTCACATGCAACTTTTTATTAATTTGAATTTTTATCTAGTACGAGACTGAGATAAATTGGTCAATCTATTATTTAAAAAAAGTTAGGCATTATGTTGGTGTTTTATTAACATTGTACTGTGACTCCATGGCAGACACAACTCGCGGGTATTGGTGTATATCTTGTGTGACGCCCTCCAAGGCCCTGTACAAGAGAACTGATGGCAGCTTTATTAAACTTTTGGAATGTGTAAGAATATATTATGGCTAGTATATAAAAAACACTGTTTCCTTGATCCAGCAGCTATATTTGGTAGAAGTGTTTTGTGCATTAATTTAATCTGTCCTTCAATATTAATACTCCACAGATTGGGTAAGGCCTTGAATAATGGAAAGTGTGGGGTTAAAACATGTAAAGTGTGGGGTTAATGAGCAGAAATAGTCACAAAAAAGGTACAGAAAATAGAGGGGTGGGGGGCAAACACTGGAAGCTGTGGCTTGATTTAGTTAAATTTCCCACAATATGACAAGTTTTTCCTGCAATTTCAATTTTGTTTCGTTTTTCTCTTTATGATTGTACATCACCTGTAATGAGCCGGGCATGAAAGAAGAGGGAAATTCTGGGTTAGAAAACCGAAAAACTGATATGGCAGTAATTTTATGCCTCTACAATTCACCTTTCTCCTAACAGTACTCTCAGATACTTAGCTTATTGTAAGGGTTCATGAATCTCTAAGGAAGTTCTATGAATACTTCAACCATTTGTTAATTGAAGTGTTGAGGTACTTAAAACAAAACATAAGTAAAACCAAAATACCGTATCTTCCATCTTGTTGGACCCATACTTATTTTCTTTGGGTATGTAAACAGATTTGACTGTGTCCCACGCCACTGGTTAACCTTCTCAGCGCATGTCACGCACTTTCCATTTTATTCTGGCTACCGCTAGGCCATTTTATTCAGCTTAGGGTAACCTCCCGCTGTGAAAGGGTTAATGTCTCAGCCAAAGCACGGAATCAATCACCATTATAACGCTTAACTAATTTATTATTTTAATGTACAGGGGTATACTCGTTTAACTTGGTGTTACTTCTTATTAACCCTTAGGCCCCGGGTGACATTCCAGAATGTCCGACTACCGCGCCCTGGGTGATATTCCAGACCGTCCACCTACTTTCCCACTATTTTTTTTTATTATTTTTGGAAAAGTTGATTTTTTTCACGATTTAACCCCCGGGGGGCGGGGGGGAGGGTACTGCCATCAGCACCCTAACTCGGGGCTTAAGGGTTAAGTGTTAAATACAATGGTATTTGATTATTACTTTATTTATATGAACAAATTTACTAGATTTAATGATAAGAATACTGTAGTCAACTTGTCTCAACCCTGTGAAACTTTCTGATGCCACTCATGCTCATCAGGTTAATAATTTATATATAATAGTAATAAACCATCACCACTATTTATGTTTTTATACTGTAGCTACACGTGAATCACGGCTTATACAAATTATCGTAAGAAATCATGATTTACCCTGGCAATTATTCGTTTTAACACACCCTCAAAATTTTTCACGAGATGCTTGATTTATGATGTATTTTGTTCAGATATAACCTTAACCTAACCCCTGTGGGGAGCCCTAACCCCAGTGGGGTAGAAAATGCGGGACAAGAATTGGTGGGTGGAGATTTTTTGATCTAATTTCTTCGGTGTTCCTTACTGTGCAATTTTTCTTCAATAAACATGTTTCCAAGAGGCTTCAAGGTTTGAGGAATGTATGAGGTAGAAATTGCCTAAATGCAATTTGAACACTAAACCTATTTCACATTCAATGATTGCACTGACATTTCTTCCGTGGCATCATGTGTTCGTGTCTCGTTGTAAACTATAAATCAGTGATCTCAGTCTATGTAAACATTAAATTTAACAACAGAGCCTCTCATTGGGGGCTTTATTACCATGAATATTGGCTTCATTATCTTTCCTGGTTTTATTGCACAAATACCCATTTTTTCTTTTTGTGCAGTTGGTTCTTGAACCCATTGTATGTTTAAAGGATATGATTCATATACAGTACTGTACTGTAATTAGAATCGAATCCCATATTATGGGTCTTGATGCATTTACATTTTCTTTTGAGTAGCATTGGATTCTAAGTGAAATGTATGTTCGTAAAGCTACTGTTTGTTATTCCTCATGGAGGACTGAGGGAGAAGCTAGCCTTCTTGTTTTCAATGGCATTGATATTGCATCACGTTCAGTATTATATCACAAGTTATCCGTGCTTGTGGAGGATAAATATCATCTCCAAGAGATCACCTGTCAATATAGACCAGTTGGCAGGATGTGCAAGTGTTCGAAATGCAGCAGAGAACTAAGTGAAAGAAATACGTTTCAGTTCAACAACCAATCGTACTCTTACACCCACAAAAGTGCTTTCATTATACCTGATATCAAAGTAAGTTCTTTTTACTCGATATGCATCCCCCCCCCGGTTAGAAAGTTAGGTTCTGTGCATTAATGTATCATTTTATTTACTTACTATCATCCAAACAACATCTGTGGAAAATATGAATGAAATTGAACAACTGCCTCTGGTGTTAAATGTCTCCTTCACTATTACTGCAAGTCAGGTTGGGGTTTGTTTTGAACGTTTTCTAACAAGATCAGACCTAAATTAACCTTCATCTTTCTCTTGTAATATACTATGACTATTTTTCTGTGACCTTTTTCATGTTAATTTTTTCTTCCATTCTTCTAAAGGATAATAATACACTACATGGATATAATGGATTATTTACCTGTATTATCTATGTACACCAATTATATGTAGTGTACAGGTTTAGTCCTTCAAATCTGCAACTCTTGGGACCAAGACTGAACTTGTTTGAGGATTTTCCAATTTCTAATGTAATCCATGTTACCACAGGCCTACTAGAAGACTGTTTCAAGATTTGTTTCCATACACCTACACAAACTCAGATGAATGTTTTGCTTCTTAAATAACAAACTGTATAAAGAAAACATTGTTGTATGCAACTTTATATAAAAAATAACATGAAATGCAAACAGCAACTTACTAGCTATTGCTACATTACATTATTTATCCTCTAATAAATCACATAATGTGTATGAAACAGTCATATTAAGAAGGTACATCAGGTCACCAGTCAACATAAATTACAGTAGTGATCAGAACTTTAAAAAATTGGCACACATTATGAAAATTGTAAATCCTCATAATTTGGGGGATATTCTTGAGGTAAGTAAGAAGCTGTCTTAGATACAAAAATTTTCTAGAGCTGCCAGTTAGCCCACACCCTCGTTCCAGAGTGTTACCAGATTAAGTACTGTATCTATAAACTAAAACATCACTGAGGCTGTTATTACTGATCCAGAGGTTAGGCTTTTTTTAAATTAATTTTCTTCAACAGAGTACGTGCGGGCAGATAGTTGACCGCTACGTGGAGTGTGAGAAGAGTATAATATTCATGGATATGATGTTGCAAGAGATTACTGCGTATCGACATATTCTCTACAATGCAGAAAACTTTGTGAGTTTCTTTTATTTCTATCTGGCTATTATATTTAAACCCCTTTGCTCTTTGTGTGGGATGGCTCAAGAAGCATAGAAACCTTAAAGAAAGAACTATAATAGGAGACATGGTGCAAGACAAATGTAGAAAATGACATGAAATTGCCGGGACGTTATATAGAAATGTTCTCGATTGCCGGGAATTAAATGATTCTTTAGAGACCTCACCAAACCTTGAGTGAGAGACAATGTGACAAACTCAGTTTATCAGCCATTGTGAGAGCTGTTATTAAATTTGTACTGTTCATATAATTAGCCAGTGTTACTTTATCATGATAATTTGGGTCATTAACAGAGTTTTTGTACAGAAATTATAAACTTTCCCTTAATCCTTTTTATACTGTTACTATAAAGTATCTGTTATATATTCAGATTTTTATTGCCAAAGTATTATTAAAGTACAGTATTGTTATTACAAAAATTACAAGACAACACAAAATGTTATGAACACCTTTAATTCTTTAAAATATGAAGGTGACTGTTACTACATACCTATGTTATAACTTGTTGACAAAGCAAACGGACTATACCTGTACTGTACATGCACAAGACCAGTATGATCACAGTAAACACCCGCACTGAGCTGCAATGTGTGTGAATACAAGCCAGAGTTAACCTAAGAATTCTTGGTGAGGTTAGGTTTGATTTGGTTGATTAATATATGCTGTCAGGTAAACAATGTTGTTAAATATACTTGTACCGTATATTGTATTTTTACAGACTCCTCAGTTCTACATGAAGCTGGCAGTGTCTCTAGTGTTAAGTGAAGGATACGTCAGGTGGAGTAACTTTGCACAAAATCTCTCTGCTGGAAATGGAATAAAAAATAATGAAGTTTACTTATATATCATGTGCATTTTAACTACTATTGGTATGTAACAGTCTTGATCTTACGAAATTGTGCAAATAATGTCAAGAGGTTTCTTGTTAGAGTCAAATTTATATACAGGGTACTGTACTGTATACCCTGCACTCTGTTCTGAAATATATATTGTATATAAAGTTATAGACCACATGTACAATACACCATCCCAAGTGATGAAAGAATAAGACTTGATGCCTAAACCCAGATGTAAGTACAGTTATGTAACTGAAAATTGTTTAACCGAATTAACTGCACTTAATGAGCTGCTCCAAAGCAAAATTACTGGACAGTACTTACAACCTTGTGAAAGTTATGTTACTTGACAGTCACACAGGTGAAAATAAAACCAAGTCTTTAAATATAACATGAAAGATAATACTGATAATATATTAGTGTTGAGAGTGTTAGGCTGAATATGTTACAGATTTTCTTAACCTTTGAAATCTATTTTCAGAAATTGGAATATTTGGAATTATAATCGTCCTTTATTCCTGGATAAAATTATCCTATAGGCAAGTACTTCCAATAAGTTTGTTAGTAAAACCCTGTTCCTTTAATTTATGGCAATATTTCTCTATGAGTATTCCTCTTCTATATACAATACAGGTACCTATATCAATCCAAATAAATCTATGTTAATGATTGAGGAAAACTTATCCTCCTCAAGTTTAAATCTTAACCTAAAGGTAATTTTCAGAACTTGGTCACACATTTACAACAGTGTGTTGCTGGGTCAGTGTGGCCGGTTGGCAAACATTGCTGCCATCATTTGGTATCAAGGTTCCAGTATTATATTTCAAGGACTCATGCTAGCATTCATCTTTATCTCCAGTATACAAAGCACCAGAGGTTAGTGCAGTAATGTGTGTCAAAACTTACTTGCATGTACAGTAGTTTAAAACTTGAAACACTTTTTTTTCTCAGTATAAATGTGAATGTCACACTAGAAAGGTCATAGGAATTCACAGACGGCTAATTTGTACAGTAATGCCAGCCAAGATTTACCCGGAGGGACATTGCTATCAAATTTGTCCAAAATATAATAGGAAATAAACTACAGGTGTTGACTTATATGATGGGGTTAGGGACCTCAAAAAGCCATCGTATATCAATAACATGGGGTTCTGTCCCCGACCCTGAAGAGCCCAGACAAGTTTTATATCCTTCTGCTATAATGATTATATTATGACTAAATAACTCAAATAATTTATACATAAGACGAAAAGAATATTTATACAAAATAAAGAAAAATGGCAAATTTATACAAAATAAAGATTTCTATAATTAACCATACTGTACATGATAATAATGTACAGTACTCTACATATACAGTAGTAAGTTGTGATCCCCAGCTGTCACTACAAGTGGCACCTGAGGGATCACCAAGGTTAGTGCAGATCACTTTTTCAGTGACAATGCAGGAAAAGCACTAAGGTTCACATTGTACTCTGTTTTGGTGACTGTGAAGTGATTTTTGCTAGGTTTTTCTGTTACTGTAAAGATGTCCCAGAGTCTGTGTGGGAGTCAGAGTGAAGGTCTCCACTCCACCTTCAAGAGTCCCCTTACCCTTGAAGGGGTCATGTAATGATGACCAGGCTTGTTCTTAATGATGTAGAGAGTGTTATTTAATTGTTTTATGTACACTGTATTATTAGTGTGGGAATTTTATTTTCGGTGATACATGCGGGTGTTGGACTGGCTGGGACCGTATCCCATTGAACCTCATATTATAATGATCCCGATTTACAATATTTTGCCTTGCGATGGGTTTTTCAGGAACTGAACCCCCATTGTAAATAGGGGGATACTTGTACTATACAATTATTAGTTTCTGCTCACAATCACATAATACTCTTCAAATTCACGTGAAGACAAGTAGACTCATCACTCACGGTCATTGAGCCAGTTGCCTCATTGTCTAAATTCTCCTCTTTTTACTCTCATATAAAAGAAAATTGTTCTATGTTCTTAATTTTCATATTTAGAAAGCTCAATTCTTTGTAAAATATAGTTTTGGTCGATACTCTTTACTGTACTGTCTTGCTCATCCACACACATCTGTAAAACACTGGACATATTTCTACAATGTCTTGTAATTACACTTTGAGACAAAAATCATACAATTATGAATGTTACAAATATTTTTTTTAATATACAGTAAGTATTAATTAATTTGGGATGTGGCAGCTGTATGGATACAGTAATCGCTTCCCATCTTAAAGATTGCCTGTTTGATCCTGAGATACTCCCAGTCCACTCACCTGTAAATGGGTACAGTACAGTACAGAACCTAACTTTACATAGCAGGGGGAAGTGAAGGCAGTCAAGTGCAATGCCAGTTATTATATAGTTATATCCACAATGCCCCTAATGGGCAGTCATACCTATAGGTCTCACTTTCACTTTCATTATTAAATTAAAGAGTTCATTTAAGTAACATTTTACTTTTTATACTTATACATTACTGTTTTATGTTTTTTTTCTCAGTGCTTCATTTTCCCTCTAGTAAATAAACTTATGAGTCATCTCATAAATGCTCCTTAGCTAACTGTTCTTAGACTTGTGATTTGTATTGATATCTTGAATACACATATTTTAGTGACTAAAGTTCAGACATTAGTTATCTGATACTGTATTCAGTGTCCATTATATTTTGAGAATTGGATCTCTTATAATAAATCAATTGGTTCAACACTGATGAATATTTTTATTCCTTTCAGTTGCACTGCATATAGGGAGGACAGAAAGTGTGCTCCTTGTAACTGCAGCTTTCATCACCAGTTTGTGCTCCTCTTTTGTCCTACATCCATTATTGATCAACAGATATGAAGAATATATCTTGTGACTTCCTGTTGTACAAATAAATATGTTATTGGGTCAGTACAAGGCCTGAAAATAGTTTTGCTTCTCCATGCCCTAAAATTCTTTAAGGTCAAACCTCCATTGAATATTTTGCTGAAACCAGTTCAAAAACCTTTTATTGTAATTCATTCTTCTTTTATTTTGGGCCATTTTCTTTCTCTTTTCTCTTTATTCCACTTTCCCTTATTGCTTCTGTGTTCCATCTTCCTATTATTAAAATTTTATTTCCTGGTTTTGGAGTAAAGGTAACATTTTAAAAATATTTTCTTTGTGATCATCTCATCATTAATACAACAGACCAGACATCCTAGACACATATTACATGGTTCCCCCGCCAGTGTCCATTATCACAGTTGCCTCAAGAAGGCATATGACAACTGTGAATTAAATTACAGAATAAAATAGAGTCCATAAGGATTTAAGCCTAATAAACTGTTTCTTCACATAATGCTCCTTGTAATTATGACTACATTATTTTTAAAACACTTTTAAAACTGGAAGTAAATCTGCAGCCTTAAAATTTGCATGTTTATACTTTAAATACTTTTATTCTGAAATGACTCAGAAGCAGAAACTTACTTAACTTTTCCTGTTTGCCTATACTGTACAGTAGTCTGTTCACTCAAATTTTGCATCTGAGGCCTAGGGTCAGTTTGTAGCTAGGCAGCTGATTGACTCGTGGATGGACAAGCGAAGTCACACTACACTTCTTTAATATTTAGTCTACAGGTATCCCCTGATATATGAATGGGTGAGGTTAAAAAATCATTAACTGAATTTATGTATCACAAATAGATAAACATATGGGAAAAATAGGGTTCAGTTCCAACTGACAAAAATACCCCAAAAAACATGAAATAGATTCACAAACAAGAAAACCTACTTAACTATTGATAAATAGTACACAACTACTCTAATTTACTACCTAACACATGAAATTACTATCTAATACACACAAAAAAATTAATAAAATGCCTGTACTGCTTAACTTTGGTACATTACCCTATGGGAAGGCGCTACACGTGCGACCCACGCGGGATGGTGGGGAGGTTCTGCCCAGGCCAAGCAGTTGAACGTGTCACAGCACCCATAGATGAATTTATCTCGTAATTCCACACTCCATAAACTATTTCCTATGAATCCACGACAAAAAAGTTTTTTTTTTGGTCCTTTTGCATTGGGGGATGGGTGAGGATTTGAGTATACTTAAGGCGTTAAGTTAACCCAAGCGATAAATATTAGGATTATTGTTGTAGAAGTTTATTAGATATGTTCAATATACACAAGGCCTGTTATTATCAATTAAATGAGACTTCCCTTAACAGTACAGTACTGTATGTATCGCATTGCATACAAAATTCTGCGTTGAGCAATTTATTCTGGAAAGTTGTTGCCACAGTTAAGATGGATCTGTGTATATGTTGAAGACTCATTTAATGTGTGTGCAAGCTAAGGGCATGAGTAAGTATTGTGGATATTTCTACTTGTATTAACCCTTTATACTGTTTTCCCTCATTTACCTTGCATCATTTCCCATTAATTCCACATTTAATGGTTTCTGTGCCTCTTGAACCACCCTATGGAGTAATGATAATGACTGAAAATAAAATATATAAAACACTAAACAAAGAGCAGTAAACACAAGTTACACGAATATATTCTGTAGTGTTAATCTTTGCTGTTACTCACATTCTAAACTCTGTAACATTCTGCATAATGATACAGACCTTGTGTTATTTTGTACAAGTAAATATTTATTAAAAAAATAAAGAAACTGGAAAATAAAACCAAGAAAACATACATTACTATGAGAGCCTTCAGTGGTTCTGTTATGCAGCAGCTGCCAGGGATCCATTTCATTCAGAACTATTAGAGCACTTGCCTTCTTCTTCGTATTTACACATGACTTTTTAACCATACAAACATTCCGTTTCTTGGTCTCCCCCATTGTCTCTTACATTTTATCTTCTTGTTACTAACATTTATCATCATTCTTCTCCTCGCACAATGTAGTCCAGGCATTATTTATTTTGACATACAATTTAACAAGAACATCTAACTTCAGATATTTTTATCAAAACTGCTTCACCAATCATCATTTCTTGCCTTTCCCTTTGCCTCCTCCTCTTTTACCGTTGTCACCACCACGACTTTTTCCTTTGCTAGTGCCAGCTTCTCCGCCCTTTTTGATACCTTTATTTACCTGTTATAAAATAAAAACATTTAATACCACATAGTACAGTACTGTATATGACAAATTGGATCACTATAAAAATGTCGAGCATTCTTTGAGAAAGTGCTTGTAACTATCTAAGGCTCTTAGATATTATCCAGAGATTACTAAAATTACTTTTTGGTTAACTTCATCATGACAAGAAACTAGCCTGTGGTGAGGACCAAACACCAGTCGCTTTAAGGTACGAGTCATCATGAGCTCAGTGCCATCTTTTCCAAATGTAAGTTAAGTACACCATTACCTTTATCATGGCACTTGAGGAAATATCTTCCTCCTCTTCATCCTCCTCCTCCTCTTCCTCATCTCCATACATATCTTCCCCTCCTACTTTAGTTCCCTTCTTCTTCTTAGTGATGGACGGTGCAGCAAATGGAGTTAAATGGCTCTCTTTGTTGTAGGTACGAGTAAAGGCAGCTTTCACCTACAAACCACAAATAAAACATTTAGTAGAGCAGGTGCTGGGGAGGAGTGACCCTCCGGTGTAGACAGTTGCCTTCATGTACTATGGTTTTTCAAGATGTGCCCAACTTGTGTGTCCTCAGTCAGTGTGTGTGTGTGTGTGTGTCCTCAGTCAGTGTGTATGTGTGTTCTCAGTCAGTGTGTGTATGTGTGTCCTCAGTCAGTGTGTATGTGTGTCCTCAGTCAGTGTGTGTGTGTTCTCAGTCAGTGTGTGTTCTCAGTCAGTGTGTGTGTGTGTGTGTGTGTGTGTGTGTGTGTGTGTGTGTGTGTGTGTGTGTGTGTGTGTGTGTGTGTGTGTGTGTCCTCTTCTACTTCAAGTGATTTTTACACCATGTCATTTTTCAACTGCACAGTCTTTCAAATTTCTATATTTTCAGTGGACTTCCTACAACTTAACTTGATAAATACTTTATAAACATTGACTAATAAACCTACCAGGTTCATAATGGCCACTCACCTTGCTCTCCACCTTACTCATGGGATCCGTCATGCCTGGCCACTGAGATAACTCCAACAGAGCATCCAGATCTTCGCGTAGGAGGTCATATGATGTCATAGCTCGTACGGCATCTGAGACGCCCTCCCCTCCGTGTTGAACCAGTGGATTTGTTATAGCACTTCTGAGGGAGCCGCAGTAGTCTAAGCCAACATCAAGCTTACTACCGGAAATTCTGTGGATTGTAGTTATGAATTAAACGTTTTAATTACTTGATTTGGATAATCTTAATACAACCCACTTAAATTAATAAGTAGCTTTGTGCATCAATGTGGCTATTTAGATTTACTTTGTCTATTGCATAGTCTTGTTGAGGATGTAAGGAGTACAGTATATGTGAATATTTCTACTTGTCTTTGCCCTTTCCAATTTTGTCCACAAAAGTGGAAGAAGATTAAGAGTATTAAATGGATAGATATTTCAAATAATACATAAACAAAATTATTTCAGTTAATGTATAAGAGTAACTTTTATGTTTCTAAAAGGAAATATTAACATACCATACAAATGCATCATTGAAGTGATACCATATCATTATACTTGAAACAAATGAGACAATATTATCTATAATGTGGTGTGACAGTTGATAACAAACTAATAAAACTATCTTTAGCGCTCATAGTATGACATACTTGAGTCTCATGTGCTTCTGAAGCTCTTGCATGAATCGGTCAAATTTGTTGCGACGACTGTGGTTGCCGAGCCAACGTGGAAACTCTATCTGTGATGCAAGGTGTCCACACATGTACTCACCTGGTATCACACTGCTGAACATGGCCTGAAATAATGGATGACATTATTGCAAATACAAACTAGGAAACAATCAGTAATTTTACAAAAATAGTGAGTGGGTCTCAGAGGCCTCGACAGACTGTTTGGAACAATGAGGATATTGTACTCTGTTGTCTAAGGCTTTGTTACCCAAGGAGACAGCATGGCTGGCACAGCACTTGATCAATGTCACTTCCCTAACTGTAAAATTTGGGCCCCATTTACATTTAGGTGGACTAAGGGGTGTCCTAGGATCAAACTAGTGACTTTCATAATGGATGGTGAACATTATATGCAATCAGGCATGGCTGACCCTTCCAACAGATATAAAACTAGACAGGGCACATAAAGTCTCCGCACCATAGTTGATAAAGTGAATAAGTCTACATGGTATTGTTGGCAAAATGTACAGTTGGATTTTGACTGATCATATGAAAACAATGACACTGGGCAAGCGAATCTGCCTGTCAGCTTACCATACAATGTTTTATTTATAAAAACATAAAACAACTTATCATTTTTTTTAAATATAAAATTAAGGAATTTAAAAGCTATAAAGGGTTTAATAATAAAAAAATGTCAATAATATGAGGGATTTAGCGGCACAGATTTTCACGACCAGTCACTTTACCCTTGTCTCTCTAAATGCCTCATATATTTAAGGAGGTTAAATATCAATTAGCAGATGTAAAAGCAATATACTAGTAACTCTTCTTTGTAGCTTAGGAGTATAAGCAGTAGCACTGTTGTTTCTAGTTCTTTCATGAAATATGGACCGAGAACGCTCTGAGTGAAAAATCGTGACAATTATACAGTTACATACATGGATAAACAAAGTACTTTACCCCAAATAAAGAAAGTTATACAAAAATGAATAAAAGAAAACAGTATAATACTTCACAGACTGCTGCCTCTGACCGACCCACGGATGAAACAAAATCTGTCCCAGATATGATCATCGGAGCTAAATGTTTTAGCTAAACCCAATTTTGACCTAACATTAACCCTTTGGATGCGGCATGCGGGTAAACCCGCCCAAAATATTATATTAATTAAATGCGACAAGCGGGGATATCCCACGGCCTTGAAAAAACTTCCCCAAATGAGACGACATGCGGACATATTATGTATTGAGGTATAGGAGTATTTCCTGAATGCAATATAGCTTATTTTTGTACTATTTTGTTTGATATTATCTGAATATGTAATACATATCTAAATTTGCTGTTTAGTAACCAAATTGATTAAATATATTTGCCATATACCAGACATTGATGTATACCAATTTCCTGCATTTTTGGGTATAAATGTCATTTTTTCTCTAAAATTTGCACACATATGTGAATTTTTGTTCCAGATTTGGAAAATATACTAAAAGTTCTCTAAGAAAAACATATAGAAAATGTGATTATATGAAATTCATTTTTGGCAGGATAATTGACACTTTTCAGGAACCGGCGCGAAATTTAATTACGCACCTAAAGGGTTAAGTGACAAAGGAGGTCAAAACTTTTTTTAACACTAAACCGAATTAACGTCAAGTGAATTAACAGTAATGAGGGATACCCCCAAATACAATATGTATTTAGTACTGTACTTGTTTCACCAATAGATAATACTGATCAATTTATCAAAACATGCACATGTCTGTTTCATTATACAACCGGGGAGTTTCATAAAAAAGACTGTTACCAAACTCTCCCCCTGACTCACCTGTGTAGGGAGGAGTGACCAGGCATTGTTACTTCTAATTGCTTTTTCAACCAGGTCTCCATCTGCTAGACTGCTGGCCGTCTTAGCTAGTTGCTCCAAGGTGATATTCCGGTTACCCCTGTAATGTATGATCACAATTAAAGACAGGATATCCAGACAAACATGAAAGTATTCTGTCTAATGTGAATAAAGGCAAACAGAATAAGTTAAACTAGTCAAAATCAAAGATATTAAACTGATAACCATGCTTAATATGCAAGCCATGTCCCTGAAACTCTACTAAACTAAATATAAAACATTTAAATTCAAAACTTTATCTGACAAACAGGCATACAGTGGTCCCTCCATTAATGAGCGGTTCAATTTACGAGATTTCGGTTAACGAATTAGCTCCCATGAGGATTTTCAGTTCTATTAACAAGTACAACTTCTATTAACGACAGCCATACAAGAAACACGCTTTGGTGTGCGCATCAGCTGATCAGTGATCGGCTTGTCCGCCAATACAGTAATCGGTTCTATGTTTACATTTGCTTCAAGTGGAGTAAATATCAAGAAAGTTGTGCTCTTGAATATTTTTGCCTTTTTTTGTATTAAAATTATTGGTCATTCTGAAATTTAGTTAACATATTGATAATATATACAGTACAGGGAACAGTTTTTGTGCGCCCATCAGCTGATCGAATCACCCATATTGATAATATACAGTGCGGAAATTATTATGAAACACGAAGATGGCATTAGAACCAATGCACTCTGTAAAGAATATGGCATGTCATCATCGACTGCCTCTACAATCAGCTGTTTGCTATGTAAACAAAGCCGCCAGGAATATGACATACACACCTCAGAGTAAGTTAAAATATAGTATTCTATTGTTTTTTATTTATTATTGTACAGTATACTGTACAGTACGGTACTGTATTTAGTTTATATTTAATGTTTTGTTAATTCTATTACCGGTATACAGTACTTTGTATGTACTTTTTCTGTGAGTTGGAACCAATTACCCAATATCCCATTGAAATAATAGATTGTTAAAAAAATTTCAGCTAACGACTGACTCTGTGGAACCAATTGTACTCATTAATCGAGGGACCACTGTATAAGATTATAAGTGCACTCAATCCTTGAACATCTGATTTCAACACCAACAATATCATCACCATCATCATTAAAGGTTCGTAGCAAATTAAACATACTATACTGTAATTAAAATTTGTATTAATGTTTTGTTGCATGTACTGTACACGGTATTAACTTACTAGATGAATGAGGGAAGTCATTTTGTGGTTTCTATTTGCAAAGTGTCTTTAAAGAACAGAATATAACCACCATGTAGATAGAGACCTGACTGTAGTTTGATACACAAATCACAATTATTCCAAATAATTACAGTATACATCTTTAAACCATATACAGTCGGCCCTTAACATACGCGGGGATTAGGTAACAGAGATACCCGTGAATGTTAAAAATCCGTGTACTTTTGCTGCCCCCCCCCCCATTTAAAAAACCCCTGGCCCCCAATGTCCTTATTAACCGTATATACCTGTGTGTAGTTGAGTTTTTAAGACCAAATTATTTGGCAAAAAATTGGGGGTCAACCTCTAAACGGGTAATAGTTTCGTTAGGTTGAAAAATATTTACCAGTAACTACCAGTAAACAATGGAAACGACGCACCAACGCACCACCAGCTGTGAGTGTCGGTACAGTTGCAAGGGCAGATCTCTTGCGTCATCATAGCAAGCCCAAAGTAGCCAAATGCATGGTATGGTATGCACAGGACGATGTAAAACATAAAGTATTCATTTTTTAACGTTTATTTATAGATACTGTACATAAATTTTTGTTCATTACATTTGCAACATCAATCTTTGTTAATTAAATTTGAAACAAAAGAAAACTACGGTACCGTATTTCTAAATACCGGGTATTTTCATTAAAATATTACATCACAAGTATATTTTACCTTAACTGTGACTGAATGAATATATTCTCAGAAATAAATATGGAAATGTAATATTTTTGCTGAAATGACGTACGTATTAGTGGAAAGTGGGATCAAATAATGACGAAAACAATGACTCGCTTTCTTTCGTTGTTCAAAAGATTTTACCATGGAACAAACCTGTACTGTACATGTACTAAATGATTACAGTACTTAAATTGTTATGTCTATTGCAAATATAGATTGTTTATACAGGTATTCAAATAAATCACTATCTTACAAGAATCCCAGGAATGTAAGTTATATTCACCCAGGTCGTTTGGGTGCCAAATTATGAGAAGAGCTTATTCACTCTTAAGTAATGATAAATAAACAGTAGGCCTTCAGCGCCAACTGTCACATCTTATCTCAAATAAATAAACAAACACCACACTCTGTCACCTCCCACCCCCCCCCCATGCTCGCTGGCTACCTGCCTCCTTGTGTTCCCAGACAAAAGATTGGTGATAACTTTATTCTTTAAGGTGTTTATTTTATACTGTATAATATCTCAGACTAAAATTAGGAGATTATAATTTGCATTGCTGGAATCCTTGCAAGACAGCCAATAATTTGAATACAGTGGTCCCTCGGTTAACGAGCGCCTCGGTTAACGATTTACCTTCCATAAGATTCTTAACTTTGGTTAACGAGCAATCCCTTGATTAACAAGTTTTTTACGAGCCGACTTCAACATGTTTTCGCTTGCATTTGGCGGTCCACCAGCTGTAGTATTAGTCCGCCAATACAGTAATCGGTTCTAGGGCTTAAATTCCTTACTATTTTAGTAAATATCAAGAAGTTTATACTATTCAATAATTTTAAAAGTTTAATATTAACTTTTTTAGTCATTTTAACAATTATTGAACATAACTGAAGGTAAAGAAACTAGTTTCTGGCGTGCCATCCAGCCTGTTAACACACCAAACAGGCGTTAGTCTCTCTCTGTTTTCAGTGGAGGTAGCATCTTGCTTGAGACTCTCTTCAACTAAACGCTTTTTTTCTGTGTTTGCAAGCAAATTATTGGTCATTTTGAAATATATTTTACATATTGACAATATATAATGCAGTGCAGTGTTGATTTAAAGAAAATAATCTTGAAATACACCAAGAGAACTAAAATTTTATGGGTGAAATGGTGCCATGGGGTGACTTCTCTTCCACCCCAATGCCTTCTCTTCTCCCTTCTCCTCCACCCCCATTCTAATTCCCATCATCATCATCATCATCATCCAGGAGCCTTCTACATACACACCTCAAAGTAAGTGTACTTTTCTACCTTTTTTGTTGAATTTAGGCAATTTTCGGTGAGTTGGAACCAATTACCCAAAAACCCATTGAAACAATGGTTTCAGTTAACGAGTTTTTCGGTTAACGAGCAACCTGCTGGAACGGATAGTGCTCGTTAACCGAGGGACCACTGTATAAACGTCATATATTTTGCTCAAGATATAAAAATGTAGTACATTAGTGTACAATACTGTGTAGTACATTTTATAATACAGTATAAAGTTTTCAACTGTATTTTTGGGTAGATTTACATACATTTACTTTCATCCATTTACATGCACACACTATACTAAAAGAAATAAATGACCTTAATGCAAAGCTGGAGTGTACATGTACTAATTTCATTACGGTACTAAAATTGTTATGTCTAGTGCAAATTAGAGCATGTTGCTATTCAAATTAATCATTGTCTTACAAGAATCCCAGCAATGTTAATTATATTCTCCCAGGTCATTTCACTGGCATTTTAAAATGGGAGAAGCGTAGTAGACTGTTAAATAAACACACAGAGACCTTCGGCTCAAACTGTCACACATATCACCTCAACCCCCCTCCCCCACCCCTCGCTGGCTGGCTGGCTGGCTCCGTCCCTCCCTCCTTCCCTCATCTGCTCAGCCAGGGGTTTATTTAGGCTTACAGTTTTTATCTTATATAATATCTCAGACTAAAGTAAAGAGATTATAATTTGCATTGCTGGAATCCTTGCAAGAGCCAATAATTTGAATGTAAACGTCATATATTTTGCTCGAGATAAAAATTGTTGTACATTAGTGTACAGTACTGGTTTTCAGTTAAAAAACTGTTGTATTACAATAATATTCCCTCCTAATTGACTTGAATAAATACTTGAATGGAAATATACAATATTTTTGTTGAAACTACCTGCGTTTCAGTGTAAAGTGTCGTAATAATAAATGGTAAACAATTTGCCTTCGGCACTCTGTGTTTCAGGCACGGCGAGCCTCAGTTTATAGGACGTAGAGTGTTTTTACTGAAGGTTTTGTTGTTCTAATACCCTCAAAAACTTGGGTTGACCTATAAACAAGGAATATCATAAATTAACGATTTTTTGGTCAAAAAATCAGGGTCGACCTACAATGCTGATGTCAACACAAGCGTGGTTACAACGAGACTGATCGAGTGAGGGAGCGACGCGCTATGCGTGTATGTGTGAGGTAGCAGGAGCGGGCGATGTCCAGTGTTCGGTGCCGAGCGCGATTTGAATGGCGCGCGATTTGAATGTACTTCAATTACTTCAATGTACAGAATATTCCTCCGGCGGGGCAATCCGCGTATTTGCGAATCCGTGTATGCTAAACCAGTGTATGTGAAGGGCCGACTGTACGTACAACTAATCTCTTATTCTTAGTTAATTACTAATATAATTCCTATTCAATAAACCAAATTCCAACATGCAGTTAGTTGGTTCAGTCACGTATCTGCCATCTTATTTTTACAAATCTTCACACAATCCCTCTTATTACCCTAAGCTGACCCTCTATCAGCCATACACTCTCTAATACTGTACTGCTGTTTCTATTTCAGTCCTTGTCTTCCTTCCCTCACAAAAAATACATGAATACAAAATCACAGTAAAACTTACTTGGCTACATGAGGAACAACTTTAGGATAATTCTCTTGAACAAAAAGCGGGCCAATGTTGTAATCGTGGAAGAATAGGCCAGATTTGTCGTGTATACTCATGTTCTTGTGCTCCGACTCTGAGAATACTGCCTTACACACATCCCAGGGGCCCTGTGTATAGAGGACAATATATAACAGAAGTCATAACCTTAGGATAACTTAATAAATTACTATACTGTGTGACCATAAACAGTATATATTACCTGTATGTCCCCAACCTTCTGGCGTTGGTAACATTCTTGTTTAAACATAATCAACAGCAATGAAAATAAATAAACTTACTCAATGAAGCCTTTGTTCAAATAAAACTTTTTTATAACAAATTAATTAAGCATGATAGGTATTCAAATGTACATAGTGATCTCCCCATTAGCTGGAATCCCCGGAACTCTCCAATAGGCGGAATGGAAATCGGGCCTGAAAAAATTACGGGAAAAATTTGTCCTTCCCGGGTCTGTGAACGAGCTTCTGAAAATGACAATCAGGAGCATTTTATGGAAAAATTCCAAGAAAATTCCAAGAAAATTTATCCAAACCTCTCCATTTTGGGCCTGGGGATAAATTATATGAGACTGCATCATGCTCCAACGTATTGGGGTTTCCCCCCCTCAGGAGAAGGTGTCCCCACATTTCATAAAATTTCATAATTCGTAAAGGCCAGAGCCCCTATCATTTAAAATAATGGGGTTTTAACTCTGTATGTGTGTGTGTGTGTTTATATTCTGAACAATCAATCTACAGTATATGGTCAATCTATAATTTTGTCAAATATCTACAACACATTTAAAATCCCAACATCATTATATGTTAGATCACTTTACCATTTTCAAGTTTTTTTTGGCTCTTTGAGCTTCTCTCTTCATGTCGTCGACTTCCAGGTTGCGCTGATTGGCTGACCACATGGACAAGTGGTGGAGAATCTGGCGAACATCTTGGTTTGTTCCGACAATGATCTGATCTAGAGCATCTGGTTTGATCTTGATGCCCTCACGGAAACAGACGGACATCATTGGTCCCTGTAGACATAAAGACAAATTGTTATATCTGATGTGGTTTTACACATTCAAACTGCTCTGTCTGCCAAACAACACTAGAATAATTATTCCTCTCATAATAGCGGTTTGCACTGTGTAAACAAACGACCAGAATGACACATGTGTTGAGTGTGGGATTCTTTTTTGGGGAAAATTGAATTATTTTATGATAATAATTTATCAAGCCAGCATCAAATGAACCTAAATGATATGAGAATTGTGGTCAAAGTGCATAAAGACGTGTTAAAGGGATCTTTGGGGAGGAGTCACCCACCCATTCTACTCCTCCCCACCTGCTGCTCCTTATCTCCCTCACACAATATACCCCTACACTCTTCTTTTTACCTTTATAGTAGAGTACAATATACAGTTTTCTTTTTATTTATAAAACAGATTCTGTGGTTACAATACATACCTACATATAACACTTAAGTCTGATTTACAACCCAGAGTTCTATCAATCCTATTATTTTCATTGTAGATATAATATTGTTTTAATAACCTTGTTATGCACTTGAAGACTTTAGTTGTTGAAGTGCAGTAATAGCTTTATAACAACTGATTTTCTTGAAACAGTCCAGATAAGCTGTGATGGGTCCACGCCCCCTATAGATTCTTTTTTTTTTGGAATTTCGCATTTTCCAGACTAGGGTCTGCCCCAATTAGCCCAGTGTATTGAGGTTTTATTTTAAAAACTTAATTCTCCAAAAATTTATAACCTGTATTATGTAAATAACAAATTCTTAAGATTGTACAGTAGTCTAGTATGGCATGCAACATATCTCATTTCTTGTCAAGGAACTTCTTAACAATACTTTCAAATGTATAATGTACTTACTGGCCACTAGGTATACACCAAGTCTGATTAGAAGCTAGTCCTATTTATTGAGGTAATGTATTTACATAGGCAAATCCACACAAGGGAGGAGGGAAGAAGAGGTGCAGTTAAAGAGTGATAAGACCTACCAGATATTACAACACCCAATCATGTATTAGCAACACAGATATGGTACAGTTCTGAAGCATAATAATAGTAACTTACCCTAATCTGTTCTATCCTTGGCTTGTAAAACCTGAGGTCAAAACAATGATTAGCTAATGACCTAATTTTGGGATGATTTCGGTCATTACACATGGCAATGATGGGCACTTGTGATTTCTTGATGAGAGCAATCAGTTCTTGAACTCCTCCTCGGTCTTCATTACCAGACATGCCGTCCACTTCATCCATGACGAGGGCGTGATTTGAACTAGGATTTCTAATACCATTACCTGTGAGAAGCACAAGAAATGTTTACTAATCATATCTTCATTTCTACCATATACAAAACACAATTCATTCAATAATAAAAGTGTAGTTCTTTAATTCATTTCCCACATACACACAAAAAATAATCTATTAAACAAACTGTTTGTGTCATTCACTACCGTTATATAAGGTAACGTACCAACTGTATACAGTACTGTACAGTACAGTATATGCATTTTAGTTAGTTTATAATTCTTTTAGGCATAATATTATGCGAATTGTGAATCATACAAGAATAAAACAAAACACAGTAAGCTTGCTATTTGAAAATTTGATAACCAAATGGTATTCAAGAAACCTAACCCATTTAGATAGTGAGGGATGCCTGTACAGGCAGTCCCTTAGTTACGACCGTCCGACTTACCATCACCCGCACTTATGAACGGGATCCCAATACATTCACTGCAAAGAATCGTAATTAAAATCCCCCTTTTTTTACATTATTTTCTCCATTATATATTGTTTAACAACACTTTATTTACAAGAACGTATCCCTGTCATATGTCGGGGACAGCCTGTATTAATTTTCTTGCATAATATTCAAGGTTCTGTCTATCACTATGCATACAGTGCCATTTCATAATAATAGGTTGTGGATAAGTTTTACATGTACAGTTAGTTTACGTACGAAATATTTAACTCCTTAGAGGGCAGAGGTTCTCTCAGCTGAATAAAATCATCTGGTGTTAGCCAGAATAAAATACCCAAGGGATACTTTGCCATCTAAAGGGTTAATGTGCATCGTACTATTTCAATCGTTGTTTTTGAACAGTAATCTGTATAACTTCTGGGTAAGAAGAAATTTTACCAAAACATTTTGCATAAGTAGAGTTTTTATTAATCTTAAAATTTGTAGATTAACATACTTAGTTTTCCATCCCGAGAGGTTAACTATGTAGATCTATGTTTATTCAGTTGTAAAATTACCATGGCTTCTAGAATGCTCTTGAAGCAAAAAATAAGCTAAATTATGACTAATGGCATCAACAGGAACAAAGAATATGCACAGAAATCTGATCATGTGTGTAGAAATAAGTACAGTGAAACTTGAAAAGGTGAGCAAACACACTTGGTATTGCTGTGCTGTGTGTGTGATGTTGCCCTGTGTCTAATGCTGTGCTATGAGCAATATCACTCTTTGCAAAACTTCTAAAGCAGTGCATGAACAATGTAGTATATAGTGTATAATATAAACATAGACTAAGGAATGTAAAAGAAAAAAAAAAAAAACCAGTTATCATCAGCGGAAGTTAGCTACAGGAACAGCGGCCACCATCAGAAGTAGTTAGCTGTACGGTGGCGGCCATCATGAGTGGAAGTTTGCTGTAGGGACGGCAGCCATCATCAATGGAAGTTAGTCGTAGGGACGGTGGCCATAATCAGCAGGAATTAGCTGTAGAGATGGTGGCCATCACAAGTGGAAGTTAGCTGTAGGAACAATGACCATCATCGGTGAATGTTCCGTGTTCTTCGCATTCCATTTTTGTGAAATACGGGGGTGGAGTAGGACTGTTTAAAGGTTAAGCAGACTGAACACTCCCAACATCTGTTAAGAGCAGATTTTGACCACTCCCTACATTTGGTAGAACAGAAACTTATATCCACCCTCCCTCCACTTCAGCACTTACCAAATGAAGAAAACACCAGAAAGAAACTAAGCAAACATTTACTTACTTTTTACAAATCCCGCGAGGCTTTTATTGGAAAGTAATCCTGACACAACTTCATCGAGGGTTCGCTTTGACCTCGCATCTGATGCATTCAACTCCACAAAATCAAATCCAAGTTCTTTACACACCAGGTGAGCAGTTGTCGTCTTTCCTAAAACAATGAGGAAGGATACATTAAAATAAACACTCTCAATAACAGAATTCTCAATACAGTACCAGATATTCCCAATAATGGACGTCTTTTTGTCTGGTATTATTCGTGGATTAAAACAATAAAGTACATCCTAGAACACCAAGCAGTGCACCACAGAATGTAACTGTTATTAGTGGAACACTCTGATATCCAACTCAGAATATTTCAAATAATACTTATTTTTTCATGTGCAATGGGGCAAGTACCATATTGTGGTGTGGGGGGTACCTATGGTGGTGGTGTATAGGACAATTATTGTTTTGGTGAGAGGGGTGATTATGGTGGTGGTGTGTCAGGAGCTCCAACAAGACCTCAACGGCGGTATAAGCAGAAGAGGTGACCACCATGGGAACCCAACGACTACACCGGCAGACGAAAGCAATGCATGAAGGACAGGCTACTAAGGCGAAACCCAACAAACTGGGCTATCGGCAGTCCATTGCAATTCTCCCTCTCCCCAGTTGTTGCAACATTTGCACCACTGGATCAGGGAAAGGGAGAGCCAAGATGTGTGGTTGCAGCTTGTGCTCCTGCCTTACCACATAAATCAACTCACGCACAGCCATCATCCAGCTCATCATCATCAAAAACCCTATATCCCCAAAAGTCCTATGGCGACGGGTGAGTGGCGACGGGGACAGGCAGAGATGACTGCCGGGAATTTCTAATCACAACTCTGCACATGGGTGGCACAGATAAAATTGTTACTTATGCACTGGGATCTAGACAACAGTGCAATCCAGTCCTGCCTGTGTGACTAAGCAGTCCTTTCGAGGAGCCACTCTGCTCACCCCACATGGGGAGGGGGGGCTAGAAAAGGTGCCCTAAACATAGCCTGCCTAAAATCCCAACCTGACTAAGCAACCGCACCCAGTAAGGTCATCCTTATGCGGTCAAAATCACAATAAAAATCACAGATCCAAACAAAAACAAACCATACAACCTCTTTTGGTTGCTGCATGGAATGTCAGAACCCTTCTGGATACTGGCACAAATGAGTGACCTGAAAGAAGAACTGCCCTTGTGGCAAAAGAACTGGCTAGGTATAAAATCGACATAGCAGCCTTTAGTGAGTCCTAGCACCCAGATGAGGGTCAACTCACAGAACGGGGGTCTGGCTATACCTTCTTCTGGAAGGGTAAGCCAGCTGCGGAGAGAAACTGCATTTATGGAGTTGGCTTTGCCATCCGCCAACACAATCTACACTGGCTAACTGAAATGCCTATTGGGATCAATGAGCGCCTCATGACGCTCCGAGTCCCACTGAATTACTCACGTCATGCCTTTTTCATCAGTGCATACGCCCCCAACACTGGATACAGAGGATGACATCAAGGTGGCCTTTTACGCCGACCTCGAAAGAGTGTTAACCTCTATCCCCAGAGAAGATAAGGTTGTGCTCCTTTGTGAATCCAATGCCAGAGTTGGCAGAGATGCTGACATTTGGCAGGGAACCACAGGGAGAAATGGACTAGACAAGTTTAATCCCAACGACCTGCTCCTCCTCAGCAAGTGTGCTACACACAACCTCACTATCACCAATACCTTGTTTAGGCAGGCCGACAAGTTCAAGGGTTCATGGCATCACCCACGATCCAAACACTGGCATCTCATTGACTACATGAATGTCAGAGAAAGAGATCACCGAGATGTCCTCATCACCTGTGCCATGCATGGCTCAGACCACTTGACACTGATCATCGGCTCATCAGAGCCAAGCTCTCACTTCACGTAACCCCGAAACGGCGAAGGCAGCAAGCCACTGGAAGAGGTTTTAACATTAAGTGTCTGGAGGATCCAGCGATAGCATATGCTTTCAGAGAGCAGCTCGAATGTGGGCTGATAAACAACCCGACAACAAACAACCCAAATCCCAGTGCCGAGTGGGATATTCTCAACACTGTCATGACAAAAACCTGCAGAGAGACCCCCGGCCAGATCGAAAGCATACACCAGGACTGGTTTGATGAAAATGGCCCAGCAATCAATGTACTCGTCAATGATACACGTACTGGTTTAACTGACTGGCAGAACAACCCTCACTCTCGGACCAAAGCCGATACCTTCCGCAAGAAGAAAGCTGTGGCCTAGCGGGAACTTCGCAATCTAAAGAACGACTGGTTTAAAAATAAAGCATGTGAAACACAAAAATTTGCAGATCAGCACAAGAAGCACAATTTTTTCAATTCCACCAAAACATTTAATGGGCCAATCACTCGTGGCGCAGCCCCCCTCCGCTCATCTGACGGTAACTCCATAATTAAGACAATGAAGGCCTCCTTCAGCACTGGAAAGAGCACTACCATTCACTACTGGACCAAAACACTGATGTGGATGTCCTGACTATCCAGCAGGTCCCTCAGCATCCAGAGCTGGCCCACCTCAGCTATCCGCCATCCCTGGATGAGGTAGCTACTGCCATCAAACGGATGAAAAATAACAAAGCCTCAGGGCCTGATGGAATTCCAACTGAGGTGTATAAAGCAGGAGGACCTCTGCTTACCAGCTGTCTCCACTCTCTCTTAGAGGATATATGGGAAGAGGAGGAAATCCCCCAAGCTCTTAAAGACGCCTCCATCGTCAATATTTATAAGAACAAGGGAGACCAGTCAGACTGTGGCAACTACGCAGGATTTCACTGCTGTCCATAGCTGGCAAGATTATCGCCCGAGTTTTCCGTAACAGACTTCTTCCTGAGGCGGAAAACTTCCTCCCAGAATCTCAATGAGGTTTTAGACCATCACGTGGCACCACTAACATGATCTTTGCTGCCCGCCAAAAACAGGAAAAGTGCAGAGAACAGCGTCGTGACCTGTACATGGCTTTCATCAACCTAACCAAGGTCTTCGAATCAGTCAACAGGGAAGCTCTCTGATGGACCCTCAGCCGTTTTGGCTGCCCCCCAAAATTCATTGCCATCATGAGGCAACTCCACGATGGCATGAACGACAGTGTCCTGCACAATGGCACCAAGTATGAGTTCTTCATCCAAACGGGTGTTAAACAAGGGTGTGTACTGGCACCAACACTCTTTTCCATTTTTTTGTCTGCCTTCTTTACTCGTGTCAGTGCCAATTTAGCCGGCGGGGTGGTCATCGAGTACCAGATGAAGGGTCTTTTCAACAAAAGACGACTCCAGGCAAGAACAAAGGTATCGGCAGCTTCCATTACTGAACTTCAGAATGCAGACGACCTCACCCTTGTTGCTCACACTGAACGTGACCTACTGGAATCCTGAACACCTACGCAGATCTGTATGCACACTTCGGCCGTGAGGTGAATGTATGTAAGACTCAGATTCTCTTTCAACCTGCCCATGGTTCAGTCACACCTCCACCATCCATCCATCTTAACGGTACTACCCTCTCTGATGTTACCCACTTTCGGTATCTTGGTTCCCATTTGTCCACCACCGCTGAAATTATCTACAAAGTTACAAGTATATCGAGCAGTGGTCCTGCCCACCCTACTACTGTATATGGCAGCAAGACATGGGTCACTAGAAAACTTTCATCAACATAGTCTACGTTCCATCCTCCAAGTTCACTGGGAAGACAAGAGAACAAATGCCAGTATTCTCTTACCCGCATTGACGACAGTAGATTGCCAAAGCAGCTACTTTACAGTCACATATTGAATAGTAAACATAACGCTATTGGACCACTGAAAAGGTATAAGGATAGTCTTAAGACAAACCTGAAAGTGCCAAATTGACCCCCTCACTTGGGAGAAAATTACTCCACATCGTAATGCCTGGAGGAGAACCACATGAGAAGGTGTCAATACTTTCTAGTTAGCCCGACTGCAAACCGAAGCAGACAAGCGCCAACGCCACAAAAACGCTGCCGTCTCACCTCCTGCACTCGATGTAGCCCCCCACATGTGCAACATCTGTGAATGACTCTGTTGGTCCCATATCGGCCTCTTTAGTCACCTCAAAACTCACCAATGAAGGTGACATCCCTAATAACTCATATCATTGTATCATAGCTGGATGATCGTCGTACTCGATTCCCAGTGACAGCAAAGTAGCCTGTAGTAGTAGGGTGGAAGGGGGGATTATGGTGATGGTGTGTCAGGGGGGATTATGGTGATGGTGTGTCAGGGGGGTTTATGGTGATGGTGTGTCAGGGGGGATTATGGTGATAGTGTGTCAGGGGATTATGGTGATAGTGTGTCAGGGGGGATTATATGGTGATGGTGTCAGGGGTTTATGGTGATGGTGTGTCATGGTGATGGTGTGTCAGTCAGGGGGGATGATAGTGTGTCAGGGGGATTGTGTCAGGGGGGTTTATGGTGATGGTGTGTCAGGGGGTTTATGGTGATGGTGTGTCAGGGGGATTATGGTGATAGTGTGTCAGGGGATTATGGTGATAGTGTGTCAGGGGGATTATGGTGATGGTGTGTCAGGGGGGATTATAGTGGTGGTGTGTCAGGGGGGATTATGGTGATAGTGTGTCAGGGGGGATTATGGTGATAGTGTGTCAGGGGGGATTATAGTGGTGCTGTGGGAGTGACTGTTGTACAAGAGTGATGATAATGTAATTGAACATTCATGCACCAAGAAGTGGAGGGAAATAACTTCGTGAAAATGGGAAAACTTGGAGTGGCTCACACAATATGCTTTCTCTAATATCATTCTACAATTAATTTAGAAAAGGAACCAGAAAAAAATCACAAAACATGTTTATATATCATCATTTTATCCCATTATAGTCATCAATATAGTAAACAATGTATATATTGTAAATATTGAGAGAAGTAAGAAATAAAAGAGGGACAATACAACAATAAGCATAATAGGGTAATATAACACAGAAATTAGCCAAGTACTGTACAGATAAATATAGTAAATCTGGTAGGGGGTTTAGAGCCAACACAGCCCCTGGGAGTGAAGAGGTTAATGGGAGCAATTGTCCACCTTCTGTATACAGTATACCTTTAATGAATGCTTAAATAAAGAATACAATACAGGTTGAGAATCCTTTAACCTAAGTCTTGGGGCTGAATGTGTCATGGATCCCAGAATTTTTCTGTGTTTGACATATTGGGCCTAGACCCCACCTGACTGAGTGGTAGCTCACACAGAGGGGTCCAGGCTGATGACTAACTATCAAATGCAGCTTTTGTTTTTAAAGCAATTTAACTGCATATTGAGACCCACAGCCTACAACTGTCTAACCTATTAAAATTACTGTACTGTATATCATTGCCCCTATAAAGTGTACCCTATAAGAGGGTATCAATGTTACAGGTCTGTGCAGTCAATTTATAACAGCAGTTAACAGCAGTATACCAGTTGTTTATAAATACAGAATGACAGGATATTTAGTTAGACATTAATATCTCTAATATTTCATTTCTTAGAGAAGCATTAGTGAAAAGACTATTAAATACATTTTTAGCATTTCATTTCTTAGATATTAAATATATTTTTAACGTTTTATCAAATACAGGTACCTATACCAAACAAAAACAATAAATCAGCAGATGAAGACTTAATGTTTCCCCCACCCTCAATAGATGGCAGCACAAGTGGTCTGTTAGCACTGGCCAGCAGTACTTATGCAGATCATGTACAATTCATGATACCTCAAGTTCTATGGTTCCTCACTCACCTAGGTCTGAACTACTGCAATCCAGGTTTTGAAATGATGGAATTAATTTTGAAGTGAGAAAAAGTGTTGTCTTAAAGGATTTTTTCTTTGGCTGCAGTCTCGTACCTTGTATTTCATATTAAAATACATACAATTATATAATGTGATTCAATATTGCATAACAATTCTCAGTCCCATTCATGTTATATTGAGGGTCTACTGCATTCGTAAAAAACTCACCTACTCCAGGAGGTCCAGACAGCAAGGCAGCCTTAAAGAATGCTCCATTATCATCTTTTGCCCAAGGACCTGAAGCCAGAAAAAATTCTCAGTACAACTAGTTCACCATGGTCACTCACTCACAAGCTATCTCAACACATTTAAAGACAAAAACAGCTAAAATAACATCAAAATTAAAGAAACAAGGTACATATTCAATTATCTGAAACTGAAACAGGAGGCATGAAAACATACACAATATTAAACTCAATACCATACTGTATGAGTACTGTACACAAGTCCTCAAGGAAGGTGCTACAGTTCTCCAATTTAAGTCATGAGAAACCAGTGAGAAATAGCAAAACTATCTCATAAACAATAAAGTTTATGTTTCCCATTTTGCACCAAATATTGAGTGATTCTGTATATCATTCCAAGAAACAAACACCACAGTACAGTATATACAATACTCATAATATTTCCTACATCCTGCCTGACCATAGGCATGAAGCTGCATCTCAGTGTTGGGATTCAGGAGTCTTCCTCAGTGTACTATGTTGCAAGAGATTATCTGCAAGAAAAAGTGACTACAGTGGTCCCTCGGTTAACGAGCACAATCCGTTCTAGAAGGTTGCTCGTTAACCGAAAAACTCGTTAACCGAAACCATTGTTTCAATGGGTTTTTTGGTAATTGGTTCCAGCTCACCGAAAATTGCCTAAATTCAACAAAAAAGGTAGAAAAGTACACTTACTTTGAGGTGTGTATGTAGAAAGCTCCTGGATGATGATGATGATGATGGGAATTAGAATGGGGGCAGAGGAGAAGGGAGAAGAGAAGGCATTGGGGTGGAAGAGAAGTCACCCCATGGCGCCATTTCACCCATAAAATTTTAGTTCTCTTGGTGTAATTCAAGATTATTTTCTTTAAATCAACACTGCACTGCATTATATATTGTCAATATGTAAAATAAATTTCAAAATGACCAATAATTTGCTTGCAAACACAGAAAAAAAGCGTTTAGTTGAAGAGAGTCTCACGCAAGATGTTACCTCCACTGAAAAGACACAAAGACTGACGCCTGTATGCTGTGTTGGCAGGCTGGATGGCATGCCACAAACTAGTGACCCTACCTTCAATAATGTTCAATAATTGTTAAAATGACTAAAAAATTTAATATTAAACTTTTAAAATGATTGAATAGTATAAACTTCTTGATATTTACTAAAAGGGTTAGGAATTTAAGCCCTAGAACCGATTACTGTATTGGTGGACTAATACTACAGCTGGTGGACCGCCAAATGCAAGCTAAAACATGTGGAGGTCGGCTCGTAAGAAACTCGTTAATCGAGGGATTGCTGGTTAACCGAAGTTAAGAATCATATGGAAGGTAACTTGTTAACCGAGGCGCTCGTTAACTGAGGGACCACTGTATATAAAATATAAGGATACCAAAGATTAAACCAAGGACTTACTGGGTCTCTGAGGTTTCATATCACTGAATTGGACCTTCTGCCAATTCTTCAGCCATGCGAGTAATTTTCTTACATTAGATCTATCTCCCTGTTGCCCAATTATGTTCTTTACTGTTGATGGTTTGTACTTGTCAACCCACATGAGAGTCTCGTGTTGTCTGCCTAGGAGATCTTGGGAGGAGATGGGCTGTGTCTTGGGGGTTGAGGAAGTGGATGAAGGACTTCCTGTTTCCTGCAAAAGGAACATAAGCTGAAATTTCAGACAACAAATTTAAAATATCACTCATTGGAATGACAACAAAGCCCCCATTCCATAAATGAAAATTTTTCTGTCAAACATAACATCCAAGTGGTAAGTTTATTCGGTCATAAATTTAAAAAAGTTCATAATGGTTTTAATACATACACACACACACACACACAAAACAAGTCTCATACCTCTGCTATTACTGGGGTCTTCTTTATATGTCAGGATGTGTTCACGAAAAACACAACAAAGAGTGAAATGTTTTACAATGAGACATTTTCCCCAAAAAGAATAAATGTAATTAGGGGTACAGTAAAGTATATGTATTTCAACATGAAGAGTACTGTAATACCACTTGAAAGCTCAGCAAATCAGCTTACAACAGGGTCATCATAACATACTGTACTGTATAGTATTTGATATGGAGATATACCCCTAAAACATTATTTATTACCTGTAAGTGATACAGGATGGCTCAATTTAGCTGCTTGTTCACTTACACAAATGATTAATGAATAAACCAGGGAATATGCAGACATACACTGCAATATAATTTATTAAGTGTTGATAAAAATAGAATGTCTGGATGGGCGAAACAGAAGAGGTGAATTCTATTAAGAGATGGATAATATTTATATGTTTAGCTTTAGGTTAGGGTCAGCTTACGTCAGGATATGAGTTTCAGGTTAGGAAAGAATTTAATATACAGCACTGTATTGGATATGTTAACTCTAGGTTAAGTTGGAATATGACAGCTTGAATATGAATGATTTAACTTAGGAGATGACCAATTAAGTTAATTTTCAGATAAGAGAAGTTGGACAGGCTCCATATTTTAAGTACCAAGTATCTGTTTTTAGATGACACCTTGGAAGAAACCTTATTGCTTGTGGAATAATATAATACAAACTGGTCACCTAGGTAAGCTTTACAATAGTTGCAGAGGTTAGTAGTACAGTGGTAATGCAGTATCTCTCACTAATAGGTCATGGGTTCATTCCCCTGCCTGGGATTATAGGTCACAACTTAAGATTGAAGAAGCCACAAGTTCAGAAAATTTTTAAAACAAACCTTTACAGAGTATGAGTTATAAACTCTTGGAACAATCTGGTATACAGGGTGAGTCAAGTCTCCATACATGTATGGAGACTTTTGACTCACCCTGTAGAGTGTTGTGACAGCACCGAGTGTGAGATCATTCAAGACCAGACTTGACCAACAGTGGCGTGCAGGTACAGATACATCCTGGAGCCAATACATGCCCAGTACTTACCAACAGTGTGTAACAGAGACGTGATTGACCGCCCAAGTGGCTAACAGGCTGATCAGTGGTGAAGAGGATAAAGTAAAGAGACGGGTGTTAAGCAGTGAGACCCTACCAAACATGAATGGTTTTCTCCAGGTGCTGTACTCCAGTTTCCTCCTGTACTATCACTGAACAATAAAGGTCATAATAAAGAACAAACAAAACACCCAAATGACCAGGAGTTGATAAGTGTTAAGCGTTAAGAGAGGTTAATGGTCAGTTAGGAAAAGTTAATATTAAGTTTGGAGAGGTGGATGTCAAGTTAGATCAATAGAAAGAATGAAGAACCCCCCAAAAAATAGCAGAGTAAAAATCTTCCAAAGTATGAACACCTGTCAAAGTTATTTCTGCTCATAAACAAACAGGGGGCCCCAAGTTTGCGGAATTTTACTTCCCGGTTATTCGCGGATGACACCCTGGATGTATCCAAGAATGTCTATGGGTAGTTTTATAGTTGCCGGCATTTTCGCGGCTGGGACAGGGAGCCATTCGTTCTAGACCGTAATTTCCTTTACCTGTATTGTAAATGTGTGTGTGCTTGTGGACACACACACACAAAACACATACAAATAAATAATATTTGGAAAATCCTCTCACAAATAATCAGAAACAAATTTGTTAAAAATGTGAGTCTACCCTCAAGTCCGTGCTATATCACAGTACTTTATTAATAGAGCACGGACTTGAGGGTAGACTGTCACATTTTTAATAAATTTGTTTCTGATTATTTGTGAGAGGATTTTCCAAATATTATTTATTTGTATGTGTTTTGTGTGTGTGTATGCGTGTCTACACACACACACACACACACAATACTACAGGTAAAAGAAATAATTGTCCTAAGGGCAAATACATAAAGGGAATATACATTTCTTTGTACACAAGTAAAAATGTAACCGCCCCAGTCCGCAAATGTTATTCGCGGATTTGGCACTTCGTGGCCATTTTGAGAACCTAACCCCTGCGAATTTGGGGGGCCCCCCTGTACCTGAAGATATTACATGAATATATCCAGGATTAACAAGTAGTAGGTCAGCTGGCACAACCTTACCTGAGAACTCTGTGACTGAGAGAAAGATTTCTTTGGACTTGGTGTCTTTGTAATGTTACTCGAGGGGACTGGAGAGTCTTTCACAGACGTTGATTTTCCAGGCAATTCTTCCTTTATCTCTCTTGCAAAGGCCTTGAGTTTGTTTGTGGTTTTACCTAATAAACAGAAATATATATGTAGTCATAAGTTATTCAGTTCTGTGTTAGTGATGTAAGTAACTTCATATGGTATGTTAATGAAGATAATATTAACAGTACAACACATTTCTTGTGCGTACCTTTAGTGACCTCTTGCTTTTGTTCTTTCCCCGGTCTGGTGCGTATCAGTTCCAAAAGACCATCTTCATCTATCTGTTTTGTGTTTAACTGTTCAGCCTAATGGAATAATAACACAGAAGTTAACACAAACCAGAACATCTCAAATGTACAGTAGCGGACAAAAGTTTGCTCTCCGTGGTGAAACTGAATCACGGGAACGAGTCTCCAAACTTTACTTACCCTGACTGGTATCTGGTGCGGGTGTGCTGTTTAATCTCACTTGGGGTCGATACTGCTTCATTTTGGGAAGGAGCAAACTTTTGACCCCGACTGTTCATAAGCATCATACTACACACCAAGTTAATTTGAGTAAACTTACTAAGTTTCTAAAAATACCTTTCCTTATAAGAATACTAAAATAAGTCACATTACAGTACAACACATGTGAAATGTTTTGCAATAATAACTGACCTTCTTTAGTTTAGAGGCTCCCGCCTCCGACCCCAACACCAGGTAGGTTGTGTTGCGGCTGAGAGACGTGGTAACTTTACCTCCATATTTCTTGATGAGATCAATGGCTTCTTCCCGGTCAAGGCTGTCAAACACACCACTCAGAACAAACACCAGACCTTGTAAACATTCTGGTGCACCCTGTGGAAAATCAAAGAGTGATACTGTAAATTCTATTTCAAAGGATTGGGCCAAGGAGACTCATGTGTTGCACCCATCAAACATACAGATTATATACTAGCTCTTACACGAACATGAATAAATGACAATGCATGGATCTACTTTGCTCTTGATTCTAGCCTCCCTACACTAATAAAAGGGCTTGCAAGAGTATAAAAAGAAAAAAAAATTATACAGTAATAAAAAATCTCACTTGCCTTTTTAAACTCTTTCCCAAAATATGTTCTACTATGTACTCCTTTTCCACAACAAAGCCACAGATATGGTTTATGGTTACCTATCACTACTTCACATTATTAAAAAAAATCCAGTACAGTATAACGTATCTCACCTCAGGGAGAAGTTTGCTCCCCGGATTGGCTGGCCCCGGCCTTTGCAGAAACTTCATGTATGAGGCCCTTGCATGTTTCTTCTTCTCATCTTGTGGTGTGGAGTCTGCCTCAGTAGACTCTCTGTCATCCTCTGTCTTCTTGGGTGTTACTTTCTTTTCTTCCTTCTGTTTCTTCTCTATAATAATGTTGGGTTTATGGTTCTTAGGGGACACTTTGTTTTCTTTCTTTGGAGTTATCTTATCTCTCTTAAATGTCTTTTCTTCTGGCTTTATTAAATTTTCTTCTTTGTTTTGCCTTTCTTTCTTAAATATCTTTTCTTCTGGCTTCATTATATTTTCTTCTTCAATTTGTCTTTCTTTCTTAACGAATTTCTCTTCCTTCTTCACTGCTTTATCTTCAGTACGACCAATTTCCTTACATTCTGTCCCGGTTTTCACGTCCTTCTCAATATGTTTATTCTCAAGAGTGTGCAACTTTTCTTCCCTGTTACTATTTCTCTGTGCAGTTTCCTCATCTCCATACTTGTCTGTATTACACTCAAACTGCTTAAGCTTAGCCGATAACTTACTACACAGTCCAAGTTTGAGGGAGGTCTTATTCGGAGGACTATATTCATTCGGTTTTGGCTTCTCTTCATTGTGTGAGGAGGATTTCCTTTCAATTCTCGGTTTCTTGGACACTTGTTGCTTTTCTTTATCTAACTGCTGGAGGGTTCTCTCAAAGGCATCATCACTCTGAGATTCATGGAAATCATCACTCTGAAATTCACATAAACTATTATTGGATGGCTGAATCAGAGAATTGAAATTGCCAGCATAAACTATAATGTCAAGTGTAAAATTATTAAAAAGAAAATACAAAATTATCTTAAATATAATACTGTAAAGGCCAAATTATCTTCTTTTCTTTTTTTTACGGGTATTAGCCCACCCGGGCACAGGTCACTGACCCACATTGGGGCCTGGGGGGCAAAAATGTAGTAGTAGTAGTAGTAGTAGTAGTAGTAGTAGTAGTAGTAGTAGTAGTAATAATAATAATAATAATAATAATAATAATAATAATAATAGTCATAATAATTCATAATAAATAAAATTTATGATAGAACAAACAAAAATAAAATAATAAAATAATAATACAGTAACTGTAATAAAAATAATAATATTAATAATAAGGAACTATAAATACAAAAATGAAAAAAAAAGATCAAAAGTGAGAAACGATTTATGTTTGTTGTGTTGTCAATGGTAAGAGAAACAATTGAGACCCTGCAATTGCATGTAAATGAAGCAGAAAGTCAGATCAACAACCTGGGACTTGGTCACATATGGCAGCAGGGTCTACCATTAGACAACACATTATGCTTCCAATATCTTCCCAGGCGGTAGTACCTCCCTGTTTGGTAGCTGCCTACTACCTACTACCAAGAAAACACAGGAGACAAATTACACTTGACATGTTTTAGGATAAATAATACTTGTAAGTTTTTTGGTGCAGACATTAGCACTATGTGTTTGAGTTTTAGGTTCATAGTTCCTGAGCACATAAGACAGGAAGCATGTATGTCCCCCTCCAAGGATGCTACGTGACAATTAATGTACCTATACTTTACACCTAAATTTGCTCTTTTACTTTTATACATGAATTAAGTTTCTAAATCTGATAACATATAACTCTGCTCACCTTCCTTTTCTTTGATGAGACATGTTCTGATTCTCTTCTGGCAATTGGTGTCTTCCCAAAGAAATCTGTTGCTGCCGTTGGCTTTAACTTAGGACTTTCTGGCTTAGGCAAAGTTTTGGGTTTTGGCTTTTCATCTTTCTTGGTCTTTTTCTTATTTTTAATTACGAATATGTCATCATCTGCAGAGTAAATGTCAAGTTTTAACAATGAAGAAAGAAACACTAATAATTCAACAGCTGATTATAAGCCCAGCGATAATAAAACATGGCACCTGTGATAACATTTACTGTATGGAATATCTGAGTCCACAAATATATTCATGTAAAGCTTAATAATAAAAATACTGTTCACACATCTTATTTTTTTTTAATATGAAATGAAAGTGCAGTAATTAACCCCATTTTCCCAGTCACTAGTTCTTACTCTAAGGAACACACACTGAGCATATTAAGCTTTGGAAATAAGTAATCAAGACACCAAGAAGTAATGAGCTGTTAAAGCAGAACACTGACCTTTTACTATATGGTATTAGTTACAAGCTACACTACTGCAATCTGCCTTATAACAATATGCAGGTGATCTTTGATGTCATGTGTGTGACTGTCTGACATGCTGTATTGATCTGGCTTAGGGCCAATTGCAAGAACTTCCGCCGTGTACACGATGCTGTGGTATCCCCATGGTCGCTTTGTAAGAAGCACTCGGGATTTAAAAACAAAAAAAATGCGATTCATTATTGGAATGTGGCAGATTTCCGTGGTGCTCTCACCCCCGCCCAATGCACAATACAATGGAACTATATTTTGAAACCAAAAGAAAAGAAATAGAATTGTATGTAATGTACATAAATTGCAGAAATCTGCAAAGGAATAATATATTTATAAGATATCCTCCATATGGAATAGCATATGAAGAATTTTACTTTTCTTTTTAAAAGAATTCCATGTTTATATGGGAACATAAAATTGCCTCTATTTGCCAAATTCTTTTAACCATCATTAATGGTAAGCCTTTAAGAGATAGCCAATCCTAATAATTTATGTGTAGGAATATGGAAATCAAATTAAGCTAAAAAAAAGTTGTAAGTGGCCTAATTTGAGAGTGGTAACAGCTGCTCCGTCTGGGATGGTAAATGACGTCCCTTATCAGAAAAAAATATCAACCCAATTTTCGTAATGAGCGCAATTAACAATCGTCCAACACAACCAATATAGATATTGCATTAGTATAAATACTTACCGTAGTAGCCTAAATCTCATATTTTAACAAGTCCAAATATGCCAGATGACCTGTACCACGGTAGTTCCCAGGCCCTAACACATTTGGCAGTTTTTGCTCATGTGATTTTTTTCAAGCTTTTATTTTCATTATAGATGGCAAATATCAAGGATTTCCATATGTTTATTGGCAATGTTGATATGCAGTACTGTACACAACCATTCTATAAGAACATAAGAACATAAGAAAATAAGGAGTCTGCAATAGGCCGGTTGGCCTGTGCATGGCAGCTCCTGTCGAGAGTTACTACCGCTCTCTATCATCCATGTATCTATCTAGCCTCCTTTTGAAACTTTCCAGAGTTCCCGCACTTACTACAAAGTTGCTAAGCTTGTTCCACTCATCCACCACCCTATTTGTGAACCAGTTTCTTCCTATCTCCCTGCTAAACCTAAACTTATCTAACTTGAATCCGTTGCTCCGAGTCCTATCCTGCTCGGATATTATAAGAACTTTATCTATATCCCCTTTATTGATTCCTTTCACCCACTTAAATACTTCTATCATATCTCCCAGTACTCTTCGTCTTTCTAGGGAATGCAAGTTAAGTTTCTTTAACCTATCCTGATATGGAAGGTTTCTAAGTCCCGGAATCATTTTTGCCATTCTTCGCTGCACCGACTCTAGTGAATTTATATCCATTCTATAAGAGGGGCACCAGAACTGAACCGCATATATATATATATTGTCTACAAGTATGGTAGAATCAAGTGTGAATACATTGGCCTTGTATATCCATAATTCCAACAAAAATGAATAATGTCTTCCAAATAAAAGAAATTGATGGTATTATCTTTTCAGTCATCCAGGGAATTTTAGGATTTTAAGGTGACCGATTTTTACCAGTTAGGTAGGTTAGGTTAACATTTTGATGCAGAACATTAAAATTTTAAAAGGTTAAAAAAAATTTTCATGGACCCCCCCCCCCCCAAAAAACCCCAATGGATCACAGTTTTGGAATCACCATAAAAATCTATAATAAAAAAATATTTATTTATATATATTATTTTCAGTGTGTGTGTGTTGTACATTTAACTGAAAAAATACGAGTTTCCATCAAAAATTTATTTTGGGGGGATTATTTTAACAGAAAAATTACCGACAATATGTAGGTGTTGGAAACATATAAATATTAACCCTCATAAATAAAGATGTTTCAGAATTCGCAAATTCAACTTACACAATATTAATGCGTTTACTATTTTCACTTACGGGTGGAGATATAGCTGACTATTCACCTTTTACCAAAACTAAAGAAATAATTCTTGGTATCGTGGATGATGTGGAATTTTTCCAGTTACTGGGAAGATTCTGGAAATTGCTACCTAACCTAACCTGGGAATTGGTTCCCAGACTCGGAGCAGAGAAATTTGGAGACTTTCCGTAAAATCCCCAAATTATTCATTATTTTATCCTTGAATTTTCCTCATAGACAAGAAAAAATGCAGTTTCTGAAATTTTCAGAAAATAATCCTCAGAGAAATCATAACATATGCCTTAATTAATATATATTTTTTAATTTTACAATTTACTTATATGCATGGATATTATGTATTAATATATTTGTGAAATTTGTGGGTGAATTTTCTTTTGAAATACTGTACTCTTGATCATTCAAATATTATAACATATCCTGCTTTTAATAAAGGTTATAATCTGACATAAGGATTATCATTGTATTCTTGTCCTTATTATTACTGCAGTTTATATTAAACATTAAAAAATGCAGAAATAATTTGCAATTAACATTAAAGATTGTATTCAGGATATTTTTAAACCATTTAATTATCATCTTGTTTTATGTTTAAAATTTTTATTCTCTGATTCGTTGGTAGAATTTCATGAATACACCTACTGTATATGGGTTCCATGACATTTGCTCACAAGATGAACCTAACCTAACCTATCATTTCTTCCTTTCCATTATTGTTGAGTGAACAAATGTCCACACACTACCTATATAAAGCCTCTCTGGTGGGGATCCATATATTGTACAGTATTTACATGTAATACTTTTCCAAATAAAAGACCATTTAAACAGCAGATAATTTTCTCCATCTGCTGGTTTAGTCCATGTCATTAACATATTGTATACATCAGTGGCGTGTCGTGAGAAAAATGCTAGGGTAAGCAAATGACGCTTTCTTACTTGTAAAGTCACGAGATCTAAAAGAATTCTTTAGTAGATCACATACAGACTGTATGTGATCTACTAAAGAATTCTTTTAGATCTCGTGACTTTACAAGTAAGAAAGCGTCATTTGCTTACCCTAGCATTTTCTCACGACACGCCACTGGTATACATTTTTACTCCTGACATTGGGAAAGTGTTCATGTCTTGCTATAATCAGGTGGAGACAAGTAGGAAACAATATCTCAAGGTTCCATATCTTGTAGATAACTGGTCTTTATACTTGTTTAACATGGATGTAGAGATTTTTTGGACAAAGATAATTTCCTGTTTGATATAAAACTAAAAGTTATGGTGATATTTTTCAAGATTTTATCCCAATTCATCTGTACAGTGAGTTCATAACTGCCACAGCAAAATTATAATACCTAAGACTGTACTTTGTTATACAGTATTCTACTGACTTCATCCACAGAACAGGCCATAATTATCTTTATTTACACTCACCCAAACCCAAGTTCGTGACAAACTTAATACTTATTGTTAGATTTAATAAGGACAAAGAAGAAAGGAACAGATAATACACTCTATTTCTAAGTTCTTATGATTGTTACAGGCTTTATTTACCTATATTCACTGTTAGTGATAGTATTGCATACCCAGAATTGGCTTATAATCCAAGAAAACAGGAAAATGAGGTGCACCTTAGCTTGGGATTCAAGTTTTTCATGCTCTTAAATTGTGTAGCAAGAGCAAACGTTTCGTGCCACTGACAACGTTTTGAGGGTGCAAGCACACCCAACCTTCCGCCAACTGGTACACCTGACTTCACCACGATGACGTAGTAATAACAAACGACGGTCGGGAACCACCATGGCCATTCTTGAATAACCACTAAATTTTTCTTCCATTGTATTACAACCGCCAGGAGCCCAGGATATCACAGCATTGTGTACACGATGGCAGTTCTTGCATTTGGCCCTTAGTTAGGTCAGATTAAGAGCGAGATCTCTGAAGTCAGACAAGATACTGTAATGGTCAGACCATCTTTGGCCTACAACAGTGTTTGTGAGTACAGTGATACAGTACAGTACCATACTCTCATTTACTGTATTTATGGCATGGAAATTCTTAATAATATCACATTTTAAGAGAGTTCCAGCCACAGTCAACATCCTCAGACATAAAACATCAACACTGAAGTAACATAAAGCACCAGTATAATATCAACATTACATTGATTCTCAGTATACTGTAATGTGTGTGTTGTCATCATTTTGAAAACTCACTTGTATCAGAATTCCGTTTCACAATTTAACACAAGAATAAAAAAATAAAAAAAATTCTCAGCCAATAAGTGAGAAACAAGACTGGGTGATTAATCAGTACAGTACAGTACTGTACCCCGATGACTGTACCATAATATCAGTAACCTTTAAGTGTAAACTACTACTGTACAATGATGAACAAGTTACCAACAGCAATAAAACATACCAGAGTCAGAGTCTAATACTCTATTCCTCTTGGAAACTGCAGGAAGCTCCTCCTCATCTGAGTCTATAATTATCAGTTTCTTAGTTTCCTTAGATGAACTTGAAGTCTTTCCATTCTTTTTGCTGTTAATTGGTTTGAAATAGTTCCGTATATCCTGAAAAATAAGAGAAAAAATAATCATTAGTAAGCCAATGCTATATGTTAATTATCACTTGGTAACTACTGCACTGTAGTGACTGCTGGCTAGACTGAAGGTTTTACTCAAACTTAAACCTGGAAAATTGTACCTGGAATAAAATACTGTACAGGTTATTATTTTATTTAACCTTTACCTTTACTCTTCCACTGTCATGTGGGTTTGATCATGGGGTACAAGAACATTAAAGAAGGTAACAATAATAAGAACAGTGCATAACATTTATATTGGTAGTGCTGTATCTGTAAAAGGCCACAGTACAGTATACAGTGAACCACTTTATAATCCACACTGGCTCCTAATGCTTCATAACAATTTACATTAGCTACATACTTAATTTAGATGTCAAGGTTAATTCATGTAATGTTGGGAAAAATATTAAATAAATAATCCTGACATGAAAACAATTATTAATATGATACAGTGCTCGCCTCCTTCCCTATGAGATGCTGGTTTGATTCCCAGTCCATTCAGTTGTATATATGGATGCTGTACTGTAACTAGTAACTTTACACTGGGAAATTAAGTCCTTCAAAATCAGAGCCAACTACACTGCCTCATTGTGTACCAATGTCTCGGTACACTGCAGCAACAATATCCCTAATAGGTTGTCAAGCCTATAGGGAACCCACTTTCACTTTTATTTAATTTGAACCCAATACTTATTAAAATAAAAAGTTGTCGCATAATTTTTATTACTTACAGTACTATCATTAAAGAACATCTGTCGAAAAAGATGAATGAAATCGAACAACTCCTTCTGGTGGTAGCGGTTTCCTTATAAATTTCCGTTTTAACCCCACATCTTCAAAGCCCTCCCCACTTTGGAAGAAATCACTGTCGTTGCTAGTGTAGGGGATATACCTCCATATACACGCATTACCCATAAATTCTGATTCCGGTCTCATTTAACTTGACAATAACAGACTTAACCTCATATCGGGGGTTTTAGCACCTTAAATACAGGCTTAAATGTCTTCTTTTTTAGCCTTCACTATCCAGTCATGAGTCTATGACCTGTGCAGATCTCATTATATTTTTCTTTCTGTGCAATTAGTTCTTAAACTTATTCTATTTGTAAATGATGATCATATCGTTGATGTCGATATATTGATATTGAAACAGTTTATTTAGCCAGAAAAACAAAGATACAGAGTGGATAATAATAACAATATTAACATGGCTGAGCCAGTTGAGCGCCAGAGCTCTCTTGTAGGCACCCGATATAGTATACTGTACTGTACATTTATCTCAAGGAAGTATTATGTAACATTTAGTACCATCTGAAATAGTACACATAGCATGGTGGTAATAAGAACATATCAGAATGTTACCACGGTTATCACTTCGATATTTATTTATTTTTTTATTTTTATTTTTTTTACTTTTTACTTTTATATTACAAGTACAAGTATACTGGATACATAAGTTACAGTGGAATTGAAAAACATAAATATAATGAGGGAAGCAGTACAACATGGGTTGTATTAAGGTTGAACAAGAGGACGGAGCTGTCAGGATTATGTCTAGTTGGCAAATATATTTTTTGCAATGTTAATTTCTTATCTATCTACATGATAATTTTTGATAAAACGGTTTTGGTGGTACAATAAAAGCAGGTATATAAAGTAGGTATTACAAGAAATATCAATACTTAGACAATAGATATTTTTTAATAGATGATTTAAAGGAAGGGAGCGTAGTCTTTGCTGGGATGGGTGGGGGTAAGTTGTTCCACATCTTCACACCATGATATTTTATGGAGGTCTGGGACTGAGAGGAGCGCATGGGGGGTGGTCTTAGTAGCTTTGGGTGCCTTAAGTTGTATCTCTGATTTTTCCAGAATTGGAAATAATTGTTGCCAAGCAAGTGATTGACAGATTTATAAACAAATAGGGCACAGCAGTAGGTGTTAATATCTTCGAATTTTAACATTTTCAATTGAGCAAATTGTTCGTTTGTGTGATCTGTTTTTTCATGTAGGTCATTGTCCGCACAACTCTCTTTTGTGCAGTAACCCATATTATGGGTTTTGATTAATTTCTAATACCTTATGAGAGGCATTGGTTAATAAGTTAACTGTATGTTTGCATACTTATTGTTTTTCCTCAAGGAGGACTGAGAGGTCATATTGTTTTCCAATGTCATCCTTATCACGTCGTGTTTGGTAGTGTATCACAAGTTCATCTGTGTTGGTGGAGCATGAAGATCATCTCCAAGAGTTCATCTGTCAACATGGACTAGTTGGCAGGATGAGCAAGTGTTCAAATGTGGCAGAGAACTGACAGTGAAGAATAAATATGTGTAAATATGCATTTTCAACCAATATGGTTTTCGAGTTCAGCAATGTGTTTTTCCAATGGGTTAGATATTTTCTTTTTCACGGGGAATAGCCCACCCGGGCACAAGTCATTGACCCACAACAAGGCTGAAATATACAGGGGGATCCAGAGGGGCAGAGCACCCTGGTCAGGTTAGGTTTAGTAACTGAGGTAATTTGCGAGGAAAACATCACAGAAGAAAAGTGTCTTAAAATTGTCTAATCCATAGGAAAAACACATTGGTCAACTCGAGCGCCATATTGGTTGAAAATGCAAATACAGTACACCGATGTATGTGTTTCAGTGCAAGAAATGATCATACTCGTGGGTCCATAAAAGACACAAATTTACACCATGCTGTAATGATCACGCGGTCGTACACGTCAGTTAACGTAAAATCAGACTATTCATGTTACGCTCAATAACCCCCGTCTGAAGCATCCGTTTTCTCATCGCTTCAGGATGCCTGAATCCTCCGTTTTCCCTAGCCTAGGTGCCGTCCATTTTCTCTGACTTCCTGAAGCCAACCTCTATAAAGTAAATTTGAATGTGAGACAGAACACCATTGTTTTGAGTCAACTTAGATATGTCTGATAACAGTTAAAGCATTCAAGATCCTTTGAGAGTGATGTTGAAAGCTTCAACTGTCTTTGTTGTTATTAACACTTGTTAAGTAAGTGAGTGTCGAGTCTGCCAGTACGAATGGCATCCCGTGATATCTTCCTTGGGGATAGCCATGAATTTCCAATTGCTACTGAAGTTAGATTATTTTGAAGCCCAAACTTCAGAGAATCTGATGTTTGTAGTTTAGTTAGTGTCAGTAGTCTATTTAAGAAAGTCATTAATCTCCTGAACTATTCTGTCAACCTGTATAATCTCCAAAATCTAACGTATCCCCGTGAATAGTTCCTTGTTCGTAGTCTTGCTGAGTTGGTGAAACTAGTGTTGTTAGTGTGTGTATTTGAAGTCCATTTCACTTTTTCCTGGCCAGCTCAATCGCTGATTAAAATATAAAAATAGACGTAAGAAATTCACCTGACCCATGGCATTGATTTTCATAGTTAAATGTACAGCAACTGAGTTGAATGTAATTTTTGTCATTCCGTGATTAGCCTTTCTGACATGTGTAGCGCACAGGCCTGAGTTGCCAGTTAGCTGTATATAAACTTGAGCACGAGGAGCAGCGTTACGCCTCTGACGCTCGTCCATCATATCTCAGGTTTGTGTATGTTCCCACGCCCATCACATTAAGTCAGTTTAACTTAGTGAATTTTGTGAATATCAGTGTTCATGTTGTAACAGTGAAATTATCATTTAACCAGTGAAAGAATTAATGTAACGTAAATATCGTCTGTCGCTGCCAGACAAAAGATTGTTTGTGATTGAGTTATTTTTCACATCTCTGACGCTATCCCATCATATCTCAGGCACAGTGTGTGTGTGTGTGTTAGCTGAATACCTGACAGTCACCGCAGGACCGGTAGCTGCACACCAGCTGACTGCCTTGCAGGTTGTCGTTAATTCGGCACGATTAAATTGTGCGAGACCACACCCTGGGAACTAGGCCCGAACTCCCTCGCAGTGTGTCAGACTGTAACGGGTCCTAACAGTGCTCTTCGTTAGTCATGGAGACACCAGTGTTATACCCTGGGGCACTCCTTACAGTTATATTGGCCAAAGTATTATTGTTGTATATGATTGGGGATAATTAGCAGAAATATAGTTATCCCATGTTGAGTAATGAACCCAAAAATATTAATAGTACCAGTAATAACGTGTTATGTGGGTTGAGTACATCATTCATATGTACTACCAACTGTGGGAAAAGTGCCATGTTGTTCATTCCGAAATATCATGATGTTATAAATAATATGTTAATTTGGGATATTGTCAAGTGTGTCATATAACCATCTGTATTGACAATGAAGTACTGTAATATAATGAATGTGTAATGTTGTTACCCAGAAGTGAAGATCTATCTTGTTACTTGTAAAGTAAGACTTAAGTGGTCCAGTCTTATCTGAGTGTGCTTAATTAACATCTTGGTCACTCCTTATGTTAATAAATATTGAATTAGTAAACTACGGGTATCACCGCTCTATTCCTGCAACACCCGTTGGTTCTCAGAAAATAACTATTGTAACTCAAGTGCCTAGAAGTTCGCTAGCAAGCTACCTAACAGTTCAATGAGATATTCTAATAAAAGTCTGCATGGTGGCAGGCTACCGTTGTAAGTATACTAAGTGTTTTAATAAGAATGACATGGTTCCCAGACTAATCCATAGTTTAGAATATAACTACAAGAGGATATAATTGAGAAAAAGTAAGGACATAAAATTCAGAAAATACTATAATAAATATGACAGAAGGAAGCATAGAAAAGAATATTAATTAGAAAACATAAGCAAAGAAATATAAGATAGATACTTATAGAGAGAAAGACTTAGAATATAAAATTATTAATATACAGTACGTATATGCAAGACAAGATTAATAGAAAATATAGATATGAAGCAAGTATATAAGTATTGAAGAATAAATAGAGTAAATATGAAATAGGAAAAGTAAAGAATAGAGCTCCTTACAATGCGACTTCAAGATAGTTGCTTTCATTGGTACCTGATATCAAAGTAAGTTCTTTCTGCATAATATGCCAGATCAGGGGCCAGAGCCCCCTGGCTAGGAAGATAGGCAAGGTGAAGTTAGGTTCTGTGCATTCTCGTTTAATTTTTGTGTTCAGTATCATGCATATATATCTCCTCCACCATTACCAAGGAATCTTTACCCTCACCAGAAGTTTTGGTTAGGTTAGGTATCAAAGTCACTTGAAACAATATTCTGTCATCAGTGTTCAGTCAGTCATTGGGAAGTGTTTGTAAACAGATGAAGTGTACTTATTTACAACCAACACTTAGGAAAAACAAATTTATGAAATATACGTATCCTCCATATGTCCCTTGAGGTGAGATCATCTTTTGTGGAATAACTTTATAAAGTTGCTGGTTAACCCAAACACAGGTTCCATAGTATTTCCCTTAAACATATATTACATACACAATTCAAACCTAAATTAATGCTAAAAAGTAGGTTTTTTTAACACTGTAAGAGTAGCAGGTTTAAAAACAGCGGGCAAGACTAATGGTAACAAGTGTAATCTTTAGTCCTCAGTCACTGGTCTCATCTCATGCTCACAACTTAAACACCATGTCAGTCTTCTTCATACCACTAATACACCCTAACTCTACAATAAAACATTTCTGTATAACAAACCCTCTTGACTGTTATATTCTAACGGTGAAAATCTACATTAACCAGAACTGACCATAGTTGAGCGGCAGGAAACACGACCCACGGTCCCACGCCAAGTGACTGATGTTAACTTAGTGTGACGAACGCGAGGCAGAACTCATTTAATTTTCAGTTATTATGGATGAAAAGAACAAAATTACACCAATATCATTTATATTAAAATTTTTATTTTTTTATATAATTATATTTGTACTAAACTATTTCATAGTCATTTACAAATAATAAAATATATTGTCTTCTTTGTTATTTTCTAACATTAATCAACTTCCTTTTTCCCGCTATTTCTGTCAACAAACATTGGAATAAATGACTGACTCTGAGCGTGATGTAGCATTTACTTTATTGATTTTCATTTCACCACATAATATTATTATCAGCTTACGAGTTGTTCGAGCGGTTGGTACTATATATTTTATCCTCTATTCCTCTTAGCTCTAGAATGTGTACCTGCGCCAGTGTTGGTCAAGTCTGGCCTTGAATGAGCTCACACTATGCTGTCACAACACTGGAAGATTGTTCCAACTGTTCACAAATCTCATTCCGAAAAAGTTTGCTCTCGCGGTTTTCTGGATTTGTGGCTTCTCCATCCTTGAGCTGCGACCCCTTACGGGGCGAGCGTGTAGTGGATTTCTCCCCTACAAACGCTGTTTGTCGCTGAGTAGCCGACCCCGCGAATTCCCCAGTGTATGCCTCGTGGTCTGGGTCAACCAGCGCCGCCATACATCACGGAGGTCAACTACTAAGCCACGCCTATCCCCGCTATTTAAGACCTGACCTCGTGGTGACCTCTTCTTCTAGCTACAGCCACAGCAAGCTACACCACCTCCTCCGCCGCTGCCTGGCGGCCCTCGCTCCCGCCGGCGAGCATGGCGACCCACAAGCTGGTCCTCCTCCAAGCACCCTCACCAACCAGCTCTCTCTACTCAACGCTTGTAACCATGCTGCCTTCCCAGCACCAAGCTGCATTGTACATCCAATACAACATGTATACAGAGAGCACATTGTGAGTTTCCTTTCTCCATCCCATCCTGAGTGTGAACCAAACATCTCCCCACAAATGGTGACCCCCGGAGATTCGCACTCACACAGGATGGAGGAGAAACAGATCACTCTCTCATCCACACAGAGGCAGCTCTCATCGGCTCTACAGCTACTGTCTCTACACCGCAGGTCAGACACCCTAGAGCAGCTCTGCTACTCTAAGCAGACAGCCGCTCCTCTTCCTGCCCCAAGCACTACGTCCTACCGACCCCTACACACCCGTCCTGCCTCAGACGCCGCCCCGGCCCAGCAGTAACCCCTGCCGCTCCTCCTGACGCGGCCCCTGCTCCTGAGTGCGGACCCACACATCCCTCTTTTCTCCCTCAGGTACTCCCTGCTACTGTCCTGCACCCTGCTGCTGTCGTGGACCCAGTTGCTGTCACGAGCCCTCATCCGCTTCTGCTGACGCAGCCCCTGCTCCTGACCCAGGCCCACACACCCCAGCAGGCGCATCTGACGACTCTGTACCTGCCGTGAGGGAAGCACAACATTCATCGCCTCCACACACCCAAGCGGCTAACGAGCTGATCTTTTGGTGAAGAGGATAAAAGAAAAAGAAAAGTAATCAGAGACGTGACCGATCGCCCAAGCGGCTAACGGGCAAATCAGTGGTGAAGAGGTAAAAAGAAACACAGAAAAATAAAATAAAACTTTCTTTGGTGCGGTAATAGAATGCCTTTTAGGATAGCCAAGCTTGTACTGCGCACATCATTGTCATTCCTAAAAACCCATTTTAATTCATATTACGCTACATAACATTCAAATCCACCGCACTTGTAGAATCTCAGGAGAGACGTGTTTTTCTCATCTGTTTTACCCTCAGGATCACTCCCAGTAAGTCCCGTCTTCGAACACAGTTGTCACTACGTTTATTGCACTCTCTACTGGCAAACGCAACCTTGAATTAGTCTGTGTAAATCAACTTTAGTAATTCACCAGACCTTTGTCAACTGAGGGTCATCCTTGAATGAGTAACAGTTAAATTGTTTGTAATTTCTGTCATTGCGTGAGTAGCGATCGCTGGCAACTCAGGGGTATATAAACCAGTGCGCGGCGGGAGTAGATAAATATTAATATAAAGGTCTGATGACCCAAGGGAGCAGAACAAAGACAAAACACCAATAAGAAAGATGAAGCGATCTGGTTGAGCCCAGATTCTTTCTACTCCTACTGTATTTCAGTTTCACCACTTTTCCTTCAACTCCTAATAATCTTCTTTCACCTCTTAACTAAAGACTTCGTATCGTATCGTAGATAAATAATATAGACAACGAAGAATTCCAAGAACACAGTTGGTTTAAATCAGCCAGGAAGAAAGTAATTGAACCATCTCCTGCCCCAATATACACATAAAACATTAATAGAGAGAATAAAAGATGAGTGACCTACCAGCTCCACTAAGAACCTGGCAGGCCTCTCCATACAGTGTACCTTTAGACTAACATAACTAACACTTAACTAACACCTTATCAAAAAAAAAAAAAAAAATGTGACTACCCTCCCAGTTACACAAGGACCTGGGCGGGCTCACTAACTCCAACAATAAATAAAAAATAATAATAATAAGCAGCACTATATAAATAAACCAATATTAATACAAAGGTCTGACGACCCAAGGGAGCAGAACAAAGATAAAACACCAATAAGAAAGATGAAGCGATCTGGTTGAGCCCAGATTCTTTCTACTCCTACTGTATTTCAGTTTCACCACTTTTCCTTCAACCCCTAATAATCTTCTTTCACCTCATAACTAAAGACTCCGTACCGTAGGAGTAGACCTCCCGTATCACCTTTCACCTTCGTTCTCAGGTATGTTCTGTGTTTATAACCATTCAGTTTGATTCAGTCTATTGTAGTGAATATCAGTGTTCATGCTTTAACAGAGGAATTGTCATTCACCTATTGTAAGAAGTAATATAACGTAAATATCTGACGTGGCGAGACTGAAGATTTGTTTGTGACCCACCATGCTTCCCCAAAAGACCTCCCGTATCACCTTTCACCTTCGTTCTCAGATCGAGGGTGGGCTTAATTGAAACCCACTGGTCGCTCGGAGCCGATGGATACCCAGCAGTGGTCAATATAGGAGTGATGGCGCTGATTCAGCATGATTAATCGGCTCTACTCTACCTCGTGGGCCGAGGACCCCAGACCCACCTCGTGTCGGAGTGTAACCGACCACAACAGCAGTTGTTAGAGGCGCCAGTGCTATACCCTGGGACAGGCCTTGGAGTTATGGTCCACAGTGTGGTCGTATGTGTTTGTTAATAATTACCCCATGTTGGTTAGTGGACCCATGTCGGTGTTTGTATCAGTATTAGTGTATTGGGAGTAAGGACAAGGAACTGGTCCTGCTATGTAATGTAAGGTGACACCAGTTATTGTGTGCACGGTAAGAGTGTAATATCTGAGTAATTGCTGTTGAGTAAATAGGAAAATAAGGAAACAAGTACATAAGAAATACAGAGTCTGCAATAGGCCCAGGAGTTGAGCCTGGTAGTTATATGTTAATAACATCTATTTTCCCCTTTGATTTTATATTAATAAACTTGTTCTTCGAGAATTTTAGGAGTATTCATTTCTCCCACAGTAGTTACCTTTATTTCCGTCCAAGTGACCCTGATATCAGAATTACACTACCCATGTGCCTAGACCATCGACATGCTACCAAGAAGAACTGAGGTTAGGTAGTACCAAAAATAAACTGAAGTGAGTAGAAGGAACAATTGAAAGAACTAAGACAGGTTGTGGTTTCACCCTTCTTTCCCCTTATCGATCTGGTCAATGAAAAACCTCACCCAATGCCTAGTCCACTCTGCCCGCTACCTAACGAGCTACATGCTGTCCAGAGGGGGTCTGGTGGCAGCGACCCTTAGAAATTAAGATTAGAGTGAAGTATTCCCCCTCAGAATTAGTGACCCCCAGTCTGGCAGTATAAGCTTGTTGATTTGTTTTTTTTGTAACTAGTATTTCCTTATACCTGTACTTTCTTTTCCCGTTCTCATCAGCATCTAAACAGAAAGTCACCGTTTACCCACAGGAAGGAATAGTGGTTATACTGAAGTAGTTGACATGTTTCGTGGAAGTATGATAGCTGCACATCCCCTCTCTCTGCCTATGAGAATGGATCCTACACCCTGGAGGAGTGAGGATGCTTCAGGTACGTTGGAGGAGATGATGAACATTATGGAGGATTGGGGAGGTGGAAGCATGGTGATGAGTCCCAGTACATGGTTCAGGGCTCAGAGCCACTGTTGCTCCTACGGTGACAACTCCGGCAGGCGATTCTCCATGACAAGGAGTTTGCACTCACCCGTCAGCAGTGTGGATGGAGATTGTGCCTCGCTACCACAAAAACATCATCAACACTAATAAGTGTGACGACAGTGACATCAACAACAGTAAGAACACAACAGCCTGCCATTGTCGGAGGTCCAGTGTTATCAATGATGACCTCAAAAGAGCCAGTGTTACCAGCGACGAAGCCACTATCGACAAACCAAAAGGGAAGTGACATAAGCAGTAATTCCGCCTCCAACAATAAGAAAGCTGGTGCAGGGGACCAGAAGACTCCGTGGCAGTTTGTGGTTGACGCGAGGGGGTGTGAGGAGGTGAGAGCGGTCACTAACTCAGGGATGTTAACAGTAGAAACCAAAAAACGACAAGGACACACCAGGATGATAGGGAGTTACTCCACCGTTCTGCCCCCAAACGTCGATCCCGACACGCTGACGGCCACACTCAGGGACGATCGACTGACTCAGCCAGGAGCCAGGGGCACATGCTGAAAAAGTCCTGCCCATTACCCCTGGTGAAGAAGAGATGTTTGTAGGTGACAGTCGCCACTAAGAACTACCACAACAGCTCAATTAAAACAGTCAACAGTTGCAACCAAGTCACCAGCAGGGCCAAGAGACGAACTGCCAAACGGTCAACAAGATTAACTAAAACCACAATCTTTACCGGTACAAGGACCCCCCCCCCCTAATAAAACACGAGAAGAAACCAGCTCAACTTGGGGTCCGCAGCTTTCTATCCCCAAAATATAACAGGTAAAATGCAGCAGTCTTATTCAGATTCGGAGGAACAAAGCATTTTGGAATGGAAAGACGTTCTTCCCAAATATAAACAAACAGCCGACACGCAGCAAGACTCAGTCGGATCAACGCCTCCGCCATCTACAATTAGTGCGACTTGCTCCAAGCCTCCAAGGCATCTACACTCAAGGTAGGTATCTACCTACCATGTCTACACTAACATGCGGGAGTAATAGTTCCTTCCTCCATATTGCTTGTTTCTGTCTGTTATACCCATCATTCCATTAAATATGTCACAGATGTAAGACAAAATTATATCAGTATTAATAATATACATTGTAGAACTATCATGGTTATTTTATGTCATTACAATAAAGTGCATAAATGTTGAAGTTCATTTCATTTCCCTTGAAAAAAGAAGGCGTGGCCCTAAGATTATTATTATCATTGAATGTAAGTCTCATAGGCCTATTATGGGTTGTGCGGTTACAACATACTAAACCTTGTGGACTGACCTGCTAGTACTGATAAAGATGCGAAGAGAATGAATGGGGAAAGAAAATAAACACTACGTGTAGACATACAAATAAATGGTAAACCGTAAACGGTTGTTGTGGGTTTGGGGTTACTAATGAAATAAAAGTAATCTTTGTGACTAAAAATGTGACCAACACTGCAGTATATTGCACTTACATTTAATTGAGACTTTGGATCACTTCCATAATATAACATAAGTATTTAAGGTCGAAAGTGTGGACTATGTGACAAAAAATTCTTATTTTTTTTTCTATTTTTTTATCCTCTTCACCACTGATCGGCTCGTTAGCCGGGTTGTGTGTAGAGAAACACATCATAATCTATACTGGAGTTAGTTTCTTTACTCAGTATGGAAAATCATGAACAGATAATTATACAAGTTAGTAAATCACACAGAAGAGATATCCGTTGTCAGTCCCTATATATTTGATAAACCAACATTATGTTACAGATGTCTTAACGGGCAGGTCTATCGTGGGTAATCTCGGCTGTGAGATATGTCTACACATCATTGGATACAGCCTCGTCAGAGTCGTCACTAACTGGGGGATCAAGAGGTATGTTGCATTAGCCAGTCTTCGAAGAAGGTGAGATCAGTGTAGATGCTGGGGCGGAAGGGTCTGGCGCAACCGTATCCCCAGGACACCACTCCGCCAAGGTAGGTTGTTTCGTCTGACTCGCAGGCCAACGGTCCCCCAGAGTCTCTGTGGCAGGCGTCCTTGCCTCCCTCCTCGTACCCAGCGCACATCATAGATTCATAGATCACATAATCATTGTAGGAGTTGCTACAGTCCTCACGTGACCAGATGGGAACCTCCAATTTCTTTGGAGTATTCACGTGTTGACCGTTTTCTTCCAGTGCTCCCCAGCCAGACACCAGACACTCACCCTCTACCTTCACACCGCTAGGGGGCAGGCGAAGAGGCTGTACGTGATCCGTGTAATGTAGGGGCTTCATCAACTTGATGATAGCAATGTCGTTCATATAAGTTTGGTCATTGAAATCAGGATGAAGGATTATCTTTTTGATTGTTGACACCTGCTCGAACCCTTCATCCTTACTGCAGTCGTGTTCTCCTGCCACAACCTGCAACAACACAAGATTAGCCATACTCTCCCATTTTCATTATGCCTCTCAACACTGCTCATGTACAGTACATATCTGCTTGTAATACAACATGTAACTACCCTCAATTTTGAATGTGTAAAACCTTAGGAGGGATACGTCTTCCTGTGTTTAACATTATTCACTACATTACAGCGTTGGATACAATTATATAACTGGATGGTCAACATGAGAGAAAATCTAATTTTCATTACGTTAAGTGTCTTCGCATGACAACATATGAAATTTACGAATGCAAATGATACTTCTCATTATATTTATGAATCATTTCTACTACAATTTACTAAGGAAGACTAACATACAAACTACTAAACCATTATAGCTTAAGCTTTTACTTATTTTCTTTTACTAAATGTTCTTCAATAAACAGCCAGTCACTTTTAATATTAGAAGAACCAAAGGAATTTTTTTCAAATGAAACTTACGAAAGTTGAGCGCCAGATAATGTTGAACACCTGAGACTTTACTCTTGGTACAGCCTTTTGAGACAAACTAAAAAGTCACTTTTGATGTTTCAGAGATTACTAATGACTTGAAGGGTTACTTTAGTATCATTATTTGGATGACCTAATCATATCACTTTATCCAGTATATTTAGGACATAAAACGCCTTTTAAAAATGTGCACAAAAAATTTCTTGTCCTAGTTCGTAGTACTTATGGAAATGGTGTAATTGATTTCTGTACAGTTAAAATTCAAGTCTTTTAGCAGCATTGTGCAATGTACATTTTAAAAGAACCCTTTTTCGAATTATCATAACGTAACGCACAATGTGAATGTCCTCATGTAATTAGGTGATTGAACACTGATGTTCAGTGATGTAATCAGCAACGAAGGCCTACCAAACACGTTTATGTAACAGCTTGGCGCAATTCCTGAGCGCCTAACGTAGAGAAGTTATAACTAAATAAAAAAAAATATAACTAAATAAAAAAAAATATATACCTCAACTTAAAGATTATCGGCTTACTGTCAGTATAAACTCCCCTGCGTGTCTCCTATGGGGTTTTATGTAGTTGTAGGAATGTTGTTGGCCTTTTAAACCTCAGTGAACATAGGAACAAGTCATCATAATTCACTTCCACTACGCCTTATCTATACTGTGTGTGTGTGTTTTTTTTTTAAGTGATTGTGAATTTACCATGAACACACATACAGCCATACGTGTATACAAACAGATAACTTATCTTTATAACTTTAAATTTAAATATTATTGAGCAACTTCAAAAAGAATGATTAGCTCAGTCATATCTCCATACTTACTGATTGACAGAATTAATTTATAATAAAATATTTAATCAGTTTTCAACATTATAACGTAACACAACGGCCATCTTCACGTGGAGTTTCTTGGGCAACACACAACTGTAATATATATGTTCGTTACAATTTATTCGACCAGTAGTTATAGGGATATTGTTGACTTTTTAACCCTCAGTGAACATAAGAACAAATCATAACTCACTTCCACTACGCCTTATCTATACTGAATCTCATTTTAAATCTATTTGTTGACACCTAAAGATAACATGACAGCTGGTGTAAATCCTAGGTGTTAAAAGACAAGTTTATTGCGGAGATTAACGGTTATCAGAGAGCGGCCCCCAGCAGCTACTTACATCCTCTAGCTTTCTACTATTATTATGGTTTACGCTTCCTGGGCCCTCGCGGACAGGCTACTAAGGCGAAACCCACCAAATTGGGCTATTGGTAGTCATTTGAAACTCTCCCTCTTGCCTGTTGTTGCAGCTACCTACACTGCTGGATCAGCCAAGATGTGTTTGCAGCTTGCGCTCCTGCCTCACCACATAAATCAACACACGCACAGCCATCATGAGGTAGGTGATCTGGTATAAAACATGTGCTTCGAAAGAGTGGTGAATAATGAGGGAGGTTTCAGAGCAAGCCCCACCTGCACGAGTTCGAGGTCGATCATGGAGAAGCAATGGGCGGCCGAGATGATCGTTGTATAGTCGTAGACGGAGCCGCCGCAAAAGTGCTCAGCGCTTCCCCAGCGAGTATCCTGGATGCTCACCATGTAGGGTAACTCCCCAGGCGACACAGACTCCCCTCCTACGATCTTTATCGGCCCCCAGGTGGTGCTGTCGGGAGTGGCGGATGTGCGCCCTCCTGTTGTGGCGTATCCTGCTGCTGAAGAATATAATGGACATATAATTTGATAAGGTGTCACTCATGAGTTACAGTTGTGGACAAACTTCCCAAAACACTTGGCATTATCTGACATCTATTTCTGGGTCATATATCCGATTGATTTATATTGAATAACGTTGCCTTTCATCACACATTATGTCAGATTCACAAAATGGGGGAAAACACTCCTGTTGGGTAGACATAGGCAAATGGCGTAAAGAAACTTGCCTATATATATATATATATATATATATATATATATATATATATATATATATATATATATATATATATATATATATATATATATATATATATATATATATATATATGGAGATGACACATTAAAGGGAATTAAACGGCACACTGGAAGAGCATCGCTACTGACCGAGGACTGGCATGAGAACGACGACCAAAGGAGTATTCATTGTGTCACTCACTCTTACTACTACTGTACTCCACCTCCTTTAACCCGTCAATATATACAGTGTCACCCCCAGCCCCACCTAAATACCCCTCAATAACCACCTTCATCCAGCCCTAGATAAAACAGCACTTTGGTGATAAAAGGATTTAGACACTTTCATCAACAAATACTTCAAAACCTCAGGTGGTCTGACGCTCAGAGTCCTGGAAAACAAATGCAGCTATGAAGAGCATTATAGGATTAATATAACAGTGCAGGATAAAAACATCCTCACCTACCTAATCATTACCAGGTGGCAGGTGTTTCACAGTATCAGTATTATATAAGGTGGTACAGGTGTTGTGTATCAGTATTATATAAGGTGGTGCAGGAAGCAGGTGTCTGGTAGTGGATAATAAACACTGGATTTAAATTCCTCCTGTCAATCCTTAATGCCTCGGGTTATTAAATCACACTGACGACACAGTCGGAGACAATATCCTTAGGTAAGCTTATTGTGGCCTTAAGCCACACTTACTGCCGACGACTTACTTGAATCCAAGGTACACCTGTGGCGTCAACCACCAGAACACGCCGAGATGTCGACCAGCAACAGAAGTGCAGACAGATAAAACGGTGCCGAGGATGACTGTAGCCTGTCAAATACTCTTCTTTGTTTGGAACTTAACTCGTGGTGCCGGCAGCCAGCCGGGTCTCTGTGTCGATTGTCTTTCAGTAGGCCTCACACTTATTTCAGGGACAGCCCATCTGTCCTTCGTGTAGTGTATGACGGCCCATAGCTACAAGAGCCTCTTGATAGCTGCTGGCATAACTTATGCTTACAGTATTTTCCTGGCTCGGTGGTGGACTCTTATATGTTGGGAGAGCTGCACCGTTGAGCCCGGCGTGAAACACTGGACGGCAGTACACCACTGTTCGTTGAATGTGACGTAGATTTTCTCAAGTGCCCAGGTGGCACCGTGAACTTCTTGAGTACATGGAACATGCGGAGGAGGCGGGATGCCCTCCCGAGTTCCTCCCACGATAGGTCACTTTATGATGGCGACACAACTGTTCACCACAGGTATGATGGTTTCATGCACAGTCACTTCCAGTTATATCAAGAGTTTCTTAGCTGTGTTTATATGCAAAATCTGATACTTATTGATCGTAGATGGTGACTAAAGTAAGATATAAGTGCAGTACCTCTGACAGGATGATGTTCCTCAAGCAGATTTGAACAAAAGTAAATGTAAACTTTTTATTTTTATCCTCTTCACCACTCATCGGCTCGTAGCCGCTTGGGCAATCGGTCACGTCTTTGTTACGCACTGTTGGCAAGTACTGGGCATGCCCCGGCTCCTGAATGTACCTGAATCTGCTCCAGTGTTGGTCAAGTCTGGTCTTGAAAGAGCTCACACTCGGTGCAGTCACAACACTTTCTGGTAGATTGTTCCAAGAGTTCACAACTCTCACTCCGAAAAAGTTTGCCCTCACAGTTTTTTGGACTTGCGGCTTCTTCTATCTTGAGCTGTGACCCCTTGTGGGACGAGCGTCCGCCAGCTCCAAGTAAGGACGCTCGACTGAGTAGTGCCCCTTGAGATGCTTATACACCTCAGTTAGGTCGCCCCTTGCCCGTCTGTAGTATAAGCTAGGCAAGTTCAGGCGCTCCAATCTCCCAGGGTAGTTGAGGTGCCGAAGTGCAGGCACCAGTCTGGTGGCCCTCCTTTGAACATTCTCAACCAACTGACAGTCCTTAGCATATCTCGGGGACCAGACGGGGTGACAGTACTCCAGATGGGGAAGCACTTCACTCTTGAAGATCGTTACGAGGGATATCTGAACGACCTTCTTATAAGACCCAATAATTTATTTGCCTGATTTACCTTCTTCTCGCAATGGCCCGAGAACTTCAGCTCATTGTCAACATTCTCACATTCAGTCTCAAATAGTGCAGTTTCTTCATCCCGATAGGACATAATTATGATACGCCTCCTTACCGTTGGTACGCCCCAGGTGCATCCTCTTACACTTCGTGACATTGAATCTCAGCAGCCATTTCTTCGACCATTCTTATAGCTCACAGAGATCCTTCTGCAGCTCTTCACAGTCCGTATGGTTCTTGATTTCCCGAAATAACTTGGCGTCATCGGCATTTGTATGGAGGAGTGTACAACGTCAGGCATGTCATTTATGTGTTGCTGACTGCTTCTTAATGAGTCATGGGTGGTGCTGACGAGTACTAATGAGTCATGAGTGGTGCTGACGAGTACTAATAAGTCATGGGTGGTGTTGACGAGTATTAATGAGTTTTGGGTGGTGCTGACGAGTATTAATGAGTCGTGGGTGGTGCTGACGAGTACTAATGAGTCATGGATGGTGCTGACGAGTATTAATGAGCTATGGTTGTTGCTGACGAGTATTAATGAGTCATGGACGTTGCTGACGAGTACTAATGAGTCATGGGTGGTGCTGACGAGTATTAATAAGTCATAGGTGGTGCTGACGAGTATTAATAAGTCATGGGTGGTGTTGACGAGTATTAATAAGTCATGGGTGGTGTTGACGAGTATTAATGAGCTATGGTTGTTGCTGACGAGTATTAATGAGTCATGGACGTTGCTGACGAGTATTAATGAGTCGTGGGTGGTGTTGACGAGTATTAATGAGCTATGGTTGTTGCTGACGAGTATTAATGAGTCATGGACGTTGCTGACGAGTAATGAGTCATGACTAAGTCATGCTGACGTATTAATGAGCATGGAGTATTAATGAGTCGTGGGTGGTGTTGACGAGTATTAATGAGCTATGGTTGTTGCTGACGAGTATTAATGAGTCATGGACGTTGCTGACGAGTATTAATGAGTCATGGGTGGTGCTGACGAGTATTAATAAGTCATAGGTGGTGCTGACGAGTACTAATGAGTCATGAACGTTGCTGACGAGTATTAATGAGTCATGGGTGGTGCTGACGAGTATTAATGAGTTATGGTTGTTGCTGACGAGTACTAATGAGTAAAAAAAAATATATATATAATGTGAGACTGATAAACTATTGACAGTGTGTTGGTGGCGGACGAGAGGTATGTCATGTTTTCGCCTGACTGACAGACATGCGTCACTCTTCTATAGATTGCGGGATCAATATCCGGCCTCACTACGCCGCCATCTAATAAGTTCTTCATTCAATAGAAGATCTATTTCAAGACATACATATCTTATAAACCTGATTGTCAGTTTTAACACGTAACGACATCCGACGGAATTGAGATACTGTACAATATCCTCTTGGCAGCTGCGGCAATGTAGTGTTGTCATGACGACGGAGGGACGCCACTACCGGCCCGCGCTTTCACCCTCCTGCATCTATAGAAATTTTATTTATCATTTCCTCACTGAGCAGCTACTAGCCGTTTGGGTGTTTGTAAGTATTATTAGATGTTGTTAATGATTCCCTAACGTCATAAGTTACTATTCAGCTTTGAATATCAAATGTTCCATTGTGTGTATATGTGTGTGTGTGTGTGTGTGAGAGGCTGAGTGTGAGTGTGTGTGAGTGTTTTTATGAGTGAGTGTGTGTGTGTGTGTGTGTGTGTGTGTGTGTGTGTGGTGTGTGTGTGTGTGTGTGTGTGTGTGTGTGTGCATGTGTGTGTGTGGGCGTGTGCGTTTATGCATGTGTGTGTGTGTGTGTGTGTGTGTGTGTGTGTGTGTGTGTACATATACCTTGATCACGCGTACCTACTGTAGTTTGAGCTTCTCCCCACCTAGTTATTAAATATCATATTTGTATCACTTATGTTACTTGTATATTATTTGTAAATCAAGAGACCCATTCCCCAATTATGTAACTGTATATTTTCAGTCGCCCGGCTGCCATGCTCTTTCAATAAACCGTTAATTATTATTATTATTATTAAAGCGATTTATTTGCCTGTATGTATTTATTATTATTATTATTATTATTACGGGGATTAGCCCACCCGGGTACAGGTCACTGACCCACCTCGGGGCCTGGGGGGGGGGCGAAAATATAATAATAACAATAATTCAGATGAGTAAAATTTATAATAGAAAATACAAAAATAAAAATAATACAATAATAATGATAACAACAATAATAATAACACTGCAATAATACTACTACTAATAATAATAAAGAACCATAAAGAAATACAATAATTAAAAAAAGATCAAAAGTGAGAAATAATATACAGTATGTATGTTGTGTTGTCAATGGTAAGGTAAACAATTGTGTGTAAATGAGGCAGAAAGTCAGATCAGCAACCTGGGACTTGGTCACATATGGCAGCAGGGTCTACCATTAGACAACACATTATGCTTCCAATATCTTCCCAGGCGGTAGTACCTCCCTGCTTGGTAGCTGCCTACTACCTACTACCTTGTGTGTGGCCAGGAAGTATTTAATGTATGAGTTTATATAATACAGATAAAGTACACGTAAAACCTCTTGCATCTATGCTGGCGACGATAAGGTTATAAAAGTGGCTTTAGGGAGTTAGGGGCTTGTTCACACTGAGCCCGGAAGTAACCTGACGTAAATTGTCCGGGGAGAGACGATATGTGACGCCGCAAGTGTGTAAGGCAGCAGGTGTGTGAGGCAGCAAGTGTGTGACGCCGCAGGTGTGTGAGGCAGCAGGTGTGTGAGGCAGCAGGTGTGTGAGGCACCAGGTGTGTGAGGCACCAGGTGTGTGAGGCAGCAAGTGTGTGAGGCAGCAGGTGTATGAGGCAGTAGGTGTATGAGGCAGCAGGTATGTGGGGCAACAGGTGTATGAGGCAGCAGGTGTGTGAGGCAGTAGGTGTATAAGGCAGCAGGTGTGTGAGGTAGCAGGTGTATTAAGAAGCAGGTGTGTGAGGTAGTGGGTGTATAAGGCAGTAGGTGTATAAGGTAGCACAGGTGCGTGAGGGCAGCAGGTGTGTGAGGGCAGTAGGTGTATGGGGCAGCAGGTGTGTGGGCAGAGGTGTATGAAGCAGCATATGTATGGAGGCAGCAGGTGCGTGAGGCAGCAGGTGGTGAGGCAGTGGGCAGCAGGTGTGTGGGCAGTAAGTGTGGGGCAGCAGGTGTGTGAGGGCAGTAGATGGATGAGGACAGCAGATGTGTGGGCAGCAGGTGTGTGGGGCAATAGGTGTGTAGGGGCAGCAGGTGTGTGAGGCAGGTGTGTGTGGCAGCAGGTGTGTGAGGTAGCAGGTGTGAGGCAGTGGGTGTGTGGCAGGTGTGTCAAGCAGTAGGTGTATGGGGCAGCAGGTGTGTGAGGGAAGTAGGTGTGAGAGGCATCAGGTGTATGAGGCAACAGGTGTGCGAGGGCAGCAGATTGTGTGGGCAGCGGGCGTATAGGCAGCAGGTGTATGAGAGGTGTTGGTGTGTGAGGCAACAGGTGTGTGAGCAGCAGGTGTGTGAGGCAGTGGGTGTGTGAGGCAGCAGGTGTGTGAGGCAGCAGATGTGTCAGGCAGCAGGTGTATAAGGCTGCAGGTGTGTAAGGCAGCAGGTGTGTAAAGCAACAGGTGTGTGAGGCAGGAGGAGTGTGAGGGCAGCAGGCGTGTGTGCAACAGGAGTGTGAGGCAGCAGGTGTATGAGGCAGCAGGTGTGTGAGGCAACAGGTGTATAAAGCAGCAGGTGTAGGAGGCAACAGGTGTGTGAGACAATAGGTGTATGAAGCAGCAGGTGTGTTAGGCAGCAGGTGTGTGAGGCAGTGCAGTAGGTGTGTGAGGCAGCAGTGTGAGAAGCAACAGGTGAATGAAGGGGAGCAGGTGTGTGAGGCAGCAGGTGTGTGAGGCAGCAGGTGTATGAGGCAGCAGGTGTATGGGGCAGCAGGTGTGTGAGGCAGGTGTGTGTAACAGCAGGCGTGTGTGGCAGGTGTGTGAGGTAGCAGGTGTATGAGGCAGCATGTGTGTGATGCAACAGGTGTATGGCAGCAGGTATGTGAGGCAGCAGGTGTGTGAGGCAGCAGTTGTGTGAGGCAGCAGGTATATGGGGCAGCAGGTATGTGGGGCAGCAGGTGTGTGAGGCAGCAGGTGTGTGGAGGCAGAAATTGTGTGTGAAGCCGTGTGTGTATGGGCAGCAGATGTGAGGAAGCAGGTGTGTGAGGCATCAGGTGTATGAGGCAGCAGGTGTGTGAGGCAGCGGGCGTATAAGGCAGCAGGTGTGTGAGGCAGCAAGTGTGTAAAGCAACAGGTGTGTGAGGCAGCAGGTGTGTGGGGCAGGTGGTGTGGAGCAGTAGGTGTGTGGGGCAGCAGGTGTGTGAAGCAGCAGGTGTGTGAAACAATAGGGTGTATGAGCATGCAGCATGTGTGTGAGGCAACAGGTGTGTGGAGGCAGCAGAGTGTGTGAGGCAGCAGGTATGTGAAACAGCAAGTGTATGAAGCAACAGGTGTGTAAGGCAGCAGGTGTATAAGGCAGCAGGTATGTGAGGCAGCAGGTGCATGAGGCAGCAGGTATGTGAGGCAGCAGGTGTATGAGGCAACAGGTGTATGAGGCAGCAGGTGTGTGAGGCAGCAGGTGTGGGAGCAGGTGGTGTGGGAGGCAGCAGGTGTATGAGGCTGGAAATGTGTGAAGCAGCAGGTGTGTGGGGCAATAGGTGTATGCAGCAGCAGGTGCGTGAGCAGCAGCAGCAGGTGTGGGAGGCAGCAGATGTGTGGGGGCAGATGAACAATAGGTGATGAGTGTAGGTGCGTGGGCGCAGGCGTTGGGGCAGCATGAGGCAGCAGGTGTGGAGGCAGCAGGTGTGTGAGGCAGCAGATGTGTGAGACAATAGGCCTGGGTGTATGAGGCAACAGGTGTATGAGGCGGCAGGTGTGTGAGACAATAGGTGTATGAGGCAGCAGGTGTATGGAGGCAGCAGGTGTATGAGGCAACAGGTGTATGAGGCAGCAGGTGTATGAGGCAGCAGGTGTATGAGGCAGCAGGTGTATGAGGCAGGAAATGTGTGAAGCAGCAGGTGTGTGAGGCGGCAGGTGTGTGAGGCAGCAGGTGTATGAGGCAGCAGGTCTTCACAACTCTTTCATCTCACTGGGAACTACTTTTTACACAGTCGTTCACTCCTGCTGCTGAGAGAGGATGGCGGGACCTGCACCAAGGATCCACCTTAGTCGAGCTAGTAGTAGTGTGTCCGAGGACCGCGACGACCACTATCACCACGAGAGGTCAGTACCAGTATGTTTGACGACCACTACCACCACGACAGGTCAGTTCCAGTATGTTTGACGACCACTACCACCACGACAGGTCAGTTCCAGTATGTTTGACGACCACTACCACCATGACAGGTCAGTACCAGTATGTTTGACGACCACTACCACCACGACAGGTCAGTACCAGTATGTTTGACCACCACTACCACCACGACAGGTCAGTACCAGTATGTTTGACGACCACTACCACCACGACAGGTCAGTACCAGTATGTTTGACGACCACTACCACCACGACAGGTCAGTACCAGTATGTTTGACGACCACTACCACCATGACAGGTCAGTACCAGTATGTTTGACGACCACTACCACCACGACAGGTCAGTACCAGTATGTTTGACCACCACTACCACCACGACAGGTCAGTACCAGTATGTTTGACGACCACTACCACCACGACAGGTCAGTACCAGTATGTTTGACGACCACTACCACCACGACAGGTCAGTACCAGTATGTTTGACCACCACTACCACCATGACAGTTTATGTGATCACTTTTGACAACGCATAATAAGAGGTAACCATGATGTAACGTTTGGTGCTGATGTGTAGCGGTGATGTGTGAGGGTTTACATAGAAGCATGTTGTGGTCTTGTTACGGTGACAGATGGGAATGACATGTAGTGATGGTGTAGAGGTGTGGGAGTGGTAGAATGGAATAACGAGTGGTGACTGAGGTGATATGTGGTGTTGATGGTGATGTGTGGTGGTGTTTTTGGTGGTGGACCTTTAGTGATGAAGTGTGGGGGGTGAAATAGCTGTATTGGTAAAATTTGTGGTGATTTTTAGGTGTGATATGTGAAGGTGGCCTGTGATGGTAACGTGTAATACTGACGACATACGAAGGTGAAATGTAGTGATGGTATTTGATGATGACATGTGATGGTGACTTGTGATGATGATGTGTGATAGTGACTTGTGATGATGACATGTGATGGTGTTACAGGGACGACGGTGCTGCCAGTGAAGATGAACTGTGGAGTGCCCTAACCCCTGAGCACCTCTTACTGCTGCATCAACACTTCTGCCGCCCACGGTATGTTACACACACACACACACATATATACACACACGCCTTCATACACACCCCTTCATACAAACACCTACACACACGCCTTCATACACACACACAGGTCAACACGAGACACCTATACAGTATATGTTGTGTTCAGTTTTGTCACAAAGTTTCAGTGAAGCAGACATTCCTTCACTGAGGTTCACTCTACCTAGATTTGAGAACCATTTGATTTTTACCCAAAGGTTTCCTCATCTTCTGGCATGCACAAAAAACATATCTGCTACACTGATAAGAATGGAATGTCCTGTTGTGTGACATTACCCAGGAGTGAGTGACTCTACCCATACTGAATGGTTGGTAGGATGATGAAGACCTGCTATGAATTACTTTTTTTTTACGCCTTTAGCTCCGATTTGCAAGTTTCTTTCTGGTTGTTTTACTTGGGATTGTAGGTATGGTAGTCTATGGATTACTGGAGTGTCACACTTGCGGCTATGTGTGTTGCAGGTTTGGGAATATTATAGTTTGCAGGCTTGGAATCAAAGGTGCAGCAGGCTCTGGATCATACTGTATACTCCAGGCTTCTAATTTTCGTCCCATCTTAAATTTTATCAACAACAAATGCACTCATACCGTATAACGCTTGAGCTTGATATACGATCATCTTGTAAAGTCCCTGGAGTTTAACAAAATGTTGGTTTTGGAAACAATTCGGTTTTCTGAAGAATTACTCACCACCAACAGCTATACTGTATTAAAAATGACTCAATGATATTTTACAATCATTAGACAAAGGTGATGACACAATAGTTATTTCCTCAATTTACTTAATGCTTTTGATACCATTGACCGTGAAATTCTATGAAGTAAATTAAAGCACTATGGGATCAGGAATTACCACAGGGGTAACCCAGGGATCAGAATTAGGGCCTCTCCTATTCCTTCTAAACATTAATAACCTTGTAAGACTTTCAGATATGTTGGAGTTTTTATTGTCTGCAGATGATACAAGTGTACCTCAGTCGGGACCAAATCTTGCATCACTTATTAATAACTAACAGAGAAATGAAAAATTTTTGTAATTAGTTATTAGCAAACAAGTTGTCTCGTAATACTTCTGTATCAATCTAAATAGGCTAATAAACACTTGACTTTGGAGTGAGAAAAGCATTTTATGACAACTGTAAGTGACGTAGGTGTGTTGCAGGGGGTGGACGGGCAGAGCCTCGCTGGCGGGGCAGGAAGATACACCCACCAAACACCTCTCACGACCACAGTTTATTGAGGCCGTCACCAACCTCCTCGGTGAGTCCCTGATGGTCTTCCTGTACCTAGAGTCTCTATATACTGAGAGTAGCGACATGGAGGGTCCTGGAGAATCAGATCACGTAATCACTGGCCACCATTTTGTTTCAACCCGTGCATACATAGTGAGCCCGTCTAATTCTACATTAATTACCATCTGACCATTGCTTTGGATGGGTGGATGAGTGATTTTTCTTTACATTATAATGGGATGTTGGGCATTTGGATGAAACAATATGTCAGTCCAGGGATTTACGATGCACAGATTAGCGAATTCCGAAAGAAAGTGTGGAAAATTAAATCAGTTTTGGGGGTTGGAAATCCAAACCATCATTTTTGCATCGGGTAAGTTTTGTGGCCATACAATTATTAATCAGGTTTTAATGATGACACTCATAATAAAGAATTAAATCCCATCTATATCTTTGCATTTTGGCAACGCAACTCTCATTCTTTGTATTTAACTGGAGAACCAGGAAGTTTACTTACGTCATCCACCGCCAAATCCAACCCATCCACATTCATGAGTTGATGCTACCAATGTGAGGTATCCGCACACCACAATCCCACCACAAATAACCCATGTCAAGACTAATTCAATTTTTTCACCCAACACCAGTTCCCGGAAAAACTGTCGGCCTCTTAGCCAATGGTAGACTGCTATACACAGGCAAGACCCATGTCATGTACTGGGGACGCTCATGGGTAGCCCTGGGACATCGCTTGGATTGATTTGGGGCAGGATAACAAACATTTCACTACATGGTAACAACATCTCAGTCATAGCTACAAAACAAAATGAGTGAAGATAACAAAACACTAATGGTAATAACACTCGTAACAGTAATGCATTACTGGTGGTAACAATACATTAGTGATGGTAACATTAAAATGTGTTGGTAACAATAGCAGGATACACTAACAGGTGGTGGTGCTGGTGACAGGTAGTGACAGGTATGAAGGTGTGTGTGGTGCCATCTTCGACACGGTGGTGGTGCCATCCAGCCGAGTGTCTCCCAGCTTGGCTTCTAGTGGGGTGAGTGTTCCCACCACCATCATGAGCAGCAGCACTAGTAGCAACATCAGCAGCAGCAGTAACAGCAGTGCCGGGTGAGGAACCTTTCCATAATTATATGATAGTATAAAGTATTGTGTTGAGTAGAATTTACTTATTACTGTATAGTTATTGTTTGATTAGCATCTATAAAAATTATATTTGGTTTATTTATGGGTGATGATGTGGGTGTGTTACAGGGGCACCTTGGGCATCAGTTGGGCAGGAGTGGTGTCATACCTGGCAGGGGTAGTGGCTGGTGGTGGGCAGCCAGCTCCCTCACACCCTCTCTTCTCCCCAACTCCACGCTACCGACTCCTCACGTACAACAAGGTAATCTCTCCAGGCACCTTACAATAAAACTCCTTTCATATTACTAACTTAATATTGTTTAATGGTAACACTGCCTCTCCTGCTGTCTTGATATGGTTGGAAAGCATGATTGTGATGTCATTTCCCTTATTCTTGTTTTCGAAATATTTTAATCATATTTCAAAACACAATGACTGAATCAAAATGAGAAAACATTGACAATGCTGATGTAATATAGTAATAAACATGTACTGAAATACAAGTTCCCCAAATTAATATTTAACAGGTCTACAATGTTCTCATGATCTGTTATTACTAGTTTACATTCAATTTGTATTCTTTGATTTCCAATAAACTTTACTCCCCGGTATTTTATGATTACACAGAAAAGGAAGCTGCATTATGACAAGTGACAGAAAAAGTGCCATTGGCTGTTCCACATATTCCCATACAAGGAAAGGAAGGCTACCAATGTTAAACCAGATGTGAAAGCTTTGTAAGGAATTTTTCACCAGGGTGTCATATTGTTCAACACTCAAGAGATAAAACTAATTTATGGTCTGATTGTATTGCACATTACAGTCTACGGGAAATAGAAGAATCACCATCCTGAGTTTTTTCTAGTATCTGGTCCTATTAAAGTTCACCTTACTGTATAATGTGTTACTGTGCTAAAAGAATTTAAGCCCGTACATGAGTCTAGTTCATATACACTCGATATCAATCATCAAAACCTAAGAGAGATACAGTCCTTAGGTTGCACCAGCTAATGTTATAATGTTTTCACTGTGCTTCAACAACTAGGACATGTATGAATAATTATTAATTACAACAGTCCATCACCTCAGCTATTAAATTTTAAGAGATAAAACTCTCTGATAACTATTGTTCTAAGAATACATAGATAAACACCTTACTTATTGCTCATACTCAACAACTATGTGTACATACAGTATCTTATCATATTTAAGTATTTTTATTACATATCACAGATTAGATTATTTTTATACATCACTTTTTTGTTTGATAATGATATACAACATTCATGATGGCTCGATACGTATTCCTATAATACCCAAGACAGTCATCATACACACCAATAAAACTATAAATTGAAATGTTTATACAGTATCATCTATAAGTGTACCTTTTAAAACCTGTTTATTATATTTATTATCAGTGAAGATAAAGATAATTGGGTAAGAGTGGAGGAGGCGGTTTGTAGCAGCAATAACTTATGGGATTCATTCATATTTTTCACAGGTGTTTTTTGGATGATAGTAAGTTAGAAAACCGACACCACAACTGTTTCCTTTAATTTTATGTATTTTTTGTCTATTTTTTTTCTTCTCTATCTTCGATCATCAATCAACTACAGGCATCTCCCACATTAGGGAAGGGTTGCGTCCCTGGAAAATTAACCATATCGTGAAATTGTGTAACGCAAAACCTATTTTCCCATTGACTTCCATTATAAAACTGGAGATGCGTTCCTAAGGAATTTTTTTCATCCCCCCCCCAAAATAATTCAAGCACTTTTATGAATGAAAATAAACATTTATAAACACATACAATACAGTACATTAAATAATTTATGATATATCTTCTTAAAACATCAAGTTTAATATCCAATGTAATGCCTTTGCGGCTTTTTTTTGCACTACTGCGGTCACTTCCACTTGATGGCCTCTTTCCAGTCATCTTGAATAAGGGTAATGCACTGTACTGTACTTACTGTATGTTTGTAAAAGTTAAATCCAACTGCTGGGGCGAGAAACATGCGCACACACTGCATGTAAACAATGGAGTGACTCCGCGTGGCGACGCCATGCTTGGTGGTAGCAAACACCAAGAAATCCACACCAAAGTTATTTTTTTTAATTGTTAAAATTTACTCCAATTTCTGTAAGGGCGGATTTACGGGCCGTATCGCGAAATTATTGGTCATAATTTACAAATTCCGTAAGAGCGAAATTCCGCAACACGGGGTTCCGTAATGCGGGGGATGCCTGTATAGTGGGCAGGGCATGACAAAAGAGGGGAATTATGTGGTAAATCACGGCAAAAAACTGATCATATGGCAGTAATTTCATGTACAGATATCTACAGTACGTGCTTTGTAGATGAAGAAATAAATATTTACCATAAATAATCTTCTGCCAAATCTCCCATGGCCCCGATTGTTCTCGTCCGCTCTCATGTGGTTAGACGAGGACAAACATCTTGTCATCACTGATGGAGAGGGAGTTCTCAGCAAGCAGCCACTGGAGGATCTGGCAGCACTCGCTCCATGTAGCCATGAGGAAGTTGATAGTCGCATGTTGCTGCATGTCACAAGCTGCACAGTATGGCCACAGCTGACACAGACAGCGTGGTGTTGACCATGTCTGTGGCACTAGGTCTGCAACCAGAAGATGAACTGTGGCTGGCATAATAAGTTTGATAATCCCCCAACTATTAGGTAAACACGTTAGGAAGGAAAATATATAGGGGTAAAATGTTGCAAATATGAGCAGTTTTTATCGTATGCCAGAATACTATTATTGTCTGCTGGAAATACATCTAGTATTCACAAATATTAGCAGTGTAAGCAAATATATTATTGTTCTGGGCAGCGTGAAGGCGTGGCGGGCGTGGTGGTGTGCCGTGGTCGAAGAGCATTGCTGGTGGTGGGCGCGCGAGGCTCACTCACCAAGTTAACGCACGGGTCAGTCTCCAACTCGGATAACTTCCTGTTGCCATAATCATCTTTTTATTTTTTCTCATATCATAATAAGTGTGTGTAAACCACAACTGTATATTATTCTATGTTTCACTGGTTGCTCTCTAAAAGTTTAATGCCTCAGACTATTACTCTTAAATTTCTAAGTCCCCCCTCCAGAGCGCCATAGCAAGAAACTTCTCATTTGTGCTCAAAACCACAAAATTTGAAGTTAGTGTCCCGTAAATCATCCTACTTGACCATCAAGTTTAGAGCATCAATGGCGGAATTACTGTAGTACATCCTAAACATTCTTAATATAAATATATTTTTCAGGCTATTATGGTGTAATACTACTACGTACTACTAATAACAATAATAATATTAAGTAGTGAAGAGGATAAAAGTAAAGTAAAAGTAATAATAAAAGTAATAATAATAATTATAATAACACTAATAATTAATGGTTTATTGAAAAACACACCAACCAGAGGCTGAAAATGTAAAAATGGACAACAAATGAGTTACTGTAATAGGTATATTGACATTGGATGGATTGTTTAACAAAAGCTTTCAATATAAAATGGGGACATGGAGTTAACATATAAGTTATTTATGAATCACTGATAATTTGGTGTTATGAAGGAAACATGTGGTTGTAGACCTGCCTCACTAGTGGTGTTGTGGAGGAAACGTGTGTGTGTGTGTGTGTGTGTAATAATGATAATAATAATAATTACAGGTTTACTGAAACAGTTCTGCAGCCCAAAGGCTGAAAATATACATTGAACATAAATGACTTATTATATACATTGACATTGGTGGTTTAACAAAAGCCTTCATTAGAGAAAGGTAAAAGAACATACAGATTAATGTTCAAAGTGGAGGTTACACAGGTCATGTGCGCTGAGGTGTTGAACAGCAAACAAATAGTGTAGTAACTCCCTCATAGATGGTGTTATGAGGGACCTCACTTGGGGTAGTAATTCCCTCACAGATGGTGTTATGAGGGACCTCACATGGTGTAGTAATTCCCTCATAGATGGTGTTATGAGGGACCTCACTTGGGGTAGTAATTCCCTCACAGATGGTGTTATGAGGGACCTCACATGGTGTAGTAATTCCTTCACAGATGGTGTTATGAGGGACCTCACTTGGGGTAGTAATTCCCTCACAGATGGTGTTATGAGGGACCTCACATGGTGTAGTAATTCCTTCACAGATGGTGTTATGAGGGACCTCACTTGGGGTAGTAATTCCCTCACAGATGGTGTTATGAGGGACCTCACGTGGTGTAGTAATTCCCTCATAGATGGTGTTATGAGGGACCTCACTTGGGGTAGTAATTCCCTCACAGATGGTGTTATGAGGGACCTCACATGGTGTAGTAATTCCTTCACAGATGGTGTTATGAGGGACCTCACTTGGGGTAGTAATTCCCTCACAGATGGTGTTATGAGGGACCTCACATGGTGTAGTAATTCCTTCACAGATGGTGTTATGAGGGACCTCACTTGGGGTAGTAATTCCCTCACAGATGGTGTTATGAGGGACCTCACGTGGTATGTGTGTGTGTGTGTGTGTTATAATAATGATAATAATAATAATGATTAACAGTTTAGTGAGAGAAAATAAGTCAAGGGCTGAAAATAAATAGTGAACAGAAATTATGTAAATTACATATGAAAATATTGGAGGGGTGTCATTTAACTTCAACTTTAAATATAAAACGTGGAGGACACACGTAGTGAACATACCTGTTAACAAGGGTCTGATAGTTTTCACTGTGGTTGGAGAGAGGCTGGTCCCAGTTCTGATGCAACTGTGGTGTAGCTGGCCTCAGTTCACGTGGTATACTTGGTCCCACATGGTCTTAACACAAGGAAGCAATGTGGCTGCCACTCGCTGGTCTTCATTTCCTTAGTTTCTTTTGTCATTATAACCATCAATGCAAATCATCCTGCTTCAACAATTCCCATTGTGTGTCAAGGATAAACCTCGGTTAATGCATTTGACAACATTAATTATCTTATCTATTCCTGCTCATTTTATTTTTTAAATCACATAAAGTTATTGTCAAGATCTATGAATGGTCTTCGCTATCTCATGTGCAACTTTTTTTTAAACAAACCAGCACGATACACCGCATAATAATAATGATAATAATAATGTTAATAATAATAATTTTCAAACAAACCCATATTTATCCTGCATCTACTACAACGCTATGATTTCACCGCTGCAGCAAGTGGCGGTATCAGCAATACTCACGGCTCCTCCTAGACTCAACACCAGACGAAGAGCAACAAACTCCAGCGCCACGCAAGGTAAGGAAGGCTGCTTGGTACTGTACCTATACTTTATCCTGACTGGTGATGAATCTGGCCTCTTGCTCACCTGCTACCTGTAATATTTATTGTTTTGTGCCAGAGACCAGATGTCATTCAGGTCTACTTTATAAAGGAGACCGTGAACACTACCAGTTGTCACATGGTTGTAGAAGTACCGTTAACTTTTTTCATTATTTTATAGAATTTAGTTCAATATAAATCTTATCTAACCTTACTATTTATAACATACACTCAATATATTTGTGAGAACATTAAATAGATGAATTAGATTAATTCTCTGTTCCCATTTTACTTAAGAAAGCTTAGAAGTAAAAATAAGTCTGATAGGCATGACGGCAACCCTTAGGACAAGAGGCCTCCCTATAAAATTCTACATTATTATTAACATGTTTCAATAACTATCGTAAAAACTTCAATGATACAAGTGTAGGTGATGGTGTTACAGGTGTAGGTGATGGTGTTACAGGTATAGGTGATGGTGTTACAGGTGTAGGTGATGGTGTTACAGGTGTAGGTGATGGTGTTACAGGTATAGGTGATGGTGTTACAGGTGTAGGTGATGGTGTTACAGGTGTGGGTGATGGTGTTACAGGTGTAGGTGATGGTGTTACAGGTGTAGGTGATGGTGTTACAGGTATAGGTGATGGTGTTACAGGTGTAGGTGATGGTGTTACAGGTGTAGGTGATGGTGTTACAGGTGTAGGTGATGGTGTTACAGGTGTAGGTGATGGTGTTACAGGTATAGGTGATGGTGTTACAGGTGTAGGTGATGGTGTTACAGGTGTAATTGGTGATGTCACAGGTAAGCCTCGGCACATGGGTAGTGGACGTGGCGCTGGTGGAAGATGGAGTGGCGGTGGTGGCGGCATCGTCATCTACGCTGCACCTGGTGGAGATGACGGCGGGAGTGGCTCAGGAGATGATGAGGATCACCAACCTGCCTGCCCTGCCTTCCTGTCTGGCTGCCGGGTAGGTCCTAAACCTTTTACTCACACACACCCACTTAGGATGAAATTTAACAGTATGCCATTTTGTTTACATATTAGATCAAATTGTTCTGGTACACTTTAAGAAAACATTTGACCCGATAGTTCACACTATTGCCCTGCTGAAGCTACACCAGCTGAGGTGTTGCTAATCATTACTGTATTCAGGTTGGACCTCACTAATCCGGGAGGCTTGGGTCCAGACCAGTTCCAGATTTGCAAAAATTACAAACCATCGAAGCTGAGTTTAAAAACAAAGCAAAATAATGCATAAAATGTAATGTTACTGTCTAATTTATTCAGTATTAACACCTTTTCTAAAATAGTTAATGTCACACGCTTACATTTTGCTGCATTACAACCGCTTCCACTGCTTGCTGAACTCTTAGGAGGCATATTTAAAGGTAAAATAGTGACAACAGCCACTAGAGTGAGCTATGACACCATCCCAAACCATTGAAGCTGCCGGACTATCGGGTCCTGGATTAGCGGGGTCCAACCTGTACTTTAAAGTTAATTATCAAATTGTGTCTCCAACTGGGAGGACATTACTTTTTGAGTGCCACAATTCACCTGATTGTGACCAGTTGTCAGAGACAGGGAGTTGTGAAGTAGTAATTGTTTTAATAAAAGTGAAGATTTCACTATATCACAGTACGATTATGAATAAACTCATTTAGAAATACGTCATTACTTCAGGACGAAATTGGACAGGTTTGCAACAGCCAATCAGCTGTAACTCTTGAGGAGGGGGCGGGGCATCTCTACTCAGCTGAGAAAAAATGCACAATAGTAATATCAATAATGTGCAGTGATATCCCGAGCTGGAACAATTGGTGCAGAGAACTTCCGGGAATGAGAGATTTCCGGCATGACTCTACAGCCGAAAAAATCCTCTTCCCCGGATTTTCCGGGTAACGGAAAAATGTTCTCGGAAGTTCCAGAAATTGCCCATTACATCATCTCTCGAACCCGGAAAAATATCCCTCATCCCCGGAATTTTCCGGATAACGGAAAATTTTTATCGGAATTTCCAGAAAATTAGCATGATTTTCATCTCTCAAACCCGGAAAAAAAACTCCTCCATCACCAGAATTTTCCGAGTATCAGGAAAAATTTATCGGAATTTTCTGGATAATGTGCCCCTCGGAAAATCGTTCCCAAAGCCTGATTTTTGTCCTGAAAATTCCGGCTTTGGGGACGATTTTCCGATTAAATTTCAATTCCAGCTATCGGACAGGTCTGGGTTTGAGGGATTCCGGCTAACGGAGATATTACTGTACTTTACTTCCCTGGCCGGTGGAAGTTGTTTGGACTTACTTCCTAGCCCCCATTAGTCCCTGTTCACCTAGCAGTAAAGTAGGTACCTGTTGTAAGTCGAAAGTTGCGACTGTATTCAGGGAAAGTTGTTGGAGCTTCCAATAACTTGATGACATAAACCACTGACTCTTCAGGCTTCTTCACGCCCTGACTCGAGAGACATAAAGGCAAGCATGAACTCAGAGCATGCTTCTGCGCTTTCACCTTACACAAGGATGTAGGGGTGCCCAATAAAAAAAAAATATATATATATATATATACAGTATACTTTTTACTTTTGCTAATTACGTCCTGTATATAACAATAATTTTGACTTAAGTATTCTTCCATGAAAAGGCACTCTTACTTGAGTAATAATTTTAAGTATTTGTGTACAGGGCCCCCACTCTACTGAATAAACATGTCAGGCGTAGGTTAGGTTAGCTTCGAGTTAGATTAGGTTAGGTTTTCAATTAATTTTTTTTAAAAATACTGGACATAAAAGATGAATTAAGTTTATTTTCCTGCATAAGGAATACATTTCTATATGCATCAAGTTTTTAAGGTGATTATAACACTTCCTGGCACCAGCAGATGTGTGTGGGGAGGCGGTGGGTGGCTGTGGGGGATGATAGTGGATCAGTGCACCTGATGCGCTTTCCTCATCCAGTCCCGAGATGCTGACCGGCTCCCGCAGTGAGGGACTCACCTGCCTTACTTGGCAGGTAAGTGTCACTTTGGTAGTGAAGGGCTCATTCAGCATGAAGGCATCCCTCCATGGGCCTCACAGGTAAGTGCTGCTCCCACAGTTAATGACCTCACCTGTCACTTGTCAGTTACACACGCCTGCTTGCAAGGTTCACTCTTCTGATAATTATGTAAACAACGCGAGTATTAACGCTGCTGCCTCCAGTGTTCAGCTCCAGCAGTGCTAATGTCGGACGTATGTAGCTGTCTCTGGTGACTTACAAAGTTTTTGTTTTGTTTTCTTTACTGATATTTTTGGGTGCCACACGGACGTGGTGTTTATGTTGGTGCCGCCAACCTGGGGTGCCATGAGCATATGGTATGAGTATTGGTTTGTGTCAATGTGGGGCACAACAGTGAAACGATGTCAATGCTTTCAAAATTTTGGGTCAGCGCCTCGTGAACCTTAGTGCTCATTCTTGAGATTTTAAGACAAGTCTGAAATGGTGATATGGTATTGTCTGTATACTTAAAGATTCATCAGCAAATTCCTTCCAAATACACTTGTTAGGGTGTTCGACAGGCAAGATTATATTCAACAGTGTCTTTGTTATATGAAGTTTAGCTCGGGCATCGACTCTTTCATATTCACATTGGCCTTTGTGAGGAGGATGCATGCAAACTTGATCCTGACACCCTTGTCAGCTTCAGAGACAATCTTGCAGCACTCTGGGTTGAGGGTGCTAAGGGAGAGTAGTGAGGATATATGATGCAGTCTGTCACATGGTGTAGGGGGTTGTGGGTATGACCTCAACTCCAACCTCACTTTCTTTTCTTACTTACAGGAGGTGTGTGGACGGCTTCAGGAGGTGCAAGGCCGCCTTGTTGAAGTATGCAGACAGGTCCGGGTGGTAAGCGCAGCGGAGGTGCATGGGGCAAGCGTGAGACGCCTCCACTACCACCCCACCACCTCCACCCTGGTGTCGTGCAGCGGTGACCCTCGGGCCAGTTGGTCTGGGGCCCTGACCACACCACCAAGACTTATACGTTTTCTGTCCCCAGAGTAAAGTCTCACTTACTGTACCGCCTCTCACACGTAGAGTTCTCTCTCTCACCTTGTACTGTAGCACCACACCCAGGAACTGCCTCTCAAGTTTTACTGTAGACCTACAGTACAGCTTATAAAGTAGAACAGCACCTAAGGGTTGCCTAGTACTGTATTGTTCTGTAAAATCATACCTACGCAATATAAAGTGTGTGGGTGGTGGCACTGGTGTAACAGTGTTGTCGTGTTGGCAGGGTGTGCGGGTGGTGGCAGTGGAGTGGACGCTACACGTGCTAGTTACTGGCAGTAGTGATGGTCGGCTACGTGTGTGGAACCCTTATGTACCGGAGGCGGCGCTGACTGCTCTGCCTCCTGCTCCTGGCCAGCCGCCCACTGACTTGCTGTTGTGTCCACGCCGACGTGTTATAATCTCCTGTGACGCTGATGCTGTAAGTCGCCTCTCTGTTGTGTTGTCTCTTATGGTTCTCTGTGTCTCTTGTGATCCTCTGGGTTTGCATCACAAAATGTTTTGTTTTATGGGGATTAGCCCACCTGGGTATAGATCACCAACCCACATCGGGGCCTGAGGTGGAGGGAAGGGGCGAAAAAATAAATGACTTGAATCATAAATGCAGAAATGAGAAATTAAAACAGATCAAGAGTGAGAAATGATACACATGTTGTGTTGTCAAAGTAAGAGTAACAATTGTGTGTAAATGAGGCAGAAAATCAGTTGGATCAGCAACCTGGGACTTTGTCACAATTTCTGTGATGTCATTTGGACCTCATAACTAACAGGGAGGGTATAATGGCCAAGTTAGAACATCTAGCCTCCTCACACCAGTCACCAAGTAATGTTGTTCTTTAGATTTAACTATTACTTGGTTCATGATAAAAGCTGGCAAAGGTTCAAATATTACAGAGCAATTACGAAAGGATGAGGGAGGAGATGAGAGGAATTCACTGACCTGACTCACTGAGAAACAAGAATGCAGACACTACACTGAATATCATAGCCAGTAAAGTGAACTACAGTATTTGATCAATAAATATATACCACGACCACACCCTATGGATCCAGGAATACAAGGAGGGCAGAAAAAGAGTTACAGGGGCAGATTGCTAGGCAAGGTCAAGTCAACCCCAAAGATTTTCTACCATTACACAAAATCGAAATTAAACACACATGTGGGCGACAGACTTGAGGCTTGAAGATGGTAGTTACTACGACAAGGTGGAGGCGTTATCAAATTCTTTTCCTCACTGTTCATGAGAGAATGAGAACAATCTTTGTGTGTTTGAGGAAAGCCAGCACTGACCACACATTGTGTTCTCAGAAGAGTGAATTGGAAATAAATTCTGAAAGCTAAAGGTTCATAAGACTCCTGGCCCCGACATGGTGCATCCCAGTGCTAAGAGTTGTGCAATGAGCTTGTTGAGCTTAAGTCCACTTCTAGTAATAATGATATGCATTTGGGGAGTTATTGCAATACACACACACACCTTGTATAGTGGTCCCTCGGTTAACGAGTTACCTTCCATAAGATTCTTAACTTCGGTTAACGAGCAATCCCTCGATTAACGAGTTTCTTACGAGCCGACCTCAACATGTTTTTGCTTGCATTTGGCGGTCCACCAGCAGTAGTATTAGTCCGCCAATACAGTAATCGGTTCTAGGGCTTATATTCCTTACCATTTCAGTAAATATCAAGAAGTTTATACTATTCAATAATTTTAAGTTTAATATTAAAATTTTTAGTCACTAACAATTATTGAACATAATTGAAGGTAAGGAAACTACGGTACTGTAGTTTTATGTGCGCCATCCAGCCTGTCAACACACCAAACCTAACCTAACTGAACTGATGTGTTATAAGATGATTGATTACACTGACTCTTTTGTAACTTAAAAAAAATGGTTTGAATGATTTTCACCAAAAGTGACATTGGAATATCCAAAGTTGAAAACCTTTTATATAAAGAACTAGATAAATAGAACACTTCTTCAATGGCATTTGTAGAAGAATAGTCATTTAAAAATAAAAATCGACTGCAAGATTGATCTTAATTTCAAGTGAATTTGTTAGAATTGAACCTTGCTTACACCCGACTACCTTTAGATAAATTAGAAAGTTAGATAAACTCTGCATGTCCCTTGGTGTCATCTGGCTAACTCTCATAATTTAGTTTCTTTTACACAGGAATGTTTGACTGGGTTTAAAGCAATAATTGCAATGTTTGTTGCAGGTGGTGCGTGTGTACGGGGTGGAGGGTGGGCGGTGTTTACAGACCATCAGGTTATCATTTCCAGGGGGATCTGGCGGTTTGGCCCCGCGACCCCTCACCCTCCTATCCAGCGGGCACCTGCTGGTGGCCTGTAGGGACTATCTGGCCACCATCACGCCCGTCCAGCGTCCTCACTCTCCTCCACACTACAACTCATCACACATGTCAAGACGTTATGTGAGTTGGGAAGGGGAAGTGATGAGGGTGACAGCGAGCGCGATGAGGACGACGCCTCCACCCACGACAATGATGAGGAAAATCAGCTGTTTGAGGATGCTACGCTTATGTCATCAGATGAAAGGAAGGAACGTGCATCCATGCGTCACCTTAGCGTCAAGGAGCTGCTTTCTGCTGCCTCAAGTTGAATGACATATTACCCTCGCCTGTCCCCTGACTTGCCTTTGCCGTCCCGTTTGGCAGCCCTGGGGTTAACAGCCAGTGACCCAGCTGCCCTGCTGGCTCACCTGCCTGTATCTAGGATCACCACATCTTTCACGTCTGGCTCACCACAACCTTCAGCTACATCACCCACACTCCGCCCCATGTCCACCACCTGGTTCTCACGCCCACAGTCCTCCCGTAAGCCTTCCAGATCTAAGTCACCTGGAGCAGCAGGGGGCCCGGCAGCCACAACCAGCACTGGGAAACACCTGAGTCCAGGCTGGCGGCCACAGTCTCGAGTCCAAGACTAATGCGCAGAAGGAAATGGACAGTGATACATCAACATACACAAATGTGTCTTCTTTTGTCTTTTGATGCATTTCTGTTTTTCGACCTTTAATGACATTGTACACTGTGGATTCCCCTTGTATTTCACTCTACATTATATACGTCAGTCGGCACTCCTGCTGGTTATCAAATTCACAATAGAAAATAAATGTAAGAATATGCTATTTCACCAGTCAAGTTCAGCATCATCATAAAGCAAGTAATAAGTGACATTATGGAGAGAAGACAAGCTACCTTACCTTGTATTGGATAATACAATACAGTACAGTACTTTCCCTTTCTTGTACACCTAAACTGGACAGCTTGTTGACTTTTTATTTATTAGAAGAAGTTGCTGCTTACTTTATATCTAGCCCAAGAATTACAAGTTACCATTCTACTCCATCTGTCATGCCCTTCAAGCAAAGTCAACCTCACACCATCCAGTACATTCCACAAATTCTCATGGTCTTTGATTGTACACACCAACTACATCCAGAAGATTCTCAATCAGACAGTTGTGTTGTACATTCTGTTTATCATCTGTACTGTACTGGTAATATTCTTTGGTAATCCACACTATACAGTACAATACACTGAATATTATTTTGTCAATTGTAAAATTTCATAAGATAAAAATAAAAATCATACTTGTGAGGTTTCTTTATTAACAAAAATTATTGAAGCAAATCCAATAGTCAAACATAAGTGTGCATTATTAGGCTGGGATGAGACTTTACTGGTATGATTCCAGCTGCTAGCGAGGACATCAACAAGACAAGTGCTGTGACATCAGCAAGACAAGTGCTGTAAAGAAAATAAAAATTAATAATGTAATGTTTAAAACTAAATCACATTTATTATAAACTACTGTACCTCTCTCATTGACCAAGTTCACTAATTACACCAAACAACATATAAGGTATTGTTTAGTCTATTAATAACAGGGTTTAATATATAAATAAATGACAAGTCCACCTTAGACTACTCATCAGGGAGCACAGGGTAATGTGATAGCTTGCCAGCTATTCTGTGATGCAGTGAGGGTAAGTTATGTAGCAATCTATATTAATGGCTGATGAGAGCAGGAACTCTGAAGCCTTTTCATGGCTCAATATATATATAATATATGTATATATATATATATATATATATATATATATATATATATATATATATATATATATATATATATATATATATATAATATATATATATATATATATATATATATATATATATATATATAATATATAATATATATATATATATATATATATATATATATATATATATATATATATATATATATATATATATATATATATATAATAAATATATATATAATATAATATATAAAAAAATTCATTATTGTTAATATATATATATAATATATATATATATATATATATATATATATATATATATATAATATATATATATATATATATATATATATATATATATATATATATATATATATAATATATATATAATATATATATATATAATATATAATATAATAATAAATATTATATATATATATATATATATATTATATATATTATATATATATATATATATATATATATATATATATATATAGATAAATGTATAGTATATATCAGGTGCCTCAGGCTCAGGTTCTCAACTGGCTCAGCCATGTTAATATTGTTATTATTATCCACTCTGTATCTGTATTTTTCTGGCTAAATAAACTGTTACAATTCAATTCAAAAATAATATTGTCCAGCAAGTTGTTGAAGGATTAACTCCTGATAAGAGAGGCTACACTTAAAGGCCTTGAAAGGCTTCTGGTATGACTGAGTTAACAGCTGCATGGCAGCAACACTACAGGCATCCCCTGGGTTACGGAAGGGCTCCGTTCTGGAAAATCTTTCTGTAACACGAAACCATTTTTCCCATTGGCACATATATGTAAGAAATTAGATGGTTTTAACCACATATAAGGCATTTTAAGATGCACGGAATAGCTAACACGTTAGCTTTCCCGGACTGTCGTTAAAAAATACGACATTGTACTGCGTCTTGGGAATAACTGTTGTACAACACAGTCTTCAGAAAACAATAAAATTAGGAGAACTGTTATTTGGACACAATACGGAAAGAAATAGTGAAGTAAAATACAGAAAGTCGGGGAAAGAAAGACAAAATAATAAATAAGGATAACACAAAAATTCAGACCCGTTGTAAAGGTAATTTCTCCCGGACTTAGAACTGGCTGTCTCTTTGGTGTGCTGTTTGTACCTGAAATCTGGAGTCTTAATTTTTGCACTTACAGAACTGTAATCAACTAGTTCACCCTTATTTAAAGTATGAGTATTGATATTAAGGTTTCAATCATATTTGAGTAAATATAAATATCGTTACACCAAAATCACCAACGGCTAATGAAATCAGACAACACCCATTTATAAAAGGGCAGAGCCAAAACAGGTTTCAACTAGGCGCAATCCTTTTCAATTCTTTCACACCGTACGCTCTAATTTAGGTCCTATCCAATATACATACTACCGTTATAGAATTATTTTCATTATTATATCACAGATTTTTATTGCCTTACATGCCCCCCAACTCCTCAATATTAATCAAAATATTCTCCATAAGCGGCCATGATCTGCATTTACCCACTGGAGAAACTCGCTGATTGGTTGTTAGCTATTCGGGAGCTGCTACCCACTGCACACGTTAACACCTGATCGAGGCATTAGCTTCTCTCTCTGAAGGTGTCATGCGCACAACTCAGCAGCAGAGTCTGGGTAGACAGAAGAGCTAATGCATTAGCTATTCGGTGCATCTAAAACGCTTATACATGTAATGATTTATTCATGATGTAACATGATAATTAATGAACAAAACACTCGAATTTTACTTACCAGAAATAATGTTGAGTGCCGAGTTAGGTGCAGTGATGCAATTAGAGTTACTGGGAGGGAGATGGTAGGTCACTGCTGACTCCTGCCTCTTCCTGTGGATCATCATCAACTATTTGGACTGCTGTCTGAGGTTTTGGGGCAAAGAACTTGTCCAATGTGGTCTGTCAATGACAGTGCAATTTCTCTGTGTACAGCTCTCTATATCCCCTCATGGCATTCTCGATATCTCTTGTAAACTTGCAACTGCATTCACAGTCTGGATATGTGTTTCAAAGGTATGCATCAAATCTTCCAGTTGACTAATAGCTTCGGACAAAATCATTGTTGTTAATTCTGTGGATGTAACTTCTGTACAGGTGTCCTCCTGTTCCTCAGCAGCAGCTCGCTCCTCTCCCATTAACATTAAATCCTCACTGGACAGATCCTCTCTGTGTGACCCTTTACAACTCTACTAAACCAGCCTGGTCTACTTCCTCGAACACCGCATCATTTGCCAGAGATACAATGTCCTGCTGCACTTGATCCAATTTCTGGACTTGGGGAAACCCTTGAAAATCATGAATACACCTGGCCAGACGTTCTTCCAGACTGCATTCATAGTCGCATTTTTCACCTCATCCCAGGAGTCAGCAATGGTGTTTACAGTATTCGTAATGTTAAATTGTTTCCAGAAATCTTTAAATGCATGCTAATCCTCACTACCAATTGCTGCTATAAGTTGTCCAAATGTCCTGCGCAGATAGTAGGCCATAAAGCCGGCAATCACACTTTGATCCATAGGCTGTAGCAAGGAAGTTGTGTTCTTGGGCATGTATTCAACCCTGATGTTTGGTGAAAGGTCATTACGGTTAACAAGGTGGTTGGGAGCATTGTCAAGAAGTAACAGGGCTTTGTTGGCAATATTTTGTTAGTTACTGTACCTTTCTACTGCAGGACAGAAGCAGCTATTAAACCAATCTTGGAAGAGGGTGCCAGCGATCCAAACTTTGTTATTGGAGCACCATATTACAGGTAACCTGGATTTGTTGCAGCCCTTAAAACCCCTTGGATTTTCTGAGTGGCAACACAAGCATGGGCTTTAGCTTGAAATCTCATGTTGCATTACCCCCTAACAGGAGAGTCACATGATCCTTGGAAGCCTTGAATCCAGGAGCTGTTTTCTTCTCATTTGAAATAAAGGTCCTGGCAGGCATACATTATACACTCACTGGTGTGTATCCATCAGCCTCAATTATTGCTTTTAGTTTAGCAGCCTCAGTACCATCTTGATGTTGTGTAGGTATGAGCATCTTTTTTAATCACTCAAACCATCCTCTGCTGGCATTAAAGGGTTTTTCATCTGAGCTTGCACCTTTTTCCTGCCTTAAATCTGTGTACAGACTCTTAACCGTCTCCTGAATAACCATTGTAATAGGGGGCACATTTTGCTTCAACTGGTCTCTATCCATACACTGAGTAAGCATTCCATTTTTATCTTAAATCACTCCGATGAAAATAAAGAGTACGGGCTGACAATCGAGTAGCAACCTGAGCACTAGCCCAAATTTTTTCTTTGTTATCATGGATTGTACCAATAGTGGTGGTAGCAAGGTCAAAGTTTAAGCAATGTAGCTCAGTTTCTCCCCCTGGTCAAACCTCTTCAACACATCTAATTTTGTCTCTAAAGTAATACCTTTTCGTTCTCTCTCAGCACCACTGCTAGCACTAGCTGGACTCTTTCCACTCAACTTGAAAAATATTGCACTTCACAATACCTGTAGTACAGTCCAGAAAACAGAGAAAGCAGAACATTGGCTGGAGATTCAAGCAGATCAAAACTGTTGTTGTGGGGTTGTTTGTGCCTATGTGCTATTACAGATGCAATCACACACATTTTTTTGTAAAGATAAATAAAAAAAATAAATAAATATACCGGTATAAAAAATAAAATAAAAATAAATACCGAAATAATTTTTGAAAATTTTCAAAATTCTGTAAGGCCAAATTTTTTCTGCAACCAAAAATTAAGGTCTAAATTTGTAAATTCCATAACCCAGGGGATGCCTGTAATATATCCAGGCAAAAACAACCTTAACACTTACAAACATACCATAATGTAACTGATGCACACACCATACCAGATACAAATTCAACCTCTCCCCCCCCCCCCAAAAAAAACATCTTTGGAGCAAAACCATAAGGTATCTCCCGACAACAAATATACTGTAATCAATTATAAAAATAATGGCTTTCCTTACCTGAGGCAGTAATTTACTGGGCAGAACCTGGGCAGAACCTATCTACTTCAACTGTGATAGTCCAGCTCTCATAATTTCATCAACTATAAGAAGGTTACGAGCAATGACCGAACTGTAAAAAATAAAACAAATAAATAAAAAATAAAATACAAGAGATGAGGAATGTGGGAAGTCAATCATACAAATACTATGATTCTGTTGAGAATTACAATATTTACAATGAGAATGAAAACTATAAGGCTTGTAAATTATGCACAAAAAGGACAGGCTGACTGAACAGGAACTGAGGAATACTTTATGAATAAGGTATAGCACCAAGCCACTGAAGTAACATGGAGTTGCTGTTGTGAGGATTGGATTACCGATTTAAAGTTCCATTTTAGACTGAGACAAAGGAAACAAATGTGACCATGAAAGAATATACAAATAAATATGGAAAGTACAATCCTGTAAATGCTGACAAATTGTAATTCTGAGATAAATGTAGTAAAAGATATTGGGCAGCATGATTATGAAAAACATCGAAGCCCTAAGTAAGTGGTTTTGGAAAAGCCTGTAGGAGTAGTTGCCCTAATTTATTCTAATAATATACACAATAAGCTCCAAAAGAACCATATTAAAAATTGGGCTGCTCAGACCCATGGAGGCATATCAGGTAGTACCTAAATACTGTATACTGATTGGAACACTCACTAGAATTTGGTTAAAGTTCACCCACAGGATAGCCCTGGGTTCAAGTGGTTCATTAGTACCAGGTTGAATTTTGTAATGTCTTAAAAATTTGGGTTAGCTGATCATCTCCAAGAGTGTGTAATGTGCCAACAGTCTAGTATACAATATAACATACAATTGTTGATCCAAATTGTCAAAGGTAGAAAGAGTCATCCCCAAAAGTGGTGTAAATGGTAAGTGAAACTGTTCCCAAGTGCCACAAAGATGACTGAGGTGGAGCTGATGATGAAGAGTGCCTTCTTTAGAGTGGCTCACAAGTCTAATGCACAATGTTAAGTTTCTGTTTCTGTGTCATGCTACTGTGCCAGTTACTGTGTCCTGTAATCTTGCAAGATCAATCACCTCATTTTATACATAACATTAATTTCAACAATAAATTGATGGAAATGTTTGTTCACTTTGAGTGTAATTTTATCATGTCTTGGGTCAAATTTTCCTCACAGAAGCATATCACCAGTTATATAATGATTTTCTCTGATTAAATAGGTTTCCTTAAACAAAAATTTCAAGTGTAATACTTTTCAGGAACACATCTATTTACTGAGAGAAGGGAAACCCGTACCCTTACTTTTGAGTTCCTAATACTTGTACTTACCATGCATCAAGCATGTGCCTTTTAACACAATAGTTATCAAATATGCCAGCATCACAGGGGTTGAGAGCCTCTCCTGTGGTAATATCAAGACCTACTGGTAATCCTCCATTGTTCTTATACTCTTCTCGCAGCTTTACCAAACTATCCATTGCATCATATCCACTGTTACTAGCTGAAAAAAATGCAGTGATATGAGTTTTTCATTCTTCAGTTGAAATTGTATGCTTTAAACATTTCTTCCAATACTGCAAGTGTCTTCTCTCAAGGCAAAGTATTCATAAATATAAATTCCAATGCATGTGTAAGTCATTTTACTATTATAAAAATTATGAGATGACAGTCAGAAAAGCAGAGAAACTCCCATTTTATCTTTGACTTTAGTTCATGGATACACTGTGGTAATTACTTACTAGACAAAGACTAATACAGTACAGAGCAACAGATATACAGTACTGTATATATTAAATAGAAAAATCAGTAATTCAAGGCCTGTCCATTACTACTCACCAAGCGTTTTGGGAATAACCAGAAGAGCATCAGCAAAAGCACGGACTCCATACCGGGCACGACCTTTTACTTCATTTTCGTACTTCATTAATGCAGCATAAGCAGCAATCTGGAAGGGAATATCAGTCATAAGGAGGACAGGAGAGGCACATACACATAGTACAAAACTACATTAAAATTTGTGCTGAGCAGATAACGGATGAACTAAGACTTATAACCCCCCTATTAGCGGGAAACTCTGATCCCTGGAACTCCCTAATAGCCGGAATAAAAAAATCGGACCAGAAATTTTTGGGAAAACTCTCCATTCCGGGTCTGCGAACGAGTTTCCGAGGTACAGTGAGAGAAAGAAGTTTTTTCCCAGCTTTGGCCGATGTAAAGTATAACAAAACCTGACTACCCAACACAGTGAATGGTGTCACTGGCAACTCCTTTACAGGGTTCCACATGTTTGCCAATTGTTTATGGGCTCCACGCATGCCTGTGTCGAATGGCTCAACCGTTCTGTGATGTACTCATCAAAACCTCAGGAAGATACTTTATTCTCTCAGTGTACATAAATGCATTTACAGTATATTACCTAATAGTGACTTACCTCAAAGGCACCAGCACCTGGCACTAATGAGCCATCATCCAGGGCATTCTTGATCCCCCTCAGTCCATCCCTGGTAGCATCTTTGGTCTGCTGAAGGGCGTGCTTGTAGGGCCCCTTAATAAGTATAGTTACACTGTGGGGATTCTTCAACTCCTCAACAAATGTATACTTTGTTTCTCCCTGAAATAAAACAAAATGAATATGTTACTGCCTAATAAGAAATATACAGGGTGAGCATAAAGTCTTTCCCTGATTACAAACATTTATTACACAAAACATATGCTAGGTACAAACATACAGTTTTTTGTAGCTTAAAATATGCATGAAAAAATCTATGAATTCGTCTACACAATGCTACAACATTCATGTTTCTATCTAGAATGGTCTTCGAGATATGATTTTTCATAATCAGGGAAAGACTTTATGCTCACCCTGTACTACAGTTGGATTGATCTTGAAATCCCACTTACAACCGAGCATGGATCAGGCAACTCATGTACTGTAGTCAGGTCAACAGGCTGAAAAACTAATGATCCCTGGACACTTGACATGTGTGATCATGACTAAATACCAAAAATTAATCCAAATCTAGTATAGGGGGTCCTCATTAAACATTGTACCAATATACATCATTTCAAATATACACTGGTAACAAATATAAGAAGAAATTTTCCTTATACATCATTTGTTTCACTCAAGTCTTCTGCATCCACTGTTTTATACTAAGTCTGTGGGCATCAGAATATGATGCATAAATAGTGTTAGAAACATTTAATATAATGTAAAAATTACCATAATAAGTAATAAAAGTGCCCTACAAGTGTTAGGTTTCTACCACGCCAAAATGCATCAGTCACTTCTCACACCACTGCGCGCTAATGTCACTGTTATACGTAACAACAGATTTTGCAGAAAAGTCATCTTAACGTGCTAGTGTGCCTTAACCCTCCCATGGTCTTTCGACTCAATTTGTGTCGCGAAGCGCTCATGTGCTGGCACAACCCCTTCCACTCAGCCATATCTCACACTGATTGAGAGCTCCCCTCCCATAATCAGAAGTGTGGGGACAGTGAACCGGCCCTATCAATCACTTAAAAGTTCCGCACACTAGCATTGTGGCCTGGCAGACGTGTCACTAAGGATGCAATTTGGGTCTGGATCACTTTATCCAATGTTTACTCAATTAGAAAAACCGTTCCTGTTCCCGACACAACCAGCGTTGAATGAATGCGGGGGGTGAGATATCCGACCATGGTCAAGAGTACCAGAGGGTTAAGGGCCAGCAGACATCATTTGTTATGTTCAGGTTAAGTTAGGTATACCCTGTTACGGTTGGACTGCGCAGTAACTATAGATTCTAGGTGGGAGAAGGCATGTATCTGAGAATACTGTCATCAAGATTATCCCTAAACCCCATCCTACCCCAACTCAGGAGATACGTCATGTGACCTGATTCCTTTGTTCGGTCTTTCTTCCTGACTTTCTGTTAGTTGGCTGAAAAGGGTCATAGTATGTGTTAAATACAAAACTCAGCTTTACATTAAACAATATTATTAATCAATACAAAAGAGTACTTTAAAAATAAAGCTATAAGCTCATTGCAACTCACCAGAACATGTTCATATACGCTGCCAGCAAAACCCAAGCAGTCTTCTGTCATGTCATCAAAGCTGTTCACAGCCATTCCCCCACAGGCCAGGGCAAGTCTCTCCATATTGCGGCGTTTAGCTCGTCTCATCCCCATGATGCCTTCTTTGGCCAGCATGTCAAGTGACATGGGATCAATTCCTTTTTGGTTGATTACAACAAACGTGTTGTTATTACCAGCACAAACCTTTTTCTTCAACTCTATTACTTTATTAACCCTGAAAATAAAAACAATAATCTTATGTATCAGCCAAACATCCCTGTACACTGTTGATATTATAATTACAATAATATTCACTGTGTGTATATATCTGTGCATAGAGTATCTTGACAATGAACACTGGGCTCCTCAATCCTCGTATTCTGTCGCCTCCTCTCGATCTACTACACTGTAACTACAGTATACTCCATAAACTGTATGGTTTAGGTTACTTGTGATCATACTATATTTTTGTTTATTTTCTTTAAATTGGAGTCCTGTTATGAGGAGGATATTCCAATTCCATCTGGCTCTGTACTAAGTCTAAGGCGGAGAAGTAATACAGTAAATTGAGTTTTACTTGAGACTGTAATGAAATTATTTATACTGTGGGGTTTAAGTGGATTGTTGGAGTGAAATGTTCACTATACAGTACATTATTGTACTGTACTGGTGGAGGCCCTGGACTTAGACAACCGTGGCAACAATAAACTTAAGACATGCCACCACTATCACAACCAGCTGATCACAACAAAATAGGTAAAATTGCATTATTTTCAGTACACCATTTGCTTTTCTTGTACATGATTTTACTTGGAACTTCTATTAAATTTTATACAATCAACATGTAAAACCTTTTTTCATTAAATTTTGTGCTCATTAGGCAGCATTTTTGTTTGTCCAGAAACCTAAACCCTACATTACAGGCGTCAGTCACATTATTACAAATAAAATAATCCACCACCACAGACTACAGCTGGTCACAGGCTTACTATAAACTTTTGCAACTGAACGGTATGTGGGTCTTCGTTCACCCTGGTGACATTTTATACAAGACAACAATAATTGTTGTGTACAGTATATTCATCTTCAGATTGTGATTTTGTGTAGATGTCTGTCAAGAATCTAGTGACCTTTGCAGAAGTCTAGTAACAACCCTCATATCTGACTGATAACACTGCCATTATCTATTTACTTATAAAAATGAGTAACTTCAGCTTCTCTTGAGAGCTAGATGTCTTTTATTTCATGTTTCTTTTTTATACAGTAATGTACTATATTCTATGATATTTTATCAATAAAAAAATTTAAATGCAGTACAGTAAAACCTCGCTAAGACGGATTAATTGGGGGCGAGACTGCCATTTTAAACAAAAAACGAGTACAACACCAATGTATTCAAGTTTTATGAATGAAATACATATTTTTAATCAAAATTATTTTTAAAAAGTAATGTACACAAAATACCGTACACTAACTTTCAGCTCACTGATAAGGTCTTAGGCTCAACCTTCTCATCACCCTTATGGATACCAAACACTTCCTAGGGGCCATTGTTGTTTAATTTTTCAATAATAATGCAAAAAATATGAATGCTACTTCAGCCTACGGTGAATGTACCAAATGTATAAAAACGATAAATACGGACATAAAAAAACATCAAAAATACAGTACTGTACTGTATTTTACGGAAGGGAGTACAGTACAGTTATTTAGGAAAAAACTTGTGTGTATTTTTCTCCTGTAGCCATAGTTTTCTTAAAATAATATAAAGTACTGTATACAGTACAGTAAAGCCTCGAATAGCGACGGTAATGTGTCCTCCAATATTGCAGCGTAAGGCGAATCATCGTATCGCGAATCATTAATTACCATTAAAATAAAGCAATAATAATGAGATGTGTTCCCAAGTGTGACCTTTTCATATCTGTTGTGTGGTTTTTACCCCCTTTTCTCCCCAAAACAAAACAATTAATGAAAATTGCAAACTATATTCTTTAAATAATGTTTCTGAATGCACCTTATACAATATAAATGAATAATAATATGGTCACACAAGAGGAGATGGTACGCCATTGTTTTCGTTTGTGCTTACAGCCGGGAGTCCGGGACGATAGTTCTACACGAGAAAATAAGATCCTGGTTGTAGCCGTAGTAAAATTAATGTAAAAAAATTAATATATATGTTTAAAGTAACGTTATTTAATGTAAATAAATAGAATAGAAGTAGCTAACCACTAATGGGGAAAAAAAAAAAAGAGATGGATTGGGAACGCCAACATATACGTGCGCATTTAAGGAAATCGCGTCATATATCTTAAGAATACAGTATGTACAAAAGGTTCATTAGTGTTTATTACTGAATATGTATTTGATTGAATTAATGTTCATACAGTCAACCCTCGCTTTACGCAGTCCCACATTCCGCGTTTCCACGGTACCCTGCCGAAACAGGAATGCTCACATTCCGCGGTGCATGTACCCCTTTATGCGGAGAGCGGCTGGCGAGCCGCGCCAATTTTGGATCCAAACCTCCCGCCATCCGCCATGTTATGTAAGCGGCGCGAGCGTGGTGCTCACAACCCAGTCATCAAAACATTACCGAGTTCTTCACCCGCCACCCACCACAGCCGGCCCAAGTCAGTGATAGTGATAATTATAGTGAGGATATGGACTTATATGGACTTTGAGGGGTTTGACAAAGAGGTCCTGCAAGCCTCTGTGGTAGAGTGATACAATTGATACAGGTGAGGGCCAATAATCTGCCCTCTGCCTCGGAACCAACCGTCCATCCCCATGTGCCCAGCCATCTTTTCTACTAATGTAAGTGTTAAAAAACCTAATATTATTGATATTTCTCTTAATTATTAATTGTGTGTACATACCATCATAAAGTTAAGATAATATTTTTGCTACAACATAGTTGTGTGTCGTCAAAAAGTGGAGTTTGGGGGTCGGCCCGGTCTCTATTTCAATTAATCCCATATGTTATGTGGTTCACTTTACGTGTTTCTCACTTTCCGCGGTACCCTGTGGGTTGAATTAACAGCGTAAAGTGAGGGTTGACTGTATATGTGAAATGAACAATTCAATTCATTAATACGTAGAATATTAAAGTACACACGAGGAGACGAGACAGCATTGTTTTCGTGAGTGACGATGGTTCTACATAAGAAATTGCAGAAAATAAGACCTGGTTGTAGCTGTAGTGAACTTAATTTAAAAAAATTGAATACCTGTATGTATGTTTTAAGTAATGTTATTCAATGTTAATAAATGGAACACTAGAAGTAACTAACCACTAATGGTAAAGAAATAAAGCGAGACGATTGGGAACGCTAACGTATGAACAGTAAGTGCGTACATGTGAAAACATATCGTCATTTCCCTACGTATGAATATGAAAGCAACACTTATTTACTGTTCATATGTTTTAAATAATATTTACCAATGTAAAACAAAAATTCTACTCACCAATGGTGGTAAAGTCTAAAATATAAGGACAGCCAATGAATATTGTGCGAGTTTTTACTCAGATGACTAAGTCATCAGGTTCAACTCTGGCTGAAGCTGTAGCTTTCCATAAAGCTGTTGCTGAAACTGTTATTGAACCTGAAGTTGATGTTGAAGCTGCTTATGATGCTGAATTTGATGGTGTAGCTGAAGTTGATGGTTTAGGCCTTCGAATAATAAAACTGTCTAAAGAACCTTGCACAGCTGCTTTCTTTTCTCATTATACATCTTTATGTAGGTCATTTGCATTTATTTAAATTTTAATGCTTTGTTCTGTTAATGGATCCACTTCAGAAAATATGTTCATTGCTTGCTCCATATAATATCAACAGACCTCACCTTTTTCATATCGTTTTAACACATCTAGCTTCTCCGCTAAGCTTATGCACTTTCTATTAGCTTTTGAAACAACACTACCATCACTTGCTCATGTTGAATAGGGATGGAAAAATGATGTAAGAAACATGAGGAAGTTTTCTCCTGTTCAGATGCGTGAAAACAAAAGGCCCGCCAAGCTCCGACCGTTGTTTACTAATAATGCGCATTACCACTCATTAGCCAGGCAGCTTCTTCGTGCAAGGCGCTCTTCATTTTTTATACAGTAATTTTTTATATTTTTAATAAACATTTTGGGATTTAATTATTACATGAAAATTATATTTAATTTTATTTTTACTGTACTATAATTTGGTCGTAAATACTAATGAAATAAAGGACGTAAATTGAATTGAATTGCCAGGCGTAGGATCGAAATATGTATGAGAGAAATACATATCTTGTAGTCTAATTTGAAAACAGTGATGGGCCCAGTGATAAACAAATTATATAAACCATGCATTAACCTATGATAACATAATAAGACACATTGTATCATTACTAGAGTGAATCAAATAATATTCCTCAAAACAACAATTGATAACTCAGGCACCTGTGTCCCAAATGCTGACTCCTTGGTCCCTTGAAATTGTGAAGACATGTCATCGGAGGACAAATTTTGTCCTACTTTTTTTTTAAATTTCGAATTATTTTTAGGAATATAATTTTGTCCGGTTTAAGCGATATCTGCCCTAGTGGGGCCCGCCTTAACGAGGTTTTACCGTACTTAAAAAAAAAATTAAATAAATTAAAAAACCCACTATTACGAGCACAAACAATCATCGCATCTGACCAGTTAAATACAGCACTGTCATGGCAGTCACACTGGAAATCAATTAAACAAATATCCTTGGACTGGTTGGACTGGGTATTGTCAACCTTTGAGTCATGTTTCATGAAAATGTACACACAAATATGATAAAATGTAGTACAAAACCAAACAGATGCTGTAGATACAGGGTAGGCAAAGACCATGACTAATTTTGAATCAAGATTAGCCACGTATATAACTTACCTTGAAGGGTGAAAATAAAAAATATATAAAAACCTGGTTTGACACACACACAAAATGGATGTTAAAGATATCCACAGAAAAAGTTCCAAGCTTGATACAATTAATTCAGGCATATGATTCTTGGGTAGAAAGTGGATTTAAGTACAGGAACTACATACAATAGTAAGATCACCTACAAAACTAATTTGATTGAAACTTTGAAGAGAAACAGGCATAGCGAAAGGAACAACACATTGTACGACTTAAATAGAACTTTCACATAATACTGTCACTAATACTAACCCCATTAAGTTTGCACTTCAGATGCCTTTCACAGCAAACAGCCAACTCTTTATTAAACAAGTAGAGTATTAATGAACATAAAAAAATATGTCTCCGCAATACCTATTTTCGATGAATTCTCTCTCTGCAGTCACAAGCTTGTCCCTCTCTCCAGCAGATTTGTAGAAGAAACCTGAATTGACCTCTGTCTTCTCATATTCCATGGAGACATTACAAGTGAGGATGTAAGCATTTGTAGCACGCTTAGGCATATCTGGGTGACGCCCACCATGGTCCAACACCAGACCTTTCACAAGCTGGGTGTCCATTTCTGTCTTATGCTAAAAAATAGGTAAAAATACATCAGACAACCTATTTTCCTACAAACTTTAACCAACATAGAAAAACAGACACACAGATATGCTGATGTGAGTGCAGAATTTAACATCACTACACTACAAATTAGTCTATTAAACAATACTTCCTCACCTCATAAAATGTGCGTATTCAAAACACATGGAGAAATGGCTATGTTACATCTATGGAAGTCTGTGACTCACCCAAAACACCCTGAGAACAAACACACTTGTTTGTGCAACACTTGTTTGTTCAACAGAGTAGTCAAACAACCAGTACACATAACTGGAGTTTTTCTTTTGGTGATTATGCAAATTTGTTTAATTCTACTAAACTCAAGCTTTATCCACTATACAACTACATACTAAAGAATTTTATGCTCTAGTTTTGTATTGGTACACTAACCTGCATCTCTACGATTTCCACCATGTGCAGATCAAGTGGTTTACCCTCTTCCTTGATAGACAACACAGCATCAACACACACTTCAGTTAATTTGTCTGCCAGATCAGATTGAACTTTCGTGCGGAGAGCAGTGCGAGCTACTTGACACAGACGCTCACGTTTCATCTCGTCAACAATTTTAACTTGATCAAGTACCTCTTGGGCTTTTACCTGTGGAATAAAAAATATGATAACAATAAACTCAAGGAAAACTATTAGATACCGTTAAACAAAGTTTTTACTGCACAAAACTATACTATACAGCAACATATATTTTGCACAGCATATACAGTACAGTAAGATCTTGTATTTCGCGAGTAATATACTGGAATAATTGTGCCAAATTCATATTCGCCAAATGCAAATACATAAACTAATGGCAAAAAATAACAATATAGACTGGTCACTCTACATCAACCTCTGATTTTCCCATTTATAACCTCCAAATGATACAAATTCTGCCTTTATTGACCTGATTGTGCTTTCCGGAAACTAGTTTTTAGGCCTTCCTAAAGTAACTTAACCACACGCTGCTTATCCTGCATCAAGTACTTGGCAAACTTAACTCCCTTATGATAGTCCCACTTCTCCTTTTCCTTATTTGGCCGCTTAGGTGGACCTGTCCCACCCCCATCAGCACCAGTTGGACCTCCAGTAGAGGTAGAGGCCATTATCTTGGCTCGACAGGTGGTAGTGTCATGATCGTAATGACGGCTAACCTGTTAAACTAATGATCCACATTACGCTTACACTTCCACAAAACCTTCCGAGTCTCCCAGTGGAAATGTCCTCCATTCTCCCTGTTTCTTTGATGACGTCATCGAGTTGTCGTGTGTTTGGTGACCATAGTTGGAAACTCTTTCTGCTACAGAGACCCTGTAAACCTTTTTTTTTCACCTATGAATATCAGAGACTCTGATAATCATAAGAGAAATTGTGGTAGGGAGGTTAACTGAGGAATTAGTTAATATTCTGAAGGGAACCTTTTGAAACAGCTCCTCGCGTTTGTAGGAAGGCGCTACATGTTGGGGCCTGATGCCATCCAACCTTTTGTGATCAGTTTAATTCTTGCTTTTGATAGTTCAGTCAGAGCAATGTTTGTAAAGAAAATAGTAGGGAACGAAACTGAGTTCGTAGTCTCGGTTTCAAACGTCAGTGTTACAGTAACGTAATTCAGTGAAATGGTTGAGTAGGTGGAATCCGTGACTTTAGCATGGGTGGAAGGCGGCGGTTGGTTTTCAAATCAGTAAGCCTCCACACTCCCCACCAACAAGTAGGTCATTCCACCTTCTCCGTGTTGTAATTTGCCATTTTTAAGTGATTTGACCTAATTAATAGTTTGATTGTGCAAGTGTTACAGTGATGTAGTTAATGTGCTTTGAGTGAAGTATTTTATGTCCTTAATGTCCCTTTGAAACGTTGAGTTCGTTATAAACCGTGAGTAAGTCGCCACACTCCCCACCAACAGGTCCCTAACGCAGCCTAGGCTGTGTCTGTAGCGTGGATGACGCATCCACTAGTCTTGGGAGATGTCTGAGGTCCAGTGGAGTCAGGTGTCCCCTTGAACCCTGACCGTCAGGAGCTCCACTGCCACCTGCAGGCCCCATAGGTGGTAGTGGATTCCCCTAACGCCATGCCCCCGTGGTGAACCCGGATCGTCACGCCCCACAAACAACTGCCAGCCCCATCATTGATGGACGAGTACAGTACATAACTCGGCGGGGTTGTTGGTGTGGTGGTGTTAGTCCACCGGAATTATTGGAGTTTGTTGGAAGGTGTCACTTGGTGATGAGGCTCCCATGGCGGCCGCTGGAGTGTTACCCCTGGGGTATTGAGTGTTGTACTGGCAGGTGCCACTGGTTTTAATGGTGCTACGGTGCTGTGAGAGTCATGCGTGTTGTGGTGTGTGTACACCCGGTAGTGGTGCAAGTAAATTGAGCCCGAGGGCATGGAACCAAGAGTTCCTATTTTTGGGTACATACAGCATCTTTTCTGTAATTATTTTTGTGTTTCAATAAACAGTGTATTTGTATGTGGGTCTATGATTCCCCTATAGCATTCACCGTTGTTCTTTCCCTAATACTCGATACTATATTTACATGTACCCATGGGCCTTCCTCTCATGTCACGCTACCAGGTCAGAGTATTAACGTAAGTTGTTGTAAGAGCGCCAAGCCCTTACAGGGTGGCAGCTTGTGGTGCGCGCCCTTACAAATGGTGGCCTCAGTGGTTCAGCAGTAAGTAGTAGTAGCCCCCGCTCTTACAGTAGCACCACCCAAAAAAGCAGCCCGGGAGGTCGTTAGGATGGCGCAGGCTACAACTCGATAGTTGCTTTCTTGTAAACCTATTATATGTTCACCACCGGCAATTCAATTACCAGAACGCTTCTTGGAAACATTCTTCTTACCCTGTCTTTCCATATTCATCGCTAACATAACAAAATTGGAGAAAACAGTGAAAAGCACGGAGTAATCGACAGAAACCGTAAGATTCAACTGATCACGTGATGTAAACAGGAAGCGCTGGTGTAAACCGTTATTAGTCCTCACTGCGAAACATTCTTTTTACTTATTCTTTTCATACAGTATTTATGGGTAACAGCTGAATTTGCAAAAACCCCCCCGAAATTTACAGAGTACCTCTCAAAAACACTCCACAAACAAAAGACACGAATCAATTGAACATGTGATGTTGAAAGTGAACTGTAAACATTGCATAACTCCGCAACATGATTAAAACGTTGAGGATGGAATCATGTTATAGCCAACATTCGTATGCAAAGGTTCGACTTTTAAAAACAGCGTTCCCCTATTCATTAATCGCATTACAACCAATTCGCGTTGACAAAACACGCATTGTAGCAGAAATGACTAACTGGTATGAGGGCTGTGACGTCATTAAAGACAGTGGTCAGCATTCAGCTTGCTGGATCTCGCGAAACTCACAATTACATTAGGTAGAGCTCGCGAAACTCAAAAACGAGAAATGAAATCGCACGAAATATGAGATCTTACTGTACAATATAAAGAATATCTTAAACCAATCACATGGTTATTAAATCAATTTTCAAATTAATGGAAACTGAAAAGTATGAAACAATTTTTGAGATACAGAAAAAGCACATCCCGTAAATTAAAATGGCATAGAGTATGAGTGTCACTTCCATCTCAACTGACAGGGATGGTACAGGAAGACGGATGCCAAACAGCAGAATTTTCAATAGAGCACAATATATTTTACAATTTAATACAATCTCTTTTTCATTACATATTGTATGACATTAAAAACATTTTCAAAAAATCTTGGGGGACACACTTAGGCAAGTATTGTTTTTGTCAATTACTGTTTAAGTTTTTAGGATTGGCAGAATGAAACTTTTCTGTAGTGTACTGTACATCCAAATAACACAAACACCAAAAAGTGACTTTGAAAAACCATAGGCAGTGAGTAATTAGATTAGAAAAGTAATAAAAAATGTTGAGATGTCATCTGAACAAGTTATTATACAGATCATTGATTGGTGTTTTTTGTGCCCCCGGGTCCTATTTTTCCCATGAAACTAATGGGTTGGTGTTAGGAAGGTCATCCAGCCATAATGCTGTACAGTACAATACAGTACTTTACTTCAACATGCCTGATGGCAACTGTCTCACCAGAGTTGTACCCAACCCCTGGTCTGTTGCATTTTCAAGGCTGGGACCCTGAATTTGTAAGGGTGAGCAAGGAAGGTGGGGGGGCACATCCTGTTCTGATTTTATTCAACAGCTGTCATGAGGTTATCGCATGTAACCAACACAGGTATGGATAATGGCTGTAAAACACTGATAAAGTAATGCGAGTATTCTTGACCACTAACATACAGAACAGCACGACTACTGTATTAATAAACACCATTAAATAATCCCTGGTTGACTTTCTGGAGATACTTCTCAGAAAATTATAGATGTAAACAGGAAAATTGGGTCTGAGTTAAAAAAATTCAAGCTAATATGGTCATATTAATGTTCCCAGAGTGGTATTTATGGTGGTGGTTCAGCAGTACTGTGTGTATCTCTCACCAATGTGTCAAGGGTTCTAGTCCTGCTTGACCTGGACACATGTGGGAAGGGTGTTATCCAGTGTGACCCTCACTACCAAACATCACAGGTTTCCCAGAATCCAGTTTCCTCCTGTACTAAGACTGGATAGATCAACCATCCGAATGGCTATTAAGCTGATAAGTGGTAAAATAATGGAGATAAAAAAATATCACCTTAAAAAATCTAACAAGGTGAAATGAAGTATCTCTCCCTAATTATATATTCAAAGCTGGTTTAAGAATCTAACCTTGGCCAAATCAAAGCCTTCTGCAATGAGTCTTGGATGCAGACCATCTTGAATTTGAATATCTGCTTGCTTCAGCATTTCGCCAATGAGCAGTACAGTTGAGGTAGTGCCATCACCAATGATGTCATCTTGGGCAGTGCATGCTTTGGATATCATGCTGGCTGTAGGGTGCTGGATTTGCTGTAACAAACAATCAATTAACATACATTTCAAAATCATATATAAATTTATCATACCGGTAACACACAGTACAGTAGTTTGCACAAGCCTCACATAAAAAAATTATGGATATATCAGTCTGAAGCAATTTCCTGGGTGATCCTGGAAAGAACACATTGCTGACGGGTAAAACAAAGTTGTATGCAGCAAAAGGGGGTAAACCAGGTAAATAAAGGGGCTTAGTCAATATCCACTGATACATAGTTATGGATCAAAAATATATTTAATAGATATACATTAACCATATGGTATTATTTATAAGGGGTTCAACAAACAAGAAGATTATTAGAGCACAGCTCACCTTGTCTGACTACCATGTGTTGTCTGAATGTTTAGTGTCCTGCTATAGTTTATTCGGTTCTATTAAATATAATAAACTTATATATATATATATATATATATATATATATATATATATATATATATATATATATATATATATATATATATATATATATATATATATATATATATAATATATATATATATATATATATATATATATATATATATATATATATATATATATAAAGTCAACCCTCGCTTTACGCGGTCCCACTTTACGAGTTTCCACGTTTACGTGGTACCCAGCCGAACGCGGAATACTCACTTCCCGCGGTGTGTACCCTTTTACGCGGAGAGCGGCGTGAGCAGGGTGCGCACAAGGTCGCCCAGTCATCAAAACATTACTGAGTTCTTCACCCGCCACAGCCGGCCCAAGTCAGTGATAATGATAGTGAGGATATGGAATTATAAGGACTTTGAGGGGTTTGACAAAGAGGCCCTGCAAGCCTCTGTGGTGGATAGTGATACAAGTGATACAGGTGAGGGCCAATAATCTGCCCTCTGCCTCGGAACCAACCCCATATCCCCGTGTGCCCAGCCATCTTTTCTACTAATGTAAGTGTTAAAAAACCTAATATTATTGATATTTCTCTTAATTATTAATTGTGTGTGCATACCATCATAAAATTAAGAAGTTATTTTTACTGCAACGCAGGTATTATGTCTGAAAAAGGGGAGTTTGGGGGTCGGCCTGGTCTCTATTTCAATTAATCCCATATGTTATGTTGTTCACTTTACGCGGGCCGCCGTGGGTTCAATTGACCGCATAAAGTGAGGGTTCACTGTGTGTGTGTGTGTGTGTGTATATATATATATATATATATATATATATATATATATATATATATATATATATATATATATATCCCTCCTGCAAACCTGCACTAACCCTTACCATCTCATGGAGTAAAATATTACCATCTTTGGTAATTTTGATATCCCCAGCACCAGACACCAGCCTGTAACGAAAAAGCAGTGACATTAATTACAGTACAGTATACGGTTTAAAAATAAAATAAAATAAAATAAAAAAAAATAAATAAATAAATAAATATATATATATATATATATATATATATATATATATATATATATATATATATATATATATATATATATATATATATATATATATATATATATATATATATGGCAAATGTGTTAAAAGGTGTTTATTTAAAAGTTCAACTTGACCTAACCCCCCAAAAATTACCCTATCACAACTATGATGAAAATATAGGAGGAATATAAACATCAAAACAAATAACACACTCAGCGGAGTAGTCATCAATATCAGCCACCATATCAAGTCCTGCAAATGTTATAAAAAAAAAAAAAAGTGCAAGATATGCAGTAGGTACAGCAGCCATATGCGAAATGTCAATGTCTATTGGTACGGCAGCCAAATGTGGATGCATGGTGTGCAGACGGGTCCGACTGATTACCCAAATGTAGCTGCAATGAAGTCAAATAATGGTCCTACATGAATAAATCGGACTGCCAATCACTTGTTGACTAGTATTTGGTTTCACGAAGTCACAAAAAATTGGTAAACTTAATTTAATCTGAGTTAATAGATCAAGTGCATGTACCTAACCTAACCTAACACAACACAACTCAGATTAAATTAGTTTACCAATTTTTTGTGACTTTATGAAACAAAATAATAATCGAGAAGTGATTCACAGCCCGATTTACGCTTGTAGGACCATCATTTGACTTCATTGCGGCTACATTTGGGTAATTACTCACTCCCTCGGTACAAGCACGCGATCTATTAACCCAGTTTAAATTAAGTTTTCCATTTTTGTGTGACTTCGTGACACCAAATACTATTCAAGAAGTGATTGGCAGTCTGATTTATTCATGTAGGACCATTATTTGACTTCATTGCGCCTACATTTGGGTAATTAGTCGGAACGTGTGCAGACTAAACATTGATACTGGGGTCAGACTAATTACCCAAATGTAGGCGCAATGAAGTCAAATAATGGTCCTACAAGCGCAAATCGGGTTACCAATCACTTCTCGACTAGTATTTGGTGTCACAAAGTAAAAAAAAATTGGAAAACGTAATTTAATTTGAGTTAATAGATTGAGTGCATGTACCTAACCTAACCTCGACTAGTATTTGGTGTCACGAAGTCACAAAAAATTGGTAAACTTAATTTAATCTGAGTTAATAGATCAAGTGCATGTACCTAACCTAACCTAACACAACTCAGATTAAATTAAGTTTACCAATTTTTTGTGACTATGACACCAAATAATAATCGAGAAGTGATTCACAGCCCGACTTACGCTTGTACGACCATCATTTGACTTCATTGCGGGTACATTTGGGTAATTACTCGCTCCCTCGGTACATGCAAGTGATCTATTAACTCAGATTAAAGTAAGTTTTCCAAATTTTTGTGACTTTGACACCAAATACTAGTTGAGAAGTGATTAGCAGTCCGATTTATTCATGTAGGACCATTATTTGACTTCATTGCGGCTACATTTTGCTACATTTGGGTAATTAGTCGGACCGTTGATACTGTAGTTACGAATAGTCTTTTTTCTGACCAATCTTATCTCACCTTTCTGCCAAGCACTGTGTATCGCATTTTGTGCATGCGCATTTCTCTGCCACATCATTACACACACAGTCCGTCATTACAGCTGTTGTACCTGCACCGTGTGCATAAAAAAGGCGCACAGGATTTGCGCCCATTAAATACAAGATTTTCCCATTTTATTATATAACCCAACATCAACAGGCATTTAAGATTAGACAGTGGATATTTTGCCGTGACAGGCTAAGTTCCTATTTATGCTATTTTACTATGAGTGCGATCTGATTGGCTAATCGTCCATTACCAACGTACAACTCGAGCTATTTTTGACCGTGACTTTGGGGGCATTTGGCATTTATTTCGCCCAAGTCGATCAATGTGTAGCTATTAACATACCTAACCTGTGCATGGAAACTTATGAGGCGACGTTTACTAGAACCTCATAGAACCTAATCTAACCAACCAAAGAAACCTACCTAACATTACCTGACATCCTAGCCAAGGGGCTGTCCCTCCCGTCACATTAAACAGAAAATACTTACCCAATCAGAGCCCACTCACAGTAAACTAACATTTGTAGGGACTTAACCGGTCAAGGCAAAATATCCATTATGTTAAGATTAATAAGGTTAGAAGAGTATAGTTTACCACCTGATTGTTGGTGATTACGTTACATCAGTAGTTTTATCTGGTAGTTCAGGGCATTATGTGGTAGCCCAGTCATTATAATACACACACTAGTGACAAGACCCCTCCCAGTCATGTCCCAACCCACACACGTGTAGTTATAACTTACATTTTCATTGTACCCTTTGGTCCCAAGTTGGTTCTCAAGACATCCTGAATACCTCTAGCACCAGAAATATTAATAGAAAGGGCTTGTGCTGCCCTAGCCACTTCAGCTTTAGGGTTTAAGGTCTTAATTGCTGCCATGGTGAGTGATGGTAGACGCTGAAGCTCCCTGTGTCACCCTGCCTGGCCTTGTTCCTGTACTATCCTCACATGACTCATTAATTCTACTTTACATTAAAATATTATGATTCTTTACATTTTTTATATTATTGTATGTTCTATTTTAATATAAGATGTTTTTATCATTATATTATATAAAACTATAAACAATAAAAATGGGGTATTTATTTTTATTAAGACTTATGTATCCGGAAATAAATAAGAGTAACAACATACATGGTAGATGATAGACTGAAGAAGAATAATCTAGAACACTTTACCTTACCTGTCGTCTTATAGTCTTATACTAACATTTTAATAAATTAGATGTTGGATAATTTTCTGTTGTTGAAATAAATTGTTGATGTGTTAATTACCTAAATGAATTAGTGAGTGATACGGCAATATAAATTTCTTCTATAGTACCTTTATTATTGACTAGTTACTGTATATATATTTATCTATTTTTTACCTTCATATGCATTAACCTTACGTGACATTACCGGTAATTATTAACTCATTTTTATTTGGCGGTGCGGGTTTAGCCGCTCATTTTGTTTTCATAAAATTCAAGTTTTTGTTTGTTAGAACTCAAAATACCTTATTTATCTATCTTATATGTGTAATGACCACCCACTGCCACTGTGGCCACGTCTGGTCCCCGAAATATGCTAGAGAATGTCAGTTGATTGTAAATGTCCAAAGGAGGGCCAATTAAAGGGTCCGACTAATTAACCAAATGTAGCCGCAATGAAGTCAAATAATGGTCCTACATGAATAAATCGGGCTGCTAATCACTTCTCGACTAGTATTTGGTGTCAGAAAGTCACAAAAAATTGGAAAACTTACTTTAATCTGAGTTAATAGATCAAGTGCATGTACCTAACCTAATCTAAGCTAACCTAACCTAACACAACACAACTCAGATTAAATTAAGTTTTCCAATTTTTTGTGACTTTCTGACACCAAATACTAGTCGAGAAGTGATTAGCAGTCCGATTTATTCATGTAGAACCATTATTTGACTTCATTGCGGCTATATTTGGGTACATTTGGGTAATTAGTCGGACCGCCCCGCCTGGTCCCCGAGATATGCTAGTGTAGTGGATTTCTCCCCTGCAAACGCTGTTTGTCGCTGAGTAGCCGACCCTTGAATTCCCCAGTGTATGCCTCGTGGTCTGGGTCAACCAGCGCCGCCATACATCACGGAGGTCAACTACTAAGCCACGCCTATCCCCGCTATTTAAGACCTGACCTCGTGGTGACCTCTCTCTTCTTCTAGCTACAGCCACAGCAAGCTACACCTCCTCCTCCGCCGCCTGGTGGTCCTCGCTCCCGCCGGCGAGTATGGCGACCCACAAGCTGTCCTCCTCTGAGCACCCTCACCAACCAGCTCTCTCTACTCAACGCTTGTAACCATGCTGCCTTCCCAGCACCAAGCTGCATTGTACATCCAATACAACATGTATACAGAGAGCACATTGTGAGTTTCCTTTCTCCATCCCATCCTGAGTGTGAACACAAACAGTACTATACCCCACAAATGGTGACCCCCGGAGATTCGCACTCACACAGGATGGAGGAGAAACAGATCACGCTCCCAGTCTTCAAGCAACATGGAAGACTGGCTTATCCACCCAGAAGCAGCTCTCATCGGCTCTACAGCTACTGTCTCTAAACCGCATGTTAGACACCCTAGAGCAGCACTGCTTCTCTAAGCAGACACCAGCTCCTCTTCCTGCCCCAAGCACCACGTCCTACCGACCCCAGCATACCCGTCCTGCCTCAGACGCCGCCCCGGCCCAGCAGTAACCCCTGCCACCCCTGATGTGGCCTCTGCTCCTGACGCGGACCTACACACCCGTCCTGCCTCAGACGCCGACCCCGGCCCAGCAGTACCCCCTGCCGCTTCTCCTGACGCGGGCCCTGTTCCTGAGTGCGGACCCACACACCCCTCTTTTCTCCCTCAGGTACTCCCTGCTAATGTCCTGCACCCTGCTGCTGTCGTGGACCCAGCTGCTGTTACGAGCCCTAGTCCGCTTCTGCTGACGCAGCCCCTGCTCCTGACCCAGGCCCACACACCCCAGCAGGCGCATCTGACGACTCTGTACCTGCCGTGAGGGAAGCACAACATTCATCGCCTCCACACACCCTTTTTCTCCCTCTCTACTCCCACAGATATTGTGTATCTAGACAGTTGTCTCCAGCGACCGGCTCATCCACGCCATCGCGTTGTCTCACATGAGGCACGCACCGCCCGTTCTGCCTCACATGTGCTATGCAACCCTGCAGACAACAAGTCTCCTACACCGCCTGGAGGGAAGGGGGAGTATTGTAGTGGATTTCTCCCCTACAAACGCTGTTTGTCGCTGCAGTAGCCGACCCCACGAATTCCACAGTGTGTGCCTCGTGGTCTAGGTCAACCAGTGCCGCCATACATCACGGAGCGGGGGTCAACTACTAAGCCACGCCTACCCCCGCTATTTAAGACCTGACCTCGTGGTGACCTGTCTCTTTCTACCTACACCAACCAGCCAGCAACACCTCCTCCTCCGCCTGCCTGGCGGTCCTCGCTCCCGCCGGCGAGCATGGCGACCCACAAGCTGTCCTCCTGTGAGCATCCTCACCAACCAGCTCTCTCTACATCACGCTTGTAACCATGCTGCCTTCCCAGCACCAAGCTGCATTGTACATCCAATACAACATGAATACAGAGAGCACATTGTCAGTTTCCTTTCTCCAACCCATCCTGAGTGTGAACCAAACATCTTGAACCCCACAATAGTGTCTCCCGGAGATTCGCACTCACACAGGATGGAGGAGAAACAGATCACGCTCCCAGTCTTCAAGCAACATGGAAGACTGGCTTATCCACCCAGAAGCAGCTCTCATCGGCTCTACAGCTACTGTCTCTAAACCGCAGGTTAGACACCCTAGAGCAGCACTGCTTCTCTAAGCAGACACCAGCTCCTCTTCCTGCCCCAAACACCACGTCCTACCGACCCCAGCACACTCGTCCTGCCTCAGACGCCGCCCCCGGCCCAGCAGTAACCCCTGCCGCCCCTGATGCGGCCCCTGCTCCTGACGCGGACCAACACACCCGTCCTGCCTCAGACACCGACCCCGGCCCAGCAGTACCCCCTGCCGCTTCTCCTGACGCGGCCCCTGTTCCTGAGTGCGGACCCACCACCCCTCTTTTCTCCCTCAGGTACTCCCTGCTAATGTCCTGCACCCTGCTGCTGTTGTGGACCCAGCTGCTGTCACGAGCCCTCATCCGCTTCTGCTGACGCAGCCCCTGCTCCTGACCCAGGCCCACACACCCCAGCAGGCGCATCTGACGACTCTGTACCTGCCGTGAGGGAAGCACAACATTCATCGCCTCCACACACCCTTTTTCTCCCTCTCTACTCCCACAGATATTGTGTATCTAGACAGTTGTCTCCAGCGACCGGCTCATCCACGCCATCGCCGTTGTCTCACATGAGGCATGCACCGCCCGTTCTGCCTCACATGTGCTATGCAACCCTGCAGACAACAAGTCTCCTACACCGCCTGGAGGGAAGGGGGAGTATTGTAGTGGATTTCTCCCCTACAAACGCTGTTTGTCGCTGAGTAGCCGACCCCACCAATTCCCCAGTGTATGCCTCGTGGTCTAGGTCAACCAGGGCCGCCATACATCACGGAGCGGGGGTCAACTACTAAGCCACACCTACCCCCGTTATTTAAGACCTGACCTCGCGGTGACCTCTCTCTTTCTACCTACACCAACCAGCCAGCAACATCTCCTCCTCCGCCGCCTGGTGGTCCTCGCTCCCGCCGGCGAGCATGGCGACCCACAAGCTCTCTCTACTCAACGCTTGTAACCATGCTGCCTTCCCAGCACCAAGCTGCATTGTACATCCAATACAACATGTATACAGAGAGCACATTGTGAGTTTCCTTTCTCCATCCCATCCTGAGTGTGAACCAAACACCTTAAACACCCCACAGTACCTAGTGACAGCACTAGGATCCTGCTTCCTCTATCAAGGAATAAACAATTGAAATTGAGGCTAACGACCCGCTCATTTGGTGTAGTTAAAAGAAGTGAAGAATATCAATCATTATATGATTTATTCTTTGTATAACAAGTCTTTTACTTTTACTTTTATCCTCTTCGCCACTGATCGGCTTGTTAGCCGCTTGGGCGATCGGTCACGTCTCTGATTACTTTTCCTTTTCATTTATCTTCTTCACCAAAAGATCGGCTCGCTAGCCGCCCGGGCGATCGGTCACGTCTCTGTCAGGCACTGTTGGCAAGTACTGGGCATGCACCAGCTCCTGAATGTACCTGAACCTGCTCCAGTGTTGGTCAAGTTTTGTCTTGAAAGAGCTCACACTCGGTGCCGTCACAACACTCTTAATAAATCATGTCTTTGTATAGCAAATATATTTCTTGATAACATGTGTATAATGAGCCTTTTTCTTAATTATTAATAACAGTAATCCATGGAATTAAATAAAATTTGTTTTTATTGAAGACAATGATTCGTGTTTCCTTTCAGGGTCTGTGAAAGGTTTAGTAACAGTGTTCTGGCAACACTGACGCCTGCTCCTATGGCATAAATGTAAACAAACATGGCTGCAAGTCTAGTTAAGAAAATTATGAGTTTTAGTATATCAGGCATTTCTGGAGGACCAGGAGGTTCATCAATACTGTCCAGTGAGTTTTTTTTTGCACTTATATTCTGTATTTCGGCTGTGGTTACTGGCTCCGGTGTGGCTTTATATTTTGTTAAATCAGTGTGTTGGTATGAATATCCGGTGTGGAGTGCTGGTATTATTTTACCTTACAAAGCACTAGAGGGAAATACAGTATGCCAGTGTCCTGTGTAAGATCCTTCCATTGTTCTTTATATTTTTGTCAAAGGATATACTGAAGCCCAGTACTATTCTTGATTTCACAGCTTTAGCTGTTAGGCCTCAGTCTACTTGGATGACATAGTTCAGGAATAATCTTAGTTGCTTTGTGTTGCACTTTATCTTGGGATTTTGTGGTTTGGTAAATGTTTACTTAAGTGCTGCGACCGATTTTACCAGCAAAATCGGTGATTTTATAGTCTTGCACCGGTCTTTCTTTCGCTGTTATTTATATGTATTTCGTAATGTTTAGACAATTCTAAGACATTTTTCTTCTGTGATATTTCCACCGGAAATTACGGATAACCGAGATATAAATTTTTCAATATTATTACATTCGCTGAGTCAAGTTTTGTCATGTCTTATTTTAATATTAAAAATAGGTTTTTCCTATGGTATTTTTTTAGAGTTTCGAACGAATTTTATATTCATTTCCTCCTGAAATCACTAGTTTTTTTTATAAAGATTACACCCCCCCCCCCCAACAATCATAATGGAACAAGTTGAATTTTTTTTCGAGTAAATCACAAATAAAATACCAACCAACAAAACCTAACCTGATCTAACCTACCCTACCCTACCCTACCCTACCCTACCCTACCCTACCCTAACCTAACCTAACCAGGGGGCGGGGGAGCTCCACCTCTCTGGACCCCCCTTTGTTCATGCCCCCACATCTTACCTTAATCTGAAAAAGATTCAGGTTCATCTGGGTCGTCAATGCACATTTGCTGTAGACGCTTAAGAAGCGAAGACGGAGGTAAGGAGTGACGCGTGAGGGGGTGTCAGACTCCACCAAAAGTAAACAAGACCTGGCAAAACTTATGACTCAGCGAATGTAATAATATTGAAAAATTTATATCTCGGTTATAACTTAATTTTCGGTGGAAATATCATGGAAGAAAAATGTCTTAGAATTTTCTAAACATTACGAAACAAATATTAATAACAGCGAAAGAAAGACCGGTGCAAGACTATAAATTGACCCCAAAAACATTTTATTCCTGCATGAATTTTGCTGCTATTTTTGGTTAACGAAACCATTATCACCAGAAGGAAATGTGTGATATGGTTTAAAAATTTTCTCACACTATTAGCACGATATTAAACAAAGAAATGGAATTGACCATGCATAGAACCTGACCTAACAAACCCATCCTATTAGGTCAGGTTCTAGTAGGTTCTATGCATTATCTTGTTCAATATTATCTTGTTTTATATTATGCTAATAGTGTGTACAAAAAATTAAAACAAAATTTCACCAACCAAAAGAATCTAGGAAACCCGACCTAATTATTGTCACAAACGAAAAAATCTTAAGCAACTTACCTTAATATTGAGGTTGATATATCACATTTGGAACATTTACAAGTGTTCTTAATTAAACCATGGTCACAAATAAGAGCTAACAAACGAGAATCATCAAGAACTAGGCCTGGTAATTCACGATAAGAATAATCACAACCAATGCAGGTAAAACATGACGTAAACGAGACGCTTGAACACGTAATCATCACGTGATGTATAAACTATAGACGATATAAAGAGAACAGAGAATGCATTTAATAAATAAACAAAAGAAGAAAAAGTGGTATACAGGTATACGTAATTCTAAACTTAATAAAGATGTGTAATTATTTTATAAAAAGGATCAGGAATACTGGAACACAATTTATACAATTGGAGAGGAAAGAATGGCGGCGGTAGGGAATTAGGTGAAGCCGGACTGATTTACGGAAGGAAAATTATTTTGCCGTTTGAAATGCACCTAGAGACGTAATTTTAATGCTGTAACATCAGCGTTCGCTGTGTGTTTACCCTGTAATTTCCCTCATCTTTCATGCCCTGGCTACTAACAAGGAATTTAAGATCGTAGGATAGAGTAATTGAAAAAATTCCTAAAATATACAAAAAATTATAATAGAAAGTTATTACCTGTATTTCTTTTAATATACTTAATAAATTCATAAAAAAATATAAGAATAGCAAAAATAAAGAAAATCAACAAACAACTTCTAGTGAAAGCGGTTTTGTAAACATTTACCGCTAATTTTATTGGAGATATGTTTATATGAGGAAAAAAAAAATTATATTTTCCTTATTTAACCTAACCTGACCTGACCTGACCTAATCTAATCCCCCTCCTGAGTGGTTGTATAATGATGTCAGTACAGTATTTAACTTATCCTTATTTAACCTAACATAACGTATTCCCCTATTGGGGAAACGCTATTTTTTCAGTGTTGGGTCATGTATTATATAGCATGGTAATGCTTTTCAGACGAACCATGAACTACGCACTCCCCCTCCCATGGCTTGACGACGACTAAATGCGATATTATAGTATAAAGTATAAAAAAGAAACACTTCCCCAAAAAAGAATACGGCAGCAATTAACAACAAAAATTATGGTGGAAAAGCAGTTTGTTCTTGCTAGAATCATTTGCAGCATTAATCTACACGTTAACCTTAGGTTTTTTGAGATATTATTGTATTAGTTGCCACCAACCAAATCTCAATAAAGGAAAAAGATCAAGTTGTTGTGATAGATCATTCGCTGTAGGCGGTGCAACAAGTGGTGGCCTCCCAGCAGTGAGAAACGCAAATAAAGATTTGGGAATTATAAAGCGTACCTTTGACTACAAAGATAGGAAAATGCGCCTTCAACTGTATAAATCTCACATATGTCCCTAGGGGTACTTGTAAGCCCGGACCTACGGCCTAGAAAACAGTGCGTTAATGTTCGAAATAAGGCAAACAGAGTATTGGGTTTTATATCTAGAAGTGTAAGTAACAAGAGTGCAGAGGTCTTATTGCAACTATATCTTGCGCTAGTCAAGCCGCACCTCGATTATGCGGTTCAGTTCTGGTGCCCCTATTATAGAATGGATATAAATTCACTAGAGTCGGTGCAGCGAAGAATGACAAAAATGATTCCGGGACTTAGAAACCTTCCATATCAGGATGGGTTAAAGAAACTTAACTTGCATTCCCTAGAAAGACGAAGAGTGCGGGGAGATATGATAGAAGTATTTAAGTGGGTGAAAGGAATCAATAAAGGGGATATAGATAAAGTTCTTATAATATCCGAGCAGGATAGGACTCGGAGCAATGGATTCAAGTTGGATAAGTTTAGGTTTAGGAGGGAGATAGGAAGAAACTGGTTCACAAATAGGGTGGTGGACGAGTGGAACAAGCTTAGCAACTTTGTAGTAAGTGCAGGAACTCTGGAAAGTTTCAAAAGGAGGCTAGATAGATTCATGGATGATAGAGAGTGGTAGTAACTCTCGACAGGAGCTGCCATGCACAGGCCAACCAGCCTATTGCAGACTCCTTATTTTCTTATGTTCTTATGAAATGCTGCCTTGGAATAAAAGATAATGTAGATTTTTTGTTTTATTGCAATTGGAGCCACTGATACTGATTAAAAAATTAAAATTAATCACTCATCAGTGACTCATTCAGCGTGCTGATTGGCTAAGCTATGGATACGTTACATGGCATACTACCTTTAAAGATCTCTGCAACACTGATGTCCCTTCTCCTGCTGACTAGTAGGAGGGGGCTATCTTAATCTCCTGCCCATTTACTTGACCCTCCTGTTCATCAGGTCCCTTTCTTGATGAAACGACTTGTGGTGAGACCTGGGTGTCATTCCTTTGAATGAACACGTCTCCACCCACACACACATCTCGACCCCAAACATCATCTCAGCAGCCATTAGTTCCAAGCAGTCTGCTCTGACTTGTTCAAGTGGGACGGCCATCATGCCTTGAGGTCACAACACTATTCAATTAATTTTCACAAAGAACGAGTACAATTCTACACACAAAAAGTACTCAAATTAATGCTCAAATGATTAATCACAACAACAATTGATAATGCGCAATGAGCCTGTCACAAAGAAAAATTTGCTCTAAGGTTCCCAAGGCACAATTACAGTACTAAAAAATAATGGTATACAGTACATGCTATAGTATTTCCATGCTAACCTGGCCCATAAGCCATGTCCCTCTTCTATAAAAATAGCTGATTGGTTCAAAGAAAACGTTTGTGTGGCTGTCCATTTATTCAAATTAATATGTTTACAATTGGTAAGCAGACCTGTTATTCTCTAAAATAATGTTAAATATCAGGACTATCAAAATGCAAATGATTTCAAGTCACTAGCACTTCAGAGAGGGTGTTAGAAATTTTAAATACTGTATTTATCATAAAAGGTCGAAGTCAAAGATGTAAGTTGCTTTCAAATGAATTTTTTTTATTATTTCTTTGTTTTGTACCAAACATACAGCAAAAAGAAACAAATGATACCTTAACAGATACTGAAGCACAATAGGTAATGAAATGCAGTTTGTACGGCTGGATATAACCCCAAATCATTTATAAAACTGATAAAACTCGATATAAATACGAGCAGTCCGGGAGGGGGGGGGGGTGAAACGTTCAGGGGAATAGACACTGGAATTGGCGGGAATTTTCAGATACTGTTTGGAGTTGAAGCACTTTACAAATATATCATACAGTACTGAATATGATTTAAGTCCACCATATACTGATAGCAAATACATCTATATATTTTTTAAGCTCTTGTCACCAACCTCAGCAAATATAATAATTTTCTTTACGAGTAAAATTTATGATTTTCTAATACCGGTATGTTTTTCAGATAATACTGTTGGCTTGTTAACAAGTGTACGAAACGCCAGCAAGAAATCAGGTGGCAGTAGTAGAAACAAAAAAGGAAGAGCGAGAGGCAAACGTCGAGGTATCAAGAAAGCAGATGGTCTGTGGGTCTCCCAAGGAACAATACTTGTGAGGCAACTGGGACTTGATTATCTCCCCGGGCTGAATGTAAGAGTCGACTTAATTATTATTCTGCTGAGCAAAGGCCCAAATGTTGCTATATGTATGGATGATTTTTATTTTATTAATACTTATTCCTTGCTCAACAAAGTTTTTGTAGGATACAGGAATGTACTGTATTCAGTCTGTCACCCATCCATCCTTCCAACTGTAGTGTTGGTGTGTTTTTTCTGGTGCACAATATAATAGCCTTCACACCATTCCTTTTTGATATCTGCTGTATTAGAGATTTACCCTACTTAATTAATTAATTTATTGACTAGGTCATAATGTCCATCCGTACATGATACTTTGGTTGTATCTGCCTGTACCTATGTCCTCCTGCCTGCCCCGTATTGATTTCCACTCATTAAAATAAAAATGGCTGGAGGGATTTAAGTTTGGTATATGTATGGTAGTCCCTCGCCAACTGCAGTGTTAGGTTCCTGAAAAACCCTGTGGTTGGCAAGACTAAAGGCTTATGGGAAGTAGGGGGTTAGGGTCCGAGGCTGCAGATAACACTCGCCTGTTGCTTCACTAGATGGTACCTGTATTGTGCATTTAATTAAATTTGAGTCCAGTATACATATAAAATAGCTTAATATAAATTTAATAGTACTGCACTGCAATATAAATTATGCAGCACATTTGTCGAGATGGCACGTTGCTATAAAATAAGAAAAAATAGGAGCGTGTGTGTGTGTGTGTGTGTGAAGTGAGCCTGTGTGTGGACTTGGCAGGTGAGAATTGATTATCATAGGTCAAACACCTAAAGAGAATAAACATTTCTTATGTTCAAGGGAATTAACCCATGATCGTGGGAGGGGGTGTGCCCTCCTGTTTACCGTGTCCTTAGTGAAACGAATGCAGAATAGCAATGCAGTATTTTTTATTTTCTTTTATTTATTTAGTATTATTTTTATTCATACCTCACATTTATCAAGGAATACAGTACATTAGACCATGGAGGGATAAAGATTCCACACTAATCCGCGGATATTCGAAATTCAGCGTTGTGGTTGGTGAAATGGTATACAGAGCAAGAACCATGGATATCCAAAATCTGCAGTTGGCGAGTGTCTCCTGTACTGAATATGAATGCCCCGTAAAGATATAGACTAAGTTCAGTACAGGTATTGGTGTTTCTTTGTTGATTACTATATTAGGAGTTACAATTTGTTTCTTAACTTAGCTATTTCTTCTCTCATATTTTATTTTTTATTCTTGCAGATTTGATTATTCACTGGTACAACCATTGTATACTTGCTCACCATTCATGGGCATGAGGTTTGGTTATTCGTGGTCATGGTCGCATTTTCCCGTAATGATTTTCTTTATATAATTTCAGGTTGGTATTGGACGAGACAGAACTCTCTTTGCTATAGAACATGGAAGAGTTATGATGACAACAGAGAAAGTAAATCCCAACTGGGACCACAGCTTTGTGAGACGTTTCTATGCTGACCTTCAGAACCAGGAGGATGTGCCAATTTACAAAACATATTTCCATATATTGACAGACCCTCAGAAACAGAATTTCAAACTTGTTGATCAAATATAAATTAAGTTTTAAGAGATTATGTTGTACATACTGCAGTTTCTTTTTGTTAAATGCATTCATTATTTGCTTGTTTGTTTATTCTATCCTTACTTTTGCAACTCATCTGAATTTTATAAAGGATTGTATCCTGTGCTCTGGATATTGAAACTGGCTTTAGGCATATGGCAAATTTTCTGAATAGGTGAATTGCAGTCATCCAACCTATCATAAAAGTCATTATCAAGTGTTTAATGCAGGACAAATGTACCCAATACACTAAGTTGTGAAGTTATTGTAGATTACCTCAAACTGACACTCCCTAAATTCTATTAAGGTAAATTGATTTACTAAGAGTTGTTTTAAAATACTGTACAATTAAAGTTACGAATTATGAAAATGAAAGGCACAAATTACAATTGCTGAAATAAAATTTCATTGTTACAAAATTTACTCTGATGTACTGTACAATGAATTTTTTTCTTTCCTGGGTAAATTCCAGTATAGAATTTCACTAAACACAAAATAATTATAATACTGTACTGTATAGAGGGACCGGTGGTAGAAGCGGTACTGTTCTTACCTCGCAAGCGAGATATCGCGGGTTCGATTCCCGGGCCGGTGGAAGTTGTTTGGACTTACTTCCTAGCCCCCATTAGTCCCTGTTCACCGAGCAGTAAAGTAGGTACCTGGTGTAAATCAAAAGTTGCCAACTTGTATTCAGAGAGTTGTTGGAGCTTCCAATAACTTGATGACATAAACCACTGACTCCTCAGGCTTCTACACCCTTGACTCTTCAGGCTTCTACGCCCGTAACTCGTGAGACATAAAGGCAGGCATGAACTTAGCATGCTTCCCTGTTGGGCGCTGTAAACGCTTCTGCGCTTCACCTTACACAAAGATGTAGGGGTGTGCCCAATAAAAAAAAAAAAAAAAAAACTACTGTATACAAAGACAACCCTTTCACCGCACTTGCCTAAAAATAGCTAAATGAAATTCATAATAATAATATTAATGAATGGTTTATTAACAAGTACAGCAACCAAAAGCTGAAAATATACAAATGACAATTATGTAGTAGTACACTATTAACAAGGAATTACAGTACAGTTACAGAAAAAAGTGAGATTGGGAAGGAGTTAACACAAGTTTTCGGTGAGTTGTTCAAGATTTTTACAGTGTCTGGAATGGGGCTGTTCCTATAATAAATTAGTACAGTACAGTACATGATTATATAGGCTGGTTGTGGTGTTGAACAGCAATTCACAGATGGGGATATCAGGTGGTAGCAGGAGGTGGTGGTGAGAATGGTATAGCAGTTTTGTCCCAGAATGACAGATGAGGTCATTATACTGAGCACCTTTTGATATATGGTGTAAAAGGGGGTGAGAATAATCTTGCATGCCCTCTTCTGCACTTTCTATAGGAGGTTGCACTAGTTGTGTAACAGTTAAGGAAGAAAACCAGGCAGGGGAAGCATAGGTGAGTTTAGGAAGCAAGAATGTTGTGTATATATTCAAGAGCTTAGATGCAGGAACTCCAAGGAACTTGAGATAATGGAGAATAAGGTGATGAAAGCTGGAGGATTTGATGGTTGCACTGGCATGAACAGTACTTTCTAGTTCAGTTTGTTATCTATTGTGACACTGAGGAGCTTGGTGGGGCCCAGTGTGATGGAGGGAGTTGGGAAAAGGTTAATGTACATAACTTTGACCTTGATATGGTTGATGGTGGTGTACCAATCTTGGAGACTGTTCAGTATATTCTGGAGATTGCTGTAGTCAGGAGCTGAGTAGTTCACACCGATGTTGAACTCGGAGTAGTCGACATATTTCCAACAAGCGAGAATATCTTTCAGGGCATTGTTGATGAGGAAGCAGAGTGGTCCCCTTGAAGACACTGTGGGTGTTTGACTGAATGGTAGAGGCAGCTCCTTCGGAAGCAAATAAACTAGCATCGGTCACTAAGGAAGTCTGTTATCCACGGTATGAGACTTCTCTGAAATCCAAGGTCAATTACTTTGTTGTAAATTATGTTGTTGTTTTTTATATTTGCCCCCGAGGGGGCTAGTTTATTGGGTACCCCCTTGTCATCCTGTGCAAGGTGAAGCGCAAAAACGTTTATAGCGCCTGTCTGAGAAGCATGCATAGTTCATGCTTGCCTTCATGACTCGTACATTAAGGGCGTAAAAGCCTGAAGGGTCATGGGTTTTGTCAGCAATTTACATAAAGTGACAGAATGACGAGTGTGTGGGGGGAAAATTCATCTGTTTATGGCTAAGCGTGGCAGGCCCCTAATAATGTTAAGTGCCAGGCCTGTCTCTAGGAGGAGGGATATCTGGTCAGGGAGGGAAGAGGTGTTGGTAACAGGGTCACCAGTGGATTGTAGGTAAGAAAGTCAGGAGTTACCCCGGGAGATTGGTAGGGCCCCTGGGATCAGAGATTGTGGTGCCGGGCATTGAGGTCCTCCACAAGGAGGGTGGGGTTGGAGGTGATATGCTGTGGTAGGACAGGTACAGTAGAGGTGGAGGGAGGCACATAGGCATTGACAATATTGAGGGACATACCTTTTAGTGTGATTGTGATGGCGCAGGACGCCGTACGTTCCATCAACGGGACGTCGAGAGGTTGGTAGGACGCCTCCCTGGCGAGATACGAAAGTCCACGTACATGGTCACGTTAACTGCTGACTATTTAACTACGATCGGCTTAACCACATCGCATCATCAAGAAACATGAGGGTTAGCAAACTCCTGAGAAGAAAGTGTTTTTCCCTTACAGACGCTACACTTGTGGTTTCCCTCCCAGTGTCCTGCAAGGCAAGACAGTTATTACACGCGCTGTTTATTCCACTTTCTCCCGGTGCTTAATCTTGAATTAATCTTGCAGTAATCAACCTATGACGCCAGACCTTGTCATCAACTGATATCATTCTCAATGAGCAACAGTTAGAGTTGCTTGTAAATCTCTGTCAAGTGGAGCAGCCATCACTGGCAAACTGTATGACACATATACACCCAGGGATGAGGCAGGGTGAGCGTCCCCTGACGCCTCTCCAATGTTTCTCCAGATCCAATTGTGACTCTTGGATCACTCGACAACTGCCCCGGATGTAGTAGATACTCAGCAGGAATCATATATGAAACGATGGCCCCGATGCGGCCTGATTAATATGCTCCACAGCCTCTGGGTGCCCGACCCCAGACTCGCCATGTGTCTGGCCACCACCGACCATAACAACAGTTGTGAATCTCAGTGTTCTACCCTGGGACGCACCCTGGAAGTATATGTCAACAGAGAGTGTTGTAAGATGTATGTTAGGGATAATTAGTTGGAAATAATTGTCCCATGTTGGGTATCAGCTGGTTTCAGTAGTAACGAGTATGTTGAATAAAGTCTTGTAACTGTACTGTAATGCCACGTACCACCAGTAGGTGTGAGAAGTACAGTCATGTACAAGGAGTGCCATGTACTATATATTGTGAGTAGGGCCAAGGAACTGGTCCTGCTATGCCATGTAATGTAACACCAGTAAGATTGTGTGCAGTAAGAGTGTAAGATCTGAGTAATTACTGTTGAGTAAAGAAATAAAATAAGTAAATAAGAAAATAAGTAAAGAAGAAAGTACTGATGTCATGGTCACGTTGACTGCTGATCTATTTAACTAATGATTCTTATTAAACTCCACGCCCGCAAAACATGAGTGAGTTAGCGACCCCTGAGAAGACGTGTTTTTTCCCCATACACGCTACACTTGTGTTCCCTCCCAGAGTCCCGCCTTTGTGAAGACAGTTATCAATGCGTTGTTATTCCACTTTCTCCTGGGAAGCTCAATCTTGAATTAGTTTGTGTAAATCAACTCAAGTAATTCGCCAGACCTTTGTCAACTGAGGGTCATCTTTGAATGAGTAACAGTTAGTTTGTTTGTAATTATTGTCATTGCGTGAGCAGCGATCACTGGCAACTCAGGGGTATATATACCCCAAGATGAGCCAGGGAGAGCGCTCCTTGACGCTGCTCCAATGTTTCTCCAGGTATGTTTTTGTGTAGCCATTCAGTTAATTCCGTCAATTGTAGTGAATATCAGTGTTCACCAGTGTTCATGATCTAACAGTTGAATTGTCATTCACCCAGTGTAGAAGTAATATAACGTAAATACGTCTGTCGCCTAGACAAGAGAGTTGTTTGTGTTGTCATGTTCCTTGACGCTGCTCCAATGTTTCTCCAGATCCCATTGTGATTCTTGCAACCATTCAACAACTGCCCCGGATGTAGTAGATACCCAGCAGGGACCATATATGAAATGATGGCACCGATGCGGCCTGATTAATGTGCCCCATGGCTTCGTTGGGCCAGACCCCAGACTCGCCATGTGTCTGGCTACCCCACAATAACAACGGTCGTGAGCCCTAGTGTTCTACCCTGGGTTGCTCCTTGGAAGTATATGTCCACAGAGAGTGTTGTAACATGTATGTTAGGGATAATTAGTTGGAAATAATTTTCCCATGGTGGGTAGTGGACCCCTGTATATGCTAGTTTAATTATTAACGAGTATGTTGAGTAAGTATTGAGTCTGCAATAAGCTCAGGAGTTGAGCCTGGTAGTTATATGATTAATACAATATCTTTCCCCATTGATTTCATATTAATAAACTTGTTTTTAGAGTACTTTAGGTGTATTCCTTTCTCCCACAGTATTTTACCTTTATTTCCATCCAAGTGGCTTGATACCAGAATTACCATACCCATGTGCCTAGACCCTCGACCATGCTACTAAAAGAATAGGTGACGGAACTGAGTAAGAGTAAGACTAAGAGAAGTAAGTAAGATAAGGGTGGTGTAGATACAGTGGGAACCCGCGCCCTCACAGTACCATATAATAAGGTCAAAACCTGTCAAAGAACAATTCACATATAACAAATGCTGTTATCTCAGGACACATAGTATGAATAATACAATAATACAGTACATAGCCAATTAACATCTTAAATATAACTCACATGTTATAACTGTTGATAGATCAGGAGACAATTTGTATAATATGATCAAATTACAGTACATAAATATACTTGTTAAAGTTATTTAGGATGTCTTAGAAGATTCTAATACTTCACGATCACTCATGTTTTAGGGTCTAGTGGTCTGAACCAACGTGTTGTCTGTCCTGTAGAAATCGGTAGACTACCCTCGAGGGCAATCGCAGCCCGTTGTCAGCACTCTCTCTCTCTCTCTCTTTCCCAGTTTATCTTACTGTGGCGGTAACACTCCCCCTGTCGGGCTTCGCACGAAATCACGGCATATTATTTATTCACTCTCCGACCCCTTCCAGCAGGCAGAGTCTCGTCACTGGGTGTATTAACACTGAGTCATTTGTCTTCACTTTAACACTTCGCACCAGGCCATCTTTGCTCGGTAGAGCCTCCAGTACTCTCCTTCTCCCTAGCATCCACTGACTCCTGGGAAGGGGCTGTCCAGAGATGATCACGATATCCCCAGCGTGGAGATTATGGCGAGTTTTGAAGAACCTTTGTCGCTGACGTAATGTTGGGAGATATTCTTTTACCCACCTTTTCCAAAATTGGTCATCAATGAATTGGGTATAATTCCATCTTCGTCGGTACCCTTCTGTCATGGACCGATCGCCTCCGGTGGACAGTGTCTCCGGGTTCATCCGTAGTATGTGAAGCGGAGTTAGTGCTTCTAGATCCTTTGGGTCGTCAGACACTGGGGTGATGGGCCTTCCATTGATAATCTCTTCTACGGCCAGAACACAGTGCTGAGGCGTTCATCGTCTAGTGTCTGGTTGCCCACCACTCCCTGGAGGACCTTCCTTACAGTGCGGATTTGTTGCTCCTACACTCCTCCCATGCGAGAGGCTGTCGGGGGTTCAACTGCCATTCTATTTGTTTCTGTAGAAGGGCATTCCCGACCTTGTCACTGTTGTTCCAGCCGTTCACCGCCTCTCGTAACTCTCGGCTAGCTCCAATCATGTTGGTTCCCCTGTCAGACCGAACATGCTTGGGAGGTCCCCTGCGGCAGGTGAATCTTGTAAGGGCATTGGGTAACGAGTCGGTGTCTAGTGAGGTGAGGACTTCTAGGTGTATGGCTCTGGTGGTCATGCAGGTGAATCAGCATCCCCATCTTTTCGCCCGGGCTCGTCCTTGTTTAACCAAAAAAGGGCTGAAGCAATCAATTCCAGTGTAGGTGAACGGCTGGCCTCCTGGGCGCACTCGATCTTCTGGCAGGTCGGCTTGGCATTGGTGGGTAGGCCTCCAGTTGCTTCTTTGGCAAGTCACACACGTCTGTATTGTGCGGTCGAATAATTTGCGGCACTTAGGTATCCAGTACGTTTCACGTATTATGGCAAGAGTGTGTTCTCGTCCTAAGTGTCCAGCTCTAGTTGAGTGTACCTCTCTCCCGATGAGCCCCGTGATCCTGTTGTCCCTTGGCAATAGTATGGGATTCTCCTGGTCTGGGTGGAGAGCGGCGTGTTTCAGTCGGCCACCTACTCTGATCAGACCGTCATGTCTAGATGAGGTTCCACCCGCCTTATATCGCTATCTCTCACGGGTTGTCCCTGTTGTAACATTCCTAGTTCTCGAGGGAATCCTTTTCTTTGCATCAATCTTAAGACGGCTAATTTCGTCTCTTCCAATTTGCTGACCTGGAGCCGATTTTCTCGATGATGTTTGTTCTTTCGCTTCCCAAGCCGCCATTCTATAAACCTTCTAATCCACACTACGCTCTTCAGAAGTCGATGCGACGATGAGTACCTGGCCCATAGCTAATCAGGGTACCCTCCCCCTGGTCAACGTTCGTCGTCAGCACCGTGGTTTCCTACTTCACCTCTGGGTCTCCGTCTCTGAGGTCTGGAATCCTCAATGGATTCTTTGGCCAACTGTCTTCTTCCAACAAGAGGAAAGCAGGTCCTCGAATCCACCTGCCCTCCTCAATGAGCTCTGCTCTATGCGCCACATTACGTCGGCACTGAACCTGGCCGACGACGCTAGTCGTGGATTACATTGTGAATTGTTCTTTGACAGTTTTTGACCGAATTATATGGTACGCGTCAACGGTGACGCGTACCATATAATTCGGTCAAAACCTGTCAAAAAACAATTCACACATTTAACAAATGCTGTTATCTCAGGACACATAGTATGAATAATACAATCAATATACAGTACATAGCCTGTTAACATCTTAAATATAACTCACATGTTATAGCTGTTGACAGATCAGGAGACAATTTGTATAATATGATCAAATTACAGTACATAAATATACTTATTAATGTTATTTAGGATGTCTTAGAAGATTCTAATACTTCACGATCACTCACGTTTTAGGGTCTAGTGGTCTGAACCAACGTGTTGTCTGTCCTGTAGAAATCGGTAGACTACCCTCAAGGGCAATCGCAGCCCGGAGACGAGGGCCATCTGTTTCGTATTAAAACACGTCAACAACACGTTGTCAGCACTGCCTCTCTCTCTCTCTCTCAGTTTATCTTACTGTGGCAGTAACAGGGAAATTGTTTAAATAGGATGTGGCAACATTCGGCTGCGTCAACTGGTGGAGGCTCAAGGACAACTCCGTCAAACCCAATAGTACTAAGTGCTTCATAGGCTCACAGGACTGATACAGGAATCATTAACCAGACGTTGACCAACAGATCTTAGCTGTGTTTACATTCTTCCCTAGTGTTATCTGATGTTGGAGGACAAAATATACTAAAATATACATGTACAGTCAAACTTTTGTGTGATGGATTTCCAAATGAACACTATGTCCAGGAAATGGAGCTCTCTGATTGGTCCAGGGAATGGAGCTCTCTAATATGTCCAGGGAATAGAGCTGTCTGATTGGTCTGGGGAATGGACTTCTCTGATTGGTTCAGGGAATGGAACTCTGGTCCAGGAATGGAGCTCTCTGGTTGGTCCAAGGAATGGAACTCTCCAGGGAATGCAGCTCTCTGATTGGTCCAGGGATTTAAAAAAAATTATATACAGTATAATCGTTTCAAAATGTAAATTTTTTTAGATTAAATTGATTATGTTACGTTAACATCAATCTAATCTAACCTTACAAAAAAAAACACACGAAGTAAATTCGCTCATACACAGAAGGTAATGACTGTGCCAGACCCTCGTGCCAGCAACTCAATATTGTTCATGTTAATAAATTTGCAAGCTTGAAGAGGATCCTCGATGTTGAAATCCAGTGGACAGTGATTCATGCACGACTTGCATGTTGGTTCACCTGGTTGCTATAAACAATGAGGTGATGGTGAGGTACACCTCACTTCACTCTACTCGAAGAATGTGATTAAAGAATTAATTTGTTTGTATATTTGTATTTCTATCATGTTATAAATGCTATTCTACTGAAATAGTTGGAAAATATATATGCACACACATACACAAACACACACACACACACACACACACACACACACACATATATATATATATATATATATATATATATATATATATATATATATATATATATATATATATATATATATATATATATATATATATATATATATAATTAAAAGTAACCCAACCTAAGCTCAAGTAAGCTCAGCTAACCAAACCTAACCCAACCAAACCAAACCTGACATAACCTAACGTTGACAGTAACAGGTGATCACCACCCACAATTACCTCCCTAATTTTTTATTCCACATGAGTCTACTCTTATAATCACAATAAAGAATTTACACCCTCTTACGATTAGTTTAAGACACTGATGTTTTGCATGGTACAGTAGTTTCAATTTCAATATCTAACTAATAAACATTCTGGTTCCTGAAAAAGAAATTGATGTAGATACACACCTCATACTTTAACCTTCTGAGAGAACATAAGACGATAAATTTACCGAACATAATTCATTAATTCATATGCCAATAGAAAATACTGAACACACAAGTCAGGACAATGTTAGGTATACTTATAAAAAATAAAAGCTTCATTATGGTTAAAGGTCTGCTATTCCAGTTTTATGGAGTCTATCTTCTATCGATAACAATAACTTACCACGTCAAGAACACAACTGTCCTAGTCAATAAGGTGAATTTACGGGTTACGTTCCCTTCACTGAGCTGGATCTGCTCATGTTGGTTGGTGGGGGTGGAGGGAGCTGGGAGGGGGGGGCAACGATCAAACATGATGGGGTTGACGTAGGAGGGTGTCTGAAGCACTCAAGCTGGTGAGCACAGTATGGGTCATGTTGCAGCGCGGCTCAAGACACACTGCCACTATGGCCCCCTGCACCTACTGCCTCCTGCTGCTGCTCCTCCCAACCCTCTCAACTTGTTTCAACGGTAAGACATTTGAAGTGACGAATCTACACTGGTGAGGTGTACCTGATACAGGAACCTAGATTAGTGAGGTGTACCTGATACGTGGAACTTAGCTTGGTGAGGTGTACCTGATACGTGGAATTTAGATTGGTGAGGTGTACCTGATACGTGGAACTTAGATTGGTGAGGTGTACCTGATACAGGAACCTAGATTAGTGAGGTGTACCTGATACATGGAACTTAGCCTGGCGAGATGTACCTTAAACATGGAACTTAGCCTGGCGAGGTGTACCAGATACATGGAACCTAGCCTGGTGAGGTGTACCTTAATACATGGAACTTAGCCTGGCGTGGTGTACCTTATACATGGAACTTAGCCTGGCGAGGTGTACCTGATACATGGAACCTAGCCTGGTGAGGTGTACCTGATACATGGAACCTAGATTGATGAGGTGTCCCTGATACATGGAACTTAGCCTGGCGAGGTGTACCTGATACATGGAACCTAGCCTGGTGAGGTGTACCTTATACATGGAACTTAGCCTGGTGAGGTGTACCTTATACATGGAACTTAGCCTGGTGAGGTGTACCTTATACATGGAACTTAGCCTGGCGAGGTGTACCTGATACATGGAACCTAGCCTGGTGAGGTGTACCTTATACATGGAACTTAGCCTGGTGAGGTGTACCTTATGCATGGAACTTAGCCTGGTGAGGTGTACCTGATACATGGAACCTAGCCTGGTGAGGTGTACCTTATGCATGGAACCTAGCCTGGTGAGGTGTACCTTATACATGGAACCTAGCCTGGTGAGGTGTACCTTATACATGGAACCTAGCCTGGTGAGGTGTACCTTATACATGGAACTTAGCCTGGTGAGGTGTACCTGACGTGAAGGGCCCTGGGAGGAGGAACGACTAGGACCCCGGATAGCGCCTCGACCATGGGCTCCCCAGAATTGAAACAAAATGTTTCTTAACTGTTTTGGATAATATTATATATAAAGAATAACAAATCAGAAGTTGCCTCAATAGGAGCACAAGAAAAGTGATAAACATGGTCGAATTTCTGGCATCCTAAACCTTTATAGTGCACCAAACCAACTGTTGTGAGATTTATTGGTTCATTTAATAATTTTAGGCCAACAAATTATGTAAATAGATCTAAGCTCAGAGGTAGACAGTGCAGATAACTAATATTGTGTCTAGTCCAGACACATTGTCAGTTTTCTTGAATAGCGTTATTGTGACGTCAGTATCCGACACCAGTACGACAGTAGGCGGTAAAAAAAACAAAAAAACAAAAAGAAAAAAAAACAAAAGACAAACACGGTATTGAGCTCCGAGCTGTCCACTATAATTTGCTTTGTTCTTATTTTACTGTAACGTGTGAATAATAACATTTACGATTATTATATAATTATGGGTTGTTAACCAAATGTCGTACTAGTTATCAAAATTAGAAAATACGAAGAAAAATTACAACTGACAATTAGTTATGTTACGTTGCAAAATGTAGATAATGTCGGAAATTGCTCATTAAGCTAACTGCAAAATACTATTTAGGCAGTTTTGACATGTGGTCGCAGCTCCAACATGACCTAACACTATGTACTGTACACGGTTCCTCCATGATCTCGACTACAACGGTTTGATCAGAGTCGGCCAGCCAGGGACAGGTAAGGTCAAATTGCAAAATACTTTTCATGTTCTTGACTTCCGATTGTTATTTTACTTATTCTTCTTCGTGTTGTATTTTTTTATATATCCGTTTGTTCCTATTTGACATTGCAGTCATTTTTTCTTTCAACATTGTATTTTGTAAATAATTTTGTTTATTAGTCGTTTCATAACCATTTGTTTTTTTGCTACTGATGATGTCGATGTAGTCACTGAGGGAGGATCCACACAAGGACCCACACACTTTGTAACAGTGAGCGTCGCATCTCCCAACCAGACCATAGTAATGCTGGGCGACACCCTGCAGTTCGACGTGAGCATTACAATCCCACCACTCTCCGACACCGACGCCAAGGTAAGTCACTCTTGTTAGCGGTCAACCTTGAGACGTCAATGCCTCCTGGATGAGAGGGCTACAAAAGAAGAATTACAGCGCAGCAAAGTGAAAAAAAAAATGGTAATTCAAATAATAACAGGTCCGTGACATCAATTAAACAAATATGACGACCGGTGAAAGAGAACGAGTCAACAAAATGTGTGTGATGCAGGAAGGAAATACTGTAGACCTAAGAAGGTTGGCCTCAATAATACTTGCCCTGACAGAGTATTATCTTGTGATATGTGTTATAGTTGGTATATATCATATAAACATTCAATAATATATATGCTAGGCCTCACCATTTCCTCCAATACACTGCCCTGTGACAGATACGGATGATGATTTCGTGCCAATAATCACCACACACTGCTTGCGGTCATATAGAAAGTCTTCTATCCACGCTAGGACATTTACCCGAATTCCGCACCCTTCCAGTTTGATTTTCAGCCTTTCGTGGGGTACACTGTCGAAAGCCTTGGCAAAATCTAGGTAAATATTGTCGATATTACCACCCCATTTCAGAATAAGGGTCCAAATATCCAATACCTTGAGCAATTGTGTTAAGCAGGAGCGCCCCGGCATAAAACCGTATTGGCAATCCTTTACAAGGTTGTTTCGTAGTAGATGTTCTATTGCTGCATCTCTGATAATACTCTCAAGTACTTTACATACTACGCTGGTTAGGCTCACCGGTCTATAGTTGTTCGCGGAGTGACGATCGCCCTTCTTGAAGATAGGACTCACATAAGCCACTTTCCATTCCCTGGGGACCTTTTGTTCATCCAGGCATTTACAGAGCAGGATCTTCATTGGCTCGGCAAGCTCGTTGCACAACTCTCTTAGCACTTTAGGATGCACCATGTCAGGGCCGGGACTCTTATGGACCTTTAGCTTGGACAGTTTATTTTTAATACCCTCTTCTGTGAACACAATGTGGGTCAGTACTGTGTCGAACCGTCTGTCCTCAAACGTCAGGAAGGTTAATCGCATCCTCTCTTGTGAACACCGAGGAAAAGAAGCTGTTCAATGCCTCAGCTTTATCCTGGTCAGAATCTGCGTAACTACCATCTTCAAGCCTCAGGTCTGATACTCCTACTCGCGTTTTTAATTTCGACTTTGCATAGCGGTAAAACGCCTTTGGGTTTGACTTGACCTCGCTTGCAACCAGCCTCTGGAACTCCTTTTCAGCCCTTCTACACTCTATCTTTGCTTGGTTTCTGGCTCTTGCATATATCCTTCTGTCCTGCTCATCGTTTGACCCAACCCACGTCTTGAATTTCTGGACTTTCTTCTTAACTTTGTCGACCGCCGCATGGTTCATGTGTAGGGATCTCCTCGTATGCCTAAAGGCACTGGTTTTGGTCTTGGGTATATATTTATCGATCAAATGGGTCACTTTACTAGTTATGATATTCAGCGTAGTGTCTGCGTTCTTGTGCCTTAACGAGTCAGGCCAGTTGATACCTCTCATCTCTTCCCTCATCCCGTTGTAATTTCCCTTGTAATATTTGCACCTTGCCCTGGCCTTTTCCTGAACTAGGTAACAGTTAAATCTGAATGACAACACTATATGGTGACTGGTGCCAATTCGGGCAAGGTGTTCCAGTTTGGCCACCATACCCTCCTCGTTTGCTATGATGAGGTCTAGTGGCTTGGGTGTTTGCTCCCCCTCTGTAATGTGTCGGGTCTCCAACATGTTGGAACAGAAAATTATCTCTCAGAGTTTCTACAAAAAGAGTAGCAGGGTTATTCAATTGATTTGGGGTGAACTCGTTTCTCTAGTCGATGTCGCCATGGTTAAAGTCCCCCAAGATAAGGAGGTGGCTAGGTTTGAGCATCGCCGCGTTGTTTTTTAAGGTTCTTATGTTCCTTTGATTTAGTGGGCCACAGTTTGGGGATCTGTAGATACACCCGACGATAAGTAAGTCCCCTCCCTTTAATTTAATTTTACACCACTTGGACTCTTCAAAAACATCCTCTCCCTGTACCCTCGCCTGGCTGGCTCTAAGGTCTTGCCTTACATAAATAACCACACCCCTCTTGCAAGTTTCTTGAGAAAGGTTCGTAAATGAGTCACATCCAGCAATACTGAACTCACATTACTCTGGGTCGATTCTCCTGTTCTTGTACAACAGTTCGACAACTCCTACAATATCTGGTTGGTGTACCTTCAGTTGTGTTTCAAACTCCTCTCTCTTATCAAGGAACGTGTCAGTATTAGTGTACATGACATTCAAGCCAGAATTTGTTCTCGGTAACGTCTCTGCTCTTAGTAGTAAACCCGCCCCCCCCCCAATCTCAGAAGCTGCAGCATTTGCTAAGTACACTGTATTTTGCAGGATGTGGTTAGAAATGTCATTGTTTACACGGCGCTCGCCTCCTCCTGTCTGGTAGGCGGAGCTGGTGCCACTGTGGGGTTATGTGATGTTGGTTCACACTCAGGATGGGATGGAGAAAGGAAACTCACAATGTGCTCACTGTATAGATATTGTATTGGATGTACAATGCAACTTGTTGCTGGGTAGGTAGCATGGTAATAAGCGTTGAGTAGAGAGAGCTGGGTGGTGAGGGTGCCCAGAGGAGGGACACGCGGCTTGAGGGAAGCCAAGGTCGCTGGCGGAGGAGGAGGTGTTGCTTGCTGGTGGCAATGTGTAGAAAGAGGGTGGTCACAGCGGTGTCGGGCCTTATAAGGCGGGGGTAGGCGTGGGTAGATAGTTGACCTCCGCTCCGTGGGCGGCGCTGGAGGCGTAGGCTGGGGAATTCGAGAAGGTTCGGTGCTTGTAGGGGAGGAATCCACTACACCACCTCCAGGGTGGGGGGGGTAGAGCAGGTGGAGGGTTCACTGCTGCCCCCTGGCCCTGTGTCGGTACACTTACTTCCACTACCCTCCTCCTGAATATAGCCCATGTACACCCGTCCCCGTTCCTCCTTGACTCCTCCCTTTTCTGCTTCAAGTCCTGCAGGAGCTTCTTGTGCTGTTCCCTCTGCATTACCGTGCGGTCTGGGTGAATGAATACACTCCGAGATGCCTCGCTCCTTGCTAAGTTTTTTGCCTGCCGAATAACCTCCCATTTCTCCTCCTCGCTCACTAGTGTGATCCTGAGGGGACGAGGCTTATCCCCCTGCTTTTGTCCCAGCCTCCTCACATCCTGTGGCGTTGATGGCATCTTCAGAACCTCTGTACAAATATTCTGAAACTGCATCTTATCATGTGTTACCTTACTCTCAGTTCCCTCAGCGCAAGTCCCCTTCAACGTTCGGCTTGTTTCTGTATTTGGTCTTGACATCAAACCAGTGCAGAATATGCAACCTCACAAAGATACGTAGATCCAAACATCGTCGGAATCCGAACAGCTTGACGTACAGTTCCCGACATTATTACTACCTTAATTCAGTCAATTTTAGTGGAATTTTACATTTTGATTACTTATACAATGGGAGTACATTGGCAACCCTGAGCCTGGCCGTACTATTTGTAAACTTTGTGACCAACCCGACTCTCACACCCTCTCTCACTACATCCTCACTTGCCCGATGACCTCCTCCTACAGGTCACCAGCCGTTACCAACAACTCTTCCCTCCCTGACCAGATATCCCTCCTCCTAGTGACAGGCCTGGCACTTGACATTATTAGGGACCTGCCACGCTTTGCCATAAACAGATGAAATGTACCGGGAACTTTCCCCCCACACACTCATCATTCTGTCACTTTATGTAACTTGCTGACAAAACCTATGACCCTTCAGGCTTTTACGCCCTTAATGCATGAGTCATAAAGGCAAGCATGAACTGAGTATGCTTCACAGATGGGCACTGTAAACTCTTCTGTGCTTCACCTTGCACAGGATGTAAGGGGGTGTCCAATAAACTAGCCCCCTCGGGGGCAATCTAAAAAAAAAATCTAAAGTAAGAACACTCGACTGAGTAGTGCCCCTTGAGATGCTTATACACCTCAATTAGGTCGCCTCTTGCCCGTCTGTAGTATAATTTCTTATGGGGATTAGCCCACCCGGGCACAGGTCACTGACCCACATCGAGGCCTGGGGGCGAAAATGTAATAATTATTCATAGTTAATAAAATTTTTAATAAAAAGTAAAATAAAATTATAATGATAATAATAATAAAAATAAATCTGTAATAATAATAAAAATAATAATAATAATAATAATAATAATAATAATAATAATAATAATAATAATAATAATAATAATAATAATAATAATAATAATGAACTATAAAGAAAAAATAGTGAGAAACTCTAAATGTATGTTGTGTTGTCAAGTAAGAGAAACAATTGAGACCTGCAATTGTGTGTAAATGAGGCAGAAAGACAGATCAGCAACCTTAGCTAGGCAAGTTCAGGCGCTCCAATCTCTCAGGGGAGCTGAGGTGCCGAAGTGCAGGCACCAGTCTGGTGGCCCTCCTTTGAACATTTTCACCAACTGACAGTCCCTAGCATATCTCGGGGACCAGACGGGGTGACTGTACTCCAGATGGGGAAGCACTGATTTACCTTCTTCTCGCAATGGCCCGAGAGCTTCAGCTCATTGTCAACATACTTTATATTTCTTAGGGGGAAACAGCACATAGAAAATCATTTGTTTGATTTACCAAAGTTGTGTAGCTGTTTGTAAGGAGTGCAATTTGCAAAAATATTATTTATCCAAGCATAAATCATATGAAGAAATCACAGGTGAACTGAGAAAGCAGAAAATAGTCTATGCTGCATGGCCTTGATCCCCCAGCGAAACATGTTCACTCAGAAGAATAAAGCTCAAGAAGTGAGCTATGAAGTTGCACATCTGCGAGAAAATGTTCACGGATATTTACAGACGTCCAGACTGATTGGGCCTCTGTACGCACAAGAAGCTCGTCTTAAAGTCACAGTGCCAAACATCGCACTAAGAAAAACTCGCCACGTGATATGCCAGGTGGGCACATTATTTAATTATTAATTTTCATGGTAATAAGCCTATTTATAAGTTACAGGTAAATTATGTTGTATGGCAGCTAGTTATTGGTTATCAAGTGTAAATCATAGAATCATTTGAATTATTATTTTTTTTTTCAAAATGTGTATTTGAATAAAGATTCTGAATTTGTAATAAAAATTTAAAATATCAGTAGTTTATGAGAACACTGCTACCAATGGAAGTTCAATTTTGTCTATTTTTTTTCCCAAATGTTCGTATATATATATATATATATATATATATATATATATATATATATATATATATATATATATATATATATATATATATATATATATATATATATAATCAGTTTCCAGTATCTACGATCATAAATCACCTGTAGTGGGTAGGTCGTGAAGGATGAGGGAAATTGCGGAGTAAAAGACAGTGAAAAACTGATCCTATGTCACTAAAATAATGTCTACGTGCTTTGTATGTAAGGAAATTAGTAATTATTTACCGTAAACACTCCTCCGAAAAATCTGTCGAGTCACCACATGTTGTTTGTTTGTATACAACTGACCCACTCAGTACTCTCACGTTCACAAAAAAAAAATCCATCATGACGTTTCAACAAAGTTGCTGGTACCAGAACTAGATGCGCTCAGCTGCCAAGTCGCAAAAATGAAGTAACTGATTGGGATAAACAGGGTACTCGTCGACTATGGGTCTCCAGGTGCGATTTTGGTGGTTTTTTGTGTGTGTTATTCTGGAAGTACGTAATTATAGATAAATCTCTTAAATTCCAATTCCGAGTGATAAGTATAATTTGGTTGAAATATTCAGTATTTTTCCGCATTAACACCTGTTAAGTTAGGCTAGGTTTAATTAGGTTAGATTAGGTTGGGCAGAAACGAGTGATTTCCGACAGAAATGGATGTTAGTATCAAATGAATCACACTAAAAACCTTAGGAAAAAGAAAATTTTAAGCTTCAAAGAGAGTTGGGTTTTAACCAAGAAATTTAACAATATTCTTAAGGCATTTGGCTTACCGTTTCGGCAATTTCGGCCCAAAACTGGATTTTCTTTAAAATCTCAATACAGGGTATAGGTCAGATTATATTTAGTGGTTAAGTAGGAAGGAAAATTATAATGTTAAGGAGACAATAAGCTGAAGTTCTAGAGGCCATTGCGAGAAGAAGGTGAATCAGGCAACTAAATTATTAGGTCTTATTAGAAGGTCGTTCAGATATCTAGACGGTCCATCCCTCATAACGCTTTTCAAGAGTGAGGTGCTTCCCAGTCTGGAGTACTGTCACCCCGTCTGGTCCCCGAGATATACTAGGGACTGTTAAGTCGATTGAAAATGTCCAAAGGAGGGCTACCAGACTGGTGCCTGCACTACGGCACCTCAGCTACCCTGAGAGATTGGAGCGCCTGAAATTGCTTAGCTTATACTGCACACGGGCAAGGGGAGATCTAATTAAGGTGTTTAAACATCTCAAAGGGCACTACTCAGTCGAGTGCCCTTACCTGGAGTTGGCGGATGCTCGCCCCACAAGGGGTCACAGCTCAAGGTTGAAGAAGCAGCAAGCCCAGAAAACTGTGAGGGGTAACTTTTTCGGAGTGAGAGTTGTTAACTCTTGGAACCACAACGTAACAACTGTTAGAGATGTACGGTTCAAATTTAGCCACCATATTTATGATCTACAGTATATTTTAAGTTTTTTGCTAATATCATAGTTTAAGTTTTTCCCTCTTTTCTTATCTTTCTATATTATGTTTTCATTCTCTATGTGAGTGGAAGAATTGTGGCTTTGGCTGTGTTCCTCCATCAGGTATTGTTATCGGGGGCTGACATTGAGACGGGCAACACCAAGTTTACCGTCTGGGAGGATGGTGTTGTCCTCGACTCCCTCACCCGCGACCTTCAACAAGAGCCTAAATACTTTGCCTCTGATACACAGCCAGAAGTGGTAAGTGGCCCCGTGATGCCTATCTCATATACTTAATCTGCTTCACTCTCATTGTCACATTCACAATGGCGTTTTAAATGGCTTTTTTTATGTTATTGAAATGAACATTCTTGAGATTATATCATGCCGTTAATGTGAGTCACATTCTCAAATAGTTTGGGTTATTAGTGTTAAATTTTGGCTACAGTATGACAAAGTACATCTCGACCTGGGTACGTTGACTACCAGCGAAAACGTCACCGGTACACTGACGTTGACGCTGAAGGCGGCTATGGTACACTACAGCGGGATAGCCATCGACGACACAGTGACAGTCTACCTCGGCATCAATTACGACAATGACAGCTTAATCTACTCTTACATATCCTCCTTCACAGTTGACAACACGCCGGTAAGGAGTCTCACCTGTACCATGCATGTATCTCCATACAACCAGGCGTAAATATTTTTGATGCTAAACTAATTAAAAATCTACAGTAATATGTGTCCATGGTAAGCTTACTAACAAGTTGGTGAAGCCAAGTATCTGTGAACATTGGAGAGGGCTACTAGGTTTTGATTGTTTTGAGGGGCACATGGTGATAAAGCCAGGGATTTGTGGGTAGTGCTGAGGGTTTCCATGTAGTTGTGGAAAGATGTGAGGACTACCAGGTGATGAAACCACCTTGGGAGTAACAGTGTTAAGTGTGGACAGATTTGAGGATAACCAGAGGATCAAGTTATTAATTTTGGATAGTTGTGAGGACTATTTCTTGAAGCCATACAGTCGTAGGAAAGTGTGAGGGCAAGTTCTTGAAGCCATATACTGTAATTGTGGGCAGTTGTGAGGGCCACCAGGTTGTAAAACCAAAGAGTTGTGCTATGCTGTTAGAGCTACCATGTAGTGAAGTTGTGTAATCACCATAAAGCACAAATTTAAGACACATTTACTTAGCTACACACACCTAAGCTAATAACGGTGGGAACTTCATTATGTGACAGCTTGCCTATTTCTGCCCCGTGGCCCCTGTCTAGAGGAGAGGAGAGTGGTCAGAAAGGAGAGCACATCTCTCTCTAAGGAGTTCATAACTATTGGTTTTTGAATCAACTTCTGAATATATCTCTACACATATATGTTGTAAATTGATACCATAAAATAATAATACATAAACACTCAACAATGTGTTTCATGAAAATCTGTCACTAAACATTTTACAAGCAGTTAAATAAGAACCACTGTAACCGCCTTAGTTAAGGACGGTCGGGTGACGGGCAAGCCGAAGGGAATGATTGAAACCAGCCTTTTGTCGCAATCAATATTTATTGATATAGTAAAAAAATCTGCAGAGAACAGGCGTTCATTAGTATTACATGGTGATCCATCTGATACATAATTTATTAGTCTCACACAATTTTATCTTAACCACACAAGATCATTAAACATAGTGACATAATACAAGGTACATAACTCTATTAATCTTAGTGGCGCTTCATTCCATTTTGTCTTATTGCTTCAGATAAGGCTGAAAACGAGTAGGCATAATTAGTCCACAATATTTCAGTACTGAGGGTTACGTCATCACGTAGGGTGTACTTACAAGTGCGGTTTTATGTAAATAAGTATGGTGTTCCAAGAGACAACAGTACTGCATAAATTGTCTCAGCAGAGGGTGGTGATACTCACAGTATGGCCGTAGAGAGTGATCTGGGCGTCAGGGAGGCCAGACAGTCACGTCACCTGCAGAAATGTCTATTCAGCAGAAACCGGGATCGCTCGGCTGTAATCTCCCCCTCAGCTCTTTCCTCTCCCCTCTCCTACATCTTTAATATCCTAATAACTAAACTATTTGTAACAATTTATTAACACTGTCCACGTGGTTCCCCGCGGGCGGTAACACTCCGAAACGCTTGTTTGATGGCTGCGGCGTTTACAAACATCTGGGAGTCACCACACCACTACAGTCTACAAGGGAGGTCGCGGCATACGTGGTCGTAGGCTAAGAGATTTATGTTTGTTTGGGTAAGGTGACACTCGTAGATACATCGGTTGAGGTGCTGGGAGGCACTCAGTGCTGAGTGGAGGTGCTGAAGGCAGCAAATGTCAACACGGTGTAGCTGAAGCCAGCAGAGACAACAATCACCATAGCGTGAATAAACAACAACCAGGCGACAATAATGACTGTTACAAACTTGAGACATTTACATTAAATACTCATAATGCACTCACATAAGACACTCATGACACTCACAAAATACACTCACGGAACACTCACATGACACCTGATGATCCCCAAAACTGTACACAACCACATAGTGTCATCACCTGGTGGTTCTCTCGGTAGTCAACAACTGCAAGTCTTCACCTTCTGGTAGCCCTAACAGCATTGCACAAAGATGTGAGATTGAGTTGTGAATTTCTGTGATTCTGGAAGATTCTTAGGCTTTAATCTCAAATCACTAAATCTTGAATATTTTGAGTTGTGAATCATGGTAAATTTTGTGGCTTGAATCTTGTTATTCTTATTGATTCTTGAGTGTTCATTTTGGCTTAACTATTGAATCTTGTGACTCTCGACTCTTTGAGTCCTGATTCCTGGATGAATCTGGTTAACTGGCCTTTTATTATATTATATTCTTTATCCACTGCTCACTTAATAACACATTTGGGGAAGTTTGTTGAATTCTATATTTGAATCACCAGGTGGAGTAACCATTAACATCGTAAGTATCACCCATTTATAATTCGTCCCGTTGCTGCCACCAGATGTAATAATCTGCATTATCTCCTGACTATTATTCACAACAAAATAAATAATTACATCATAGTGGATAATAACAATCACGAAATAATACAAATTATTACTGGTGTGTAATGTATCATGTTTATGTTATGTGTGTCTTGAATGTGTTATTTGAGTGTGTAATGAGTGGGTCATTTGTTTTCTATGGTGACCTGTGGTGTATTGGTCAGCATGCTCGCCTCTCAAGTGAGCAATCCTGGGTTCGATCCCCGGGCAGGGTAATACTAAGGGCCGTTTACCTCTGTTTACCAAGCAGTAATTGGGAACCTGGATGTTAATCGATTTGCGGGGTAATGGTTAGCCAGTGCAGTTGGCGAGCTGTCCGGTCTTCTCGGACTATTCCTTGACACTGGGTCACTCGGTTCGTAAATTCAGGGCGTGGTTGTTGTGTTGGCGACAGCTTCTACACCTTAAACAAATTCACGCCTAGGTGGCTTTAGAGCTGGCCATCCTCGTTACACGAGAGGCAACCATTATTACTTTACTATATGAGCATTTCGAGTGTTATGAGTGTGTGCATTATAGGATGTGTAACAGACTCCCAAATATATATATTTTTTTCTTCTGTTATACTGAACTTATTATTTTTCTCATATTAATTATTAACTCGATATTTGACAACCCCTCGCTCATAGCAGGACCAAAGGTCACTTGATGTACAGTGCCTAGCTGACCCTGCACTTACAGTACACGTCAGATATACAATAGACTGGTCGCAAGAGTGAGACAACAGACACATGGCTCCCACGGAAACTCCGTTACAGCTCTGCCACTTAAAGTGTCTTAAAGTAATTAAATGACTGTACCTACACGTAGCCATAAATACAAAATAGTAAAAAAAACTGACATACAGTAATTATACCATCTGGTTCAACTGACTATAACATGTGCTTTGAGTGTTATAATTGTCTTGAGTGTGTTATATCAGTGTGTTTTCAATGTGTTATGTGAGTGTGTGTTGAGTGTATTATGTAAATGTGTCTCAGGTGTACGTATTGTGTGTTTCTTGAATGTGTTATGAGTATGTTTCCCCTCGGGCAGGATGAAACCATGGACAAATTTCTTAACATCATTAGTTTCTGTTTACTCAGCAGTAATTGGAAACCTGGAAGTTATCAATTTGCTAATCGTGTTCCAGGGTAATGGTTCGCCAGTGTAGGTGGTGAGTTGTCCGGTCATCTCGGAATATTCCTTAACATTGGGTCATATAGCTCGTTAACGTAGGATGTGGTTGTTATGTTGATGACAGCTTCTACACCTAAAACAAATTCATGCTTAGGTGGCTCTCCATCTTTGAACACGAGAGGCAACCATTATTATTATGCCTTGAGTGTGTTATGTGAGTGTGTCTTAAGTGTGTTATGTAAGTGTGTCTTAAGTGTGTTATGTAAGTGTATCTTAAGTGTGTTATGTAAACGTGTCTCTTCCACCTCATCCAAACTTAATCTGTCTTTATACCTGAATGTACACATAAAATTAAGTTACACACACACACACACACACACACACACACACACACACACACACACACACACACAATAAACCAGATAATATTAGGTAACTACAGTAAGACAGACGTGGGTGTATACTGCAGAAGTCGGCGCCAAACTATAATGTGTCAGTGAGTTGTGACCCCATCACCCTGGAAGTCGACTACTACACCTTATGCCAGGCCGTTCTCATGACCTCCCAAGCCTTCGTCGCTGACCTTCATGTTAATGTGAGTATATTTTATCCATTACTTTACTCACACCTCAACTTATTATAACTTTAAGTGTGTGTATCTGTGTGTGTGTGTGTGTGTGTGTGTGTGTGTGTGTGTGTGTGTGTGTGTGTGTGTGTGTCCATTCTGCCCTCTTGTTTACTTCTTGCATTTATCTATCTCCATAAATCTAACTCGCCTCTCCAGTCTCATAGTAGTCCAACTCAGTTCTCTTCATTGATGTGTATATAATGTGAAGGTGTTGACTCCATCAGGTGGAGGTGGAGAACCACGACACCCTTAAACCGTATAGCTACTGCACATCCAACATTAGGGAAGTGAAGCGTACTGGAAGTCACGTGCCCGTACCCCCGGAGTACCAGCGCCACACCTCCTACACCTCTCCCCATTATTCTACCTGTAAGGAGACGGCCACACTTTTCCTGGGTCAAGTGGTAAAACTAGGTTAGTGTTACACACCTTCAACTGTACCTTGACAGCTCATGTGATACCATAAGTTGAATCTATAGATATAATATAACTGCTAAAATTGTATAAGCATATGCACAAGTTTTGCCTGTCTACCTAATTTATCTGTCAACCACCACAATTAGAGGTGAGCATGACGGGGAAGGAGATGGATGGCTTGTGTATACAAGTTCCCTCCATTGTTCTTTGTAGACTCGTCCGGAGTCAGCCAACAAAACATGGATACGGAGTACCTGTACTTTAATCTGAGCTCAAACCATTACATGCGCAGAAGTGGTTGACAGTAGTGAACTACCGTTAAAGAATTGTCTTCCTAACTTAACTTGAGAAATCGTCATTCTACTTATCCATATCCTGTGGTCTGTGTCCTTCATGGTGCGGTGAATACCACAACGGCTACTCTCAGCTGGGATGGGAAGTGTGGTGGTGGAGTTTGCGATGGCAACCTACCACGACAACACTAGAGCCGGGCAGGACCTGCAGGTGAATGTGACCGTGGTGGCGGATGAGCTCAGTGTGGGGGAAAACACTCACATCCTCCCCATCAGCGAACTTGTCACTACTCATGTGAGTACCTGTATCTGATGCTTGATTTCCAACACTTACCCATACTGGTATCCTTTCAGAATGTTATTAACAAAACTCATTAGTATATAATTATAGAACATACTGTATGTATAGCTACTGAGGACGAACATATGACAGGGAACACAATCTACTTTATCACTTAATTGTTATGTGTTATTTCGCCATATCAATCGTACGAACCACGAGTATTTCTACCTGATAATATTTTAGTGAAGAACTTTTCTAACATTGGAAGAGCTAATGGATGACGCTGAATACATCTGGTGTTAAGAATGACATAATGGAACAAATGTGTCTGAAGATCCTAAGATAATCATAGGCAAAACTGTATTATGTATGTGTTAGTACCGTCCATTCTGTACATTGCCGTCCCACCATTTGCCCACCACTCCACATATCTACCACCTACCCACACGTCTTCTCTTCACCTGTTCATCACCTGCCGACCCTCTAACTAACACTTATCTATCATGCTTACCACCTATCCACTACCAGCCTTCTACTCCATCTTTTACCTCTCCATCTACAGCTCAACACCTCTTCTACCCCGTCTCTGTACGCCCGTAGAAGTACCATGTGTCACAGGGGGGTGTACAGTATGTGGGTGATCAAGGAGGATAACCTTTCATAGCCGCCCCTCTCCCGTTGTCAATTTATTTAGGCTTTAGCTACACCACTGACAGTCGCAATTTACTTTCCTCACTCACTTTCTCCTGCTATCGATTTTCTCATTTACTTGGTCGTGTAGATGACAGCCTGTGTCCACGGAACGAAATGACCCCATAAGGAGGCTGTCTAATCTGCTTGCAGTTTGTGATTGGATTTTTCATGCTTCTTTCCCCAAGAGGGTTTTCCGAGGTTACTACTACAGTACATTCAGTCTTCCCACCACCTACCACCCCACCCCCAACCTTCACACCACCTACCACCCCACCCTCTGCCTTCCCACCATGTACCATTCTCCTAACACTAACCCATAAACAACATTACTAAACCCAAGCTCCAACCTGTTCCATAACCATCCCACTGACAAACTACCACTACTCCACACAGCACCTTCTACCACCCCACCCACCACCACTTACTACCATTCGCGCCTCACACCACTCACCAAATGCTTGCTTACAGGTTTTGAGTCTACTATCATTTGCAACCAACTCACCCAACATTCTGCCCATCACCCAACCCATCACCCGTTCACCCACTATCTGTCTACCATCCGTCCTGCCAACTGTCATCCCATCTGTCACTCCCATTTATCAACTGTCCTCCACATGTGTATTTCCTTACCTGTGTCTCATTCCACCCACCTGTCTACCTTCCTAACCACCATTATACACCATCCCATCCAATACGTCATCCAAAGACTAACCACACCACCCACCCACCACCTGTTCATCATCTATCCATAACATGTTCACCACCTGTGTACTAAACACTTGTCAGCCACCTGTGCACCAGTTCACTCACCACCTGTCAAGCACCCTCGGTATCTTGGTGACGCCACAACAAGCATCAAACATTCAGGATGTGCCGGTGGAGGAAGGCCAGTGGAGTGTCATTGATCAAAGGGGGTCTGAGGGCACACACACACACACACACACACACACACACACACACACACACACACACACACACACACACACACACACACACACATATCCAGGTGTGACAAAACTTATACTTCTGATGCTACAAGATGCACAGAGGTGAGAGTGACCATGTTAGACCAGCCAAGACAGCCATGTGTTTAATTAACTGACAGTATTAATATATCTCACAGTATTAACAGAGGTTAAGTGAGCACCAGTACAGTTCCATGTTAATACGAGTAAGTTATTGAGTCATCTAATTGACTAATTGCCCATATTTACCTACAATGTTTGTCTACAGTGTGGTGCTACAGTGTACTACCATCCTTCCTACTAACCCACTACTACCTGTATCCACCTCGTTAGCACTAGACTATCAGAGTCACCCCCCCCCCCCCGCAGAGTGAACTTGAGGCGGGGATGGTGAGCGTGGAGTTGGTGGTGGTGAACAATACAGAACTGATGGAAGTCTCCTCTGGCGGCATTGTTAACTATCTCGTCCACGTTAACCTAACCGGCTACCACGGCAAATACCACCTGTACCTCACCACGGCCGCCACACACCCAGGTGAGTGTGTGTTTGTTTGAATATTTGCTTGTGCCAGTGCGTACATCTATGCTTCTTCATCATTTTGTGTGTACGCATGTGCTTAAGAGTGTACTGTATGTGTGATGTGCCTGTGTGAAAGTGTGTGATGTGTGTGTGCCTTTGTATAAATGAATGTGTATTTCTGTGTTTGCTTGGCGAGAGAGAGAGAGAGAGAGAGAGAGAGAGGATATGTAAACACCTGTAGATCTACTGTATATGCATGTGTCTCCAATTTAGTAATTCAGAAATTTGCTTTAGATTATGTATATATGTTTAAGGGCCAGTTAATGTGACCTGTCGCACATAACTCCTGACCACATCCAGTACCTCCTCGTGTAGGGTTGACTGTGTGCCGCACCAGCGTGCTGGCTCAGGGGTTCAACGTGCCGCATGTTCGTAACCCGGAGATGGTCAACGGGGAACACATCAACGGCTACATCATCAACACGCAACAAGTATGTTACTTCCAGGTCGAGCGGTGATATTTTTCCTTAATTAAGAAGTGTGTGCTGATTCAGCTGAACAATCAAAGTGTTTAAGGCAATAATGTACAGGGGTATACCGTGTGAACTGTTTAAATTAATCATTAATTCTCATCCATAATATTGATTCATCACTATACCAACATAAGTCTGTTACACCTACATCAGTGACGCTGTTTGTCGTTATTATAAACTGTTTCCTTGGTCGTATGACCATTATAAATATTATTGCTATACTGTACTGTATATTGTTGGTTATAAAAACAACCATGACAACCATACCGAAATATATATACTGTAATTAACATCATCTGTGATGATCCAAAACCATTACAATGGCAGGTTAAATATTGAATTAGTGACGCTGTAACTATAAATTAATGTAATATCCGCTGGAGACAATCTCGTGTCTTAATTTTCTTTAACGCCCGAAAACCTCTTTGTTTAATCATTGTACGAAGTGTTACCAGGGTAACATTTCGTCAATTTTAGCATGATTTATACTAAAAGTTTATGATATGGAACGGTATAGAGTTGGTTTGGAGACACACAAACAAACAGACAAGACCGAAAATAAAAACCTGTACCGCAGTTATGAGAGGGCGATGACTTTTTTTCAGAGCTTATTTCTTCAATACACCTCAACAATGCACTATAGTGGCACGTATCACATGTAAGCGACATATCATCCCTCGTCACGTGCTGAAGCAATTGGTTATTCTTGGATGAAGCATTTCAATGACAGCAACACGGTTTTGGAAAACCTAATCCTTGACTAACCCCCACAGGAAAAAGTATAAACGAGTCACATCTCCACGACGAGGCCGGGGTTTGTCCACTATGCCCAGTCTGTCCGCCTGTCTACCAAGGAAGTCGCTCGCTAACAGGCATCAGTGTGGAGGTGCACTATCTTATTGAAAAATAACGAGTGGCTGGCTGCTGTTCTTTCAGTTGTTGGAATACACATTTCCTGTAACATTTTCACTCATACTACTGGTGTGTCTCTCATACTACTGGTGTCTCTCTCATACTACTGATGTGTGTCTCATACTACTGGTGTGTGTCTCATACTACTGGTGTGTCTCTCATACTACTGGTGTGTCTCTCATACTACTGGTGTGTCTCTCATACTACTGATGTGTGTCTCATACTACTGGTGTGTCTCTCATACTACTGGTGTGTCTCTCCTTTTACTGATGTGTGTCTCATACTACTGGTGTGTCTCTCATACTACTGGTGTGTCTCTCATACTACTGGTGTGTGTCTCATACTACTGGTGTATCTCACTACTGGTGTCTCTATACTACTGGTGTGTGGTGTGTGTCTCATACTACTGGTGTGTCTCATACTGGTGTATCTCATACTACTGGTGTGTCTCTCATACTACTGGTGTGTGTCTCATACTACTGGTGTATCTCATACTGGTGTATCTCATACTACTGGTGTGTCTCTCATACTACTGGTGTGTGCCTCATACTACTGGTGTATCTCATACTGGTGTATCTCATACTACTGGTGTGTCTCTCATACTACCAAGGCCGGATTTACCTACTTGTGGGCCCCAGGCCAAACTCATCAGTGGGCCCCCAAATTTATAGAAATGTTTGCATACTTATTGTACAGGGGCCCCATACTCCGGGTCCTATACTTATTGTACAGGGGCCCCATACTCCGGGTCCTATACTTATTGTACAGGGGCCCCATATACTTGTGTCCCAGGGGTCTATACTTATTGTACAGGGGCCCCATACTCCGGGTCCTATACTTATTGTACAGGGGCCCCATACTCCGGGTCCTATACTTATTGTACAGGGGCCCCATACTCCGGGTCCTATACTTATTGTACAGGGGCCCCATACTCCGGGTCCTATACTTATTGTACAGGGGCCCCATACTCCGGGTCCTATGCTTATTGTACAGGGGCCCCATACTCCGGGTCCTATACTTATTGTAGGGGCCCTTATGGTTGTGAATATATTATATAATGAAATACTCGGTGTACACTTGAAACAAGGTTATACACTGGCACGCTGCGCGACAAATTAGTTTCAGTGGGCCCCCAGATACCGGTGGGCCCTAGGCGAATGGCCTACTTCGACTATTGGTAAATCCGGCCCTGCATGCTACTGGTGTGCGTCTCATCCTACTGGTGTGTCTCTCATACTACTGGAGTGTGTCTCATACTACTGGAGTGTGTCTCATACTACTGGTGTGTCTCTCATACTACTGGAGTGTGTCTCATACTACTGGTGTGTCTCATACTACTGGTGTGTCTCTCATACTAACTGGAGTGTGTCATACTACTGGAGTGTGTCTCATACTACTGGTGTGTGTCTCATACTACTGGTGTGTCTCCATACTACTGGAGTGTGTCTCATACTACTGGTGTGTGTCTCATGCTACTGGTGTGTGTCTCATACTACTGGAGTGTCATACTACTGGAGTGTGTCTCATACTACTGTGTGTCTCATACTACTGGTGTGTGTCTCATACTACTGGAGTGTGTCATACTGCTGGAGTGTGTCTCATTACTACTGGGTCATCTCATACTACTGGTGTGTGTCTCATACTACTGGAGTGTGTCTCCTTACTACTGGTATTATTGTCTCATACTACTGGAGTGTGTCTCATACTTTACAGATTAGTGTCTCATACAACTTCAATTGTGTGTCTCATGCCTTTACTGGTGTGTGTCTCATACTACTGGAGTGTGTCTCATACTACTGGAGTGTGTCTCATACTACTGGTGTGTGTCTCATGCTACTGGTGTGTGTCTCATACTGCTGGAGTGGTGTCTCGCTACTACTGGAGTGTGTCTCACATACTACTGGTGTGTCTCCTTCTACTGGTGTGTGTCTCATACTACTGGAGTGTGTCTCATACTACTGGAGTGTGTCTCATGCTACTGGGGTGTGTCTCATACTACTGGGTGTGTCTCATACTACTGGGTATGTCTCATACTACTAGTGTGTGTCTCATACTACTGGTGTGTGTCTCATACTACTGGAGTGTGTCTCATACTACTGGGTGTAGTAATGCTCATACTACTGGTGTGTGTCTCATGCCACTGGTGTGTGTCTCATACTACTGGTGTGTGTCTCATACTACTGGGTGTGTCTCATACTACTGGTGTGTGTCTCATACTACTGGGTGTGTCTCATACTACTGGTATGTGTCTCATACTACTGGTGTGTGTCTCATACTACTGTGTGTGTCTCATACTACTACAATTGTGTGTCTCATACTACTGGTGTGTGTCTCATGCTACTGGTGTGCATACTACTGGTATCATACTACTGGTGTGTGTCTCATACTACTGGGTATGTGTCCATACTACTGGAGTGTGTCTCATACTACTGAGTGTGTCTCCCATGCTACTGGTCGTATGTCTCATGCTACTGGTATTGTCTCTCATGCTACTGGTGTGTGTCTCATACTACTGGGTGTCTCATACTACTGGGTATTGTGTCTCCTTACTACTTTGGTGTGTGTCTCATACTACTGGTGTGTGTCTCTACTTCATACTACTGGTGTGTGTCTCTTTTCACTGAATTGGTAGTAATCTCCTTACTACTGGTGTGTCTCTCCTTACTACTGGTGTGTCTCTCATACTACTGGTGTGTCTCTCATACTACTGGTGTGTCTCTCATACTACTGGTGTGTGTCTCATACTACTGGTGTGTGTCTCATACTACTGGTGTGTGTCTCATACTACTGGTGTGTGTCTCATACTACTGGTGTGTGTCTCATACTACTGGTGTGTGTCTCCATACTACTGGTGTGTGTCTCATACTACTGGTGTGTGTCTCATACTACTGGAGTGTGTCTCATACTACTAGTGTCTCATACTACACGGTGTGTGTCTCATACTACTGGTGTGTGTCTCCATACTACTGGTGTGTGTCTCATACTACTGGTGTGTGTCTCATACTACTGGAGTGTGTCTCATACTACTGGTGTGTGTCTCATACTACTGGTGTGTGTCTCATACTACTGGTGTGTGTCTCCACACTACTGGAGTGTGTCTCATACTACTGGTGTGTGTCTCATACTACTGGTGTGTGTCTCCATAATACTGGAGTGTGTCTCATACTACTGGTGTGTGTCTCATACTACTTGTGTGTGTCTCATACTACTGGTGTGTGTCTCATACTACAGGTGTGTGTCTCATGCTACTGGTGTGTGTCTCATACTACTGGGTGTGCCTCATACTACTGGTGTGTGTCTCCATACTACTGGTGTGTGTCTCATACTACTGGTGTGTGGTCTCATACTACTGGAGTGTGTCTCATACTACTGGGTGTGTCTCATACTACTGGTGTGTGTCTCATACTACTGGTGTGTGTCTATACACACTGGTGTGTGTCTCATACTACTGGTGTGTGTCTCTCATACTACTGGTGTGTCTCATACTACTGGTGTGTGTCTCATACTACTGGAGTGTGTCTCATACTACTGGTGTGTGTCTCATACTACTGGTGTGTCTCCTTACTACGTGTGTGTCTCATACTATGGTGTGTGTCTCATACTACTGGTGTGTGTCTCATGCTACTGGTGTGTGTCTCATACTACTGGTGTGTCTCCATACTGCGGTGTGTTCCACTACTGGTGTGTGTCTCATACTACTGGAGTGTGTCTCCATACTACTGGTGTGTGTCTCATACTACTGGAGTGTGTCTCCATACTACTGGGTGTGTCTCATACTACTGGTGTGTGTCTCATACTACTGGGGTGTGTCTCATACTACTGGGTGTGTCTCATACTACTGGTGTGTGTCTCATACTACTGGTGTGTGTCTCATACTACTGGTGTGTGTCTCCTACTACTGGAGTGTGTCTCATACTACTGGTGTGTGTCTCATACTACTGGAGTGTGTCTCATACTGCCAGTGTGTGTCTCATACTACTGGTGTGTGTGTCTCATACTACTGGGTGTGTCTCATACTACTGGAGTGTGTCTCATACTGGTGTGTCTCTTCTATGTGTGTCTCTCATGCTACTGGTGTGTCTCCATACTACTGGTGTGTGTCTCATGCTGCTGGTGTGTCTCCATACTGCTGTGTCTCATACTACTGGTGTGTGTCTCATGCTACTGGTGTGTCTCTCATACTACTGGTGTCTCATACTACTGGTGTGTGTCTCATGCTACTGGTGTGTCTCTCATACTACTGGTGTGTCTCATACTACTGGTGTGTGTCTCATACTACTGGTGTGTGTCTCATGCTACTGGTGTGTGTCTCCATACTACTGGTGTGTGTCTCCATACTACTGGTGTGTGTCTCATACTACTGGTGTGTGTCTCCATACTACTGGTGTGTGTCTCATGCTACTGGTGTGTCTCATGCTACTGGTGTGTCTCTCATACTACTGGTGTGTGTCTCATACTACTGGTGTGTCTCATACTACTGGTGTGTTCTCATGCTACTGGTGTGTGTCTCATACTACTGGAGTGTGTCTCATACTACTGGTGTGTGTCTCATACTACTGGTGTGTGTCTCATACTACTGGAGTGTGTCTCATACTACTGGTGTGTGTCTCATACTACTGGAGTGTGTCTCTACTACTGAGTGCTCTCATACTACTGGTGTGTGTCTCATACTACTGAGTGTGTCTCATACTACTGGAGTGTGTCTCATACTACTGGTGTGTGTCTCATACTACTGGTGTGTGTTCTCATACTACTGTGTGTCTCATACTACTGGAGGTGTCTCATACTACTGGTGTGTCTCATACTACTGGAGTGTGTCTCATACTACTGGTGTGTGTCTCATACTACTGGTGTGTCTCATACTACTGGAGGTTCTCATACTACTGGAGTGTGTCTCATACTACTGGTGTGTGTCTCATACTACTGGTGTGTCTCTATGCTACTGGTGTGTCTCATACTACTGGTGTGTGTCTATGCTACTGGTGTGTCTCTCATACTACTGGTGTGTCTCATACTACTGGTGTGTGTCTCATGCTACTGGTGTGTTCTCTCATACTACTGGTGTGTCTCATACTACTGGTGTGTGTCTCATGCTACTTGTGTGTCTCATACTACTGGTGTGTCTCATACTACTGGTGTGTGTCTCATACTACTGGTATGTGTCTCATGCTACTGGTGTGTGTCTCATACTACTGGAGTGTGTCTCATACTACTGGTGTGTGTCTCATACTACTGGTGTGTGTCTCATAGTACTGGAGGTGTTCATACTACTGAATGTGTTCATACTACTGGTGTGTGTCTCATACTACTGTGTGTGTTCATACTACTGGTGTGTGTCTCATACTACTGGAGGTTCATACTACTGGTGTGTGTCTAAAATCCTGGGTTTCTTGGTGTGTGTCTCATACTACTGAGTGTGTCTCATACTACTGGTGTGTGTCTCATACTACTGGTGTGTGTCTCATACTACTGGTGTGTGTCTCATACTACTGTGTGTGTCTCATACATGTGGTGGCCCACACGGTGTGTGTCCCATACTACTGGTGTGTCTCATGTCTCAACACTGATCCATACTATGGTGTGTGTCTCATACTACTGGTGTGTGTCTCATGCTACTGGTGTGTGTCTCATACTACTGGAGTGTGTCTCATACTACTGAGTGTGGTCTCATACTACTGGAGTGTGTCTCATACTACTGGTGTGTGTCTCATACTACTGGTGTGTGTCTCATGCTACTGGTGTGTGTCTCATACTACTGAGTGTGTCTCATACTACTGGAGTGTGTCTCATACTACTGGTGTGTGTCTCATACTACTGGTGTGTGTCTCATACTACTGGTGTGTGTCTCATACTACTGGTGTGTCTCATACTACTGAGTGTGTCTCATACTACTGGAGTGTGTCTCATACTACTGGTGTGTGTCTCATACTACTGGTGTGTGCCTCATACTACTGGTGTGTGTCTCTATACTACTGGAGTGTGTCTCATACTACTGGTGTGTGTCTCATACTACTGGTGTGTGTCTCATACTACTGGAGTGTGTCCCATACTACTGGTGTGTGTCTCATACTACTGGTGTGTGTCTCATGCTACTGGTGTGTGTCTCATACTACTGGAGTGTGTCTCATACTACTGGTGTGTGTCCCATACTACTGGTGTGTGTCTCATACTACTGGTGTGTGTCTCATACTACTGGTGTGTGTCTCATACTACTAGTGTGTGTCTCATGCTTGGTGTGTGCCTCATACTACTGGAGTGTGTCCTACTACTGGAGTGTGTCTCATACTACTGGTGTGTGTCTCATACTACTGGTGTGTCTCTCACACTACTGGTGAGTCTCATACTACTGATGTGTGTCTCATACTACCAGTGTGTCTCTCATACTACTGGTGTGTCTCTCATACTACTGGTGTGTCTCTCATACTACTGGTGAGTCTCTCATACGACTGGTGTGTCTCTCATACTACTGGTGAGTGTCTCATACTACTGATGTGTGTCTCATACTACCAGTGTGCCTTTCATACTACTGGTGTGTCTCTCACACTACTGGTGAGTCTCTCATACGACTGGTGTGTCTCTCATACTACTGGTGAGTGTCTCATACTACTGATGTGTGTCTCATACTACCAGTGTGCCTCTCATATTACTGGTGAGTCTCTCATATTACTGGTGTGTCTCTCACACTACTGGTGAGTCTCTCATACTACTGGTGTGGCCAAGCCTCGTGTTGGCTCTAGGTGGTAGGTGTGGGGGTGGATGATGGTGACTAACATCTGTTATCTGTATACAGTACTGGATTGTGTGGTTAAGGAAATAATATTTACTGAGTACAAGCAGGATTGACAGTTTGAGGCTGCCATAGGTCCCTGAGCCGGGTGATTCGTGGGTGACGTACTTGGTGACTGCGTCCTTCGTGGCTGACCCCGGCACCACCGCCAGCATCAAGTTCTACCTCAAGGATGGCACCGATGTCTCCGCCACTGCCTCCGCTCAGATTAAGGTGATTCACATATTTGAAGTTGTTTCAACTTTGGTTTCCTCCACAGCTCATTATAGTTCGGGGAATAATGAATGATTATGTAGTGTTGTATCAATTATGCTACATTATATAAAGGAAGTGATTATTTACTTGTCAAGCACCATACACTGTAATGCCATACCATGTATAAAATCGTTTAAATACACAGTGGCCATGTAAAAGCTTTTGGTGTTACTGCACGTTAATGTTGTCACAACCACCAAGTGACTGATGTTATTACCTGTGTCATCACATGTTGTGGTGTGACTGAGAAAATAACAGTAATCAGTGGCAGCAAGTATCTAGCGCTTCATTCATTCTTAACTCTTTAAGCAATCAGAGCCTTATAGAGTTTGTGGTTTAATAATGTCCTTGAAAAACCTGTTATGGGAACTGATACCTTGGCAAATATAGTCGTGAGAGCAGTACCTATGGACAAGCAGTGTTAAGTACACGAGAATCTAATTATCATTAGTTTCTGAATAAGTTAAAATATTAATGAGGATTGTCGAGATCTCCTTTGACTAATAAATTGTATAAATAATAATTATATGAAATATAATAACAAAAGTTATTTTATTTATGGAGGTGCCATCTAGTGAGATGGAGGAGCCACCTATTGTTAGTCACCAACAAGTACATAAGAGCTGGACCTTGTTGGAGGGAAACCGAGCAGCCGCTTTTACTGTCGCCTTCAGCCTTGCGCCAGACACCATCTACCCTGAGATACAGTTGATAATAGAGCCTGACCCTAATGCCCCACCAGTCCCCTTCAGAATGTGCAATGTCTTCTTCTCGCATGTAGGGAAGAACATGCCCTGTTTGGATGCAGTGGAGAATAACATAATCGCCGCCTCTGAAGTTACAAGAACGTGAGTTTCCTATTTAACTGATGTCCTTATTGTAAAGTTAATGCTAAAATAAACAAACTATCATGGTACAGTCTACACTTACTTATCTTCACCCACCACACACATCTTCATAATTCATATACAAAAGTATTTTAGTTTGACTTATTAGAGGTAGATAGTGATGTAGTAAGAGTATCTGTGTACTACTGCAACGTTGACACAGGTTACCACAGGCAGAAACAAATTTCCGCAACTGTACCATGTATATTGATTCCCAGTACTGTAATTCGGGATGCAGTACAGGCAGTTTTAGTGATGACCGCGAATATAAAAACGACAATAATGCCTAATATCCACATAGTAACACTCAGATACACTTATAAACACAGAAATACACTGAGAAGCACATATTGGCACATTTTTTCACACTTCACTCTTTATTTTATAATTTTATTCACTCATTTGCATTATTCACACTCCTGCACATAATTGCAACTATCTTTTCATCAATAGGATCAACAATAACCATATTTTTCACTTATTATGGTTCAACTAGGATGCCAAAACAGGTGGGAAGGCAGCGCGTGTGAAAAAGGATTGGGGGAGCAATAGTACTCCTTGCCACACTCCTAATTTTTAACAAACAAATTTATCATCCTTCCCACAAGTCATCCAGTGGGTAACGGAGACTTCCTAATGCATAGCTACAACAAAAAACGTTAATGTAACAACCTCGACCATCACACACATCTCGTACAAAGCTCCCACTACTTACAACCTCAAAAATCCAAACTTCTTAACAGCAATAATTCGCAAGTTTTATGAGTGTCTGCTAGAACATGACCTACCACCCTTCCTCACAGCTGGAACATGACCTAACCACCCTTCCTCACAGCTGGAACATGACCTACCACCCTTCCTCACAGCTGGAACTGGAACATGACCTACCACCCTTCCTCACAGCTGAACATGACCTACCACCCTTCCTCACAGCTGAAACATGACCTACCACCCTTCCTCACAACTGAACATGACCTACCAACAGCTGGAACATGACCTACCACCCCTTCCTCACAGCTGGAACATGACCTACCACCCTTCCTCACTCATGACACCCCTTCCTTACGGCTGGAACATGACCCACCACTTTTCACAGCTGGAACATGACCTACCACCCTTCCTTACGGCTGAACATGACCTACCACCCTTCCTCACGGCTGGAACATGACCTACCACCTTTCCTCACAGCTGGAACATGACCTACCACCCTTCCTCACAGCTGGAACATGACCTACCACCCTTCCTCACGGCTGAACATGACCTACCACCCCTTCCGCACGGCTGGAACATGACCTACCACCCTTCCGCACGGCTGGAACACGACCTACCACTCTTCCTCACAGCTGAACATGACCTACCACCCTTCCTCACGGCTGAACATGACCATGACCCACCCTTCCTCACAACTGAACATGGAACATGACAACATGACCACCACCTTCCTCACAACTGAACATGACCTACCACCCTTCCTCACAGCTGGAACATGACCTACCACCCTTCCTAACAGCTAGAACATGACCTACCAGCATTCCTCACAGCAAGAACATGACCTACCACCCTTCTTCACAGCTAGAACATGACCTACCATCATTTCTCACAGTTAGAACATGACCTACCACCCTTCCTCACAGCTGGACATGACCTACCACCTTCCTCACAGCTAGAACATGACCTACCACCCTTCCTCACAGCTAGAACATGACCTACCACCCTTCCTCACAGCTAGAACATGACCTACCACCCTTCCTCACAACTAGAACATGACCTACCACCCTTCCTCACAGCTGAACATGACCTACCACCCTTCCTCACAACTGAACATGACCTACCACCCTTCCTCACAGCTGGAACATCACCCTTCCTCACAGCTGGAACATGACCTACCACCCTTCCTCACAGCTGGACATGACCTATCACCCTTCCTCACAACTGGAACATGACCTACCACCCTTTCCTCACAGCTAGAACATGACCTACCACCCTTCCTCACAGCTGGGACATGACCTACCACCCTTCCTCACAGCTAGAACATGACCTACCACCCTTCCTTCCTCACAGCCATGACCCACCCTTCCTCACAGCTGGAATATGACCACCACCCTTCCTCACAACTGGAACATGACCTACCACCCTTCCTCACAGCTGGAACATGACCTACCACCCTTCCTCACAGCTGGAACATGACCTACCACCCTTCCTGCTCACAGCTCACAGGAACACGACCTACCACCCTTCCTCAAAGCTGGAACATGACCTACCACCCTTCCTCACAGCTGGAACATGACCTACCATCCTTCCTCAACAACTGGAACATGACCTACCACCCTTCCTCACAACTGACACATGACCTACCACCCTTCCTCACAACTAGAACATGCTTTCTCACAGCTGGAATATGACCTAACACCCTTCCTCACAGCTGGAACATGACCTACCACCCTTCCTCACAACTGGAACATGACCTACCACCCTTCATCACAGCTGGAACATGACCTACCACCCTTCCTCACAGCTGAAACATGAACCAAACACATGACCTACCACCCTTCCTCACAGCACAGAACAGCTGAACATGACCTACCACCCTTCCTCACAGCTGGAACATGACCTACCACCCTTCCTCACAGCTGGAACATGACTACCACCCTTCCTCACAGCTCATGACAGCTGAACCTACCACCCTTCCTCACAGCTGGAACATGACCTACCACCCTTCCTCACAGCTGGAACATGACCCACCACCCTTCCTCACAGCTGGAACATGACCTACCACCCTTCCTCACAGCTGGAACATGACCTACCATCCTTCCTCACAGCTGGAATATGACCTACCACCCTTCCTCACAGCTGGAACATGACCTATCACCCTTCCCCACAGCTGGAACATGACCTACCACCCTTCCTCACAGCTGGAACATGACCTACCACCCTTCCTCACAGCTGGAACATGACCTACCACCCTTCCTCACAGCTGGAACATGACCTACCACCCTTCCTCACAGCTGGAACATGACCTATCAACCTTCCTTACAGATGGAACACGAGCTATTTCGATGATGGAGTACAAATTGATCTGGGGATATTGTCGAGCATTTCTGGGGAGAGTGAGGAGGGGGAGGTAAGGATCATGACCATCATCGCCCTACCCTGGGGTATGCCCGGCCTTGACGCCCTCCCTGACACAACCATCCAACCTGGTACGTACGTATGTGTCTCACCTGTTACCTCTCCTGTTCATGTCTCAAATTTGTCTCTCTTTTTATGTGTTCTCTTAATAGTTCTCTTTTCTATTCATCTCTCATCTCCATTTTCCTGTTTGTTAATTGCACCTGTAGCTCATGAGTTCCCTGTTTGTTTTTCAGTTACATATCTTCTCTGTGTTTCTTCTCTTCGTCTCTCACATGCCTCTAACCTGTGTCCCTCAACTGTGTCTGTCCCTCTCATCTTTCACTTTTGTCTCTCTCGTTTCACCAGATTTTCTTTTCAATGTTTCTTATATTAGATTCTCAGCTATGTCTCACCAGTTGGTCTCTAACCTTTGTCTTTTCTCCACATCTGTCTGTTGTGTCTCGTCAAAAATTTTCTCTATGATGAATCTCAAAAGTTTCTCTTTCTGTATTGCTCTCCGTTACAAGTCTCATCATAGGGACTTAAGAACATATACTGCTGTAGGTTTATCGGCTCAGCAAAGCGGCTTCTCTTTACACCCAACCATTATAACTTATGTATTTGTCTAATCTATATTTGAAACTTCCTAACATAACTGTGTTAAGGATGGTATTTTGCAACTTGTGCCACTCATCTGCGCTCTATTTCAGAATCACTTTTTATCTATTTCCTCACTAAATCTAAATTATTCTAAATTAAACCAGGTTTTACATGAAACAGAATCAATTTTGTCACATATAAACTAACTTCCATTAAGCTAGAGCAACTAAATCAAAATGTTAACTCTCTTTGGCAAAATCTTCAGTTGTGTTTGAAGGCATAATTGAACAACTGTCCGTACTTAGCATAACACACACACACACACACACTACTTTGTTCACAGATTTTTCACATGTGGGGGACTACATCTAGTGCGGGAGGGGCGGCGGCAGCATCTTTCCGGTGTAGGCGCTTGTCTGCCTCGTTTTGCAGTCGGGCTAACACGAAAGTATTGACACCTTCTTGTGTGGTGCTCCTCCAAGCGTTACGGTGTGGAGTAATCGTCTCCCAGGTGAGGGGGTCGATTTGGCACTTTTTCAGGTTTGTCTTAAGACTATCCTTATATATTTTCAGTTACCCGCCAGCGTTATGTTTACTATTCGTTAGGCGACTGTAAAGTAGCTACTTTGGCAGTCTACTGTCGTCCATGCGGGTAACAAGGCCAGTCCAGCGTAGTTGTTCATGAATAATGGTAGCTTCAATGCTCCTACAGTTGGTCTCAGCAAGAATGCAGTACTGGCATTTATTCTTTTGTCTTCCCAGCGAACTCTGAGGATGGAACGTAGAGTACGTCTGTGAAAGTTTTCAAGTACCTTGAGATGCCTCCTGTATGTGACCCATGTCTCGCTGCCATATAGCAGGGTGGGGAGGACCACTGCTCGATATACGTGTAACTTTGCAGATAATTTCAGCTCCCTACAGCTGAAGACACGGTTTCAGAGTCTGCCAAAGTCTTGAGATGCACATCTGATCCAATGCTGAATTACTTCATCGATGTCCGCAGTGGTGGACAGGTCGGAGCCGAGATACCGAAAGTGGGTAACATTAGAAAGGGTAGTACCGTTATGCTGGATGGATGGTGGAGGTGTGGCTGAACCAGAAGCAGGCTGAAAGAGAATCTGAGTCTTATGTACATTCACCTCACGGCCGAAGTGTGCATACGCATCTGCGTAGGTGTTCAGGATCTCCTGTAGGTCACGTTCAGTGTGAGCAACAAGGGTGAGGTCGTCTGCATACTGAAGTTCAGTAATGGAAGCTGCCGATACTTTTGTTCCTGCCTGGAGTCGTCTTAAGTTGAAAAGACCATTTATTCGGTACTCGATGTCCACCCCGCCGGCTAAATTGGCACTGGTACGAGTAAAGAAGGCAGCCAGGAAAATGGAAAATAGAGTTTGTACCAATACGCACCCTTGTTTAACCCCCGTTTGGATGGGGAAGAACTCAGACTGTGTGCCATTGTACAGGACACTGCTGTTCATGCCAGCGTGGAATTGCCTCAAAATGGCAATGAATTTTGATGGGCAGCCAAACCGGCTGAGGGTCCACCAGAGGGCTTCCCTGTTGACCGAGTCGAAGGCAATGGTTTTGCACTTTTCCTGTATCTGGCGGGCAGCAAAGATCATGTCAGTGGTGCCACATGATGGTCTAAGTCCACATTGAGATTCTGGGAGGAAGTTTTCTGCCTCAGGAAGAAGTCTGTTCAGGAGGACTCGGGCGATAATCTTGCCAGCTATGGAGAGCAGAGAGATCCCTCGGTAGTTGCCACAGTCTGACCGGTCTCCCTTGTTCTTATAAATATTGACGATGGAGGTGTCTTTAAGAGCTTGGGGATTTCCTCCTTTTCTCATATATTTTCCAGAGAGAGTGGAGACGGCTGGTAAGCAGAGGTCCTCCTGCTTTTTACACCTCGGCTAGGATTCCATCAGGCCCTGAGGCTTTGTTTTTTTCATCTGTTTGTTGGCAGTAGCTACCTCATCCAGGGATGGAGGATAGCTGAAGTGCCTCAGCTCTGGATGCTGAAGGACCTGCTGGGTACTCAGGATATCCACATCAGTGTTTCGGTTGAGCAGTGAATGGTAGTACTCTTTCCAGTGCTGACGGATACCTTCATTGTCTTTAATTATGGAGTTCCCGTCGGATGAGCGAAGGGGGGCTGCGCCACGAGTGATTGGCCCATAAAATGTTTTAGTGGAATTGAAAGATTCGCGCATCTTGTGCTGATTTGCAATTTTTTGTGTTTCACATGCTTTATTTTTAAATCAGTTGTTCTTTAGATTGCGAAGTTCCCGCTAGGCCGCAGGCTTCTTCTTGCAGAAGGTAACAGCTTTGGTCCGAGACTGAGGGTTGTTCTGCCAGTCAGTTAAAGCAGCACGTTTATCATCGACGAGTACATTGATTGCCGGGTCATTTTCATCAAACCAATCCTGGTGTATTCTTTCGATCTGGCCGAGGGTCTCTGCAGGTTTTTGTCATGGCAGTGTCGAGAATATCCCATTCAGCACTGGGATTTGGGTTGTTTGATGTTGGGTTGTTTGTCAGCCCATGTTCGAGCTGCTCTCTGAAAGCATGTGCTACCGCTGGATCCTCCAGACGCTTGGTGTTAAAACCTCTTCTGGAGGCTTGCTGCCTTCGCCGTTTTGGGGTGACGTGAAATGATAGCTTGGCCCTGATGAGCCGATGATCAGTGTCGCAGTGGTCTGAGTGATGGCACGGGTGGTGAGAAAATCTCAGCGATCTCTTTCTCTGACAATGATGTAGTCAATGAGATGCCAGTGTTTGGATAAAAACACACACACACACACACACACACACACACACACACACACACATTCTACTGAAAACATAATTCTTTCACACTAACTCAAAAAAATAGTTTTGTTTCAGAATTGATAATTAATTTTGAGTTTAACAGTAGAATAATCTTAAGGTCATACTGGATCAAAGACCAATCTTAATCTCAATAAGTTGGTCACTGTGATAGCCAACACTTCTCCACACACTCACACATATCCTAATGCTTGACACCTCCTTGACAGAGATGAACTACACAGTGGGGATGAAGGTTGGTGAGACGATGTTCTGGGGGAATGCTGCTTATTTCAAGTTGAGTGCAGCGGTGTTAAGTACACAGAAGCAGCTGGGCACCTCCCCTCTCCACCCTCCACAACTGTACCTCTCCTCCTACCCAAACAACGCCCTTGTCACCAGCAATCTTCCTTTTATCGTCGTTGCAACCATCAGGGTACAGTTTTATGTTTACATTTTGCTGGCTGTATTTTTCACATGTTATTGTCTACCTAGTAGCTATTGAGTTCGTTATTATCTACCTTGTACACTCGCCAACAAAAGTCCCGTTGCCTCACTTGTCTCTTGATGAACCCAGAGATCTACTGTTCAGACCTGTGATACTGAAGCAGGTCTCTGAGTCTCAGGGTTCATGAAGAGGCAGGTGAGGTGACAGGTGAGTGTATACAGAATATTGTATTCCAGTAGTCAGTCTACGACAAGAGGACCCACAATTTTCAGTCTACCACAAGGTTAGTTCTCTATAGTCAGGCGTACATGCTATACACCCACACAGCCACTTATTAATTACAAGCATGCACGAGATAATACTAAAATCAATATTGTATTATGAGTGAAGGTTTATCCTATAGGCGATGCAGATACAGTACACTTAAGTTAAAGCCTTTTCTCAGTACACAAGCAGGTGCCTGAAATTTTGACCTTCAATGTTTAAAGACGTAAAATAAGCGATGGGTGTTTTTTATGGCGGACACTGATCTAACTTGGAGTGACATTTTCCCAGCTACGTCCCCTCTTCACAGAAAGAAAAATTACTAATCTAATCCTCCTTCGCATCATGGTACAGTACTTGGTCATTACCATCATGTTGCTAAGGTATTAAATTAAGTATCATGGAGTGAAGCCATTACCATCATTATTACTTACATTTCTTTTTGGTAGTAATTAATATCGTGTGACAGATTATATTTGGCAGTATCATTAACACATTACCTGTGTACATTCTAACACAGTATAATAACATTTAGATGGCAATTTAATTCTTGATGTTTTGAGAGAGAAACTCGCAGGTGCCTAGAGGCTGTACTAGGCTGTTATCTGCAGGTGGGACCAGGCATGACCCACGACTTCGACCTGGTGGTGCTCCCTCCTTCAGGAGTGCAGCTGTGTCGGCTGAGCCTGATGGAGCGTGGCCTCTACCTGGGATGTGTGCGGGGCGGGGACTGGCGACGTGGTGAGAGGTTCGCCTGGGACAACACCACAAGACTCTGTTACCAACACGACCCCAGCGGCAGTGTCAACGCCACTGTCACCTTCCTCGGCCTCACCAATGTCGGTCAGACATCCACTATGGCCTGGTTTACCTTTATGCTTGGCGAATCTATGTAACAGTATTGTGTGTGACGACTTTAGGCGTGACACAGTAGAACTTTTGCCTCTTAGCTCATAGAAAATAATAGGTTCCGATTTTCTTCCATTTTATTTATCATAATCCGCCATTAATATAAGCTAACACTTTCTCATAAACTGTCATGCGTTTTCATATTACCATGGCTAGATTAATAATACCAACAGATTCAGGACTCCTTCAATTATGCCAAAATAACGTAAGTGAATTAGCATTTTCCACGTTAAATTAAACATTAGCATAAAGTTATTCTAGTCATATAATTATCTCCTTAATATCATTCACGATATTTATATAAAATATAGAATTTATTCACATTTAGTTGCAGAATCTGAAATCATGCATAATCTGAGCTCTTGAAAAAATAAATATTGTATTGTTATGTTATTCATCTGTATCTTATCAAAGGTTTACCTGATACAGTATTCAGTTTCCCAAAGAGCTCATATTTCATTATATTTTCTCATCTGGTTTGATGATTAGGGCGGATTATGTTAGTTAATACAGCATATCTAATTTTTTATGAGAAACTGCAATAATCTTTGAGATTTATGCTGACTTTTATAGCTGTATGAAAGGCACCTGAGAACTTTGCTTGACAATAGGTATAAAGGCAAAAGGATTGTAGGTGAGAGTGTAGAAATTACAACACTAAGTAAATCATGTGTTTTGTTAATGACATTGGTTGTTAATCGTGTGAATGTATATTTGAAATTATACGCTTCCCTGTGCAGGTACACAGCCAATCAACGTCACATACAACGACTACAATGACTTGATGATTAATATCCCCGTCATAGCGCTGCCAGACTTCACAGCGGGTGATCTTATGGTGAGTCCTTCCTCTGTGCTAACTTCCTCCTCCAGGGTAACCTTGTAAAACTTCAACTGTTGTGTTGTTTGACCTTGTAACACATTACCTATTACGATGATACCAAAAAGAAATAAATTAAAACCAAAATAAGTTGCCAGGTCCCGATAAGATATTCGCCAGAGTTTTAGAGATATGAAAGGAAGATCATGGTTGTCCTTTGGTCAATTTATTTACTGTCACTAAAACTGAGCATCGAACAATACCAGGATAGCTAATATAATGCAGATTATAAAAAAAAATCACTGATTAGTTTAAGTTGGCCTGGGAATATTTTGATGAGAGCCTTTTGATGCGTGTATTGCCTCTCACCTCAATAACAAGTCTTTGCTTTCTAAACTTCCCTCTTATGGTTTCTCTCCCCAACTTTGTTTTCTAATCTCCAGCTTCCTTGAGAACCGATCCATGGCAGTTGTTGTCGAGGGATCGATCTCTCGCTCTTTCTCTACCAATAGTGGTGTCCCACAGGAAGAGAGTAGGTGAAAGAACTTTCACCTACTCTTTTCCTTCTTTTTATCAATGATTTACTTCACACCACAACTAATTCTATCCATTCTTACGCTGATGATTCTACTCTTCACTCTTCTTCACATTTCCCCTTCCCTTTAATTCTCAAACTAGATCTGTTCCAGAGCTGATATCATTACATCTATCAATGCGGATCTGTGCAGCATCTCCGAATGGGGAGATAGAAACTTGGTTAAATTCAATAGTAATAAAACTCAGTATTTAACAATTATACTTTCCAAATTAGATGATCTCCCACCAGTCACATTTCAGGATGCTATCATTCTGCCAAATTCTAAAGTAGATATGCTAGGCCTCACCATTTCCTCTAATATGTCATGAAAGTCACATATCCTCAATATTGCTACAGCTGCCTCCCGAAAGTTGGGAATGCTGTACAGATGCCGTAGCTACTTTACTCCTGAGCAGTTGCTTCAAGTATATAAGGGATTCATTCATCCTAACTTGGAGTACTGCTCTCATATCTGGGGGTGGTTCTTCTTCTGTCCAACTGTTACATAGGGTGGAATCAAAGGCATTTCGTCTTATTAACTTTCCTCCTTTAGTTGACAATCTTTCTTCCCTTTCTCTTCGCCACAATGTTGCTTCTCTTTAATGGGCAATGTTCGGTGGATCTGGCATCCTGTGTACCGCCGGCAAGGCCGTGGGCTCATAGCACTCGTCTTGCCCGCGGTGCCCACCGTTTCTCTGTGGATGTCGGTCACAGTAGAATAACCCGTTATAGTGCATCCTTCTTTCCCCACACAGCCAAACTGTGTTTCCATACTCTTACAATTTGTCTCACTTTAAAAAGCTGGTTTTCCGGCATCTTCGCGGTGTAGATTAATATAACCTTTTCCTTTTCTATTTTTTAGTTTTCTGTTCTTTTTGTTTTAGCCTCCAAGGCCCCGATGTGGGTCGTTGACCTGTGCCCGAGTAGGCCAATCCCAGTAAAAAAAAAATTATTTATCTTTATTATCTTATAAATATTTATCTTTATTATCTTATAAATAATACACACACACACACACACACACACACACACACACACACACACACACACACACACACACACACACACACACACACACACACACACACACACACACACACACACACACACACACACACACACATTGTATTTTCTCACCCTTCATGACTGTGCACACACACCAGTCTGCTGTGGTGGTTTCGTCTTGTGTTCCTACCAATATGTATCCTTGTGTGTTAGGTCAGTATCCGTAGTATTGGAGGTGACGAAAGCACAGAGTTGGCCAACTCCACCCTCACACTGGACGCCTCCGCCCCTCCAACGGACCTTCCCATCCCCACCAACAACACCATTACCTTTACAGGTACAGTCTTGGCAGTTATTATTCTTGCTATGTTGTTTTCAGACAGAAACGAAATATAATCTTTCTCGTAAAGATGATTTAGAATATTCTGACTGTTTATATGATTCGTAAGATTTTTTTTTCACTTCACTGTAAAAACAACTTTTGAAAGGTCAGACCAAGATTAACACAGCTCATGGAGGTAATAGTTCACCTGACACCTTGACCTAACCTGTGAAATGTAACACACATATTTATATTTCTTCATCAGACACACCAACTGAGTTTGTGCCACAAGTGGTAGGAACGTTGGAAGTGGAGGTGGAGGTGTGGGAGGGCACGTCACACCTCCTTGCTGTCATTGTGACGGCACCAGCAGCTGACGTCACCTTGTGCTCGGCTCAAGTCACTTTCGTTGGGGAGATGATGCCGTGCGTCAACGGCTCCCTCGCTAACACCACATACACCAGGTCTGCATCTCAAACACACAACTACTATCTACGTGTTTATGTTAAAAACTGCTGAGCTAGGGTTTAGGGTTATATTCACTACATATTTTCAAATTATTACGGTAGAACTGATAAGGCTGAGGCTAATTTTACCGAGGTACTGATACCACTAGATTGTTGGCTATTTAGTCGAGTTTCTAGCCACATAAGGACAACCCTATACTACATATGAAGGCTTTGGGGCAGGGGTAGGAATGTACAGTAGCTAAAACAACTACCTGTGCAGGTGGGGGTCGATATGCTCCGAGATTATGTGTTTGACTAGTGACAGCCCTCATATACCAATATTTATCGTCCCTGGTCTCATATTGTTTCCCACAAAGTATTGACAGATAGTTGTTTTAGCTACTGTAAAATGGCTGGCACATGTTGTGAGATGTGGCAACTCTGTGGAATATTTATCTAGCATCCTTAGTGTGGCAACTATTGTAAGGTTCCAGGAGTTTTAATATAAAGTAAACAAACACAGAGGTGCCATATCTCACAAAACGCACCAACCATTGTACCACGCATAAGTGCAGGCATCTGCACCTCATACCCCATGGATAACCATGAAATTAATTATTGCTACTATTGTTGTTTATTATTTGAAACTCCTTAACATGAGAATATGATTGACATCAATATGAATATGGCTGACATAACCATCATTTTTTTAAATAAAAAATCACTATTATCTTGCTGTATGAATATGAAACAATAACTGAACACACACACACACACACACACACACACACACACACACACACACACACACACACACACACACACACACACAGTGACACATCTTAACTTCTTAACGATGTGAAAAAGTTGCAGTCAGCTTTCCTAACACACACTATGCATGTGTGTTTAGATCACACCATGAGTGTGACGGCGGATGTGTAGTGACCATGAGTGTGATGGTGGATGTGTAGTGACCATGAGTGTGACGGCGGATGTGTAGTGACCATGAGTGTGATGGTGGATGTGTAGTGACCATGAGTGTGATGGTGGATGTGTAGTGACCATGAGTGTGATGGTGGATGTGTAGTGACCATGAGTGTGATGGTGGATGATGGTGTGATGTGGATGTCTAGTAACCATGAGTGTGACGGCGGATGTGTAGTGACCATGAGTGTGATGGTGGATGTGTAGTGACCATGAGTGTGATGGTGGATGTGTAGTGACCATGAGTGTGATGGTGGATGTCTAGTGACCATGAGTGTGATGGTGGATGTGTAGTGACCAAGAGCGTGATGGTGGATATGTAGTGACCATGAGTGATGGTGGAGTGTCTAGTACCGGGTGTGATGGTGGACCATGAGCGTGATGGTCGATGTAGTGACCATGAATGTGATTGTGGATGTGTAGTGACCATGGCGTGATGGTGGATGTGTAGTGACCATGGGTGTGATGGTGGATGTTAGTGACCATTGTGATTGTGGATGTGTAGTGACCATGAGCGTGATGGTCGATGTAGTGACCATGAATGTGATTGTGGATGTAGTGACCATGGTGTGATGGTGGATGTGTAGTGACCATGAGGCGTGATGGTGGATGTAGTGACCAAGAGTGTGATGGTGGATGTGTAGTGACCATGAGTGTGATGGTGGATGTGTAGTGACCAGGGTGTGACGGCGGATGTGGTAGTGACCATGAGTGTGATGGTGGATGTCTAGTACCCATGAGTGTGATGGTGGATGTAGTGACCATGAGTGTGATGGTGGATGTGTAGTGACCATGAGCGTGATGGTCGATGTGTAGTGACCATGAATGTGATTGTGGATTGTAGTGACCATGAGTGTGATGGTGGATGTGTAGTGACCATGAGCGTGATGGTCGATGTGATGACCATGAATGTGATTGTGGATGTGTAGTGACCATGAGCGTGATGGTGGATGTGTAGTGACCATGAGTGTGATGGTGGATGTGGTGACCATGAATGTGATTGTGGATGTGTAGTGACCATGAGCGTGATGGTCGATGTGTAGTGACCATGAATGTGATTGTGGATGTGTAGTGACCATGAGTGTGATGGTGGATGTGTAGTGACCATGAGCGTGATGGTGGATGTGTAGTGACCATAGTGTGATGGTGGATGTGTAGTGACCATGAATGTGATTGTGGATGTGTAGTGACCATGAATGTGATTGTGGATGTGTAGTGACCATGAGCGTGATGGTGGATGTGTAGTGACCATGAGTGTGATGGTCGATGTGTAGTGACCATGAATGTGATTGTGGATGTGTAGTGACCATGAGGCGTGATGGTCGATGTGTAGTGACCATGAATGTGATTGTGGATGTGTAGTATGAGCGTGATGGTGGATGTGTAGTGACCATGAGTGTGATGGTGGATGTGTAGTGACCATGAATGTGATTGTGGATGTGTAGTGACCATGAGCGTGATGGTCGATGTGTAGTGACCATGAATGTGATTGTGGATGTGTAGTGACCATGAGCGTGATGGTGGATGTGTAGTGACCATGAGTGTGATGGTGGATGTGTAGTGACCATGAGTGTGATTGTGGATGTGTAGTGACCATGGGTGTGATGGTGGATGTGTAGTGACCATATGCATAACGGCAGCGAGGGCATAACGGTGGAGATAGGACGGTGTGTTACATCAAGCTACAAACGTTGGACTTCTCGGACACTAACAGGCCACCTCCTCCAGGTATGTCACAAATACATTATTCTTTCTCTCTTATTACGAATGACTTCTCATGTTTACAAAAAAAAATGAACTTGGTCTTATTGGGAAACACCAACGATAATATTCTGTGATTCTTCATCAATTGGTGAAAAATGTTTGTGGATTCATGAGTTTACTCCTGTTTATGTCACCCAACAGTTCACGGCTGACCTCTCCTACGACGGCCAGGCACAAAACCTCGGCATCTCTTCTCCAACAGTTCCCGCTGCTGCAACTCTCTCCCAGGTCAGCTCTCACACCCTTACCACCTCAACCCACATCCTTACCACCTCAACCCACCCTGCTACCTGAACTCACATTCTTACCACCTGAACCAGACTCTACCACCTGAACCCCACACCCCTGAACTCACATTCTTACCACCTGACCAGACTCTTACCACCTCAACCCACACCCTGCCACCTCAACCCACATCCTTACCACCTCAACCCCACACCCCTGCCACGTGTACTCACATACCAACACCTCCTACCATAAGATTAGCCAGTGCTGTTGGCGAGTTGTCCGGTGATCTTGGATTATTCCTTGACACTTGAAATCATACAACTCGTTTACATGGGGTGTGGTCGTTATGTTCATGACAGCTTCTATATCTTAAAACAATCACGTCTAGATGGCCCTAAAGCGGCCATCCTCAAACGCGAGCACAACCATTATTATTATATTAGTAATCGTTGTTGTATGTTGCCTATTTTTTGGTGTTGGTCAGATCGGGACTGAGGGAGCAACGGTGACAGAAGCCATGATAGAGGCATCCAACATAAGTGTGAAGGAGACAGTGAAGGCAGTGTTTAACATCTCCATCCCGCCCTCACCACCATCCCCATGAAGATCTTATTGGTGAGTCCTGAGGAGGATATCTTGTGCGGTCAATTTTGTCGTGCATGTGTGTTAATATACAAAATATAAAGTCACTAATTCAGAAATTATACCGTTGTCTCGAGCCTATACATAATATTATGTTACTTATATATATATATTTTGTTTTATATATTTCCCCACGGTGATCATGGGTAGGTAGACTCTGTTGTGTAGTTTATGCATACAGTGAGTATGTAACACCTACCCTTATTCTATGATCACTATTTTGGTATGTCATACACATTATTTCGTTTTATAGTAATTTTACTCTAAGTCTCTGTATCAGATGAGATCCATATCTGACAGCCTGTTCAGGTGGCAGTATTCATCCTGTTGTTGCAAATTAATTACTTTGACAAAATAGCAACTAACAACTGCCTTAAACACATTCGTACTTGTGCTATAAACAGATGAACCTAGGCGGGAATCCTCCTTATGCATACAGTACTTATACTTCCCTCACTATAAGTAACTTGGTTAAGGAACTAGTGGCCTCTAAGGCATTTGATCATCTAAGTTTAAGATGACAATTATAAACTCGTCATGCTTCCCAGTGGAACCTTCAAAGCTTTGGCACTCTGCCTTGCGATGGATGCCAGAAAACACAATGAAAGAGCTCTGTCGCCTTTGTCTGGCAAATCTGAATCTGTTGATACACCCGCAGTGTGGTCTTGTGGTTCACCAGTTGTGTAGGACGAGCCAGGTGACTCAGCAATATGCCGGGGGCCACAGAGGTCCACCAATATATCTGATGCCTCCGGTAGTGTACAAGCATGCTTGATGGCCTCGGTCCTCTCACCTGAGTGTTGTTTTACAGATGTCATCGCCAAATGAAGGTCGTGCCTCGGTCACGCTAAGTAACCTGCGAGTCACTATATAGGCAGGTGAGTAACCAGGTACAATAGGTGTACTAGAAGAATGTAGGAAGACAGCTAGTATTGTACAGTGGGTTGTAATGTCACTGCAGAATATGTTTATCAGAAAACGTCAATACGTTTGTTAGTAAGTGTAGAGTAGGTGCTAGAGTGTACAATACACTACGTGTACTTGTAAGTATGTATAGTATGAGTGCTAATAAATTTATAGATAATAGTTTAAAAGACTGTACAACATGAGCTAGAAAGAGATACAGCAAGTGTACTAGTAAATGCACAAAAAATGTGCTAGTAAAATTGTACAGAAGTGTGCTGGTAGAGTATACTGTACAACAAGTTTGCTAGTTAGAGCACACAGACATGTGGTGTGGGAGTGTACAGTGTTGTGTAGTATACCTGTGGTGTGGGGTGTACAGTGTTGTGTATACCTGTGGTGTGGGAGTGTACAGTGTTGTTACCCCGGGGACAGGAACGTGGAGTGCTCGGGTCTGGCAGTGCAGAATTTGATAGCAACGTCCCCTGACCTAGAAGGCGCCTCCCACTTCGACGATGAGGTGGACACTCTTACTGTTGACTTAAAGTACATCACTAGCACAGGTGAGTGACACAGGTACTTACCTCACCAACACAGGTGAGTGACACAGGTACTTACATCACCAACACAGGCGAGTGACACAGGCACTTACATCACCAACACAGGTAGGTGACACAGGTACTTACATCACCAACACAGGTGAGTGACACAGGTACACATCACCAACACAGGCGAGTGACACAGGTGCACATCACCAACACAGGTGAGTGACACAGTTACTTACATTACCAACACAGATGAGTGACACAGGTGCACATTACCAACACAGGTGGTGACACAGGTGCACATCACCAACACAGGCAGAGTGACACAGGTGCACATCACCAACACAGGTGAGTGACCCAGGTGCTTACATCACCAACACAGGTGAGTGACACAGGTACTTACATTACCAACACAGGTGGAGTGAGGTACACATCACCAACACAGGCAGGTGACACAGGTGCTTACATCACCAACACAGGTGAGGTGACACAGGTGCCCATCACCAACGCAGGTGAGTGACACAGGTGCCCCATTACCAACACAGATTGAGTGACACGAGTTGACATCACCAACACAGGCAGGTGACACAGGTGCACATCACCAGCAGGTGAGTGACACAGGTGCCACATTACCAACACAGGTTGGTGACACAGGTGCTTACATCACCAACACAGGTTGGTGACACAGGTGCACATCACCAACGCAGGTGAGTGACACAGGTACCTACCAACACAGGTGGTGACACAGGTGCCCATCACCAACACAGGCGAGTGACACAGGTGCTACATCACCAACACAGGTGGTGACACAGGTGCACATCACCAACGCAGATTGAGTGACACAGGTACTTACATTACACACTGGTGAGCACAGGTGCACATCACCAACACAGGTTAATTGACACAGGTGCCATCCAACACAGGTGGAGTGACACAGGTGCCCCATTACCAGCACGGGTGGGTGACACAGTGCACATCACCAACACAGGCGGGTGACACAGGTACTTACATCACCAGCATGAATGAGTGACACAGGTCCTTACATCACCAACACAGGTGGGTGACACAGGTGCTTACATCACCAACACAGGTGGGTGACACAGGTGCCCATCACCAACGCAGGTGGGTGACACAGGTGCCTAAATTACCAACACAGGTGGTGACACAGGTGCTTACATCACCAACACAGGCGAGTGACACAGGTACTTACATCACCAACACAGGTGAGTGACACAGGTGCCCATCACCAACACAGGTGGAGTGACACAGGTACTTACATCACCAACACAGGTGAGTGACACAGGTACTTATCAACAACACAGGTGGTGACCAAGTACTACATCACCAACACAGGCAGTGACCAATACATGAGTAACCAACACCTGGCGGCCATAGAGGGAAAAGATTCCTACAGTGCATCAAAAGTGATCATGTTACTTCTCCAAATGTAAACACTGTATTGCCACATGTTTTTAAATATCTTTGATCTTGTGTATATTAATGTTCTTGCTAATTACATCTGTTTGTGCCCAAATTATAGGCAGTCAAAAAGAACTTACTGGTAAGAGTGTCGTGAATTATAGAGTTTAGCACAGGTGTACAGTGTAAACAAAGGTCTTGTCGCCCTTCTGCTGCTCCACGAACCCCAAGATTCAGACTCGTGAACCCGAAGCGGTAGATACTGATGCATTATTCTGTCCATAAATGCTGGATTCACGAGACGAGGCGCCTCGACAGGACTTGTGTTTACGACTATACAAGAGAGTCAATGAATGTCGTCGCAGGATTCACGACACTCGCCTACAACGATTGCCCGGACGACAACATGCTGACACTGGAGGTGAACGCCACGCTCACTGACGCCTACTGGAACGACAACAATGCCACCGTGGGAGTCGCCCTGCAGGTATTATTAACGTTATTACTATGTTTCAACAACTAAGATCTTTAACCCTTTATTTCTTAACATTATATTCCTAAAGTAAAAAATAAGGTAGTTTCTTGACCTAACTCATCCCTCACCACCATTATCACTATCACCAATCATCATCACCACCACCACCACCATCATCATCACCACCAACATCATCACCGCCCTCACCATCTACATCATAATCACCTTGGTCATCATTAACTCAAACACGCTGGGAAGCTTAAAATGTACATTGGGGTGGACAGATATATGAGATGATAAGGACTGGGTGTAAAAGACTGAGTAGTATGGATTAATAGACCTAGCTTCATCTATCCTGGTAACATGCTGCTATGATCTATCCTGGTAACATGCTGCTATGTTCTATCCTGGTAACATGCTGCTATGATATATCCTGGTGACATATGAAAACAGTGATGATGAACATTAGCTTAGCAGAGTGAAGGAAAATTAATTTCTTTCTGGGGAGCAGGAAAGGTCAGATAGTATTGCAATGAAGTGTGATCAAGAATTCCCTCTGCCTTAATACTATAGTTTTTCCTTGGTATACCTTCTTTTCTACTTACAATATAAACTGTAAATAATATCCACTTCGAACATTTGTTGTGACCATTTCCAATATTTACTGTAAGGAAATTAACTACAGTGTTATTTAATGCCGATGCACAGGGACTTTTAATTCACCTTGTATGAGTGGGTTGGTGTTGCAAAATAATCACGGGAACAATAATTGGTCCACGCAGATAGAGAGCGGGTCTACCATCCCGGTGGTGAGGAAGGTGGCGTCACTGCAGGTGGTGCGAAGAACATCCGCCAACCTGCCCAGACTAACCACTCTCTTACCTAAATGACACCTTCATCTACTCCCCTTGTGAGTCTTCATGTATACCAGCTTTGGCTCTTGTGTAACAGGCTGTAGTGTAAGTACAGTAGGGGCTGTGTGGTTTAGAAGGCTGTAGTGTAGGTTTAGCAGGCTGTGGTGTAGGTGTACCAAGCTTTGCTGTATAAGCAGGCTGTAGTTTAGGTGTAGATGTAACAGGCTGTGGTGTGGGTGCAGCAGGTTTTGTTATGGATCCAACAGCAGCCTATGGGGTGCTGTTGTAACAATGTTGGGGGTGTACTGTATCTAGCAAGTGGTATGGAGTAATGTACCGGGTGTTATGTATGGTGTACTTGCAACAGAATAGTTTGTGTAAGTGGTGGTCCGGGTTCGATATCCTGCAGTCACAGGTGATTAGCAACTTGCCATATGTTCAGCAGGAGTTATCGGTTCACATGGGCACTCCTCTCTGGGTATCCTGGCATCTTACTGGTGGGCGTGAAGGATGCCCTGATTCTCTTATGGTCAAGGCATAAATGTATGTGTGTGTGTGTGTGTGTGTGTGTGTGTGTGTGTGTGTGTGTGTGTGTGTGTGAACTACTGTATATGCCAGTGATGTGGTCGCGACCATTAAGTCCAAGACCGAGAGTACAAGTCGACGCTGAGATCAATAACATTGATGGATCACCTGGAGATTAGCACTAATGTACTGTCCAGGTGGATGAACTTTACCTGGGATACAAGATATTCAAGCGACTACTAAGTAGAGGTGAAAAAACTAATTTTATTTTCTTAAGTAGAAGAAATCGTATAAAATGTACTAGAGATTGAATGGGAGCGAGATGAGCACAATATTTAGCTGTGCTCACCTTCAATATCTTCCATACACACAACCTTCCACGGCCACGGCAATACAAAACTGTCATCACTTATGCATGAGACAAACGTCTGAAGGTCGTCTCATGCAGCCCTTGTGGTGCTGTGGTAGAGCTCTGTTCACACGCAGAGGTCTCGTGTTGAGTCCTGACTAGTAGAAGTTTTGTTTGTACAGTATATTGAAGTCTGCGTGTACTGTATATAACCTCAAGCCACTATGTATTTCCTTGTCACTACATCCTCAAATCACTATGCGTTCTCATCCCACCACGTGACATGTTACATTTTACCATACTATATGTTCTCTTGACTGTTACTATGTGTTGTCATGTCACTATATTTCACAGTACTATGTGTTCGCATGCTACTATGTGTCCGTGAATGAATATCAATGACGATTATTTACAGGGACGTGGTTATAATCTTCAGCCTCAGTCAACTGGAGGACTCACTGGTAGAACCCAGCCAAGTAACTCTGGTCATGTTCCCGGGAGGCTACCTTACTTTCACCTCACACCAGGTTGAGGGCCTCCAGCCAACCATCACCCACGACAGCGCTAGGCTATCTCTCTCGGTAAGTGAATAATACCTTTCATGTTCGGGGTTGCATGTGACGTTATACATCAAATGGGGTTGATATTTTTCGAAAGGCTTACAGTACGCCCGTGTTAACAAATTCTAACTTTAATATTGTACAGTCATCAAAAGTCTTGAACACTTAGCAATATCTGGCATCTACTTCTGAGTTATGCATATGATTGGGATATACTAACACTACTTGTCACCACATATTATGCTTGAACCACAAAATGGGATAAAACTCTTAATACCTAAGATCTTCGGAACTTACTCCCAAATACTGTCAAGTGTTCAAGACTTTTGACCCTGACCGTACATACACCACTACTATACATACACACAACTTCCTTACAACCCACTCATACTCAAAAACATAAACTCTCCTTTGTCACCATATAAACTAGAACATCCTTCATAAACACCTCAACATCCTTCACCATAAATGGTAAACAACAACACTGTCGTTCACTAACACATGAGAACATCCTTTACAAGCACACATACACGATTCTAATATCATTTACCACACAAGCACCATTTCAGCATCATTTATCAGAGCCTATACAGTATACTGTACAACTACAGCATCCATAACCACCACACATACACCTCAACAACAACGCCCCTCGTGTCTGACACTGTTTGCCCTAAAGCCATCACAATAGTGAACAGTATGCATATACTGTATTACCGGTAAGTTCCTTTGTGAGTATTAGTGAGTTTTAGCAGCATACTTGTTCTTTAATCCCTGACAACAGTGGGCTGACCCAAACCTTAAAAACACGATGAAATCTCATTTCAGTGTTAATGCACTTTCCAAAGTCCAACAATGACTCTGTAGTTTTTGTGTGAGTGTTTCAAGAGACAGTATTAACCTGCAGGTCCAGGAGCTACAACTTTGCATCACAAATTCCCTCGTCAATGTTATGGCTGACAATAACTGACCTCGTCAGCTTAAAGATAAAAGGATTTGAAACAAATGAGAACACAATTTTCTTACCCCAAATTTCAGAAAAACAATCTGTGAATTATGACTAATTATTTCAAGCATTTTGTTACATGAGTGTTGTCAGCTGCCAGATAGTACTTTCTCAGTCTTACAAAGAACATCGAAATGGATGTTTGCTGCTTCAAGTGTTCAAACAACCTTATCATACTTTATCACACCAGCCGGCCACTCATCACATATTTTGGATGAATAAATAAATTTTCTGACCGAATGAATATGAGAGAGGCGGACGTCTGCTCTCTCTATATATATGTTTTTCAGCTGATATCTGTTCCCCATTTCCATTATTTTGCCTTAGATCTTTACATTTTTCCCACATTAATTGGATCTGCTACCTACCAGTTCATACTAAAAGTTTGTTTACTTCTTCCAGTAATTTTTGGAGTTCTTGTCAGAGTTCCTTATAAAGTTTTCAACGACTACATCTGTTGTTAATGTACACTACAGTATACAGGTACAATACATGTATAGTAATGGTCCGGGTACTGATCCATGTACGACCTCTCACCAACCTTACGACCTCCAACAACCTCTCACCAACCTTACGACCTCCAACAACCTCTCACCAACCTTACGACCTCCAACAACCTCTCACCAACCTTACAACCTCCAACAACCTCTCACCAACCTTACGACCTCCAACAACCTCTCACCAACCTTACGACCTCAACAACCTCTCACCAACCACGACCTCCAACAACCTCTCACCAACCTTACGACCTCCAACAACCTCACCATCTTACGACCTCCAACAACCTCTCACCACCTTACGACCTCCAACAACCTCTCACCAACCTTACGACCTCCAACAACCTCTCACCAACCTTGACCTCCAACAACCTCTCAACAATCTTACGACCTCCAACAACCTCTCACCAACCTTACAACCTCCAACAACCTCTCACCAACCTACAACCTCCAACAACCTCTCACCAACCTTACGACCTCCAACAACCTCACCAACCTTACAACCTCCAACAACCTCTCACCAACCTTACGACCTCCAACAACCTCTCACCAACCTTACAACCTCCAACAACCTCTCACCAACCTTACAACCTCCAACAACCTCTCACCAACCTACGACCTCCAACAACCTCTCACCAACCTTACGACCTCCAACAACCTCTCACCAACCTTACGACCTCCAACAACCTCTCACCAACCTTACAACCTCCAACAACCTCTCACCAACCTTACAACCTCCAACAACCTCTCACCAACCTTACGACCTCCAACAACCTCTCACCAACCTTACGACCTCCAACAACCTCTCACCAACCTTACAACCTCCAACAACCTCTCACCAACCTTGCGACCTCCAACAACCTCTCACCAACCTTACGACCTCCAACAACCTCTCACCAACCTTGACCTCCAACAACCACTCACCAACCTTACGACCTCCAACAACCTCTCGCCAACCTTACGACCTCCAACAACCTCCTCACCAACCTTACGACCTCAAACAACCTCTCACCAACCTTACGACCTCCAACAACCTCTCACCCACCTTACGACCTCCAACAACCCTCTCACCAACCTTACGACCTCCAACAACCTCTCACCAACCTTACGACCTCCAACAACCTCTCACCAACCTACGACCTCCAACAACCTCTCAACAATCTTACGACCTCCAACAACCTCTCACCAACCTTACAACCTCCAACAACCTCTCACCAACCTTACAACCTCCAACAACCTCTCACCAACCTTGACCTCCAACAACCTCTCACCAACCTTACAACCTCCAACAACCTCTCACCAACCTTACGACCTCCAACAACCTCTCACCAACCTTACAACCTCAACAACCTCTCACCAACCTTACAACCTCCAACAACCTCCTCACCAACCTTACGACCTCCAACAACCTCTCACCAACCTTACGACCTCCAACCTCTCACCAACCTTACGACCTCCAACAACCTCTCACCAACCACAACCTCCAACAACCTCTCACCAACCTTACAACCTCCAACAACCTCTCACCAACCTTGACCTCCAACAACCTCTCACCAACCTTACGACCTCCAACAACCTCTCACCAACCTTGACCTCCAACAACCACTCCACCTTACGACCTCCAACAACCTCTCCACCAACCTTGACCTCCAACAACCTCTCACCAACCTTGACCTCCAACAACCTCCTCACCAACCTTACGACCTCCAACAACCTCTCGCCAACCTTACGACCTCCAACAACCTCTCACCAACCTTGACCTCAAACAACCTCTCACCAACCTTACGACCTCCAACAACCTCTCACCCACCCGACTCCAACAACCTCTCACCAACCACGACCTCCAACAACCTCCTCCACCAACCTTACGACCTCCAACAACCTCTCACCAACCTACAACCTCCAACAACCTCTCCAACCTTACGACCTCCAACAACCTCTCACCAACCTTACGACCTCCAACAACCTCTCCACCATGACCTCCAACAACCTCTCTCACCCACCTTACAACCTCCAACAACCTCTCACCAACCTTACGACCTCCAACAACCTCTCACCAACCTTCAAATCAACAGTACGGTTTGGTGCGATTCACGGATGTATCATGGGTGTCGCTGAACTTTGTCGTCAACCCGAAAAAATCGACACTTCAGTTCAGTCTTTATCAGATAACAGTCCCTTGGCGCCTATTCGTCAGACTCTCTCAGCGCCTCAATCTCCAGTATAAGTAAGTCCCACAAATCCTCCATACTGTTATTAATACTGTCAGTAAATCCAATAATCAGCTACATTAACTCTCTCATAATGTTTGACAACTGGACACGAGTTAAATATATATGTAACCAAAGAATATCCGACATAATTAACTTTATAGGTATGATAAGCGACTGTTAGTGTCAATTACCGGGATTTATCAATAAGAGAGAATTATTTAGTCAGAATTAATATGATAATTAATTAGGATAACATTATGTGTACACGACCCAAAAAGTATCTCTACGGAGGGGATCAATGAATTTCAAAATGAACACCGCGACTCCTGTTGTCTCGGGAGGGTTGTCAAAATCCTTCGTTAATTGTATCGTGTTGTCTCACAAAACTCGTAAAGATACTGTTTGGAGCGAGTTACATCTTATCCACTATCGAACACAAGTCACTATAAAATGTGTAATGTAATTTAAGACTTGACTCTTAACGTATTAAACTGCAGGCTCACGTTACACTTACTTAGCCAAATTGATATATATATATATAATTGAATGAGTTGTAGGTATTTATATAAACAGTATTTTGAAAACTTGTTGAAGGTCAGAGATGCAGAGGAAAGAGAATATCAACCTCAAGTCTTACTGGCAATGATAGTAGACTAGAGTTGAGAGGATATTGTGCATCGGAAAGTTAAGAGGATGATGCGCCATGACGGTAAATTGAAAAATGATAAAACACCCGAGGCGTTAAAAATGACTGGAGAATGTTATGATAGACGATGGGAAGTTATGCTTGTTCAGACATGTTGTGTAGTACGAGTGAGTTCAGAATTACAGGAAGATCATTAAAGGTCGAGTGAATGAAGGTGTTGGTAAAGAAAATATACTTGTTACCTTGAAGTATATTGGGAACAAAATTATGAATAGGAAAAAAATGTATTTCATATACTGTATAAATATGGTATAGTGAGTCAGTGGGAAAAGAAACATTGAGAGAAGATAAGGATAAATGAAATGTTTGTTTTTTTCCGGCAGCCATTTCCCGATCACCTACGGCCGCTTTCCACCTGTCACCGGCCACTTCGTTGTCAAGATGAACATCCCACGTAAGTTGTGCCTACCTGGACCTCCACCCTCTTAATGTTCTGTGTGTGTCTGAGAATGAATTATGCTCTTCTATTAATTAGTTGTTTCCCGTAGATGTAAAAGTACCATAAACGCTTCAACTTAATTAGACATTTTCTAATGCCAAAAACCAAATTAATTTTCAGTCAATTACAAAGATGAGAGTGAGATAGTGAGGAGGATGAGAGTATGAGGGTGAGAATGATAGTGTGAGTGAAGATGAGAGCAATTAAAAAGTGATAAGTTGAGGGTGAGTGTCAGGCTGAGGGAGTGGGGTGATGAGGTCAGGATGAGAGTGAGGGAGAGAATGTGAGTGTAAGAGGATATGTAAAGTGTGAAAATGAGATGGAAATAAGAGAATGAGAATGTGAGGGTGAGAGTGTGCATGTGAGAATGTTAAGATCAGGATGAGGATGTAAAATGCGGGGAAATTATGAGAAGAGTACAAATGAAAGTATGTGGGTAAAGCAGAAAAGTGTGAGGGCGAAAATATGAAGAGAGTGAGGGTGCGGAGGTGAGTGTTAAGGTGAGATGCCGTCCTTACAGCGTGCAAGGAGGACCTACACATCGGGAAGGAAGACCTGATCCCGGCCTGCCTCTTCACCGCCTCTTCGGCCCGATCTGACCACCAGCCACACAACGCCAGACTTATTAGTGAGAAATCCTCCTCCTCCACTACCACCTACATATCACCTTTATAACCATCATTACACCTCCAACATCACCAACACTCCTCCATCACCACCACCCCAATTATATCAGTTTTGGTTGAGTTCTTTGACGAAAAAGTTTGCTGAATTTACCTTATGCAATGTAAAAGCAGATAAGAATTGTACCGGTTTAAATCATTCACTTGTGGCAGGTTCGGTGCCGTGGTCCCCGAGGGTATCAGGGGTATCAGAGTGGGTACAGGTGGACCTGATGACCACACAGAGGGTGTACTATCTCCAACACCAGGCCCATCCCGGCTACCACCAGGCACACCTCATCCTCCTCAAGTACTCCGGCGACGGTATTGTGTGGCAGACGGGACCACAGGTGAGTGTCGCCAACACCTCGCTTTACTCTTAGCAGAGCCTGTATACAGTACGGTCTACAGACAGAATACGTTTCTTAGCCCCTTAAATGAGAACTCCTTTTTTTTTTTGCTATCACTTTCAACCTGATCTACTGTACATCTAGCAGTTCATCAGGTTCTCCCAGCCATCCTCCCGCACCTTATATGCTGCCTGTTTGGCCACTTATCATCTCCCTGTAAGAACTACTTTAAGGAAGATGCCAAGTTTACGATTGGTTGACCAAAACTGTAGGAGGAGCTAGTGTCAACACAAAGCGGGCAGACAAACAGAAACAGCTAAATATGAAATAGATGTTTAAATAAAATGTCTTCTTAATTCCTACACTTTTGCATAACTTTACCATCCAACACTACTGCATTTATCCCGCTATCTCTTCTCCTGAACTAGAGTGCTGTGGGTAACTATAAAGAGATACGGTGACGATATTACACTACTAATGGTATGTTTGTGACTCGTCAGGTGGAGCTGCCACAACAAGCTGACGTGTACGAGTACTTGTTTCCAAAGGTTGCCATAGGCAGGTACTTCAGGTGAGTCCTCCCTACTCTCTCTCACTGGTAATTTTTACAAAAAGATTGACTGCTGTTGTAATGGTTTCGCTGTCATAATGCTGCATAAGGAATCAATACCATTAATGGAGGAAGATTAAAAAATATATAAATTAAATCGTTTATTTTATTTCACCCAAACACATAATGATACCATGACCTCCTCTGATCCCTCCGGTAGGCTTTACGTCAGGTCGTGGTATCGCACCAGTGAACTGCCTGGCTTCAAGTTTAACTTGCTGGGATGTCCCTTCAACCCCAGACCAATGATGAACGCTAGCCAGATATGCACCACTCCTGTCAAGCCACCTTCTATTAACCCAGGTACACATACACTCCCTCCCAGGCACTAACACAATGATCTAAATATTATACTAGGAACACTAGAATTTATTGCACCTTGTGTTGCTGACTACAGTTTATCACTGCCTGTTGCTGACTACAGTTTGTCACTGCCTGTTGCTGACTACAGTTATCATCACCCCTTGTGTTACTGATTCTCATTTTATTTACTGTGCCTGTAGAAGAATATTATTCACGAAATTAATAATGATATCTTTAATGAGATGGATAATTAATTTTGTTCTTCATTTGTCTTTATTTTGTTCAATTATCTTTGTCGTCATTTGCTTCATTTAAATGCTCCTCATCCTGGTCAGAGACGTCACTTGTCCACTGGTACTATATGTGTGCCGTCAAAAATTCCCTTGACATCTCAGATATTTCTCAATATGATATACTTTGCAGATGTGCATGGTCGACACCTCGTGGTAGACACGACCAATGACTGCCTATACTTCTGTGAAGACTCCCAGCAAATGTAAGAAACTTTCCTGGCTCTAAGTTATATAGCATAAGATCACACAGTGCTCATTCTCTAACTCTTCCATTATATCAGATATTGTACGAATGTCCAAGATTGTTAATATTTTCTCCTGCAGGAAAATTTTTTTTTTTGTTATGTTGGGGGATTTTTTCGTAAGAAGACCAATTGTTTTTCATCCTACCCTTAAGTTCACCTCCAGTTGATTTAGGAATATTGTATGTGTGTTTCAGGGAAATTAACTACCAAATATTTACTGTCCCAGACATATATTGTATGTATATCTAAGTACAAGGGCAAGGCACTGTGTGAACTTGCAGAGGTATAGTGGCTTAAAAGCCATTGTTTACTTGAGCATTGGTTAGGCAGTGACCGATATGTATGGAGAAAATTGGAAACTGGAAGGTACTAGTTAGCAGACCATTGCAAAACCGTACACATAGGATACAATAACCTTAATCACAACTACGTAATCTGTTAGTAACACTATCCTGGATACTGCCGTTGTGATAGGATCAGTCACTGAAGGCAGCACAATAAGTGGGGGCAGCAGTGAGGAGAGCAAATAGAGATTTGGGAATTATAAAACATAACTTCTAATACAAAGACAAAAAAATTCTCCTTCAACTGCACAGATCTCCATGTATGTACTGTACCAGTCTGGAAAATTGTATACAAGCATGGAAACCCTACCTCAGTAGGTAATAGGTAGTAGGCAGCTTTCAAACAGGGAGGTACTACCGCCTGGGAAGATATTGGAGGCATAATGTGTTGTCTATGGTAGACCCTGCTGCCATATGGCATCACAAAAATTGTGACCAAGTCCCAGGTTGCTGATCTGACTTTCTGCCTCATTTACACACAATTGCAGGGTCTCAATTGTTTCTCTTACTTGACAACACAACATACATCTATCGTTTATCACAGTTGATTTTTTTAAATCTTGCATTTATTTATGGTTCGTTGTTATTACAAGTATTATTATTATATTTTTTATTTGTATTTTATTATTATTATTATCATTATTATTATTATTATTATTATTACTATTATATTTTATTCTTTCGATTTTTATATTATTATTATTATTATTATTATTATTATTATTATTATTATTATTATTATTATTATTATTATTATATATCTTCGCCCCCAGGCCCTGACGTGGGTCATTGACCTGTGCGCGGGTGGGCTAATTCCCTTAAAAAAAAAAAAAAAAGACCTAGTCCCTAGAAAAGGTACAATACATTACTTAGTCAAAACAAACCCAGGCAGTGCCAAGTACCCCACGGAGTTGATAATAAGACACAAGGTAGAAGCAGAAATCTTTATAGGGGTGGTTGTATTTTCATCAGGGAGACGAAGTTGTGTTACACTACACGCGACGCAGGTGTCACCTGGGTGGCCTTGCCCTACTACATTAGCATCATCCTGGGCTTCTCTCCAGATAGCACCACAGTCTACGTTACCGATCTTACCAATTCTACTTTCTCGTCCTCCAGCGACTGCGGCATCACCTGGTTGCCTGCCAATGAGGTAAGCTAACAGGTTGAATGACTGGAGGTTCTTCGTGAATTAGTACAAATGAGACCATGCACTATCACATATCAGGATATAGTAGAGACTGGGTCTAGTCCTTCATTATCTCCCGAGCCATGCTTAATAACTCTTATGTTACATTCAGGAAGAGTTGGAGGTGGTAAAAACTACATGGACTGCAGCCACACACATACCCTATGAATCCCTCAGTGCTGCCACTCACACCATAGACAGATGGGGCGCCAATTCCCTCGGCATCTTCCGGGATAACATTCAAGTGGCTTCCTGGTCCTCCTGCTGCTACCCCAGCCTCCAGTGACCTGTAACCCCAGCCTTCAGTGACCTGTGACCCTAGCCACAAGTGACCTGTGACCCCAGCCTCCAGTGACCTGTGACCCCAGCCTCCAGTGACCTGTGACCTCAGCCTCCAGTGACCTGTGACCCCAGCCTCCAGTGACCTGTGACCCCAGCCTCTAGTAAACTGTGACCCTAGCCTCCCATAACCTGTGACCCCAGCCTCCCTAACCTGTGACCCCAGTCTCCCATAACCTGTGACCCCAGTCTCCTGTGACCTGAGATTCCAGCAAAGGGAATTAGTGAGTGGTTCTTAGTTAGGGGAAATGCATGACTAACGGTTGATGATTGGTTGTTGGTGAGTGATGTGTTGACTGGTGAGTGGTGACTGGTGGCTGATGTGTTGTGAGTGGTGGCTGGTGAGTGGTGGCTGGTGAGTGGTGGTTGATGAGTGGTGACTTGTAACGGTCAGTGGAGAATGGTGACTGGTAATGGTGACTGTTAATGGTGACTGGTTAGTGGTGACTCATAAGCGAGTGACTTATATGGCCCTTACTGCTGGCTGTGGTCAAGTGAGGAGATTATGTTTTGTTGGTCCTTAGAATCTTATCTAAAACTTTGAGCTGTTCTTAAAGCATATTATTATGATAGGCTTAACGTGATATATTTATGTGTGTGTGTGTGTGTGTGTGTGTGTGTGTTATTTCAGTTGTCACAGTATTAACATGTTATATCTTACATTAAACTCTTCAGCATATGCCCTGTATATTACTAACCACTGTTTCACCATGTAATAATATCTGACGGGGAATGGCAGTAAAGTCAGTACCAAGATGATAAGTGTTACTCCGTGTTGTCTACTGAACTGTCAGCAGGATGAACTTTAGTCTTTGTCAAGGGACTTAGCACTGTTTGACTCAACTACCCGCAATTCCCGCATTCCTTTTAGTAATTTAAGTTTAGAATATCCAATATTTTTCTTAATTTTTAAAGGAACTTCAACAATAACGAGGGTGAGATGGTTTGTACACTCGTTAATAAAAGTTCTGTCACCCCACCTGCCTCGCTTCATGATCCCAGAGATTCAGAAACCTCGAGGCAATGCTTGGTGTGTAAAGTGGTTCATATAATCTTCTTTTAGTGGTTAATATAATGTTGTTATAGTAGTGAATACAGTGTTATTATACAGTAGTTTTTTATGGGGATTAACCAACCCGGGTACAGGTCACTGACCCACATCAGGGCCTGGGGGAGGAGGGGGAGGCGAAAAAATATATAAATTGAACCAAAATAAATAAAGAAATGGAAAATAAAACAAATCAGGAATGAGAAACGATATACATATTGGGTTGTTAAAGTAAGAGACGCAATTGAGACTCCTGCAATTATGTGTAAATGAGGCAGAAAGTCAGTCACATCTGCAACTTGGAATTTCGTCACGATTTTTGTGATGCCATATGGCAGCAGGGTCTACCATTAGACAACACAATATGCTTCCAATATCTTCCTAGGCGGTAGTACCTCCCTGGTTGATAGCTGCCTACTACTGTACCGGCTAAAATGTTAAAATCCAGGAAAAAATTCACAAGAAAAAAGTCACAGATAAATAGGCACGGAAAAACCTAACCTAAGCTAACCTAACTTAACCTAACCGACGTACAATGCCATCATATATATATATATATATATATATATATATATATATATATATATATATATATATATATATATATATATATATATATATATATATATATATATATATATATATATATATATATATAGTGTTGTCAATATGTACAAGTCATGTGACTTTTTTTCCTGTGACTTTATTTCCGTCCACCCAATGTTGTTATAGTCGACTGTACATTTTAAAGACTTTTTTTTACACTATCTTTTTCTTATGAGATACCCAGTACATTATTGTGTTCAATTACAAAGTTGTCTCTTGTAGTGATCATAGAAATGGTGATGTAGCCATCAACACATTGAGGTAACACCATCATCATCATCATCACAGGTGACACATCAACACATTTAAGCGACACCATTAACACAATACACGAAATAACTTAAGTGTGTGTTGACCGAGAGGAAACAATCATAAAAAAGAACAACATAAGAGAGATCGGATACAGTCAAGATAAGTTTGTCATGTACACGATGAGTAAGTTTAGTTTTAGTGTGTGGTAGGTACAGCATATGGGAAGTTTCCAGGTTAGAGGTGACGGCTACTGAAGTTCGAGTAAATGGAACTTACACATAGCAGGAATTGCGTGATAAACAATGACGAGTGTTGTGAGTGGGATTGATAGAAAAAGAAGGATAATAAGAGTGAAATTCGTTGACTCGCTGAACATGGAAACTGAGGTAGAAGTGTGGGCAGGTAACAGGTGTAGTGTGGGGCAGGTAACAGGTGTAGTGTGGGGCAGATAACAGATGTAGTGTGGGGCAGATAACAGGTGTAGTGTGGGGCAGATAACAGATTGTAGTGTGGGACGAATAACAGGTGTGAGTGTGGGGCGGAAGTGTGGAGGCGTAGTGTGGGGCAGGTAACAGGCGTAGTGTGGTTGGTACAACAGGCGTAGTGAGGGGCAGGTAACAGGCGTAGTGTGGGAGCGGGTAACAGGCGTAGTGTGGGGCCGGGTAACAGGCGTAGTGTGGGGCGGGTAACAGGCGTAGTGTGGGGCAGGTAACAGGCGTAATTAATGGGGCAGGTAACCAGGTGTGGTTTGGGACAGGTTACAGGTGTGGTGTGGGGTAGGTGATTACAGGTGTAGTGTGGGGCAGGTAACAGCTGTAGTGTGGGGAGCAGGTAACATGTGTAGTAAGGGGCAGATAACAGGTGTAGTGTGGGGCAGGTAACAGGTGTGGTGTGGGGCAGACAAGAGGTGTAGTGTGGGGCAGGTAACAGGTGTGGTGTGGGGCAGACAGGTACAGGCGTAGTGTGGGGCAGGTAACAGGCGTAGTGTGGGGCAGATAACAGGTGTGGTGTGGAGCAGGTAACAGGCGTAGTGTGGGACAGATAACAGGTGTAGTGTGGGGCAGATGTGGAGTGTAGTGTGGGGCGGAGTAACAGGTGTGGTGTGGGGCAGGTAACAGGCGTAGTGTGTGGGGCAGATAACCCAGGTGTAGTGTGAAGGGAAGTATGGGTGGTGGGGCAGATAACAGGTGTAATTAATGGGGCAGATAACAGGCGTAGTGTGGGGCGAGTAACGAGGCGTAGTGTGCAGGGCAGATAGCAAAGCAAGTGTGGGCCGCTGTTCGACATTAAACAGATGACGTCGGAAAGAGTCTGCCGGCAGGTTGCACCACAGGACCGCTAATGTGCCAATTACTTCCTCCCACATAGTGTGGAAGCTATTTTACATCAATTAAGTAGATGATCATTGCGATTATTGACAGATGTGTGTGTGTGTGTGTGTGTGTGTGTGTGTGTGTGTGTGTGTGCTAGTGTATCTCATTATGATGATGAATAGTTATTTGTTATTTATTATTTATAATGAATAACTCTGTTCATTACAATTGCAATCATAGTTTATTCATTTAACTAATTCGGTGTATTATTTAGTAACATCAAAGTGTGTAGTAGGTGAGGAATGTACCTCTCCCCAACTTACTAGCGTGGGTAGTGCAGGGGTTGTGCTGAGATCACCACCACAATAAGTATTCATAAATACTGTGTGCACTTGTACACCAACTTTAATTCATTCTTATTCAATTGCGCACCATGAATCTTTTAAGGACATGAGAATGCACCGTAAATATGTTCAGGAATGTTTGAAGTACTCAACAATATGGTTACTTATATATTATTACAGAGGAGAAAAATCGATGAAAATAAAAGTGCCGGAAACCTATATTTTCACTCTTGGCCGAACAGTTGTTGCTTCCCTCTCACTGTGAGTCATGAGTTCAATCCCAGGTCGGATGTAAGAGGTGTCATCCTAGTATAATTTCCAAACCTATCAGGCGGCTGGTAAAGGTAACAAGTGGTAGCAAATTATACGAAATTTATACAACCATGAGAATAAAAAAAATAATAATAATCCGTATGCCAGTAGTAAAACATCCGTTAGTTTATGAACAGCGCTTATCTGCATCATAGGAGGGAAGGACGCATGATGTGTAGACTTTCAGCATATGCACAAGGCTTTTCCGTTGCAATTGCCGCCTTAAAACTGGTGAAGAGAGCTTTTGTGTCGTCTTTTCGTGATGATGGACGCCTTAATATGAAGCGTAACCTTGAGTCGGTGATTTGTCTCTCCTGCACCGGTACAGTATAATAGATCAACTTCTCACCAACTTCCAGCAATACTAAACTAAACATTGTCCATTACTCTGCCCACAACTTCCGGGAGGGGTGTTATTTGGTCCTGTATGCCTGTATGTGTCCCCAAAATAACTCCAAGACAAGGTCATTTGATTTCACCAAACTTATATGATTAGACTTAGCATGCATCATATTTAATACTCACCCTGACACTTGCGACTCAGGCCATTCAAACAGATGGGCAGTTACCCAAACTGTGACTCAGCACTGCCAAATTTGGAGCCACGGTGTAGTCCTGAAGCAAATACAAAAGAAATAACGATAAAGTTCACACTGCAAAGGTGTAGCTATACTGTGTGTGTGTGTATGAGGCCCTTGCCTTATTATGATGAGTCACGATCAAGGTCAAGGTCTGAATTTGAAAGAGACACCCCTAGGTTATACAGTGGAGTTCGCGCTCTGAGATATTCCAACCTCCCCCTCCCCTGCAATCGACCCGCAGCTGTGGATGAGTAGCTAACCCCACCCAGGCAGGGGAGGTGAAGGTGGTCGGATCATGCTGCTTCCTTTTGCACTGAAAAAAAAAAATTACTCTGTGTCCACATAGCATAGAACAGACTTACGTTATAACCCACCAATTTTATTGCTCGACACAGATTACTCCCGTAATGATATCATAATAAATTATGTAAGGTTTTAATGGTTAAATTTAAAAATAATAATAATTATTAAAAAAAAAAAAAAAAAAAAAACTTTGTACGAAAGTCCCGGGGTGTAAGTGCAAAAGCAGGCTGGAGGTGGCGGTGTTGTAGTGGATTCCTCCTACAACCGCTGAAGTCCCCAACCAGCCGACCCTCTTCCCGGAATTCCCCCAGCGTGTGCCTCGCCTGTTAGCTAGGTCGGCAACCCAGCGCCGCCTAACATAAGCGGAGGTCGCTGCTCAACCCCGCCTACCCGCGCTATATAAGGCTACCCCCTGCCCGGCCACTCTCTTTCTACCTACAGCCAACAGCAAGCAACACCTCCTCCTCCTCCTCCGCTCCTGCCTGGTGGCCCCTCCCGCTCCCCGCCAGCAACTGCCACCCTTCAAGCTGCCTGTATCACTCTGAACACCCTCACCAACCAGCTCTCTCCTACCCCACGCTTGGACTCAAGCTGCCACCCCCAGCACCAAGCATTGTACACTCAGAAACCATATTCTCCTAGCCCACCTGGGTGGTGCTGGAGAGTTAGCACAGTGTCCTTTCTGGGCCGGGGCCCAGTCTAACTATCACAAAGGCAACACATATGCTGAACACTTTAAGTCATCTAGTGCAGCTCTATAGATGATATTATGTATAAAATATTGTATATGGCATTTTTATACTCTGAAACATATCTTCATTATGTATGAACACAGAAGACAAAATTACCATAGGTTGTAGTTACGAAAGTATGAATGAAATAAACGCTACCGACCACCCGAGTGAATCCACATGTCGTTTACAGGCGCTTGTAGCCCTAGACCACGATGAGTTCACCACACCCCATCTATATCTTTTATTTCCCGTATTCGTAACTGCTGCAAGAAGAAAATCGTATTTAATTTAACTGCATATTTCCAAAAACCTTAAATTACACGTGGATAGTCACTCCTCATTTGTACCCTTATAGTGTAATACTTTGATCATCACCTGGGCACATGGAGCCTCCGACAACTCTC